CAGCCTTGCGATGACAGCCTTGCGATGACAGCCTTGCGATGACAGCCTTGCGATGACAGCCTTGCGATGACAGCCTTGCGTAGTAGCCTTGCGCATGACTCGCTTGTGATCTCTTGGTTTTGTTCTACGGCACCTGAACTACAGCATCACTAATAGTTACATTTTTGGGCGTAGGACGCTCATCCACCGCTAGTGTTGAAAGGGGACGATAGTGATACTAAAGTTTGACATAAGCTCATAACCTTCATTTGTAGCTAGGTTGGCTTTGACGATTGCACAGGGGCACTGTACATTGCGTTAACCTCTCTCGCTCTGGACGAATCAATAATATTTCGGATCAGAGTCCTTCTTCTTGGTAAGAAGCGTCCTCTTCCCGATCCCACTGTCCTGCGATGCCTGCTTCGCTCCCCTCACACCTGTCTTTCGACCCGTGCCACTGTCATCGGACTTTTTGTTCTTCTTCCGTCTCAGGGTGAAATCGCTATCACCGTCGTCCTTGTCCTTGATCGAGCTCTCAATTGGGCTCATTGGGGGACTGGAAAACGTAAGGTCGACAAGAACCTGGCTGTTTGTAGGAATTTGCGAGAGCCTCGGTCCTCTCTGACTTTGCGACTGTTTGAACTCAGGTTGGCTGGATGGCGGCAATTCGGGGCTACTCGAGGGAGATGGATCCCGTCTCTTCCTCCTCGATGCGTTACTGCGGAGGTTCGAGGCGTTACTGCTGCGAAGCGACTTTCTTGCTGCTCGGGGTGGTGATGGCGATACGGACTTCTTCTTGGTCGATCGTGTACTTGTTCGTCGGCTGGTCCTTCGGCTCGACCTGAAGTCGCTCAAGGAAGGCAGATCACTATCCTCGTTGAGGCCGCTCTCATGGTAGGAAGAGTCGTTGCCATCGTAGCCAAGTCCGTCTAAAAAAGAGTCCTGTGGTACCGAGGATCCTTCATTGCCGGGGTCCATGGTTTGGGAAGAGACGAGGTCCGAGACGACTTGTGGTACTGGGCTTTGCTCGATCTCGGGTTCTCTAGGACCAGAAGACTCTGTCTGCTCAAAAACCGGCTTCCCTGACTCTGGCGGGAGGGGTGAGAAACCTTGTTGGCTGACTTCAATTATGTCCTCTTCGCCATCCAGCTCGTCAGTCTTATCTGCAACTTGTTCTTCCGTTACTTTCTCTCGCCTCACATTTGTGGAAGACAGATCGACTTCCACAGCCGGCGACAGCTTTTGTGCATCCTGGTGAGAACTGCTATCAGTAGTGCGAACAGGAGCGGAGGAGCCAATGTCCATCTGTGATATGTGGGGATACTCCACAGTGGTCTGCGTGGGCATGTACGGAGACGATGTTGCTGCTATGGAGGAAATTCCGGCGTTGGTATTGTCATCTTCAAAACTGAGCTCGTCGTCCACCGGTGATGACGGCTGCTGGTCCGACGAGGTAATGATGACACGTGGCGATTTGGGCCGGAATCTGTGCGCGTATTTTCCTTGTGCTTGTCCCTGTGCGTCGTCTTGTCCCTGTGCATTTTCAGAGTCGGCGGCTGGATTCATGATCGGCTGCAGCAACTGCTCGTCCAAGGCGGACTCGAATCCGGCCTCCTTGATGATGCCGTTGATCTCTCGTTTACGAGGCGTATCGAGAGTCTCCGCTGGCCCCGCCGGGTGTGCGGTCGCGTCAGCCTCGATACTTGCTTGCATCTCGACGCGTATTTGCGTCTCGATCTCTTGTTCTTGTTCTGCAGACTCGGGAACGACAACTTCATCATCGGCCACGGATGGAATTGCTGCTTCGCCTCCGCGCAGGCCCACCATATTGCTGCTGTCTGGCACTTGAACCAATGAGGGATTCGATGAAGGCTCGACGAGTTTCGGCTTGATCATGCTGGAATAGGAGACATCACGGGTTCCGTCGTCTTCATCTGCGTCCTCTTCTGCAAGCTCAAACTTGCCATAAACCCTTTCTCCTGTCACTCTATCGATCTGTTGGGCCTGTGAGCCGAACGAGCCTTTGTCCAATTGCAAGTGCACGACACTGTCTTCATCAACATGCGATACTTGTCCAATTCGATAAGGGGAAACCGCAGGCTGATAGTTCGTCGAGGCATCAACGTGCAATTCTCGGTACGCAATCGTCGCGCCAGGGAGGACCTGTTCCCACTCAAGCGCTGCGAGGCTATCGAGTTCTTTCTCTGTCGGCAATTCGTCCGCATCGCGGTGGACCCTTGATGCAGTTTCGGTACCCTTCTCAATTGAGTCGTCATCGTAGTTCAGCGTCGCCACATCTGGTGCTGCGACTTGTTCGTCTTCTTGCTGGAGATGACCATTCCTGCCTTGATAATACTGACTCTGGTCACGCATTTTCCTCTTGTTCTTGTTTGATCTTGCCCAACCTTGCTGGAAGGGAAACGGAGGTGGAGGCAATACACCTCCAGGCGCCTCACATTCAACTGCTGAAACGATCAACTTCTCCATCCATGAATCATCATGTTCCGGCGTGGTCGTAGACTGAAGATTTTGCGACATAGTACTAATGTCTTCCTCTTTCGGTTGCCTGGGATGCCGAATATCCCGTGACAGTTTCTCCATCACTTTTTGACGTTCTTCAGCAGTCCTGGGTGCTCTCACTCCAAGAGACCCTAGGATCAGGCGACGACTACTGGCTACGTCCAGCCTAGATCGCTTCGGCGCCTGCTCCATGACGGACTGCGAATCGATTTGCGATGTCTCGGGAATTTCAGGTACTGCAGATGTTCTCTCTGCTGGTGTATCATCCATAAGAGGCGCGCCGTGGCCAATTCGAGGATTCACATTTTCCTTGTCGTGCTCAGCTACTGCTTCGTCGGTGCTCATTTCGGCGTCTCTGCTCAGCACTGCAGCGTCCTCGGTAACAACCGCGTCCTTTCCATGGTCCACGATAGCTCGTTGCTGTTCTTGCTGCTGCCCTTCGACCTCTTGACGCGCCAGTGCTGCATCGTATTCAGCCAGTGCCTTGAAGTCCGCATTAGGAGGAAGCAAGCCTTGCTGCTTCAGGGATGCCAGCCTCTTCCTACGTTTTGCCCGATTGTTGTTCATATGGGTTCTGTGGGTTCCTTCAAAGGGTATGCCCACTGAAGTGGCAGTGATTGTGGGGGCTTCTGGCACCTTCTCTTCTTTGGGGTTTGTTTCGCGAGACTCTGCTTCAGAGTCTATTTCGGATTCGGAAGAAGAGACTGATCCTGATTCACTGGTGTCATCCGAATCAGAGTCAGATCCAGAGCTCGATGTCGTATCACTGACCTCGTCGTCGCTATCGGTATCAGAACCTGAACTGGAGGTTTCGTCCTCATCAACGCCAGTTTCTGAGCTTGCAATGAGGTTTAACGCTCGCCGCTTCGCTTGCTGCATGGCCATTTCGTGCACTAGGCTGTCAGCATCAGAGTCTGACGAGGAGGTGTCCGTAGCAGAAGTCGCATCTGAATCGTCAGAATCATCTTCATCGTCTTCGGGAATATTCTTCATGGGCATTCGCTCCCGCTCAGCAGTGATCTCGTCGAGCATGCTGTCTGACCCATCATCTTGATCTGACTCCTCGTCCGAGACACCATTTGTCTGAACATCAGCCGGCCTATTGACCAGTCGTGACGAAGTGGCTCCGCCAGCAGAGAAACCTTCAAAGGTCTCTTTCTCCAGCTCGTGCTCGCCATCATCTTCGATAGGCCGTTTCCTCTTTAGCTGGTTCTCAAGGACGTGGTTTGCAATAGCGAGGTTGGAAGCTTGCTCCACCTCAGCCGCATCCTCAAGTAGCTGCGCGACTTCCGAGGATAGGTCTCCTGCCTCTGCGTCACCGTCTAACTCAGGCTCCTCTTCGGAATCGACATCGGCATCGTCAAACTCTTCGTGAAGGGTGATTCGCCTCTGTGGTTCCTGAGCGCCGGCCTCCTCGTTATCCACATAATCGTCGTCATCCTCCTCATCTTCGTCTTCATCGTCGCCCACAAACCGTACCAATGCGCCAGTGTAATCTTCGTCCCCGTCTTCGGCAGGCAGGATGCGCTGGAGATCCACCTCAGCATCCACAGTACTGTCCTCCGCTGCGAGCAACCTCCTCCGCTTCCTTGGTGGGATGAGTATATCTGGACGTTGGATCTCCCTCAACCACTGCTTCCCGAAAGGCACACCATCAATCAGATGCCTCCCGTCTGCTGTGATTTGATGCCGCTTGCCGAGTCTCCTCACCCTGATGTCTTCATTGCTCAAGGCCCGTACAATAACCTCGTCATTCTCTCTCAAGACCGATTCAACAGTCTGAAAGTGCAAGCATTCATAGGCAAGTCCTTGCCCATCTTTGGCTGCAATCTCCACGGCATAATCCTCCAGACCCCATTCACCATCGGCAGACTCGAGCGGAACGATCTCACTGACGTCTAGGAGGAGGTCGGCAACCGTAGCGGAGGGGGACTTGGTGCGCGAGGCCGGGCCTGTGCCTGTGGTGAATATGATGGGGACGGGTGGAAGGGAATGTCGCTGGATGAGAAGCTGAAGCCGCATAGTGGGCGACAGCGCAAAGCGCACCCTCAATTAGGTGGTATAAATCAGTACCAGCTGTGGAATGTGCACACGAGGTCATTGAATGCGGGATCTGAAGGTTCAGCAACTGGGTCGCGTCTCAGCGCGAATTAGAACGGAGAAGGCGCCGCCCTATGGTCACGAGATACCAAGAGTCACAGAGACGTGAGCGAACACTCACCGTCTCTCGCCTGCTTCACCTCAAGCCACTATGTGACTACATGCTTGTTTCGAGCCGAACTTCGCCTCTGAGTTTGCCGATATGTCTCTTCGAAATATGCAAGATTTACAAAGTGTTTCCGCATACAATGCGGGTGGATTTCGAGGGGAGAGGAGGCCTCGAGAGTCATTCACGCTTGGTGCAGCGAGAGGAGCGGCAGGCACAACGGACACAGGGAGCATGCGTGTTGACCGAGCTTCCAACCTCGCTATTGCAGACCACGTCCACGAGAACCAGCTAAAGAGGAAACGGCCTAAAAGTTGAGGAAAAGTCATGTGCGTGGGTGTTCTTGCCATCTGGGACGAGTCCGTACGATCGAATTCCATGACTGTCGTAGAAAGCTAACTGTATTGCCAAAGCAAAGGTGAGAACGTGTTCTCAATACCCGGCAATGCCAATCACCTGCAGCGCATCGCCTTTCCCAAAACCCTATTGTATACACCGGCATTTTCTCTCATGCAACGCTAATGGACATTAAAATGAAACCGACAGCCGATCCAGCTTAAGCCGTAGCGAGAGGGGATTTGTCGTACACGCTCGCGGGTGACTTCGGTGGCGTTGGTGAAACTTCGCTGAAGGCAATCTGCACGGTCATACCGGCGAATTTTGACTCCATGTCGGCTAGTCTGCGCTCCAGGTCGAAGACCTTCTGCTCCAAAGAGTCCACATTGCGCATCTCCCGCACGACAGCCGCGGCGATTGCCGTAGCATCGTAGCCGTTGGTCGCGTTCTGCACGAGCGCCGGGGTTCCGTGGACTGGGGATCGTGATCGTGAGGGAGGTAGGATCTCGGAGCTTTTCGTCCTAGGTAGTTCAGGACGGGCCACAGGTGCGAGAGTAGCCGACGGTGTGGGAGCTGCGATCGGTGAGGAGGCAGGCGCAGGGCTTGGTGCAGCGAGAGGGGCGGCAGGCACAACGGACACGGGAGCATGCGTGTTGACCAGCTTGTTTCCATCGACCTCCGCGATGAACTTCATTGCCTCTTTCCTGACATCGTAGCCGAAGAAGAATTGGCAAATGGGTGGGCTGTGTGGCATCGACCCCACGGGAGGGAGCGGGCCAGAATAGTATTTCCGGATCTCGGCCTCTTGTTTCGCATAGTTCGCAGCAGCTTGTGGTCCCGGGACGACAGGGTCGGTCAGAATTTGTGTAGCTGATACACGAGGGAGGCGGAACGCCTCAAATTGGGCGAGACGCTGCAGCAGTTTCTGTGACGGAGGGGAGGAGACGTCGCCTGTAGCGTGCACATCAGCGAGGAAGATTTCGAGAGCGGCAGCATCTTCGATCGACGACGAGACGCCCTGTGCGTGCGTCAACAGCATGGGATGGCATGCATCGCCGATCAGGACAGCCTTGCCCCTTGTCATCTTGTTGAGCGGATCCCGCTTCATCTGGGTGTAGACCTTCACTTCTGGTGACTTCAAGAACATCTTCTTGACAGCAGGATGGAAGCCATCTAGGACTTGCGCCAGTTCTTCGTGGGTGGCGGGGAAATTCCAGTCTTCGATCACGACATCGTCTTCGCTAGTCGCATGTTGCCCAAGTTTGCGATGTACTGCCAGAACGTTGAGAATCTCGTTATTCCTGCAGGGATAAGTGACGGCCATAACGCCCTTGGCTGGGAGGGCAGGTGCCCAGAACCCCGGTGCTTGGTTCTCGAAAAAGAACTTGGTCTCGTCATCCGCAAGAATGTCCTTCATGGGAATCAGGCATCGGTATGCTGTTTGACCACTGCGCTTCATAGGAATCATCTTGCCAGTGATCTTGGCATTGAGACGGTCCTACTGACACGTTAGCGAGGGCGCTCACACAGAGAAAGCCCAAGTGCGAGGACTGACATGCTGGCCGTCAGCAATGACAACCAGATCCTTCTGCACCGACGTCCCGCCCTTTAACGAGATGACTCCTCTATCAGGATCCACATCCATAACCTGATTGCCGAGCCTAATGATGCTACCAGCTTCTTCGGCTTGCTCCCTGAGGCGTCGGTGCATATCGACTCGGTGATAGAAGAACCATTTGTTGCCATAGAGTTGCTCCGCATTGGCGAAGTTCAGCGTAGGGGCCATTGGCTCCAGCGTGTCACCCTTTGGTCGGCGGACTTGGATATTCTCAATTCCGCCAGCTTTGACGCAGTCGAAGCCCCAATGCTGCAGCACTCGAGTACCATTGGGTGGGATCGACACAGCGGCACCATTTTCATTCTTGAACTGAGAGCGCTCGAAGACCTAAATACATGTCAACAAAATCTGGTCGGCCCTGCGCAACAACCGGAAATAAGAATGCTCTTTCGGAGTCGTCTGGAGACAGAATCATTTACTAACCTCAACGTCGTGTCCAAGTCTCCTCAGGGCAATCGCAGCAGATAGCCCTGCAACACCAGCACCACAGATCCCAACCTGAAGAACTGCCATACTGAGATAGGCTAATAGACTGTTTCAGCAAGAGCCGTGTTCAGGAATCACGCTGAGCGAGGACAAGTGATTAGGAGCGAGTGACGGGAGGAGGAGTTGTGCTGGACAGGCACTTGTAGGGGATTTGAACGATTTCGCTCAGGAACCCCTTGGCAGATACCTCCCACGCACGCAGGCCTGCGCACGTTACTTATTATAACCATCAGATACGAGCACTCAAGTACCTGCATGATTGAACTTTAAGGAGGTCCGGGCCAAGAGCAGCGGTTTCTCCTGGTTAGTGGCTTCGACACTTGGCTGTCGCGGGTGGTGTGGATAGTGAGAATGCGAAGCCATTTCTTCGTCCCCCTGACGCCTGCAGTCAGTTATTTGCTTCTAGCCAGGCCTTCCGATTGAGGCTTGACGACTTGTTAGGTTGAACCAGAATAAGCGTCAGATTTGTGCGGGCAGTCAGCCTCTACCGAGTGTCACTGGCACAGATGCGCTCCATGAGTACCCAACACAAGAGGAAGAGCCAAAAAGTGGAAATAGGAAGGAGCCCAGAAGCGAGTTGACTTCAACCCACCCCAGCTTTTAGCGCCGGTGGCGCCCAGCCATGAATGGTCGAGATGACTCCTGCCTTGCAGAGCCGAGGCCGTCCTAGTAAGCGGAGTGATAGGCGATCCGGGGGCCTGAGTATGTACCAGGACAGCAGTGGTTAATCTTCCGGAAATCCTCCCGCTGACGTCCGCCAGTGCTATACACTTGGTTTGCTGACTTAAAGAGCTAATTGTTTCACCTGATGATTGCTCGAAGACCCCATCCGCAAATTCCAATGTTCGGAGTTGCGCAGTTCGCAGTTTACGCAGGTGCGCAGACAACGTAGCTAAGTGAACCAAGCCTGTCCGAGGGAATGTGTCGTCAGCTGAAGAAAGACAAGGGAGCGTCTAGAACTTCGATAGTCGGCCGATAAGTTCGGTGCGGATAAAGCCAATCTCCACGTGGAGGACTTGGAATGCCGGTCCTGGCGCACAGAGGTTCTTGGCTAGTGGCGCCAGCTGAATCCCGGAATCAGAGCCAATTTAAAGGACGCCTACCGAAGGCTTAACGCCCGGCGCCATTCAATGCGGGATAATCACAGTAACCCAAGGGGGCGTTGAACTTCCAACGACCCGTCGAAGGCCGTATAGGCTTACAAGTGAGTCTCCATCTGCAGCAGGGAAATGTGCTATCGAAGAAGGTTTGCGACGAGCCAGCTTTTTGGCGACCATGAGCACCAGAAAATGCCACAGGTATGCAACGGTGCGTCTGTCGCAGAAGGCTCGGCCGGACTATCGGGTGCAATTGGCGTTATTGCCTTCCACGACAAACACGTTGATCGCGATGCATATCATGTTACTCCAACGTACTGTAGGTCTCTGGACGCTGTGGCCCTCGGTCTTCCAGGACCTGTGAACGAACATCCTCCTCTTCCCCCAACCCTGCCCCGCACAAGAGCGTCTCGCCTTCGTGCCGAGCTCCTCCTCTCCAATGTGGGGAAGCGAGGTCGACGACGTCCCGGAATGGCCATATATGTGGGTGCGCGTCGAAGGGAGTATATAGGATCGCGGGATTGACGACTAGGACCCGGGTATCGTCGCCTTGACCACTACTCGCACCTTTCACACATGAGTACACCTACTGCTGAGTTTTGGCAGTAGTAACAAGGAAACAATCAAGCTCCCTCAGCTTGTACCTCTCAAGCGGAGAAAACGCGGGCTTTCTCCGCCATCTAATTCAAGATGGCTCCCAAAACACTGAACGACCTGAAACGCAAAGACCTCTTCCAGACGAAAGGGTATATTGAGGAATCCTGGGTCGACGCCGCCTCCGGCAAGACCTTTGATGTCTATGATCCAGCCACGCTCGACAAGATCGCAACCATCCCCGAAATGGGCGCCGAGGATACCGACAAAGCCATTAAAGCAGCCCATGAAGCTTTCAAGACATACAAGAAAACAACTCCCCGACAGCGCGCAAGGTGGTTGCGCAAATGGAGTGACCTCTGCCTCGAACACGCTGATGATCTCGCGTTAATTTTGACCCTTGAAAACGGCAAGACCCTGACAGAAGCGAAGGGTGAGGTAACCTACGCAGCCTCATTCCTGGAATGGTTCGCGGGTGAAGCAGAGCGCATCCACGGCGAAGTTGTCCCGGTCGCAAATCAAAACCAGCGTATCTTGACGTTCAAACAGCCCATCGGCGTAGCCGCGTGTCTGGCGCCCTGGAATTTCCCCATCGCGATGATCACGAGGAAGGTTGGGGCTGCTCTGGCGGCTGGCTGTACCACGGTGTGGAAACCAGCAGGGGAGACGCCGTTGAGCTCACTCGCTCAGGCAGTTCTTGCGCGCGAGGCTGGATTTCCCAAGGGGACCATCAACGTTATCACCACGCTGAATCTGGTCAATGAGGTCGGGGAAGCGCTATGCAAGAGTAAGTTGGTGAGGAAGTTGAGTTTCACAGGGAGTACCCGTGTTGGAAAACTGCTCGCCCGGCAATGCAGTGACTCGCTCAAGAAACTGTCCTTGGAGCTAGGTGGAAACAGTCCATTCATCGTATTCGACGACGCCAAGCTTGAAACCGCGGTGGAAGCATGTATTTTGGCCAAATTTCGCAACTCGGGGCAGACTTGTGTGACTGCAAACCGGATTTTCGTGCAGAAGGGCATTTACGATAAGTTTGCTGAAGCGTTGGCGAACAAAATCAAGACTCTGAAGGTTGGTCCGGGAACGGAGGAGGGCGTGTTTGTTGGGCCTTTAACGCACGAGCGCGCTGTTGAGAAGGCGTTAACTCATATCAATGGTACGTTGGGCTGTCGTGAATGCGCATATCTGAAGGTGAGAGCTGACCTGCAAGCAGATGCCAAAAAGCATGGCGGTCAGGTGGTCCTGGGTGGGGAACCACCGAAGGATTTCAAAGGATACTTCTTGCAGCCGACGATCATCAAAGGTATGAAACGTGAGATGATAACCACTCGGGAAGAGACCTTTGCTCCAGTGGTCGGTCTCTACGAGTTCGACACCGAGGAAGAAGCCATTGATATGGCTAATGACTGCGATGTGGGCCTTGGCTCGTTCATCTGTACCGAGAACATTCCGCGAGCATGGCGAGTGACCGAGGCCTTGGAAGTAGGCATGGTGGGTGTGAATCTAGGCCTCTTGAGTGCCTGTGAGAGTCCCTTTGGAGGTGTGAAGGAGAGCGGATACGGCCGCGAGGGTGGTCGTCAAGGGATAGAGGAGTATTTGAGTGTGAAGTCGATGTTGATCAATGTGGCGAACTAGGCACTGCGAGGTCTGTATCATCGACGATGCTCAAATGATGGCTCCATCTTCAAGCTTGTCTGGCTTACTGTCTCTTCTGCTCGATCTTCTCCTCCTTCTTTCTCTTCGCATTACTGCCTTTCAATTCCTCGTAGAATAGCATAGCATATCGCGCCAATAGCATGATACTGATCGCACGGTTCTTCGCCTCAGGGGCTTCCCTACCCTGTGTCGCGCAATAATACACATCAAGCGCAATCCCAGCTCCAATTTGCATCCACCCTGTCAGCGGAAGGATGGACCGGAAAGAAGAAACTCCGCCAAAGTATGAGTACATCCAAAAGTGGTGGAAGCAGTTTAGGAAGGCAAAGAGATGCCAGTCGGAAGCGTTGAGAACCCGAAAGTACGTCAGGAAAGGCGTCGTGATGTGGTGAAAGGCCATATGAGGCCCGATTTCAGTTCCAGCGGCTACCAGGTTGAAGACATCGATATACTCGTAGAACTTGGAGAGGTGGCAGATGTAGGCCAGATCGGAGCTGTCGATTCCGTCGAGTTCCGAGAAGTGGAAGACATCGTTGAGAATGAAGTAGGCCAGGGCAAGGGAGAAGAGTGCGTAAAGTTGGTTGTTCAGTCGAGTAAATGGTCGTGCAAAACTGAAAGGCCCATTACGAGAGACGTAGCCTCGTAACATGCTCCATAGGAAGACGAAAGGTCCCGTTGTCAAGATGACACCTTGCAGTGAAGTAAGAGGCCTGTCTTCCAACGCCATGATTGTAACACGGAAACAATGGTGGCAAGGTCAGGATCAGTTGACTTTATAAGACGTCAGTAGAGCATCGGGCGGAAAAAACGAAGGCGACAAGAGGAAAGTCAAAATTTGGTGAAAGGAGTAGAGGAACGAGTAAGAGAATTGGGAGGGCACCAGGAGGCTGACTGCAAGCCGGCCGCTTTTGCGCCGCTTACAGTCGCTGCTGCCGGTAGATGCAACAATACTGTGCATGGACTCGACAATGTACTTCAGGACGACTCCTCTCGACTATCCAAAAACATGGGTATCTTCGCTCTCAATGTCGCCCAGAAACGCCAAATAATGCTTGGTCTGAAGTTCTGCTCAAAATTCCGGTTTGACAATAGCCCTCTGACACAGCACGGCCACACGCTTAAAAAATCTCCGCCATTCTAACGGATCACCGGATGCCTTCACAAACAGAACTCTTACCAACGGCTGCTCATTGGTCTCTGCCTTGACTACGTCCATTGCGATAGTACCACTCAGGGGGCAGCCTCGACTATCTTGCCCTTTCACTTTGATCGAGCAATCGGAATCTTGCGCTGTGGGTTTAGGTAAGTTTGGAGGAGGCATCTCTAGCTGGCTTAGAGCGTCAGAAATGTATGGGGCAAGCAGGTCCAGCGTTCCTTCCGAATAGAACATCGTCATACGTTCCGAAGGAAGGACGTCGGCAAATCGTCGAGCCATCTGGGTTCGACTTAGAGGAACAGAAGGGTTTGATTGGAACTGCGACATAGATGGCTCATCCTCAAGGTATTTCGTGGTCGAGATTGATTGCGAGGCGATCGCAAGATCAGCTACCAGCTGGGTACTTGTCATAGCAGGGTGCTTCGGCCGATCCCAGTCGAACAGCATGTCTTCTGCAGGTGTCACTGGTTGGGTCGAAGCGAACTTGGATTTTACGTCCTCGTCGATGTCCATAGCATCCATCTTCGTACTCCTCTGTGTTCCTGCAAACGGGTCTGCATCAAGATTGACTCGGAGGGACTCAAACATGTTTGTGGCCACAGCAATCGGATCTATTAGGCGTCCTTTCTTGTCGATGAATTTGTTGGGTCGCTTGAACCAGGGATGCCGACGCACGTCATCCATTGAGAACCGACTCTTCACATCGACTCTCATCATGCCGCGAAGGAGAGATAGCACGTGATGAGGAAGGCTTTCCCACAGCTCATCTTCTGGTTTTCCACCGCTCTGGACGTATTCGCTGAACTCGTTCAGCCGGCCGTACTCATCTCGGCCTTCGACTGGTCTGCTCCAGGGAGTATTTCCCGCGAGCAAGACGAACAGGACAACACCGCAAGACCAGATATCTGCCATGTCAGCGGCGTAACCGGTTCCCTTAGTTCCTGCTTGTGTACTGCAAGACAGCACCTCGGGAGCGACATAGGGTGGACTGCCACACAGAGTTGTCGCAAGCTTCCTCCTGCCGTGATATTCGAAAAGGGTGGCCATGCCAAAGTCTGCAAGTTTCAGGTCTCCATCTGCCGACAAAAGCACATTTTCAGGTTTGATGTCTCGGTGGGCCACGCCTTTCTCGTGCATGTAGCTGATGGCGCTGACGAGTTGGGTAAAGTAGACATGAGCGATGTCTTCGGCGACACCCGCGTCGGCCTCGATTTTGTCGAAGAGATCTCCTCCTTCAGCGAGCTCCATTGCTATCCACACCCATGCCGGGTCATCACCATGGTCGTAGAATTCAATGATATTCTTGTGCTCGCCGATGTGTTTATGTAACGAGATCTCCATCTCGAGTTGCTTCTGCTTGATCCTGCCATATTTCTGAGCATAGGTTTTGTTGATAAACTTGACAGCGAAGACGGGGGCTTCCGTGTTGAGAGGAGCGGCTTTCTTGATGCTATGTGCAACGTTAACATATCTTTGTAAGCGACCCCGTTATTGTTCACTTACCATGCATATGCACCTGAGCCGATCGTGGGTGAGACAATGCGAAAGGGTACTTTCGTCGGCAGAGGGGCCAACTGAGAGTGAGGTATACCGTTCATGGCAAGGACTCGAGAGCCTCTCCGCAGTCTCGAGGAGCAACACTGGAGTTTATGCACTGGACATCCGTGAAACCATGGTGACTGGTCGGCGCGCCTTGTCACAGATCGGCGCGTCGATGGGGCAGAGAATTGGCTGTGCGAAGCCTAGCAGCGTGTGTCAACGTCAGTCTAGTTGAGATGTTACTGCGGCGACTCACGCTGGACCCTGAAAGGTAAACAATAGGCAGTGCCTGACACTCCAGGCCGCACCTGCACGCGACCACATCGAGTTATTATTCATCACTCACCTTCACCTCTATCTCGGTTGGTTCAACTTTTGGAACCAGTCCCATTCGTCCTTCTTCATTTTCATCTTCGTAGCTCGAGAATCGCCATTGAACTGTGTTGCTGGTCTGCGACCTGCTGCTTTGAAGTGCTAGGTAGTCTGGGCCATTCTTCCGTTTTCAGCATTCCTCTACCGACCGCATTGCTCCCGTTTGCAACCACAGTTTAAATACCAGTTCCGACCATGAATTTCTCTCTAGAGGACTCCCAGAACGCTGCTCCCGGACTGCCCACCATGGCTGAACAGAACAAGCTCAACGTCGCCCCTCGAAAAGCAGACACCCAAAGTGTCACCAAGCGGTAAGCTCGTATCGTTGCCACGGGGTCAGAGCGCGGACTCACACGTTGCACAGTCTCCAATCTGAGCTCATGACACTCATGATGTCTCCTACACCCGGTATATCCGCCTTTCCCGACGCCGATGGGAACATGCTGCACTGGACCGCCACCATCGTCGGTCCCAAGGACACACCCTACGCAGACCTCAACCTCAAACTTAGCTTCGAGTTCCCTGGCAACTATCCCTACAGTCCTCCCGTGGTACTCTTCAAGACGCCGATCTACCATCCCAACATTGACTTTAGCGGCCGCATATGCCTGGATATTTTAAAAGACAAGTGGAGCGCAGTTTACAACGTCCAGACGGTCTTACTGAGCTTGCAGAGTCTTTTGGGTGAACCAAACAAGTATGACATTTTCCGGTCTTGCAGGAAGGAGCAGATGCTGATCTTCGATTACAGTGCTAGTCCATTGAACAATGAAGCCGCGCAGCTCCATCAGAAGGATGCCGAGGAATACCAGCGAAAGGTGCTGGCACGTCACCAGGAGATTGACGACTAAATCTTGACGCAGGCATGAAGAGCACGACCTCGGCTGTTGTTTGGAGTTTCGAGTTGCCATATCTGCATTATACCTGGGCATCGCCTTGCATTGGGTAGCGAGCGTTGGGCGTTACTCCCAGCCGTTCCGACCTCCGTCGCGGCGATTGAGCGCCTTGAGAACAAGTACATCCTGCAGCGGGAGTTGAGCAGACACGCTCTGAGTACCTAATCAACAAAGCGAAGGTGTCCTGGTGCTGGTTTTATGGGGAAGGCGCATTCCGTTAGACAAGTGGTATCAGCACACCTGGACGTACCAACCACGAAATGTATATCACGCCGTCGACCCTCGGTCTTCAACAGTATCATTCCCGCTTTTCTTCCACGCATGTTTACGCAACCTGTCGATGTCGCGACTCTGGGCTTCGTCGCATGACAAGGCAATCATGCCATCGTTACGGCTCCATCCCTAGAGCTCCTGCTGCGCCATAAAACGGTTCGTCCCATCATCCAAACCCTCAAACAACTCAACACCCCAGCCCTTGCTCGGATTATTGAATCTCGTTCTCTTGTCTTGTTCCGCGATCAACCTCATTTCCTTCTCGGTAAAACTCACGTTCAAACTGCCCAGATTCTCTACGATCCTGCCTTCATGGACGCTTTTCGGGATGACTATTGTGCCCCGTTGCCGTCCCCACGCGAGGATCGCCTGCGCAGGTGTCACATTCTTCTTGCTCGCGAGATCCGTCCAGAATGGGTCCTTCAAGATTGGCGGCAGGTCAGGGTATTTGTTGTCGTACGTAGGATTCATGTTCGCGAGCGGCGAGTATGCAATGACCGTGATATTGTTTCGCAAATGCCAATCCGCAAACTCCAGCTGTTGGAGATATGGATGTGTCTCGAACTCGTGCGCGAACGGTCTAATCTCAGCCTTGGCCAGCAGATCGTCAAGTTGGCGGGGCGAGAAATTGCTAACCCCGATGTAGCGCGTTAGATTGGCCCGCACGAGGTCTTCCATGGCGGACCATGTGTCGTGGATAGTAGTGTCTTGGTCAATCACCGTGCGACCGTCCTCTTGGTCCGGCAGGAAGGCCACAGGCCAGTGCATCAGGTACAAGTCGAGATACGGGATTTGGAGATCCTTGAGCGTCTTTTCGAGTGCCGGCCGTACGAGCTTCGGCTGATGATGGTCATTCCATAGTTTGCTGGTGACCCAGTATTTGTGTCGTGGTGGGGAGGCGCTGGAGTTGAGCGCGCTGCCGACGTATGCTTCGTTGCTGTAGGCGGCGGCCGAGTCGAAGTGGGCGTAGCCGGCCTTGAAGCCATATTGCACGGCGTTGCTGGCGTCTTTTTCTTTAGCGTTCCACAGGCCTAGTCCGACGGCTGGGAACTCCGCGATGGGCTTTTTGAAAATGTGTTCTTGAACGGGGGATTGCTCTGCCGGGGCGGCGAGACATCCAGACAGAAATACTGCCAGCAGGGCGGTGGTTGTCAGTATCTGGCGACACATTGTGATGAAGTCTTGGTGCGTATTCAGCATGCAAGCCTCACGAAGTTTCTGCAACGAGCTGTAACCCGCAGTAGAGGACCAAAAGAGGATGACTGTGATATGGGCGAAGGTCGTCGTCAGCACTGCAATAAAGGGCACATGTCTGATACACTGTGATGGCGTCACCCCGATTTGACAACCTTTGGACGTGGAGTTGAACCATGCGGAGAAGGAACCGTAGGCATCGTTAGCCAGCCGAGCCAGGAACTGGGACAGCGTCGGAGACGACATCCGCCAATAGTAGCCACGGATGGCATGTGGTGACCAGGAGGAATCAAGCGAAGAGATCAGCGCCAGAGTCAAGAGAGGTACGAGTAACAATCACTTGAAGCTCGCCGCCTACTGTGTACAGTTGTTTAGCTGGGTACATTGCACCATCATGTTTGGCCTTGTTTGAGCTGAAGATTTGAGAATCAACGGCTGTTCCTCTGCGATCCAGCCCCAAGATCCCTGGTTTGACTGAGCGGATTGTTCTTTCACTCTGCGGAAACATCCCGTTCAGACCATCTTCAACTCTGAATTATTGGACGGAGTGCGTGTTAATGTTTAGGGGCCGAGATGCGAGCACCAGCATTCATTTCTTCCGCATCAGTAAACCTTCCCAATCTGGAGTCGCAGTCCTATTGGGGAAAGAGTTGTTCGACAGCGTATGGCTCGGAGAGTTGTTCGACCGTTTCGTCAAATCCAATCAACTCGCTGGAGCACCGACAAGCAAGGCGTGCCAGTCGGACTGTCATTGAACACGCTCGAACTACTGTCCGATCTGAAGGCTGGATTGCGGGAGCCTTGTCAGATCTGCTTGATGTGTACAAGGCTACTCGACCCAGCCCAGCTCAGCCCTCCTCGCCAATGGTACGATACCATGCGATCAGAGACACGGAGGGTCGTTACCGCAACCATGTCGTACACACGCCTTTGAAGTCGCGGAATAAGATCCATCTTTGTCCCAGGTATGGAACTTTGGCAGGAGAAGGGATTCAGGCAAGTCAAGATATAAAACCCTGCTTCGTCTCTGTGATGTCCTCAACAATCGTCTACACGCCTACCAGCGACCAAGCGCAGGTACGCAAAACCATCAAGTCAGTCAGCATGTCTTCTCCTTTCCCATCCCTGCCAGTCTCGCAAATCACCATCCCTTCCAACCCCCTGATCAACGCCGCGTACGCCTACGTCAAGGAGAACTGCAGCGAGTGCACCCTCAACCACTGCCTCCGCAGCGTCGCGTTCGGCCTCATCTTGCAGAAGAAGTTCCCACCGTTGGCAAACGCCCCTGACCGCGACACCGAAGCTGTAGTTCTGTCCACACTGCTGCACGACATGGGCTGGGCAACCACCAAGGCCCTCCTCTCCAAGGACAAACGGTTCGAAGTCGACGGCGCAAACATCGCCCGTGAGTTCGTCACCCGCGAGGACGGCAAGTGGGACAAGCACCGCATCCAGCTCATGTGGGATGCCGTCGCGTTGCACACGACCCCCTCCATCGCGCAGCACAAGGAGCCAGAGGTCTTCGCCACTCAGTTGGGCATCATGACGGATTTTCTTGGCCCGAATCTGCCGCTGCCGGGCTCGCCCATCACCATCGACGAGTACAAGGAAATCGTCAGAGCTTTCCCACGCCTTGGATTCAAGGAGGAGCTTCGGGGCATTATGTGCGGCCTGTGTCGTGACAAGCCGGAGACCACCTTTGACAACTTTGTGGGCGATTTTGGCAAGATCTACGGGTTGGACGGGAAGGGTGGGGGCAAGGAGGAGTTTACCAAGATGTGCGAGGAGAAGAATCTCGTGAGGATGCTGGAAGCCAGCTTGACTGCCTTGGAGCAGTATGAGAATTGATTGCCAATCTGTGCCGCTATTAGCTGGAATCGAGTTCGCTGCTGTGGGCACTCTTGAAAATGAAGCAGCGTCCCAGTTGCTGCCTGTGATTTTGAATCACAGTTCGCATTTTTGCTGGCTCCTTGCATGATGGCCCATTCCATATGGAAATACTCCAAGAATGCCACGCATTCAACGAAGACCAGAAAGTGTACGTTCAGTAATGCCCTGGTTGCATTGCACACCGCGTATCTCGACCGCGGCTTGAAGACATAGAGAAGATGGTTGAAAAGCCGCCACCTCTCCTTGTAGCATCTACAGTGTCGCTGAGCAAACATCGCCTTAGGACAGTGGTGTGCTTGAAATGTGGTATCAACTAAGCAAGGCACGCTGTTTGGTGCTGTGACGTCTAAGTCACTGTACGGAGTACTGTAGCATGCAGGGCACGAACAGCCCCCAGTCTCCTGGGTTTCTCCACGGCAGCTTACCCCCATGAACTTCCCTCAGTTCGGAGTACGTACTCCGTACGCAACTGGAAATGCTCCCCAGTACGAGTGGTACGACAAAGCTACTGTAGGATCGTCATCAACAAGGCGGAGGTGGAGGCACCGCCATAGGGGGAGCCATTACTTCTTTCCATTCACCAGCGACTTCTTCAACCTACTTACTCCGTAGTCATGCGGCGATTCGCCGCCCGTCGGCATGGTATCCGGACTCTGATCACAGAAATACGCACCGGAATCGCAGGAATCTCCGACTGAAGCGAGCGAGATAAAGTTCAATGGCATTGCACTTTACTACGACGACCCTATCGAATCCGGCCCATGGGAACAGAAAACATGGTTATTGCCGACGACGAAAAGGGCAACCGCCCAAAACCAAGCAATGACCATCGTCATCGGGACGAAGAGGGAGGTCGTGGTACTAACGAGCCGGGAGCTCTCCCCAAGCGGACTGCTTTTCGTGCTCTGGTCCAAGACTTCAGTCCGATATGGTATGTATGCTTCTCATCTTGAGCACGGGTCTTGGAATGGGAATCGACTCCCCACGCAGTGTGCAAAACAATACTGTAAGCAAGCGTTGACTCTCGCACAGGTTTACATGGTGCATGAACGCCGGCATCCTGGGCACATTACTCCACCAGCTCCCTTATCAATTCGACGGTCTCCTCGTCCTGTCGACCATCTTCTTCATGCTCGACCTCGTCATGTACGTCGCCTTCTCAGCCATCTGCATCCTGCATTTCGCGCTCTTCCGACGGCGGGCGTACGACGAACTCGTCAACAGTGTCGCCGATCTGTGCCTCTTCCCCTGCTGGTCCATCGCGTTCATGACGCTGGTCTCGTTCGTCGCCCTCACCGTGACGAATGCATCGTGGGCGGGCTACGGGTTCACGATCCTCACATGTGTCATGTGGTGGATCGCGGCAGCGTGGGTGTTCGCCATGCTTGTCTTCGCCTTTGTCATCCTCATCCAGAGGCACACGATTCTCGACCGTGATTTGCCCACTCTGATCATCATCCCGGCCGTCGGGGTGGCCACGCTGGCGGCCATCGGCGGCGTCGTCGCCTGCTTTGCGCACGACATCTCCGCGGGCCTGGCCGTGCCGATCATCCTCATGTCCATCTGCGCCGTCGGCGTGGGCATCATCCTCGGCATGATGCTGTACACGTACCTGTTCCACCAGCTGCTCGCGAAGGGCTGGCCCGCGCCGCCACAGACCGCCACCCTCTTCATCCTCGTCGGGCCCGTGGGACAGTCAGCGGCAGCGTTACAGCTGCTCGGGCGCGCGGCCGACACGTCGGGCCACTTCGCAGCTTATGGTAAAGGATTCCTCCTGACAGGGGCCGCCGCGTACTCGCTGCATGTGGCCTGCCTGTTACTCGCGCTCCTGATGACCGGCCTCGGTGCCGTGTGGCTGGCTTTTGCATTCTGCGCCATGATCGATCGCGCGTACCACCGGCAACTCATCTGGGCGCCGACATGGAACGCCGTCATCTTCCCGACAGCCACGTTGGCGACCTCGACGCTGCTGCTCGGCTTGGAGCTGGACTCGCCGTTCTTCAGAATCGTCACGGCCATCCTGGTCGTGTTCCTGGTTTTAGTCTTCTTCGTCAACGTGGCGTTCACACTGCGGGGGATCTTCAAGGGCCAATTGCTCATCGTGAAGGACGACCCGCGCACCAAAGGGCAGCTAGATGAGAGGCCAAAAGCTAGCTAGCTAGGGACGATCAAGGAAGACCTTCCGTCACGTAATTATCTGCTTTCCTTCTTGATCTCACTCTTCTCACTGAGTTACTGGATTGAATGGAGCGCGTTCAGTCCCATACGTGTTCCCCCTTACCGGAATTCGTGCGGCCTTTTCGCAAACGCATTGTAGACGTGTAGTCCATTTGCGCCCCAATCTTCAACGCACCATCGACCACAACCACGTTAAATAGGTGGCATCACTCATCTTCGAGTCCGTCTCATCTAGACACAGGGCGGCGTTGAAACTCGGGGCCGCGACGTTATTTGATGTGAGATGCGCGAAGAGGCTCTGCGCGATTTGATGCCGTCGCGAGTCGAGGAGGCGGACCGGGTGAGCCCGTGCCGCCAGGTATTGAGAGAGATATTCCTCACTGATCAGACTGCACGTGTCGGGAAGGACCGAAGTCGAGCTGAACGACCCGGGCGGCTCGTTGCTCGTTCAGCCAGTCCGCAAACTCAGTCGCTCATCAGCGCCGGAGATCGTGGCCTGTACGTATTTCAGCGGTTGCGGGAGTTGCCTGCCTTGTACTCCGTACAGTAGAAAAGTTTCGGTGCGGCCAAAGGCACCGGCAGTCTAGTCCAGCTTCTGCTGGTGCGTCACGGCCGCCCGTAGTCAAGCCTCGATAAGCCTGAGGCGAGGCCCGTAAGCACGACACAGGTACGCATGGTACCGAGGAAGTCGCTATTAGGCGCTGTGAGGCCTCTAGCGCCTTGGCACTGTTGCCTGCATTTCCACCACAGTCATGACTGTCATTTCCATAAGGTAGTTGCGCTACATACCATACACCACGTTACAGCCCCATCCGTCATTTTCCTTTGTCTTGTCCATCGGCGTGGGAGGCGCGGTTACTTGCTCACCGCCGGGAGATTCCGCCTGGGTTACTCCGTACAGTACGGAGTCCCTCGCACTGACCTAATTCAAGCACTGTGTCATCCTTTCTTCACTTGCTGCTAAGATGCCCTTGCTCATGACATGGAGTGACACAACCACCTGCGGATGTGCAATCTCCATTCGGACGGAGGCGACCTATTTATCATTGAGCTCATCGTCAAAATGAATACTGACCACCGGGCTCTAGGATTCGGCCGTGCTCACAACTCCTTCTGCCTCCACTTTGTTCAGACATACACCAATCTTTATTCTACCGTGCGACGAGACAGCCTCGTTCTGTGTCTGCTGCTTATGCTCTTGCTGACTCTTCTGCTAAAAGGGAGAGGCTAGGGTATATCGCGAAAATGAAAATGAACGCATCGCCCAAACGGTGGTCAGCGGCAGCGTATCATTCCAGGAACAATGGATACCTTTTCCTAGTGAGACTACAACTTACAATGGTACACGAGCATTCCTACAGCCGAATCTCCGATCCAGCAGCGTCGACAGATCTTTCCACTGCTTACTGTGGACTGGGCTACAGAGGGAATAGGTATTCCGTGCATTGCTTTCCGCTCAACCAGTTGCCCCTTGAGTCTCAGCTGGTACACGGTTTAAAATAGATGACTCCCCCGAATGATTTCGCACTGTCACCCCAGATGCAGTGCTCAGAACGTGTGTGCTTTCTCCCCTTCTAACACTCCAGGTGAAGCCGCTTTTACAAAATTATGGATATCATCAGAGACGCGCCGGCGGGCCAATTTCTCCGCTGGATCACGAAGAATAGGATACTTCTATACCCGGAGGAGAAGGAAGGTTTCGTGCTACCGAGGTTTGTAAGTCTGCTTCCCACATATCATTCTGGCTATAGATGTAACAAAGTCTTCACAGGAGTCTGGTGCACCACTCAAGCGGGCTGTTCCAGATGCCGAACAGTCCGGCTCCGACTCAGACGAGCCAGGGAAGCCTGCGCCTGACCATGAGAAAGACGATGCTCAGAAAATGGAGCTTGCTGAAGGCTCATCGACGCCACCATCCAGGAGGACGGCTGAAGAAGACCCTTTGTCTCTAACGATCTCGCGCCAGCGCAGCCTTCCATGGACGCAGAATCGTCTGTCATTCGATCAGCAGCTTAAACTGGAAAAGACAAAGAGTAAACCAATATCCTTCACAAATTCTGCCGATGGAACCATTCTCGTGGACTGGTATACCACTGACGACCCAGACAACCCGCAAAATTGGTCCCAGGGAAAGAAGATGTTTGTGCTGGTGCAGATATGCCTCTATACCTTCGCCATGTATGGTGGCTCCAGTATCTACGTCGTCAGCGAGGGGGGAGTGATGGCGAGATTCGGGGTCGGTCAAGCAGCAGCAGCACTCGGCCTGTCCGTGTATGTCATTGGATATGGGCTTGGACCGCTCCTCTTCGCACCACTCTGCGAGATCCCAGCAATCGGCAGAAATGGAGTCTATACACCTACTTTCACGCTCTTCATCATCTTGTGTGCGCCGACAGCAGTGGTCGACAACTTTGGTGGTTTGCTGGTACTTAGATTCTTGCAGGGATTTCTGAGCAGCCCTTGCCTTGCGAATGGAGCTGCGTCCATTGGGGATATGGTGAGTTCCTGGCTTCCTAACACAGTAATGGGCAAGGCCTAACTGCAACAGTTTCCCCTCCAATTGCTCGCTCTTTATCTGTCTTGTTGGACAGCAGCCTGCTTCTGGGGCCCAACGCTTGGCCCAGTTCTGGCTTCTTTCGCGGTCACTGCTGAAGGGTAAGGCCCTTCCGCTACCATCCCTTAGAACGATACTGATGGTGAAGAGTAGATGGAGATGGTCGCTATGGGAGCTCCTCTGGCTCAGCGCACCAATCTGGGCCGTCTACCTGATTGCCTTCCCGGAGACGTCTGCACCGAACATCCTGCGTCGACGAGCCCAACGCCTTCGAAAGCTCACTGACAGAACAGATCTGCGCTCCCAGAGCGAGATTGATCAAGAACACATGAACTACGTGGCAATCTTCCGGGACGCGATCATCAAGCCCGTCGAGATCATGATCAAAGATACCGCCGTGGCCTACACCAACATCTACAGCGCCCTCCTGTACGGCATCTACTATTCATTCTTCGAGGCCTTTCCCCTCGTCTACATCGCCATCTATGGCTTCAATCTGGGCGAGCTAGGCCTGACGTTCATCTCCATCGGCGTGGCCACCGTGATCGGACTCATCATCTACGTCGTCTACCTGGCACTGTACCTGGGTCCGGACATTGCGAAGCGCGGTCTCCGAGCGCCAGAGCACCGTCTGGTCCCTGCGCTGTTCTCCGTATGTTCGCTACCTGCGGGCCTGTTCATGTTCGGTACGTACACATCCACATCCTACCTGTGATTGATTGTTGGCTGTCATTCTGACAGAACCATCTCTAGGCTGGACCTCCCGCCACGGCATCCACTGGATGGCGTCCCTCATTGGCGTCATCATCGTCGTCATTTCCAACTTCATCACATTCCAATGCATCTTCGTCTACCTCCCCATGTCCTACCCTCAATACACGGCCTCGCTGATGGCGTCCAACGCGCTCTTCCGCTCGCTCTTCGCCGCCGGCTGCGTCGAGTTCTCCAGACCAATGCTCAGAAACCTAGGCATCGGACCCGGCAACAGTCTCCTCGCAGGCCTGGCCATGGTCGGCGTGGTCGGCATGTTTGCGCTGTGGATGTTCGGCGCCAAATTACGAGCAAAGAGCAGATTCGCCGTCGTTGGCGGCATCTGGGCGGAGAAGTCGATCCCGACCACAACACAAACCCCGGAACCCGCAACCGGAAGAGCCGGGTGAAGAACAAGAAAGGCTGAGCTGACCTCATCGCTGACACGACCAGATCATCAAGATCATACAAGCAGCCGGTACCGCTTGTCCGGTTCGGCAATATGCACGCCATCAGAAGTGAGTATACCCGGGAGTATTGCCGGAGAGATTGCATGATCATTTCCTGCGCATCGGGGGACGAGGGAATACCCCGGGCGAGCAAGTCACATACACACGTACGTACTTGTCGTGTACAAGAATGATGTTCAGGTTAAGAACAAACCCAAGCTGGTATCCACCGATTCAAACTAGATCTCCGCGGAACAGACAGACGTGCAGCATTTAGCTACTCGTAATTAGCTGACACGCCTTCGTGACTCAGTAAGTGGCCTTAGGGTCGGTGTACCTCTACTGCAGTTACAGTAGTGGCCTGTCATGCACTCTTTGCTTCAATGTTCTATTTATAACCAAACCAATATGTCGACCAATATGTCGATTCAAGCACGTCCTATCATATAGGTACCTACATAGGTATATCACGAAAAACGCTAGCTGAGTCGATGTAATATATACCACGTCCTGTTGAAGACCACTAGCCGAGCTATATAAACAAAAGAGCAATCGCTACCCGAAGGAAGTGTATCCAATGACCACCAACACCGTGCATCGCCACCAAGTATGGATACATGACAAACCATGCCACCTCTCCTCATACGGCATCCCCATCGACGTTCTGCAGAGCCACGTACGTACCCCGGTCCCTCTCGGCCAATCGCCTCTTGAAGATCCCACTCTCAAATACACAGCCGACGACGTCCCTCATATGTCCCAATACTCCACCCGCCATCCTCCTCTTGTGCTTCCCACCCATCATCGGCGTAGAGAGGACCTTCGCTTCGCCTTCCAGCCGCGCGACATCAAGCCACTTGGGTCGTCCCACCCACCTCAATGCCAACGAGCTGAGTGTTACTGAAATGGAACTAAATATCATCGCGGTGGCACTCATCAAGGGCGGCATGTGATACCCCAGGGGCAAAAAGATGCCCATCGCAAAGGGTAATCCGATTACGTTGTACGCGCACGCCCAGATGAGATTCATTTTGATGCGACGGAAAATCACCCGGCAGAGATGCAGTGCCGTGGGGATATTCAACAGGTCGTCGGCCCGCATGATCACGATATCGGCAGCTTCGACAGCGATGTCAGAGCCAGAGACAAGACCGATGCCGACGTCCGCGGTTGCCAGGGCGGGGGAATCATTGATGCCGTCGCCAACCATGGCCACCACTTCGCCGGCAGCCTGGAGATCTGAGACGATGGATTGCTTTCCACCTGGAGAAACCGATGCCCGGATGCTTTCGCGGGGGATACCCACGAGGTCGGCGATGGAGAGAGCCGTATTGTATGTATCTCCTGTGACAAGGGATGTGGAGATGCCCATTTTATGAAGAGCGGTGACTGCAGCCAAAGCTGTCGGTTTCAGCGTGTCAGATAGGCCTATATGTCCCGCATATTGGCCGTTGATGGCAACGTAGATGGTGGTGATTCCGGTCTTGGATTTCGTGCGCGTGGTGGGTGATAAAGCGGCATCGACGGCGTTCTCAATCTCTGGGGGGATATCGATCTTCTTGTTCGCCAGGAACGTGGCGTTGCCGATGTAGACTTTGTACTGAGTTTGTTCCCCTGTATTGTTGAGCTCGATGATGGCCGAGATGCCCTGGCCGACCGTGACGCCGAAGGTGCCAACTTGGCCGGGTAGGGTGGCTTCGGGCTCGAGCCCAAGATTCTCTTTGGCAGCAAGCACGATGGACTTGGCAATTGGATGTTCAGATCCTGCTTCGGCAAGCCCGACCAGTGTCCACCAGAGTTTGTGACGCCATTCATTTTGGTTCCAAAGAGAGGAGTAGCTCGTATCGGCCACCTTGAGCTTGCCCAATGTAAGAGTACCAGTCTTGTCGAGGACGAGGTGAGTGATCCTTGTCGCGGTCTCGAGTGCTGCGCCTCCTTTGACAAGAATACCTAGCTGGGAAGCAGTTCCTGTGCCGACCATGACAGCGGTGGGGGTGGCCAACCCAAGCGCACAGGGACAAGCAAAGACGATGACCGAAATGCACAGCTCCAGGCAGACCATGAACTTCCCGCCATGTTGCTTGTCTGTGAAGATCTTTGGTGGCTCTGGCAAGATATGGCTGAGGATCATCCATCCGACAAAGGTGATCAACCCAAGCAGGATGATGATAGGGACAAAGTGGCCGGCAACGAGATCTGCCATTCGCTGGATGGGTGCCCGATTCGTCTGGGCTTCTTGCACGAGGTTTACAATCTGGCTCAGTTGCGTGTCCTTTCCAGCGCGGCTGACTTTGAAATCGATCTTGCCAGCACCGTTCACGGTGCCCGCAATAAGCGCGCTGCCCTTCTTCTTCTGGATAGGCATCGGCTCACCCGTGACCATGCTTTCATCCACAAAACTTTCCCCGCGGGTGACGATGCCATCGGCGGGGATTTTGTCCCCGGGGCGCAGGATAACAATGTCTCCGACCTCGAGCAACTCAGTGGGGATGAGTTTCTCAGCCGCCGAGGGACCTGATAGGCCTGACGCGCCCGGACCGGATGGGACCCTCTTCAGATGCGCATCCATTGTTGGAGTCTTCTCGAGAACGGGCGAGGATGGAGCTGTCCAGGATTCGGCCAGTCTTTCCGCGTATAGCGGATCGTCGTAGATGGTCGCCATACTTGGAGCCAGAGACATGAGCTGCGACAAAGCCCTGGAAGTCTGGCCTTTGGCCCGATTTTCAAGCCACCTGCCGAGGGTAATAAATGTGATAAGCATAGTACTGGTGTCAAAGATAGTACTGGGCTTGTTGTGGGGGGGTATCAAAACTGCCACAACGACAGCAAAACAGCTGAAAAAGAACGCCGTGGAAGTGCCAAGTACCACCAACACATCCATGGTGGGTGATTTGTGTTTTAAACTCTTGTACGCCGAGATGTAGAATCGCTTTCCGACGCCGAACTGCACAGGAATTGTGAGACCGAAGCAAATGATGTCGCCCAGGAAGAGGCCCGAGATGATTTCTATGGCGCCAAAGTTTATAGATGGTAAGAACATGGGTATAATCATGCTGATCAAAAGGACGGGGATGGCGAAGCCCAAAGATGTGAGGAATGCTCTCTTCCACTCCTGAATTTCTTTGGTTTTGGCCAGTGATTCTAGTTGGGCGTTGTTGTCCTCTGAATCAGCAACTAAAGCGTTGAATCCGGCCTCCTCGACAGCTGCCACAATCATTCGCAGGCCACTGACCGCGGGATCATAGCTGATGGTGGCCCGAGAAGTGGAAAGGTTGATAACTGCACTCGCGATGCCGGGCTTCGATCGTAGGGTGTTTTCCAGCTCGGTCGCGGTTCGGCCATCCGGAAGGCCATAAATCCTTAATTGCTGGGATACATTTGTAGAGCCAAAGACGTTCGTCTCGGCCTGAGAGGAGACGATCCTGGCATCAAAACCAGCGTCTTCAATGAGCTCGACAATCTTTTCCGAGGGCAGGGCCACTGGATCATGTGAAATCAAGGCTCGTTCGGCCAGAAGACTGATCTGGAATTTGACCAGGCCAGCGACATTTCTGAAGGCGCCTTCGACAGAAGAAGTGCAAGCTCCACAGGTCATACCTTCAATAGCGACAGTGGTAGTCCATGTATACGACTGGTCCTTGCCCTCCGCCTCACCTTCTGTGGCCTTGCCGGCGTCTTGGAGTTTCGAGTCCACCACCGTAGCGTCAAACCCTCGGTCTTCGATGATCTCGGCAAGCGCCTCGGCACTTATGACCTTTGCATCATGCACCACGATTGCCCGCTCAGCCAGAAGCGAGACGCTCATGCTCTTCACACCCGGGACATCTCTGAATCCAGCTTCGACGGAAGAAGTGCAGGCACCGCAGGTCATACCCTGCACCGATATCGTGGTTGTCGTGATCTGATATCCCGCGTCGGTCGACGCTGTCTGTATGGTGAGGGCAGGAGGCTGAGGCATATCGGTCGACAAGACTTCGGCGTCAAAGCCACGATCTTCAATGATTTCGGCGATCTTGTCGGGTGATAATTTCTTCGGGTCATGGTGTACCACTGCTCTTCCCATCATCAAGCTGACCGAGACGGCACCAGCGCCGTCTACGTCCTTGAACCCACACTCTACTGCAGATGTGCAAGCCCCGCAGGTCATCCCGTCGACTTTGAGGGTGGTAGTGGCCATGTGCGCCGGAGTCGGTTGCTGCGGCGGGGCTGGGCCGCTGCCGTCGTCAATGAGGCTCATCGTGAGGCTGTCCAATAAGTATGTACTGCTGTGACTTATATGTGGGGCGAAGGATTATAAATTCATGGTTCGGTCAACGCGCTTCGGAGGAGGCGGCCGTAGAAAAAGGACGAAGAGGAAACCACGCTGATCGAGGTGGGAGAGGAACAAGGTCTAATGAGTGTCAGGAACGAAGGCGAGAGCGACCTGCAAGCGCGCCATAAACTGTTTGTAGCGGACACCGAGTTGCAAAGAGAGGATGGGAAGCGGAGAGCGAGAGGTGAGACGGGGATGAAGCTGAGAAATACAGGCGATTCAGGGCTGAAACCGAATCCGACGCCATATCCGTTTTCGGTTGTTTCTCACATCCCTGTCGGCATCGCGCGATCACCAGCCACAGCACGACAGCCACAGGTGCCGATCACGCCACCGTTGGAGTTAAGCGAGTGAACAACGATGATAGCAATAGACCTGTGATCGCTAGACGCGCACGCTGTGGTCGACCACTTCTAACGGGAAGAACTCTCCTCAAAAAGCAAGTTGAAGGCGTGTCGATCAAAGCAAAGCACAAGCCGCATTGTGGCTCTGCGCAGAGTAGCGTCCCTCGTCTCCTCGTGCCTGCCAAGAACAAACTGCCCGCAACGACAGCCTTGCGCAGCCTTGCCCGAGCTTCTCGTCAAGTCGCTCTTCCCTTCATCCCCCTTCCCGCCCCTGTCCTAACAAACCCTCGCCTCAACGATGGATCAAGTTCAGGCAAAAGCTTTGGCAGCGATACAGCCTGTCATCTACCAAATCACGACCAGCAAGAATGCCACACCACGCTTCGTCGCCGAGTTGATCAAGGGCGTCATCTCTGACCGCGGAGCATATATATTCACAGAGTTGCTTCAACTGCCCACTGTACAAGCCCTGAGGGGCACAGAATTTGAGCCCTGGTTGACACTGTTGGAGATATTCAGCTGGGGCACGTACCAGGAATACAAAGGTATGTCGCATGCCCGCCCACATCGAGAGACATGACAGAACTAACAACGCTGCAGCCAACCCGTTGCTTCCCCAGTTAGACGTCCACCAAACACTCAAACTCCGCCAACTCACCCTCCTCACGCTCGCCTCCCCCTTCTCACCACCGACGCCAAATAACACCACCACCAACAATAACCTAACTTACGCCGCCCTCTTGTCCCGCCTCCAGCTCAGCAGCCCCGAAGAGCTAGAGAGCCTGATAACCGCCTCCATCGACTGCAACCTCCTCACCGCCCGCCTCTACCCTACCTCGTCCCCATCAGCCGTTCACATCATCTCGGTCGCCCCTCTCCGCGATCTCCGCCCACAATCTCTCACGACTCTCCTCCAAATCCTGCAGACATGGGAATCACGCTGCGTCTCTGTGGTCTCCGACCTCGAGGCCCAGATCGCTACGATACGCAATACCGCCCAACAACGTGCGTTGAAGGAGAAGAAACGCCAGGATCTTGTTGACTCACTAGTCCTGAGCACTGACAGGCCCTCAAATGACAACGGCGTTTCTGAAGGACGAGCAATCAGGGCACCTGGACAGAAGTTGGGCAGCAAGCGGGACTTGGACCAGCATATCGAGGGAGAAGACGATGACTACGAGGAGGAATACGAGGGAATGGATCTAGATGAGGGGATAAGTGAAAGTGCTGGGTTCCCTGGTGGTGGAAGCGGCAGTGGAGGTCGAGGAGGAGGGTTGTCGCGGGGCGCAAAGAGGAATCGCGGACGGGGGTCAAAATGAGCACTGCGCACGAGGACGAAGTTGACATGAGGCGAGCTCCGGCCGGACAGCTGTTGACGAGATGAAATGTGCACTGGAATGCTTACTCTGGTGGTGTGAACCAGGCAAGGACGGCTATCCCACTAGCGGCAAGCCAGACCAGCCGTCACTGGCGAGGAAGGATTCCTGTCCTCGTACCCAGCGGGACTGACGAGGAAGGGTTTCCTAGTAACCGGGCTTCACTGGTGAGGGAGGATTTCTGTCCTACTAGCCAGCGGGATTGACAAGGAAGGACTCCTATCCCCGCAGCCAGCAGGATCCGACATGCTTCCGAAACCTACAACCACTTTGTAATGGCGAAAGCAAGGGCCCATGCGGATTCTGGGTTCTGCAACGAGAACATGAAGTTAATGTATGCACGACAATGAAGAGACACCACTGCACAGTATGCCACTGTAAGGACACCTGCTAAGCACTGAGTACGCCACGCCGAGAATCAAGGAGTGCAAAACGAGAGGCGACAAGAGTCAAGGGCGGCTTGAACGGGAACGACGGGCCAATGCGCTTGCGATTCCTGGCGATCCGGGGTTCCATTCGCTTATGGTGCGCATACGAAGATTGCTCGTTGGGAGCCCCAAGTCAAGTCATAAAGCTCACAGACCATGTTCATTTCCACGTGCGTGCACAATCGATGCGTAGCTAACAAAAGTACATATCCAAGCTCGCTCCTGTATGTGCCTTGCCCTTGCCTCCGTTTGAACGGACCTTGAGCCACAATCGATCTTATGTTGTTAGATTTGGTTGCCTTGTTTCCGTCGGTGCTGGATGTACCCTTGTTTTGCGTAGGCCAGGCTTGCTGTCCCACAGTTGGCTCAAGTCGTTGATCTCGTCCGGCTTTGTGGACACTGTGTCGACAACCGTTGGCCACTGTCGAGTAAGACCCCAGTCTATCCCAGTACACGCTCGCTGAAACGACGACAATGAATTCGACACTAGCCAACCCAATCCCATCGACGTATCTGACCGTGTCGCCGTTGAACGCCTGTCATTCCATAAAACCCGACGGATTATACACTGGGCCTTTTCCGGACGCGGCTCTAGAACCTCGTCCCCGGGACAAAGATAAAAAGCACGCACAGCCCAACCGCAACAGCCATGAACATAAAGAGCGCCATGGTCGCCCTTGTGAGGAGTAACCTGCGCACAAAGGGTTCTTTGATCCGCGACCAGTTCATCCAGGTGTATTCACTAAATCCCAGGTATGCGGCGACAATGTCGAGCTTGTACTGGTAGGAGACGAGGAAGTATGAGCCGATCATGAAGGGGAGGATAATCTAGGAGTCTTGTTAGAATTCGGCAGTACTTGAGGGCTGGAAGGAGGAAGAGTGAACTTACCCAACAACGAGTCGCTCTTGACCTGTCTCTCAAGATCATGTAATAGCCAGCCCAGAATCCTGCCATCAAGCTCATGAGCCCAATGATCAATCTGATTAGCACACTCAAGGGCACCAGGTTTCCTAGGGCTTTGGCCTGTAAAAATCCGGGAAAGGCATCCCTTTCCATCGCTTGGAAGACGTAGTCCTTGGCATCGTCGAACACCTCTGGGTCATCCCGCCCTTCTTCTTCGATAGCGCGAATGATCCTGTTCAGCATCGTATCAGGCAGCACAATTTCCCTTTCCGAACCAGGTAAAACGAATGTGTAGAGTATCTTCTCCGCGGATGCTTTGATGTCGGCTCTAGCGACACTGTGCCCCGGAGAATTCGAGTCCGTCCTCACTTCAGGAGTAGTGGCGAAGCTCGGTTGGGGCATTTCTGGCGGTGTTGGTCTGTCTCCTGATGCTCGACTCAGATTTCTTGAATTTGCTGAACCCATGCTGTGGGAGGGTGAGCGTTCGATTGGGCCGCCAGCTGCACCTTCTCCTCTGCTTCTGGGTGTTTTCGGTACGCCGGAGTTGTCGCCCCTCAAAATGGCGGACACCCTCGACTCTTGGCCATTCTTTCTTGAATCCACCCCTTCGCCAAGGTCAAATTGTTCCAACAGAGCTGATGACCTTTTGCTAGTAGTCTTTTCCATCTCGGGGGTATCTACAAGCATGGAACGCCGTAGTTCTCGAACGTAGTGGCGGCAAAGAGACATATGCTGGGACACATCGAGCCTGTAGGCGGATTAGCTGCATTCGAAGGTCCAGATCCACCGAAAACTTACCAGAAGTCGAGATAGTCCACTGAGCGCTGCTGGTCGCGCATGTAGATGTAGAAGGAGAACAGGTCCACTGGCGCCAGCGTCCTTCTTCCCAGAACCTCCATCAAAGTCGGCAGGCGGTTGCGCGTCTCGACATCTTCGCCTTGGATCCCGTGGTGGTGCGCCATTGTTGTTGTCTGGCTCGGCGCGCAGCCAAGCCACTGTTACTTGGGCTGCTAAGCAGGCCGTTGCTTGCAACAGTAGACCAGTGGTGTCGCAATACTCGCACGGTTTCTTAGATGTGCTGTCGATATCGACCTAGACGTAGTGATTCTGCACGCGAAGTGCGGTAGTCAATTTCAGGTTCGGCGAGGTTGAGGTGAAACGGAGGTGACGTGAGGTTGGTGTGAGACGGCTGTGTAGATGGGTCGATCTTGGTTCATAACGCGGCCGTAGTAGTGTGAGGTTGCAGGGATGGTGCCTAAAAGAATGCAGCGAGCAGCAGCGTGATGTATGCTCTGCAGCGCGAGGTCGATCCTCTTTTCCAGTGAGATGGTGTGGACCAACTTGTGGTGGACGGGGTGCTAGTTAGCACGGAAGGAGAGCACTGGCACTAATTACAGTACGAGGTACTGGGTCGGAGGCTGGAATCTGGGAACTGGACGCGGCCAGGGCAACGCTACACCCGCTTCTGGTTGGCTGGTCGGCATCTCCCACAATCTGCACCTCGCCAAACTCATTCTCGGATGTCAGCCAAACACTTCACAGGCTCCCACACCTGACGATTAATTGTGAGTCGGACTTCCGTCACGGTGTACACACTCCGTTACTATGTCTGCTACTACGGCTTGGAACGACATGTTGCACCGATGAGGCCAAGGTCGGATTCTGCGAGCCTTGTGCTACAAAGAAGCAGATTGAGGCAGGTCATACTGTCCAATGCTCATTCATGACTAAGGTCCAACCAACGCCCGTAATGCATTGTGGGTATCATATCGCATGTAAAACAGTCATCAACCCTCCAGTCACGCAGAATCACCATCCGAACCACCTAGCAGACGCCGTCCTTCCTGCACAAATATCTAGCCAGATTCATCACTCAGCCAAGTGCTGTCGTCCTGTCAGTAAGAAGCACAAAACCATGACCGCTGGAACATAAACATACCGACCACTCTGGAATATTCTTGATCTGCTGCCACATGAACTTCTCCAGCTTGTTCGCACTTTTGGCGTACGGGGTGGTCTCGTTGTTGTAGCGTCGGCAGTTGTCGAAGATCAGCTTCGAATCCTTGATGAAGTCCTCTGGTCTTGGGTACATGTCGTTCTGTAAACGCTCTTCCATCGTTGACAGATCCATCGGCTCCTTGATGACTTCGTAATAGTCAGGCACCTCATCTTTGTTGACCGGTTGAGCAAACGGCCAGGCTGCTGTATGGTTCTGCATGTCATTGAGCAGATGAAGGAGCTGGTTGTAATTCGGTCCGTGCCTGGGTTGTCTGGACAGCTCATCCATCGATGGCGACCAGCCTGATTCTTTGATGGCAGGGATTGACATTGGATCAATCTCAACAATGCCGTTCTTCCAGGCAGCTGGTGGCGGGTGTACGATATGTGATTTGCTCACAGCGCGGATTTTGGCCATTACTGCTTCTTTCTGTTTCTGAAGCATCCGTGGTACTTCGAGATACCGGATCTTGGGAATCATGCTGCATTGCATAATCGTGCCTCCTTCGTAATCTTTGATGTATCCCATCCAGATCGACTTCTCCAACGTGATCTCTTTGGTAAACCCCTGCTTCTTGAAATAGCCAATAGCATAGTTGTCGGCATAGGTTAGGAAATACATGATCGGAGAGGTCGCCTTGACATAGTCCTTCAGATGCGCCATCAGATGCGCCCCGTATCCTTTGACTTGCTGGTCGGATGAGATGGCGCAGAAGACGATCTCTGCAAATTTCCTCGAATTGAAGGGTCGATAGGTGATCCCTCCGACGACTTCGAGTGGCTGCTTGATAATGGCGATGGAGAGATGTGTCTTGTCGTACACGAGTCGAGCAATGTAATCCTTGGGCATCTTAGGCAATTGCTTCTGGAAGATACATTTCAACCCGGTCAGTATGATGTTACTTTCTCTTGAGTTATCGTTGTTGACCACTCTAAATTCGATTCGTCCTTGCTTTTCTTCAAGGGCAGCGGCTTTGAGGGGGAAATCGACTGGCGTCGGAGTGATGAGAGGTTCAGAGTCGGACTGTACAGCCATGTCAGTACCCGTAGTCTGCAGTGCAAACCGCTGGATGAGAGAAGAGCGACGGCGCATACAGCCATGCTCTTCTATGACCGAGACCGACATTGTCGTGTCTGTGTCTGTCGAGATGTTGGAATCCAAGCGATACAGGGCACTGTCGCTGCCTGGCGAGAAACTGCCCCATGAGGGATGATGAAGAGACATGGCAGAGAAGGAGATTTACCTCTTCGTGCTTGACACCGTCGTGTGAAACGGGCGACTCTGTCCTTGCCTTCTTCGAGCGGGAGGACGCCGCGTCCTCTGAAGCCTTGCGCTTCGTATCTGTGATCGCAGGCGGTCAGTAAACCAGACGTACCATGCTGCCGCACCCAGACCACTCACTTTCACCGTTTATAGGCGCCATGACGGCGGGATTAACCAATATACTGGCCGTGGCTTCTTCTTGTGGCAACGGCAAGTGTTCGACTCCAGTCTGATGGAAACGAGATGAGGAGTAATTATGGAGTAGACGCGGAGGGACATGCGGTGCGGTGCGGAAATACTTTCCGCCGCAGTTGCGTTTGTCGCCAGTGAGAGACCACCTTGCACCCTGCGAACGTCCTCTCATACCAACCTTTGCCTACTGAGAGTTAAGTCGCTACTAGGTATTCAGTCAAACTGAGGTCTTCTGGGTAACACGTCAATGTCGCTTTACGAAGTTTGGCAATCCGCCGCTGGCAGCCCTTTCCAGCCCACGGTTGGGAAGGAGAGCCAGCTGTTTGTTGGACTGTCACTGTTGCTCATCGGTGAGCTTCTCCCTCCCAGGCTCTCGAATATTCACTGACATTTGCAGGCGTGATACTCACCGGGCTGTTCGCCTTGAACAAAAGTCCTCTATCATTGCCTATCTTGGGTGTTCCTGCTTCAGTGGCGTTCGGGTACGTCAAGCTTGGAACGAGTGTACACAACCAGTAACATCTTTGTAGATTCGGTGCTGTCTATGCAATCTGTGGATTTGGGGTATACGTCTGAACCCAGCAGATCGAGCGTGCCATCGGGCCGCACCGATTCGAAAGACCACCGCTCTGGCGTCTGAGCTGGCAACATGGACGGCACACCGATTTTCACGGCGGTCTCTACCTCAGCAAGGCAGTTGTACCTGCTACTCCGCTGCATTGCCTTCTCCCAGCGAGCAGAAGTCCAGATCGATCCACATGGCATCCAATTCTCGGTGGAGGAAGCACGAGTTGTCCAAGGTCTGACCTTCCTGGACAAGGCCCTCTTCTCCTCATATAGCTGTAAACTCCCCACCACCGACAGTGACGCACTGCCCACCTTCTCAATCTCAATTACTGCGCTGCTCGAAACCCTACAGATTTTTGGTACGGCGGAAGCATCGTCTTCGGTTCGAAATCCATATGGTGGCTTCTCGTCTTCATATGGGAATGCATTCAGCACTCCTGCTCTAGCTTTGGGCGGCACATGTCGAATAACATATCAGGAGGTTGGGGCGCCTCTTACGATTACAATACAAGAAGGCTCGGTGACAACAGTTTGTGATATGAACACCTACGAGGTTCAAGGGTCCCAGGGCGATGACGGCGGTGTACCGCTGGACCGAAGCAAACTCTGTATGAAGGCCATAATGAGGAGCACCTGGTTAAGTGATGCTATCGCAGAGCTCTCTGGGATGAATCCTACCGTCCTGGTTGTCAATGTCTCCAAACGCTCGGCCCCGTATTTCTCCTTGGAGGGCGATGGTGGTCCATTTGGAAACAGCACGGTAGATTTCACATCCGAGTCGAAGAATGATTCGACGCCGAGCGAGGCAAGAGTGAAACGGCAGCCAATCGTCACGGAGACATTCGTGGTTAATGCGCCTGCCGGGAGCCATGGCAGGATCAGGCAACGGTACAAATTTGACATGATCAAGAGAGCATCGAGGGCGATGGCATCGGCCACCAAAGTGAGCATCCGGCAGGATGAGCAAGGCGTCCTCAGCCTTCAATTTATGGTCGACCTGGGTGATGGTGGTTCTGGTTCTCGTGGGGATGAATCTGCGGCTCTCAACGCGCCTCCGAACCCCGCGAATGTCGCCTACGTCGAGTTCAGATTTGTCCCTCTTCTGGACGAGGAAGAAACCGAAAGCGAGGGTCAGACCGAGGACGAAGAGATCGAGGAACAGGATCTGGACTTAAGTCCGTGATTGAGACCTACCTGATACCCTGTCACTGATCACATGTGCGTCGTCCCGGATCAAGACTATTTCGTCGGGGCTTTTATCCGTCCTTTCTTGCTCTCAAGTTGTTTTTCTTCGAACATTTTCATTGTGAACCCGTTTTGTGATCTAGAGTGCAGACCATTTCAACAGGATTGCTCTGCTCGAAAAGTCCAACCCCTGGCCAGACAGGCAATCTTCTGTCCTGTCTTATCATCCATTCTGATTGACTTCATTTCGAGCTTTACTAGGGCTGTCTATCTGCCTAAACATCTCGATGCTTTGGGACCCATTGATCGAAAGGGCAAGACCGGGTACGGGCGCAACATTCAATTCTCGATTTGTGCTGACTCGACACATGCAGTTTGCAGATCTAAGGTGTATTTGTCGACGCAACCAAATGCCGCAACTATCTTTCGAGCTTTCCGTATCCGAACGAGATGCCGCCCATCGCAAAAGTCGTTGTCGGCCCAGTCTCGATTCCCGTCCAGTATAACATTCCGGACGCCCAACTCTTCAGCCAGAAATGGTGGGCGGAAGCCACAAAGACGAACTTCTTCTGGACCCAGTTCAAGAGATACACTTCTCGTGGCACTATCAACAAAAGAATTGGGTTGGAAATCAAAACCGAAGTCGTGGAAGGTACTCGCGGATTGCAGGTTAAGTCCAATGCAGCAGAAACAGCTCAAGGAAAGGGCCGTCCGAAACAAAAGAAGAGGATGCGGCCTGAGAGCACACCTCTAGCCCCCACACCTGTCGCAACATCTGGGACAGAAGAGGAAACAGACTCTGATTCTGAGGCACATTTCATCGAGGAAAGACTGGAGACTGACGACCTCGGAATTGGAGAAGACATGCCGGGCCCGGGACCTTCTGCACGCCCTCGTCAAAAACCAGCCTATTTTCCCCCGTTTGAATGCACGAGGTGCACCAAAGAAACAGCCTTCAGCGACATTAGCATTGAACATGACGGTACCTTACTCTGCAAGGCGTGCAAAGGCAATGTACCTGAAGTAGCCTCCGGGGATATTGCCGTTGAGATGCCCACCCAAGCAGGCGGACTTTTCGAACCACTAAAGGACACAAGGGCCGCTCTTCTCGAACCACCAAAGGACACAAACGCCAGCCAAGCTACCAAGCCAGAATCCCTCGTCGTCAAGGTGGAGGACGAGAAACCCGAACTACAAGATAGGCCAGCCACCACTGGTGCGGCCACGAAACCTAAGCGACAGCGACAGCGCGAGGACGATGGACGGATCCTCACAATCAACGGAGAGGAGTGGTTGGTCTATGCCGACGAGAAGGGTGACGAGCACGCGATCAAGCTCGGAATGGCTAGCAAGAAGATCAAGATTGAGCTGGACTGATACTGTACTGTACTCAGTCTGACCCATGCCGGTCAAGGCGCCACGGACACGCTGAGCTGGCGAACAGTCGGCTGCCTGCACCTACGCCGAAGATGCTGGACAGAATCTGCGTTCGGTGATCCAGCGAGAATGCCCCCTGCCACGATATGGGTGTACCTCGAGGATCCCGCAGGAAGGTTGATGACGAGTGATGACGGGGAGAAACGACTACAATGGATCAGGAGCTTTCGTGGTGCCCAATCTGTTTTTTGGGCGGAAGCTGGAATCGGGGGGCGACGAACGCCCTTCGGCTTGCAACATATTAGACAGGAGAGCTAGGAGACACGGAAGGCACATCATGATCTGCGTGCAAAGTATTTCTGGTTCCAGTCCCATCTTAGGGTACTTGCTGAACGGTCTGTCCTTTGGAGGCATTCTTTGGCAGACGGCGAAGGTTGCGACGCTGGCAGATCTTCTAGTTTCTTCCAAAAATGAAGTGTTTGAGTTTTGGGAAATATGTTCACGATTTTTCGGTGCAAGAGCAATCGCACTAGGCAATCTACGGTCTTTATGCCGGTGTCAGCACGAAGGCTTGCCCGTCTTGCATAGATTCTCTGCCAAGTACTGTTTTGACGCTCGGGCATCACTTTCTGGCTCGTTCCGGAGAAAATGCCACCGCTTCGACCCTCGGGTAGTCAGGGAGCTTGCTATTACTGATTCGAATGCTGGTGACGTGGTCACTTGGGAAAGCTACAGCCGGACTATCAGCAGCTGTACCCGAAGCCGCAAAGTAGAAAGTCATCTGTGGTGTCCTTGGTCCAGTTGTTGTCCATTGGAGTAGACACCAGGGATGTGCTCGTCGGTTGACACCGGTCAGCATCACGTCGCTCCTCCCAATCTGGGTTGACCTTAGCCTTTTGAAAATTTGGTTCTCTCCATGTATTCAAATGCAGCGCTGTGGACCGTTTAGATTCGGATCTCAGCCACTCAACACCACGCAGAGTAGGCTTCGTGTTGATTTCAAGGAGAATCGGGAATCGGACCATTCAATAGAATATCCCGAAGCGAGGGACGGGTGTTACCCAGACGTTCTGCGACCAGCATGAGTTCTGATATTTGTCGAGCTGAAGGCGCAGAAGAGGTATCCTCGGGCGCCGAAACTCCCAAAGTGGTGCACGTCAGCGATTGAAAACTCTGGTGTGTGGTGTGAGTAGGTCAACAATGGCCTTGTGCCCCTTCTCGCGCGCGATGTCCAGTGGCGTCTGAGCAGGACTTTCTCCCCTTGGCAGTGATCGTACATTCGCGTCAGCGTTGGCCTCGAGTACTTCTCTGACCACATTTTCATGGCCCTCTTTTGCCGCGAGAAAAAACCGGGGTCGCGTCTAGGTCAGCCTTTACATTGACATCGGCTTTGCCCGTCCCGAGTAATAAGTCGAGCGCAACGTCATTCCCATACGAGGCTGCTATATGCAGCGAGGTGATTTTGTACCGAAGTTCCGCATTGACGTCGATGGTGTCCGCATCCAGTAACACCCGCAGGACGTCGAGATGATCACTTGGCATTTCTCCTCTGACGGATGTTGGAATCCCGGGCTGATTAGACATCCGCTGGCAGCACCCGTTGACCGCGAGATGTAGAGCTGTCTCTCCACCTTTTGGTGTAGGCTTATTGACGTCTACTTCGCCTTCCCCTTTGTCGAGCAGTAGCTTCACCGCGTCCGGGTGTCCCTTTTCGGCTGCCCTGTGTAGTTCTGAACCCCGCTGGTCTGTGACGTCGATGTAGGCTGGCCGGCTGTCAATTAGTAGTTGAAGTAAACGTTGTTGCCATTTTCAGCTGCAAGCAAAAGTGGTATTTTCTTCCCAGGACAACCAACGAGGTCGGCGCCTGATTCAAGCAGCAGTCCGGCCGTGGTAACTCTGCCTGCCAGAGGCGTTCGCCCTTGTTTGTCTGGGCAATCGAATTGGTATGAGAGACGGTACCAGAAGTCGTCAATGGCGGATTTTGGCAGCTCAGGAAAGCTGGTCTTCAAGCGGTAGCTGTGCTCTATGCCATTCAATCGATTTTGATAGGCGACCAATAACACCTCGACTATGTCCTCGTGGCCTTCAATGGCTGCCCATGATAGCGCAGTTCGGAAATCCTTGTCATAACGGCCAGAATTGGTGCCGTCAGGCAACAGTAATAGGATGTCTTGGCTTCGCCCCTGCTTTTGCAGCAAGGAGCAAATGCTCGGTCGGAAGTGTGTTCAGACCCGCTTGGCGGAGTGATAGGTTCTTGGAACCCTGCACAAAGACCATTAGGGTCTCCACGATCTTCGCAGGGCAGAAGAAAGTCTTTGCTGTGACTATCTTCCACGGTCCGACGACATTCCCGCTCGAGTCCACTTTGAGTGGAGACTGTTGTCGAGCGTTAGACACGGCCTCACTCCGGGATGCTGGACGGACGCTATGGGAACTACTTGGCGGTAACGAAAGAAGCCTTGAAGGGCACCAACTAGCACCGTCGGACATAGTGAGCAAGTTGTGGAAGAGGTGGTCGTATTCCACGCTTCCGATTTGTTTGACAACCCTTTCAAAGATGTCCTGCTGATGAACGTGGGCGGCTTTCGCGGTTGCGGCTGGTCCGTCCCCTTGCTCCGTAATCAGGTCATCCTCGGATTCAACAGTAGCACTCAACTATAAGCGATGCGATGATCGCTATGTCTTTGCTCCAAGACGTGTATCGACATCGTAAGATGCATAGCAGATCGTCCACTCGTGTAACAGTCTGGGTTCTGAGTCTGTGGATGATCCTTCTACGTGCAGCATGGCGCTCTGTCCGGGGTTTGCAAAGAATATCTTCGTCAAGATCCTTGAGAAGAGGACCTCGCTCTCCTTTGAACAGGACTTTCACAGTACGCGATCTGGCCAACTCCACTGCGGTCCAGCCCTGACTGAACCATGGGGACATGACAATAGCAAGACAAGCTGTCTCGGCGTCTATCCATGGAAGATTTCGCAAAAATCAATCGTGAACCAAGGTGGCTGTTGCTTGTTCATAATTTGCTTGCATGTTTTGGATGGCGAGAGAGCGCACGGCCTTATCAGTAGGTATGCATACTGTATCCCACCATAGTCCGTCGCACTTGAGCTCAATTGCAACCTTTCTGAAGAAATTGAATAGACATTTGTTCACTTCGCCGTGCTGCTCCTTTCCCACTCCAGTACGATCAGACCAGACATGCGAGATCGCCATAAAGTTCTGATAAGGCTGGACAATCCTGCGCCCGTACAATTGCCAAGCGGTGGGCCTCTTGTCCCTCGCGACGCTGTTCAAGGCGTCGCTCGGAAAGAGGTTTGCACCCTCGATTGGTGTACAGGCGACATCCGCACAGTAACGTGACTCGTGACGTTGCTCCCCCGATGTGAAGTTCAGCAAAGAATATTCACAGAAGTCGAAAGTGCATCGATCATGCTTGACTCCGGTTGCTTTACGATCCTGCCTGTGGCCGAAAAGACTGTTGTGTTTAGGCGGGAAGGAGTCTATTGAACTACGGAGTAGCATATCCTCCACTGAGGCAAGCACGTGACCACTTTGCGGTCAGATGGCCGTGATTGGTGGTGACTTCGCCGGGACATCACCGACGTCATCGCTGATATTCTCCCCAGCCGAGAACAAACGACGGTAGCAAGCTGCAACCAGAGGTCGTTCGTGTTCATGCCTCTGTATCTTTTTACTGCAACAACGTCTCCGGCCTTCTTACGTGAACGGCTGCTACGGCCATGAGACGCGCCAGGAGATCCAGGTTACAACAACATCAGCTCCTCATCGTCTCTTCGAAAAGCCCTCAACTCCTACCTTCGCCACGATGGCGTATCTCGCTGAAGACGATGAGACCCTGATGCAGCGCATGGCGTCCAACAACCCAGCAATGACAATGGCCGCTCCCTCGCAGATGGCGACACGCTCAGACTTTCCTGCAAGCCGTCTTGGACGGAGCAACACCGCGGCCACGAGCCAGAGCCTCGCAAGACGAATCACTTCGAGATCAGACCCCGCTGGTGATGGTCTATCACCCATAACCACTGGCGACTCCGCGGAAGAAGGAAAATCTTCTCCTGCGGATGCCGAAATGGACATCTCGACGTCGAAGTATGATGTGGGTTGGAGAAGGGTTGTTCGCAATTTCAGCCCTTCGTGGTTCTCGGTGACGATGGGTACGGGCATCTGCTCGCTCCTGTTGATTACGATCCCTTGGAAGGCAGCATGGCTCTACTGGTTGAGTGTCGCGTTCTTCATCCTCAACTCCATCCTCTTCAGCCTTGCGTTCATCATCTCTTTGCTGAGATATACGCTGTACCCCGAGATCTGGCGTGTCATGATCAAAGACCCCACCATGTCACTATTTCTCGGCACCTTCCCGATGGGTTTCGCCACTCTGGTCGAGTCCTGGATCTTCCTATGCTGTCCCTACTGGGGATACTGGTCCGTGTGGGTAGCGTGGTTGGCCTGGATGCTTGACGTGGTCATCGCCGTTGCGGTCACTGTGTCTCTCCCTTTCCTGCTGATGAGTCAAAGTGACAACCATGGACTGGAAAGGATCACCGCTGCACAATTACTTCCCATTGCTGCCACCATCGTGGCATCCGGAACTGGGAGCGAGGTCGCGGAGCTGCTATCGTCTCCGGACCACGCGTTCGGCACCATCCTCGCCTCGTACGTACTTTGGGGACTAGCTACCCCTCTTTCAATGACCGTTCTGGTGATGTACTACCAACGGCTGGCGCTCCACAAACTTCCTCCGAGGGAGGTCGTGGTATCGTCGTTCCTTCCGATCGGACCCCTGGGAATGGGTGGCTACACCATCATGTACTTAGGCAAGGTCTCCCGCGAGGTCTTCCCGAGGGTTGAGCTCTTTCGCGATCTTGTTATTGCCGGAGACATCGTATATGTACTCGGTGTGTTCATCGGCTTGATCATGTGGGGGTTTGGACTTTGTTGGCTCATTTTCGCCGTTGCGACAATCTACTCGACAAGGCCGTTCCCCTTCAACATGGGTTGGTAAGTTCGCACCTCATATGCGGAATCTCCTCCCGACAGTCTCTCTGACCTCTCTATAGGTGGGGCTTTACATTCCCGCTGGGCGTGTACGCCATCTCCACGATGACCTTCGGCGTGGAATTCCCGAGCATGTTTTTCAAGGTGTTTGGCACGATTTTGAGTGTTGCTGTTATTCTACTGTGGTGCGTCGTCGCGACAGGAACAGCAAAGGGAGCATGGAGCGGAGACTTGTTCTACGCGGTGTGCCTCAAGAATCTGCCGCCGAAGAAGGCGGATGGCGATGTCAAGACCGGCGCAAGTGTTGTGGACAAGGAGAAAATACCCAGCAGTTGAGACACGCAAAGGGCATTTTATACTGATTGTACCAATCCTCACGTCCGCGTCCCCCGGAGAGGACCGAATGCTAGCCACAACCGACATTTGCGTTGTTCTTCGTGCCCACCTTGGTCGTTAATATACACCGGTGGATTGTCACCGCTATCACCAGAGCGGTTGATCCCGACCGTGGCTGACTGGCCATCTTCTCCCGATCTTCTTTCTCTGCCGCCAGTCTTTGAGTGTTAGGGACGTAAGTCACAAATGTTGCCGCATTCGTGGAACGGGATCTGGATACCTTATTCCATTACGTTGTTCAAATTGTCGACGGCCATACTGCGCAAGCAAATGATCACCTCAGAGATGGCGTCTCGATCTTTGTACAATTGCAGAGCTGCACGCCCACGCGTGTACACGCCCGACGCCGGATGGCACCCACAGAATCGCTCAGCCAAAGCGTCAGGCTAACTCGAGATGGCTGCGGCGGAGGCTCTCTAAAGACTTCAAGAAACCAGGCCATATGCGCTGGACTCCGACGTGCGAATTTCTCCTGACGAACGACTTTTAGCATCTTGATGCTGGACCAGGATCGGCCGACTCTGCTAATCACGAGGATGCTAGCCCGCTGTAACGATGACAGAAGCTGCTTCTCGTCTCCTCTCCTGCAGGACTATCCACGCGCTGCTATTGTTGCGTCAGACCCCTGCAGGAGGGTTGTTCATAAGTAGCATACCGGTTGTCTTGGCCGCTGACGAGCTCAACTCGAATCCGATCCTGGTGTTACCACGTCATAGTACGATTCACGCCGGAGTTCAACTTGTCTGAGGGTGGATACGCATCTTATTAAGATGCTGCTCTCTATCCAGAGGCTTCAAGGCAAGTTTAACGGATCAGCTGGTCATGGTCCAATAAACTGCAACTATCCTGCGGGTAGATTTCCACGCCACCGTTGGCCGGAACCTACGTTGAGGGTGAGAGCTCCCACGAAGTTTGCAGGGGAAACGGTGTTGATGATTGATCGTAGGACTTCGCGCAGGTATGTAAAGGATAGAAAAGGTTCTCGACGTCGTCCTCGAACCGATTGACCGCGGAAGTGTAAGGAAGTCGAGTGTATTTCTCTCCCCCTGCAGGTCCGGTTGGGAGATTTTGGGAGTAACGAGTTCGTTTGCGCGCATGGTCTTCTGCCGATTGAATTGAATGAGAAGCTTGCGAGAAAGACCAACCTGCGTTCTCCGTACTATATCATGAATAACGTCCATTCTGCCAAAACGATTTCAGTACGGAGTACATACACAGTAGTCATTCAAGACTGGACCGTCGCGCAGTTATGTATCAGTTACAAATAGCCAAAGAGTGACTCCCCAGCAACGCTCACAAGCCCAAACCAGAATTTTCGGTAGTAGTCCGCCTCGCGAACGCACCTAGAAACGATTTTCTAACAACCAGACTCCGCCCACAGCCATCAAAAAATAAAAAAAAAAAAAAAAAAAAAATCGTGGCTCCCATGAAGGGGCAAAGACAATGAGGTCGTACCCGGGTTCGAACCGGGGTTGCCGGAATAAATTAATATCAAAATCCGGAGTGATAACCACTACACTATACAACCGATTTTTGACCGTCAAAATTGCGCTCAAAAACTATATACTTCATTGAGAACTGGTGACTAATGCCTCTTGCTGAGAGAATGTCACCGCCGGCGCGTCAGGTCAAAGTCGCCCGAGACTTTCCCGCCTCGGCCTGCTTGTCATGATGGCTCATAGCCAGCCAGCCAGGGGTTTGTCTATCTGGTACCTACCTCTTGTTAATTACCGTCACTGCCGATACTTCCAAGCCACAGCGTCAATATACAGTGGTACGATGGTAGGCATGATTTAACAGTATCGCCACGCTTCTAATGTGTTCTGATACAAACGTCTCTCCCCGCTTGTGGACAGCCGAGATGAGACTACTAATTATGGTCGACTCAACTTTCTACGGATGGTGGCTTAGGAAGAAGACCTCGTCGAGTGGACATCTCTCTCTCTCATCATGGTAAGTACAAGGCCTTGAAAACCAGGTGTCAACCAAGGCCAGTCTGATCGCGAACGTCTGCTCGGACAAGTGCATCCGGCCTCTTCGGCATTGGCCTAAGCACAGACAGCGTCCAGCATCTCTTCGTGGGCAATGTACACTTACTTGCTGCGCCCACGTCAGCGACCAGACTGCCAGTGGTTTTGGCATTGCAGACGCTCAGACTAGGTGCCCTTCCTTTCTCTTGCAGGAACCCAGTCTTCAGTGAAGCTCTACTGCTACAGTGCTTCAGTAGACAATGCTAGTGAATGTCCCTTCCTTCGTCGTCAAGAGCACCCTTGCCTACATCTTCGCAACCCGGATTTCTAGCAAGATATTGAACACAGAACTACCCGCTGATATCTGTTCCAAGACCACGGCTCAGGAATGTTGGCTGCGCTTAATGGCGGTCTGTTGTTGGCCGCTACAGAGCTTTCACGCATTCGGAGGTTCATGGACCTCGGACACAACTTCTGCATCTCATTTCTTCATGTCCTGGTCCAGGGGAGTCCGCAATTGCGTTGTCCCCGACTTCAAGTCTTCGCTCCTGGAAGTCCGCTGGGCAGACCTGGCCTGTCTCTCGAATCATTGATCGACACCATGTGGGACCGCAGCGTTGATTCGAATATGAGTCACGATATGTCCAAACTCCCTCCCCTATGAACACCTACCATCCAGCTATAAAATATAGCAGCTGTCTCCCCCTTCTTTGCGGTCCAATCCTGTGCCTCGAGCATTTAGAGCACCACCATCCACCATCCATCTCGTCACATCTACAATGACTTCTCCTCCAGATCCGGAAATGCCCCTCCATACCTGGACCAAAGACGACAAGTACCTCGTCTCGACGGACGCCTCGCTCATCCCCCTCCAGGCCCTCAACACCGCGATCTTCGGAGCCGGTGACTTCACATGGGGTGGCCCCTTACCGGAGGAGCAACTACGCACATTAGTCCAAAGATCGTTGTGTTTCGGACTATACGAACTTCAACGACCACAAGGTAGCACCAGCACCAGCGCCACCCGTTCCTACGCCGAGCATCATTCGTCGACCGAAGAAGACCACCGTCAACACGAACATCAGCACCCAGAATCACATTCCGACCACTCACATCCGCAGCCGCAGTTGAAGCCACAACAACCACAACACCGACTGATAGGCTTCGCCCGCTTCATCACAGACCTCGTAACAGTCAACTACCTCACAGACGTCTACGTCCTGCGTGAACATCGGTCCCACGGCCTCGGAATCTGGCTGATGCAGTGCATCGACGAGGTCTTCGCCTCGATGACACATCTCCGGGGCATGATTCTGATCGCGGACAGGGGAAGTTCCACGGAGGATTTCTACAGGAAGTATCTCGCCATGGGAGATCTGGAGGGGAAGGCATTCTGTATGGATCGTAAGGGATTGGGTGTGGCGGAGCCCGCTGCCTGCCTGCCTGCCTGCCTGCCTGCCTGCCTGCTGTATATAGATTTGTCCTGCGGAGCCGAACGCAGCAGTTAGCGAAAGATAGAGCACCTGCTGCCGGTCCATTGGAGATTTGGTCAGGCTGTGCTCGTGCTGTATGAAGAAGGGTCTGGTCTCTAATCCTACAGTATCCCAGGGCTTCTAGGGCTTCTGGGGGCGCGATACTTGGCGTGATATCCCTTCATCTTTCTTTCCTCTTCATCTTGACGCGCAGGGTACGGAGTAAAGCTGCGGTTCAGATACAGTCAGCTCGATCATCGGGTACCTACTGTTCACGGGTATGATCGGCACTGTACTGTACTGTAGTGGACCGCACATAGTGGAGTCCTTTGCCTAGCTATGCTGGCCGCCCAGACCAGCATTATGATACTGCCACACGTATGAATTCCGTACGAGTACCCCATACGGCGAGTTGGGCCCGCCACTCCCAATTGGAATCGCAGCACAACCACCGTTCATATCGGCAGGGCATCATGTACACTTGTCCACTGTATACAGCCCTTGTGGGGGAGGGATCAGAACACGATATCCGGAGTATTCTAGGGGGACCTCAGACCCACGAGACAGCATGGCATCCCACCGAGACGTGCACAGTATGCCATTGCCTGAGTCACCAATGAAATCATTCATTTAGTCATTACGACCACGCTAATGCGCCAGAGCATCATAAATAGCCTGATACAACCCACACCGCCTATCCAGCAAGTCGGTTTGCGTCCGATTCAGCACCGTCAGGTACGGGCCCGACGCCTTGGGTCCATCCTCCGCCCTCACACCCCCGCCCAGCACGCCCGTCGCATTCGGTCCCTTGGGCCACGCATTCCAGTTGTACGGATCCTTTGCGAAGTTCGCCCAAATGTGCTGTACGTACCGGGACAGGGCTTCCTGGAAGACCGTGGCGTTGGCGGTAGGGTACGTGCCGAGCACGATGCCGATTTCGCTGCTGTGGTAGACTCCTGCGTCGGAGAAGATGTCCGTGTCTAGAAAGGAAGAGATGGGAACGTTAGTGTTTGCGTGCGCAAAGTGCACCATCAACCAGTGCTGTAAGTTAGACAGGATGACAGGTCCAAAACTCAACAAGCAAGGGCACGGGCACAGTCCGAACTTACTGGGGAAACTGGCGTTGTAGTAGTACCTCCAACTTGGGATACCAACCTGGGAGGTCTCCAAGTGGACAAGCCGTGCAGGACACTGGAAGATAAAGTCCCCGTACAACGCGCCGAGCTGTTCAAGTGGGCTGGTGAAGGTGCCGGTATAGACTCCAGACCCTGGCGGGCCGTCGAGAGGGTATGCAGCGAGGAGGTCCGAGATCTGCTGGTCCGTGGCTGTGGGGAACAGACCACGAATGAATGAAGAGGAGTCGTTCGCACTGATGGAGTAGAGCCGACCTTCGTCCGCGTTGGTGCCGCCTAGGATGGGCACGCGGGCGATCTTGGGGTTCTGTGGGGTGGAGCTCAGACGGTTCGAGCGGGCGGCATACGCGCTGGTGACGTTGTCGAACACTGGTGGCCACGTTATACGATTGAGTTCGTTGTACGTTTTGATGGTGGTCGCCGGCACGGCACGCATGCAGGCCAGAATGTCGGTCGCAGATGAACAGTTCATCGCGGCGACGAGAGTTACCCAGGAGGCTGAGTAATTCGCCGGAGCATTACGGTATGTGCCTGTCCCGGACTCCATGATCGCTGCCCGGAAGGTCAGCGGGTTGGGAGGTTGGGTGATCAAGGCGTCCACGCTCTGGGCGCCGGCGCTCTCGCCAAATATGGTGACTTTATCAGGATCGCCTCCGAAGGCAGCAATGTTCCGCTGCACCCATTCGAGTGCGAGTCGTTGGTCCAACCATCTAGAACGGTGTGTTAGCCATCCTGTAGTGGGGGACCAAGCGTCTAGGTACTCACCCCGGATTTCGCTGCGCAAGAGGTACTTGAGGTGAACCAGGGAAACCAAATACATTCGTACGCTACCAAGGTAAGCAAGTGTAAGCACCCACAGCCGGACCTGGGGTTATTAGTCCCTTAGAGCGAACAGAAACTCACGTAGTTCACAACCACAACAATGACATCCTCATGCGCAGCCAACGTAGACCCGTCGTAGTGTGGAAGCGCGTTGGAGCCATAGAGCAAGCCGCCACCATAAAACCATACCATTACGGCCTTTGGTTTTGCATTGTCCTTAGCAATGGGGACATAGACGCAGGCGTTCAAACAATCCTCACTTTCCTGCGGTGCAGGAGTGTTGAACCATTGCAGGATCAGATTCCGGCGACCTTCAGGATAGTTGAACTGTTGAACGCACGCAGGGCCATACTTGGATGCGTCGAATGGTGTCGTCCACGGCGCTGGTGACTTGGGAGGACCCCATCGCGCAGGCTGTCCGGCAAAAGGAACGCCCAGAAAGGCGTTGAGGTCCAGTCCGGTAGAGTTCTCGGTTTTAGTGATGCCTACCACGACGCCAGAGTCAATTGTAACTGTGGGACGCCCATTACTGGCAGGAAGGGCAGAAATAGTCAACGAAAAAAGGACAATCGAGAGTAAGGTGACAGTGAGAGCTGCAACTCGAGCCATTTTGTGAGAGATTTGTCGAACTGAGTGACTTGACCAACACTCCAGAGCTCGGTCGCTCCCCGCTATATAGAAGCATTCCGACCGTGAGGCTTCCTTACCTGTTCCTGACCAAGCTCGTGGCTATTCGTAGCCTTGGCAATGAAGTGCAACGCTGCAAGGCACCCGTGACCTTGTGACGCCGGTGGACAGCTGCATTGCAGATCCTTTGGAGATGCCGAACATGGCGTGCGGGGTGCAGGGCGTCATGGCTTCCAAGCACTTGTGGCACTTTGCCCGGCTCCCATCGCCTGCCGGGTCGCTTGCAGGCAGGATGTGAATGTCAAGTCACAATGCAAGCCATTTGACTATGTGCTGACTGATATGCGGGGTCACAGAAGTCAGGAAAGTTGGATGTAGAGGTCTGCTGTGACTTGAATGTGCCGATGTACGCTAGTGTTCACTGAAGGACGCAAGCGGTTTAAGATGAGGTGTCAGATTTCAGAGACCGAGGCGTCCTCGGCATAGGAGTAGCGAAAGTTTGACAGTATACTGCGTTTGTCCTCATGCCGGACCTGACAGGGCGCACCATTGGCCTGACCGTCATCAGTAGTGCCGCTTTTCGTCCTCGCTATGTAAGTTCACAGCTGGTGCAACGAGCATCACACTCCTCCGGTGGGATGTGTGGGATCCACCCACTTCACTTGTTCAGGATCTTCCACCGGGACGAGGTCTGGGATGTTTACAGCGATGGCCGAGTCATCACTCCTCATCAGGACGCATTCCAGCTCCTCGTGCTCCATCGCGTTGATTTCCTGATGTGGCACGTATGGTGGTACGTAGATGAAGTCGCCAGGCCCAGCCTCCGCGGTAAACTGCAACTTGTCACCCCATCTCATTCGCGCCTTGCCCTTGACGACATAGATCACGCTTTCTAGATGGCCGTGGTGATGAGCTCCAGTCTTGGCGTTGGCATGTATTTTGACCGTGCCGGCCCAGAGTCTCTGCGCCCCGACACGTGCATTCGTGATCGCAGCGGCACGGTTCATACCTGGAGTTTGAGGTGTGTTGGTATCTAGACTGCCTGCGGGAATCACTCGAACACCACTCTCTTTCCAATCATCAGGTGGTTGATCATCTGGCGAGGTGGCCTGGAACAGATGAGCAGGACCGGAATGAGAGTGGTCATGACCATGAGAATGGTCGTGAGAATGAGAGTGCTGTTGTTCGGACATCTCCACTGTGGTTTCTCGTTATTGCTGGGATGATTCTGCCACAGCCTGAGTTGCTAACCTTCTGCTTCAGGTTCTGCAAATGCTTGCTGTGCTTATGGAGCTCCTCGGTCCGTCAAAGACAGGTCTTCTCTCTTTAGTCACAACCTATGCCAGCGCCGTGTGATGGTTGAGAAGCAGATCGTGGGTTAGCTTTCTGTTCCGAGGCCCAATGTCGCAATAAATATGGAGATCATTCGGCGCGTTTGATGGTTTCAACCACAGTAGGAGAAAATACGGCAACGTAGATGGTGAAGACATGACATTTTCAATCGGAAATTGCCCACGGTGTTGATTGGTTTCATGACGACAACGTTCTTCGAGCCTTGTGTGGTCTGAATACAGACCTCACTGAAGACATCAGGTACCTGGCGCAAGCAGACTGTAAACTTCAGCTAGTGTGCCATCTTCGCTGTCTGGATCCCGGCAGAACTGACGTCTGGCTCGCCAGGTGCTCGTTCAGTTTTTGACGTTTCCTTGTGTTCGTCCCTACCCTTTGCCAGCAATGTCTTTCCATCAGCTACGAAGGTCAGCTCTGCCGGTTCTGACAGCTCTCATTGGATCTGGAGCTGTCATCATCGGTGTCTGGAGCTTCATCTCCCCTGCTTCGGCTGCTAATGCCTTTGGCGGGTACATGGTCCGAATTTTGCAGGCGCAAGCGCAGTCCTCGTCGACGTACGAAGACACCCAGGTGTCGAACAACAGTCCCAGTAGTTTCGCATATGTATACCCTCACGGGGTCCGGAACTTTGGTCAGGGACTATCCATCTTGATTCTCACAGCATATTGGCAGCTTTCTTCCAGGTGTCAAACCTCTCATCTTGCCCGTCTAACAGCTCAACGATGCCTGGGCGTGGTCATCACCGTGGGTGCTCTCACGCCCGTAGTAGATGCGTGGGTGAACTACCGGATCGCTCCAGAAGGTGTGGAAGGGGATTTGGACAGGAATGCAGCTCGAGTGCATACATTGCGGACGGGTATCTGGCTCTTAGGCGGCCTCTGGTGCTTGCTCGAGTGAAGGGTGCTCAGACGCGTTACTGATAGTGTTCCGTTCAAATTGGTTGCGGTCACGTTGCGTGCATGTTGACAGGATGTCAGACACGTATCGTTGTCTGCTCTATCTTTCTAAGGTCCCATGATTCACCTCATTGTACGATTTTTTTCAGAGTGACTGGAACCCGACCATGGTGATATTCCTGTGCGGGAGTGATTGGGAAACAGTGCAAGGCCTTGACGCTTGGAGGGAGACTGCGGCGGGGTCGTTTGCGCAGGCAAGAAGCACCTCAGCCTGCGAGCTTGGATGACACTACCACAAATCACGATAACGATGGCGGTGCGAGGGCTGGAAATGCCTCATATGAATTGAAGAAACAGGATAATGGCATCGAGGGCTGTTCTGGAGCCAAAACAACTATGAAATGGGTGCGAGTCACATACTCGAAGCAAGCAAGCAGGACGATCAGTCGGTAGCAGCATTGAAGTCACTAGCTTACTACTCCGACAAATCTCTTCTCCAAGGATGAGCATGAAGCTCACGCAATGATGAAAAGCACGAAAAGCAATGACCAGCAGAGTCTCTGTACACAGTCAGCAGTACAAGAAAGGTGACAATGCTGAGGTCCCGACGCCAGCAGAGCTGTAACGCACTCCGCCAAACCCACACTCTCAGCTGCCCGCGGCCTTGACCCAGCAGAGCGGAAGATTTAGGCGAACTGGATCCCACTATCTCTACTGGCACGGGGGAGAGTGCACCTCGAGCAGTTTTGAGACTTACCTGGGCTTCATTCAGAGACTCCCGAGGACCCGCCACCACCCGGACCTCTGAGTCCAGCAGCGACACAGAGAACATATTCTCACTCGCAGAGCCCTGCATCGCTGTCAGATTCACGCAGTGATGAGATTGATGAGAGGACAACTTACAACTAACAATGGAAATTAGTACGGTGAGGTATATGTTCGGCCGTGAGCGACTGGACCAGAAGTCCGCCTCAGATTGGGAGTTGAAAAGAGAAGAAAGAAAGAGTTGAAAGAGAAGAGGGAGGGAGAGAAGAGGGAGGGAAAGAAGAGGAAGAGCTTGCGGATCTTTTGAGGACGAGAGAAGGACCAGGTCTTGGCACTGATCACGAGCTGCGCAGTGAATTGCAGCCGCTATTGCTCTTCATCAGATCAGAGGGGACCTGGTACCCAATCGCAGTGCTCCATCAACATGATCATGCTAGCCAACCCTACCACAAGGGCCACGGAAATGTGATCCGATGTCGATTGCGCAGTGCAGAATTCTCCGGGTTGAGGACCTGGTGAAATGCAATTGGTCCTGATCTGTCACCTTTGGACCATTGCCGCATCAGCCATTGTGGCACGGGCTTTTCAGCCAGGCTTATCAGCCTCACGCTGTCAAATGTCTACCACATGGACAAGACACAGCGAGCAGCACAGCATATCGGTATGGTCTTTGTCAGTTAAGACTGTGCTGACTTTGTGAAGGTGCAATCCGCTCATGGGTGTCACAACGAATCAAGTGCGCAAACCGTGAGCGATCAGAACAATTGTATCAAACGTGGAGAGCCGAAACACCTGCCCTACTTGGAGCTGTGCAGATTTCCACAATAGTCGAGCTGCCAAGTCACCATCTTCGCAAGAACCAATTCTAGCCATAAGGCAACCTCTCCGATGTTCCACGGGCCAATACCCGAAGCAACGAGGATGAATGTGATGGATTCCAATTGTGCAAAAGGAGGTTACTTATACTTGCCGTTCGAGAACGGAGAAGGCGGCCAAGCAATCTCAAAAACTACAAGTCATGCCCTTACCTCTAGCTTGCCTTTGACGGCATTAAGTTCTTTTACTCGAGGGACACCACATCCAGAATCCGTCACCGCCCTGAATAAGACATTGCTGCTCTAGTGAGGGACATAAGATGGCAGGGAGTTCGAGAAAAGGAGATTCTCCGCTGTTTGTTAAAGAGCAGAACAAATGGTAGCTCATGGTCATTTCATTCATGAGTGGAGAGGTGACTGGGTCCATATCTATATGAGTGGAGAGTTACAATATCCTTCTGGGCGTGAACCGATATGTGGCAACGAGCTCAAGCGCGTAGGAAAGCAGGAGCACCTGCCTCCCCCTTGATACTGCGCGAGCACCAATCACCGCTTTCCAGTAAACACGCCTCCTCAGCAGTGACGGGTTCAAGCGTGTTGGGCCAATCCAGCCAGTCTATAGCCTTCATTGTTGCGAGCCGAACTTGAAATGAGTCCGCTCCTGTGAGACCAAGTCCAATATTAATCGTGGCTCAGTACTGATAACACCACCAATTCCTTCTCTACTCAAGGGTATCAATCCAGTTCATCCCCTCGAACACCTCCATCATCTTATAGCAAAGATCCATGTCGTCTCCTGGCTCACCACCAAACAACTTGATCTGTTCTGCCTCGATCGTGGCAGCCTCTCGCCTCTGAGCCTTTTCTCGGTTCTGCCAGGCTGTATATCTGTTGTACCAGTGCCTGGAAGCGACGTTGGCGTCAGGGTTTCGTAATGTTGCCGGCAATAGAGGCGGCCTCAAGTCACTACTCGAATGAGAGGCTGAAGGGAGAATGGATGACTCGTATATAGTTGATAAATCGTCTGGTATGTCGAAGGTCGGATTCAAAGTGCTGTGGTTGCGGTTGCGGGGACGAACCCTTCGGCGATTGTGTTTGTGTGCCATGATGAGCTGCAATTGTCTGGTCTTAAGGGATTATGGATAAAGCTGTCTTTGGGGTGAACGAACGGCAATGGATTAAATTAGTAGCAAACAAATACAACGACACAAGCAAGCAGGGTACGCAAAGGAAAGATATATGTCGGGCAACACCTGACAGGTGTGTCTGGTGTTGCCTGTACCACATGAGTCACATGGAACAAACCGTCACCACAAGAAAATAGCACCACCAAGCCAAATAGCATGCTGAATGATGGGTATGCCTGCGTTTAATGACAACCAAACAGGCAGAGCGAGACTTCGTCGTTCCAGACTTTAAGAAACACGTGGCGTGGCCAGGCCGATGAGAAGTCCGATTAAGAGTTCATGAGTCATGAGAGGTTGAGAACATTCGTATGAGCCACAAACGCGAGCAGCGCGTGATCTGGTGGCCGGAGAAGGAAACAGTCCCGAAAGCTCGTTAGAGTCTAGATCTGGGTGCCTGACCAGATCGAGTAAGCCGCAAAGACAGGTGTGCTGCGGTGCCTGTTGGTGGAGCATGGCAATGAAATGGTTTGAGTTGACGAATCTTTGCCACCATGTCTCTGCTGTTTTGTGCCTGCAGGAAAACCTCCCGAAATTCCGAAGACGGCAGGGCGGAACAAGCGGCCAGATAGGCAATAATGGTCCACCGAAAAGCTGGGGAAAGACAAGCTCCACATCAACAGCCGAGGCTTTTCGCCATTCGATTCGATCATCATCCTTAAACGGTCTTTTGCCGAAGCTCATAGTGAGACGATTTCGTTTCTAATCGTTTCTTTCTGTCTGTTTCTATGTGCCTATAGGAAGAGGTCTGAATACATACGCGAAGAGCTGTCCACCAAGAAACTCACGCCTGCGTAGGATACCAGAGGACAACACCATGACTTCAACAGCAGATCTCCGGGTCTCGTCGCTGTTTGATTTTCACAACCATGTCGTCCTGGTGACTGGAGGAGCCACAGGGCTGGGAGAAATGGCCGCTCAAGGTTTTGTCCAGAACGGTGCGAAAGTCTTCATTGCCAGCCGCAAAGAATCAGAATTGAAGAAGACCGCGGATCGTATAAATGCCATCGGGCCGGGCAAATGCGAATACATCGTGGCCGACCTGAAAGACAAAGCCGGGTGTGATGGGCTTGTCAAGGAGATCAAGAAGCGCACCGACCGGCTGACAGTCCTGGTCAATAACACGGGGGTCACTTGGGGTGCCCCGTACGACGACTTCCCTGAAAGCGGATGGGACAAACTGATGGCATTGAATGTCAAATCCATCTTCTACATGACCGTTGGGCTGCACGATCTGTTGCTTAAGGGCACCAACGCCGATATGCCGTCACGAGTCATCAATATCGCCTCGATGGCTGGAATTCAGACCACCGATGTTACAGCTTCCGGAGATGGAGGGCTTTCAGCTCCAGGCCACGGAACCTACAGCTGTACGTTTGATTCGGGGCTTGAGCGATAGATCGATACTGACTTTCCTTCTAGACGGTCCTTCGAAAGCTGCTTGTATACACCTCACCAAGATACAGGCGTCCAAATTGGCTCCAGTTAACATCATGGTGAACTGTATCTGCCCGTAAGTCTCCCCAGCTGTATAGCTGGCTGTGTCCGCTAATATGCATGTGCAGGGGAGTCTTTCCGTCGCGCATGACGAATTTTGGCATCCAGAAATATATGGATACTTTGTTGGAGCGACAGCCTACAGGTCGAGTGGGAAAGCCATCAGACTTTGCAGGGTTGGTGCTTTTCCTTAGTAGCGCTGCATCGGCTCATATGACCGGTAATGTCATCGAGATTGATGGTGGCAGCAATCTCACTGGATGGAGAGCGAAGAAGAGGGACACTAAGATATAGATCCTGAGGAAATTGCAGCACTTGGTTTCAGCCTTACAGAGCGGAAAATAGACATGGTCAAGGAGGAACCCGCAGGGTTGGACGGAAGAGGGATCTGACACCATCTGAAGGGCATCTGCGGCAGACCCTTTATGTTAAGCGATCCTTCTTGGCAATAGTCATTGGTTGGTGAGCTGAAGTTTAGCCCGAGGAGTGACGGAGCAGCGACGCAGCTTGGGTTTCCTTCTGGGCCCGGCCGTCACCCGCTACGTTTCATCCGCCACAGCACAGAAGCACCTTCTGTCTGGACTCCCCGATTCCTCTCTGCTGGGTACTTCTTCTAAAGTGCCAGAGAAAATGTTGGCATTGTGCCTATACCCTCGTCTTGACAGCATCGCACCTGACTGAATCGCCTCGTCTAGTATCATTATACGAGACCCTGACGGTTGCTGGGCACAACTACGATCGGCCAGCACCCAAATCTGCCCTGCCACAGCCGTCATTCGATCGATTAGACGACCCTGACCAACTGCATCCCCCGCCTGCGCCATTTGACCTTTTGACCTAGGCCTCGCATTTCGGCTTCCACATCACCACCTTGCCACCCTTTGACGTCTATTCCAACTTTACTCTACCCTCTCCCTTACCATCAGCAAGCTCATCCTCTGAGCGATGCGTCCTGGCGCCGAACGGCTTCAACATGAGCTATTCGCGATGACATTCGGAACCGCCCTTTCATCATCTCCTACGTCGATAACCCCAGAACCGACCTCCATCACCTCTACTTCCTTCGATGATCACAATGGTTGGCGGGGAGGTGTTCGCCCGCCCTTCAGATCAAATCCTGATGGCTCGCCCACATCTATCGTTATAAACATCAGTGATGGCGGTTCAACGGGCCGAGGGATTCTCATCGGTCTGCTTTCCGCCTTTGGCTCTGCTGGCATTGCAATTCTGGTTCTTGCAATCTTCTTCTTTTTCAAATATACATCTCGAGGTCGGATCCTGTTAGATCGGCTAGGTAGGCCTGGCGAGTTTGACGATGAGCAAGCGTTTGCGCATGAAGAGGCCGAGGCCTTGGAGACGATGGATGAGTTACAAAGGACGGAGTATTTAAGAGCAAAAGGTAGGCATAGTCATGTTGACCCAATGTCGTTACTTGGAAGTCTAACCTTCGCGCAGCATTTGTGCAAGCGAACCCTCCGGAGTCCGTGCAGACGGATATCTCACTGTCGCAATTCCTCGCCATTCAAGAAAAGGGTGTATCCGCCTGGGAATTTGAACCGGAGCTAGAAATCGCCAATTGTTTCGTCGAGGCGAGGACAGAAATCGAGTTCTTCGACTCGGAATGCAGCGTCCAAAGCAACTTGCCAGTCCCCAAACAAAACGAGGTATACTATTGGGAGGCCAAAATCTACGATAAACCGGAGAGTAGTCTGATCAGCATCGGAATGACCACGAAACCATATCCTCTGTTTCGATTACCTGGTGAGTCAATAGGGATGTTTAACGTTGCACGGGGGCTAATAGCGTCAGGTTTTCATAAAACATCAGTCGCTTATCTCTCGACGGGCCACCGTCGGTACAACCAACCATTCACTCCCAGCACGTATGGCCCTGCTTATGTGCAAGGTGACGTGATCGGCGTGGGCTACCGGCCGCGAACCGGCAGTATCTTCTTCACCAGGAATGGCAAGAAGCTGGACGAGATTGCGCACAACCTGAAGAGCCAGAATTTCTTCCCAACGGTCGGTGCCAACGGACCCTGCCATGTGCATGTAAATTTTGGGCAGATGGGCTTCGTGTTTATTGAAGCAAATGTGAAGAAGTGGGGATTGGCGCCAATGACTGGGAGCCTTGCACCGCCTCCGCCATACGGCAGTGAGCAAGGTAGTATTCTGCTCGAGACTGGAAGAGAAGGAACTCGACAGTCGACATACGAACCCGGCCATTCAAGGACCCGCAGTGGTTTGGCGAGGCTTGGACTACCAGCCGGCAGCCCAGGTCCGGTTCGATCTCCCACAGATATATCACTGGCACAACTGGCCCATGTATCGACGCAGGATCTCCCCAGCCAGGGCACCACCTATTTCGACATTGGTGATATACAGCACCAGCCGGTGGAGAACACGCCAGCCGGGCAACAGATTATACCGCCACCAGAGTATTCCAGCCCAACTGGCAGTCGGAGGAGCAGCGGCGATGGCGACGATGATGAACGGCAAGGGTTGCTGCAAGTCGGGGGACCCCCAATCCCTACCTATGATGCTGCCATAGGAGAAGCAGCAGGACCCAGCCATATTTGATGAAGATACCCCGAGCATGAATTGATTATTCTTTACGACGATTACTTGTATATGACTTCCATCTCAAGCTCGAATCCGAACTGAGCCTCGTGTGACCAATGCTGGGCGATGGCTCTTCCATACACGGCTGAAACATGGCAAACAACTGTGGGTGTTTGAACTCGTAGTCATCAGCCATCGAAATGAACTCGGCGGAAAACCCAGATATCGGAACCGTCCAGAGCCGTGAGAGCTTGTCAAAGGCATTCGTCGTGCATGGTGTGCATACCGTAGCCAATCGATATGCAGGTGAACTTCCTGGAGATCCGGTTATTGACGCAATGGTGCGCTCGCTTGCCTTTGCCTCGTATGCAGCTTCCGTTTGAGCCCTAACGCGATCCTCGACCTGCAGCACAATCTGGGGGATTGGTAAACGCCTGCGAAGCATTCCCCGTTTGTCGACTAAGAGCTTGTGGGCTCGTGTACCAACATGGTTTTCTTAGCACCGCGCTTTATTCGTATTCTCATCCTTTGACGGTTCTGATCCCAAAAGCGTCGGGCCTCTCAACCTAAATAATGTCTGTGTTGAGGCCGCAGCCTCACATTCCAATGCGCGCATTTGTACTGAACCTACAATGAACTGACATACTTGTTATTGACAAACAATCTCCAAGGCCTATCCGCTGATTCCTGCCCCTCTTCATCGACGTCGCTTGCTCTCACGATCCTGGCTCCAGGCAGAAGCACTTAGCCGAGACCTCTCCCGAACCGTTCGTCGAGATACCTGGCTCCGAGGCCGCGCACAAAGGGTTTGTGTAACGAGCCACTGGGGTCAATGAACAAAGGATATTGTGCAAAACAAACCAATGACGGGAAACAATAATGCTTCGCACGACACCGGCCCGGAGCCGCGCGAACTTGGGTCTAAGGATGGTGCTTCTTTCCAGGTCATAGTGCTGGTGAGTCAATCTTGACTGACCGGAGAATGGCGCAACGTCTTACCCAGCTCATTAGGGATCTACCGGCGGACCGCGCGAAGACAACATCACCGGCTTACTTGTGAGAGCGCCACAGACAGAATGGCGCAAGGGTTCCATGATCGCAGTCGATGCAGGCGTCCACCTTGCCAGTATGGTTCACATCCTTCACAGAGACATGCCATTAAGATCAGAGAAACTGCCGCCCCCGGGATACTCGAATACTCTCAAAGAAGGGCCCTTTGCAGGCCTTCGTTTCCCACATATCAGCGCGAAGGCCAATGCGCTCCATATCTTTCGAGAAATCCTTCATGGCTTTTTAATTACGCACCCGCATCTCGACCATCTCTCGGGAATGGCCATCAACACCCCAGCCCTCGAATACGGGCGAGAAGCGAAAGCAATTGTTGCTTTGCCCACGACGATTGAGGCTATCAAGAACCACATATTCAATGACTGGCTCTGGCCAAACCTGTCCGACGAAGGACACGGCGTCGGCTTTGTCACATACAGACGCCTGATAGAGGGGGGCAATCCTCGTCTCGGTCTAGGCGAGTCGCGTGGTTATGTCAACGTGTGTGACGGTCTTGCCACAAAATGTTGGAGTGTCAGTCATGGCAAATGCCAAAGGCGGGCACACAGCAGTTCGCACCAACACAGCGACTCTTTTGGGTACATGCCCGACTACAATTTCCCGTCTAGAAGACTCTCGCGCATATCGGATGATCATGGCTATTTCACGGTTGTGGCTCAGCAGCAATCCCAAAACGCCGGTGCATATGTGTCAGCGCCAAATCAGATACCAATGCCCGCGGGCCCTGTCACCCCCGGCATCGGGGGAGGACCGCTAGCCTCGAGTCATATGGACAGCAGCCACATGTTTGAACCGGTGCCGAGCTCAGCATTCTTCATCCGGAACGATGCCACAGGGAATGAGCTGCTCATCTTCGGAGATGTCGAGCCCGACTCCGTCAGCATCTCTCCTCGAAATCACATAGTCTGGGATGATGCAGCCGGGAAGGTAGCGGACGGAAAGCTGAAGGCAATCTTCATTGAATGTTCATACGATGACAGTACTCGTAACGAGGATCTTTATGGCCACTTATGTCCTAGACATCTCATCGCCGAACTTGTCTTCCTCGCCAACTGTGTGATTAGCAGGCGGAAACAGCGGACCACCAATGGCTCGACCGCTGCAGATGGTCAGGTCTCCGGGAAAGCCCTCGATGCTTCGACGAAAGCCCCCGACATGACCATGAGGCAACCACCGACGCCCTTGGAACTGAAAAGGAAACGCAAGAGAGCCTTGAACAGCGGTCTGACAACAACCCCTGAACCCGGACCCACGAACCTTGACGCTGCACCACCTTCGCCCATCGCCAGCAGCTATGTGGGCACCAGATCTGGCTCCTCTACTCGCAGCAAACAGTCTCACGAGCCGCGTGAGTCAGGCGTCGCGGCCCCGCCTCACACGCCAGCCCGTGGACGCAATGTGAGCTTTCACACCGGCTCTGTGGCACCTTCTATTCCAGCCTCAACAACCCATCAGCGCTCTTCCTCACTTCCAGGCTCAGCCACTTACGCAGAAGAGAAATTGCCTGAGCCGCTCCGGGGCGTGACGGTGCATATCATCCATGTCAAAGACACAATGATGGATGGGCCCGCCCCAGGCGATGTTATCGTCTCAGAACTCAGGACATTGAGCGATGAAGTCGGCTTGGGCTGTGAGTTTAATGTGACGAACTGTGGTGACAGTATATGGATATAGTGTGGATGGACTACGGAGTACTCGTACGTTGTTACAGGCTAGGTTGCTGTGTCTCGGACCGATGCCCAAAGAAGGTCTATCATTCAGAATCGAAAAGACGGCCTTGGAAAACATGAGTTTTTGTACAATACACATGCCGACTCTATTGCTCCTGCCTCCAAAATCGGGGTGATGTGTATCATGGTGGTTCCAGTCTTTCTTGGAGTACGGCGGTGGATGTCGGATTTTATTGAGCTTCATTAGTTGCTGGAAGCATTCTGTCGAATATTGACACGGCGTTCTATTCGAGCTGGACTGCCCGCGATGGCCATCGCGTCAACGAACGATCGACCACATCACTGTTATTCAACGAAAATCCAGTCTGACCAGCGATCGGCGCCACCAGCGTCTACTGTGGTACATAGTAATTTGTCCCAAACTACACAGTTAGCAGCACCCGTACCACGTTCACCAGGCTAGCGTATCACACGTGTACACAGTACTGTCTGTTTGGTGTGCTGATCTACGCAGACTCCGCCGCCCATCGGAGTGACGCAGGAGGACGGTGGCGTTCAGCCACAGGTGCCGGGGATGTTGAAAGCTTGACACAAGCTTGGGATGCTTGTTCTTGGACTGCTCTCCCCACGAAACAGTGTGCTCGCAGGGTCACCTGCCATAATAATCGAGTATTATCAGAAGCACGTGGAGGCTAGAAGCTTACTGTAGGATGTCCTTGTTACTGTGACCAAGCGATCAGATGCTTCTCCATGTGCTCTTCCATGTGTTTTCCCTTTCATCGCGATTTGTTCAGACATCTACGGGAGATCCCTGTCACGGTGGAGCTCACTAGCCACAATTCCACGTCATCCGAACACTTAGCGTGTGACAAGATTTCCAAGTTTGCAAGCGTGCCGCAGGGATCTACATTCAACCCCAATCGCACGTTAGACCGCTGCCAGTTTCGTGCAAGCGATGGTGCTGGACGTCCAAAAACAAGGCAGGGGCACTGCTCATTCCAGTAGAACAGTTTCATTGAGCAAGCTAGCATCATTCCCACTGCGTCATCCTGGAAGAGAGCACCGTATTTTGTAGAATGTGAACTACTTGAACTCGATCAACGCGCTTGCCTTCACTTCTGCTTCACCTTGAGGCAAGCAGGTGCGACCGTGAGCTTCTGCGGTGAGCGAAATCAAAGCAGCTTCTCTTCATCCTTCAACTCTTCATCTCTCTTCGTCCCCATTCTCAGCCACAACTATTGCACAGTTTCTCTCCTTGTACCTGATAGCGATTTGTATTGTCAAGATGGGCCTCTTTTCGAGACGACCTCGTGGCACAGCCGCAACTGGCAATACCACGAACGGCGAAGCTCACCGCAATGAGAAGAGAAGCCGCCAGCCTTTTGATGTCGACTCCGGCAACTTCAACCGCAGACCCAGCTTCGGACAATGGTGAGTTGCAGGCCTTCTGTGCGAGTGCATGAAGAAGATCTGACAATCGTGCTCTCTAGGCTCAAGTTCACCTGGCTCGATCTCTTGACGATGGCCGCCATGGGCGCAATCGGTCTTGGTGTCTACGAAGCCAAACCAGCACCGAGCCGATCGTTCCCAGTGACCTTTTCCGACGGCGAGATCGTCTACCCTGATTTTGCCTATCCCCTCCGTCACGAGATTGTCCCAATCTGGCTTGCCGCACTTCTTGCCTCCTTGATTCCCATCTTCGTCTTCCTGGTTATGCAATTCCGCATCCGCTCTTTTTGGGACGTCAACAACGCGGTCATCGGTCTCCTCTACGCCCTCATCGGAGCTGCCGTCTTTCAAGTCTTCATCAAGTGGCTTATCGGCGGCCTTCGACCACACTTCTTGGCCGTCTGCGACCCGGATCCAGCATTGATGGGTGCTCACCCGGGCTCAGGCTATGAAAGCATTATGTTTCAGCGCAATATCTGCCGGGGCGATCCCAATGAGATTGACGACTCGCTTGAGTCCATGCCGTCTGGCCACACCACTGCCGCCTTTGCCGGATTCCTCTTCCTCTACTTCTACCTCAATGCCAAGCTCAAGGTCTTCAGCAACCACCATCCAGCGTTCTGGAAGCTCATTGCCACCTACGCTCCTATTCTTGGTGCCTGTCTGATCGGTGGTGCCCTTACAATCGACGAATACCACAACTGGTACGATGTCTTGGCTGGTGCCGTTATTGGCTCAATCTTTGCCATTTCCAGCTACCGCATGGTCTACGCCTCGGTCTGGGACTTCAGATTCAACCATATCCCGCTGACTCGCCACACACCATTTTCCTACGGGGCAGGCGCTGCTGGAGCTGGAGGATTCGAGACTGCTGTTTTCACCAGACAAGCTGGTTGGGGCTACGAAGAGCACTACGGCGGTGCTCCTTTCGACGCTGCACACGGGCTTAGAGGCCAAGCGGCTGGCTTTAACACGGGCCCAGTGCAGCAGGAGCGCTATCTGCACAAGCCTGAAGGCGATGTTGAAGCCAATGCTGGTCTTCATGGAACACACGGCTTCACGAACGGTACATCATCTGCTAGAAACTCGGATGCTACCATGACCGGAGGGCCTCATTACAACCACGGCAGCCTCGGGCGCAAGCCGGTACCTACCACGGTCTGATCGAACTTATCGAACTTTTTCACGAAAACCCATACTGTTGACGGGAGAATGTCTTGTTGTAGAAATTGCATGGAGGGAGCATGGCGTCAGGTTGGAGCGAACCGACGAGCCACTTTGTGGCATGCGGTGAACCCTTTAGCAAAGGACGTGTGTAGCATCACATGAAGTAGCGTGTACAGATAATGAAAAGCACTTGTAATTGTCTCTATACTTGTCTTCCGAATTCTCTGCCACATACCATGCCGTGACTCGTCATGAGATGACTGACCTCTCTGCTTGTTCAACGTGTTTTGGGCCCGTCATGCTCCTCAGAAGTCAAAACCCTTCCAAGAAGACTATCCTCTGCGCCTTAATTCGTGAACACTAGTTCCACGTCCTGGTTACCTCTCCTCATCCGCTGAATCATATTCCGTAACTCATCACGACATGACCGGTCTCTCTCCTTGTTCAACGTGTTTTGGGTCCGTCATAATCCTCACAAGTCGAAATCCCCCCAAGATGATCCTCCTCTGCGCCTCATTCGTGAACACCAGTTCCACGTCCTGATCTCCCTTCCTCATCCGCCCAGCCACACAGTCTTCCTCCGTAGCCCACACGAAATCGACATGCTCATTCGGATCCAACCTTACATGGGGCGGCTGCCACAGTGGCGGTGGCGCCGACGCTGCTCCGCCCACTCCATCCACATTTACGTCCCCATGATCGACACCGACCTCGACGACAAACTCAAACTTACACACCGTCTTCCCACTTCTCGTCCAAAACACGCGGCCTCCCGTGCGGATGAGGCCGAGGATCGACGTGGCCACGAGCCCGGACTCCTCCCATAGTTCGCGAGCACAGGCGTGGAGGATGCTGCTGTCGTCGGTGTCGCATGCGCCGCCGGGCGGTTCCCAGCGAAGGGGCATGCTGTCGTGCGGGGAGCGGCGGAGGAGGAGGATGCGTGGGGATGGTGATGGTGAGGGTTGTGGTTGTGGTTGTGGTTGTGCTTTTGGGTGTAGTTTTGGTTCCGCGTCTGGTTTTGGTTGTAATCGTGGTCGTGGTTCCGGTTCTGGGTCTAAATCTGGTTCTGGTTTGGAGGGTTGCTTGGTGACGTCGACATTGACGTCTGTACGCGCGGTGAAGTCGACGTGAGAATTGGCGTGAGAGTCGACGTGAGAGTCCACGTGAGATTTGTTGTGAGATTGAGATTGAGAGTCGGGGTCGAATCGGGCAAAGACCAAGGCCCCAACAGCGACGTGTTGGTAGTCATACTCGTCCTCATACTCGCGCGGATTTTCGTGTCTATGCGCATGCGCGGGCGCCGCGCTCGTGCGCCGTGCATTGAGCCGGTTGGCGATATATGTCCTGTAAGGGACGGTGAAGGGAGAGAGCGATGCATGGGATGTGAAGTTGAATGATGGTGTTGAGGCGGTGTCGACTGCGGATGTAGATTCGGACTTGATCTTTGCCATGTTTTCCTTGGGCTTTGCTTGGGTCGTCGTGGTATCGGGCACGGAGTAGAGGAATCAAAAGTAAAAGTCCGCTATGTGGAAGGGCCGACCTGAAGCTGAAGTTGTATCTATGTAAGCGTCGAGAACGACGATGGACGTACTGTGGTAGTAGTGGGTTCAATCTAAGGATGAGCGTCGAGTGATTTCATGACGGCTGCCTGTTGGGAGGAAACTCTTTCTTCGTAAATGAGCCTTCACGAGGCTGGCGTGAAGACATCGTGTCAGAGATACATACAGATACGACAAGCGCAGGTGCTACAAGCTCTGGACTCCGAACCATGTTTGTCGCTGAACTTCAACAACGCGAGTCTCGTCGGTGCTTCAACAAAACACCATGCGGAAGCTCAAAAGCAGCGTCGCTGAAACCCGCTTCCAAGGCCGGGTGTGTCGCCGCCGGATTCCACGACAATCCAGGCTCGTGCCAACACCACTGCATCTCAGCCGACCACACACATGGTATATGCATGGTTTTGGTGCCCGGCAGCTGCTCGATCGAAAGCCGCCATTTCCCTCCTCAAGCCATCAGCTCGTCAGGGTGTCAACTCGCGTCCCGCCTTCCGAGAGACTGTACGAGTGCAGCGTTGAAGCAGAAGATCCGAACAACTACCACACAGGCCGCTACTTTCCAGTGGCACTTTGGCGACCTCTTCAAGGATGGCAGATTCCGAGTTCTACACAAGCTAATTAGCCACTGTCTGGCTGGCAAGAGACACGCAGTGTGTTGTGCATCTCCGTTGTAACCGCCTTGACTGAACGGGAGGGACCAGGGACAACTCGAACGTCGCGTTGAAAATCGTCAACGTCAACATCAACGACCGTGAGCTGCACATCCTACAGCACCTTCGAACCTCATCCGTCGCTAAGGACAACATTTCCCATCCCGGGCGCAATGCGGTCGTAACATCTCCTCGACGACTTCGGCCTTGGCAAATCGCACAGAGGTCTGGTGCTAGATGTCATGGGAGCTGACCGTGCAATCCCGGGCTGGCGCTCAACATGCAAATCGACTGTCAGGGGAGACAGCTAGAAATATAGCTCAGCAGGTGACTAGGGTTAGACTATCTATGGCAATGTGGTATGGGCGCATGGAGGTGAGTAGTTACTTTCCCAGAGCACTACGATGTTTGTTTTTACCAACACCACTGATATAATTCAAGATTTATATTCCGGGAACATACTTTTTACAGCCCCAACGATCGCTGCACTGCCGGAAGAGCAACTAATGTCCCGCCTTGGGAGGCCGAGAACTGGTCCAGTCACCAGAAGGGATGGTTGGTGTTTGGGGGCATTCGGTGCCATCATATCTGGTCAGTCCAAAGTCGATTCGCGGGAGTGATCACGAGGTCGAGATCATTGGATCTGGGAAATGGTACGTTCACGTTCATCTTGGCGTCTCCACCGAATACTGACCTTGGCGAAGCATTCTTCCACAACAGCCCACCACGGCACCTTGCCACACCCTGGCACGTTCGAGCGCCAGAAGCCATTTACGGTCCAAGGGTTAAGCAAATACGTGGGCATGGGGAGCATGGGATGCTTTGTGAGTATTCTGAAGGCGTCGCCACACACTGCGTGTGGCTGACGCACTGCAGCTCTTTGAGTTAATAACCGGGAGAACGTTCATGGATGCTTATCTGGCGGACAGAAACAGCATGATAGACGGACTTGAAAGCAGTTCTCGGCTCGCCACCAGCAAAATGGTTGGACGACCTGGATACCGAGACGCGGGAACTCGTCACCCAGGCGCTGCACACAGGATATGACTTTCGCCCGATATTTCCAGCTCAACTACGACCAGGATGATGATCAGTTATTAGACTGGTGACGATCCGGATGAGGATGAGATACCCCCATTGAAAAGTATGGCAAGTTCGCACGCGAGTATACGGACGAAGGGTTGCAGGCTCTATCTCGTGTCCTTTCTAGGCTTTTGCGCTATGACCCGACATCAAGAGGAACACCGGAGGATTTGCAGGATGCTCTGCAGTGCATAGAAAAGGCACGGCGGGTCGGTTTCTGACGTCGAGCCTCTTCAGGACAATTCCTTCTGAAATTGAACCCATGACTGTTACCGAGCTTAAGCGCCTTGTCTCTGCAACTGCGGCCTCGGGAAGCAGCGATAATAAAAGCAGCTATGGAAGAGGCTCTCCCGCTGGAGACGATTCCAGGCCGATCACTGCAGGCCGCGGGTCATACTGATGGCTGTGCCGGTTGCGAGCAGCACACCTCCTTGCATTCTCACGAAACTGCTCCAGACTGATCAGATCGAAGTGTCCCATGCCATATCATAAATCGTAGTAGTTGTTGGCATACCTGGTTAAAATCTGATTGATAGCCACGGATCGAAAGGAGACCGGACTTGAACCTCCAAGTGCACATAGCATGGGATGGGATGCGACACGATATAATGCAGGACAGGGGAGCTATGCAGTCAGTCATGAAAACGGCTCAACGAGGAAGCACAGGGTCCATCATGCAGGATGCAGGATGGAACTGGTCTGTCCGGGCTCTGAGACACAGCTGGACCATCACGTTGAGTGAGGAGAGACCGGACTCGGCAACACAAGAAGCCGTGCCATGGGACTATCGTGACAGTGAAGATGTTCAGCTTCATGCTCGTGTTCATGTTCAGGATCATGTCAGGATCATGCTCAGGTTCAAGGTCAGTCACTCAGGTGCAAAAGTCAGGGTCGGCTCCAGATTGGGATTCGTAATTTGATTTGATGATCTCGTGTGTTCGCCCATCGCCCAGGAGAGCTGAGCTGGCCGGCTCAGAGCCACGTCTTTCCAATGGCCCGTGTCTATGCTCACCGCCCTGTGCCTTTTACCATGCGTTACAAGACCGAAAAGGATGCTTGCTTCCATGTCCAGAATGAATCTTTTGCAATCCTGCGAGCGTTTCCTGATTGTAGCCACCAGGCAATAGGGCCCATCACAGCGCGTCTGCCTTGTTACTAAAGTCATTGTAGCCGTTGCACTGCCCACGAAGAGCAAGAGACGACCTCGATTGCCTGGACTCTTCTCCTCTGAAGCTTCCTTTCGCTTGCGTTTGCGTCCAGACAGTGCTGGAAACAGCGTCGTTCCGGTCAAGCATCGTCGAAGTTAGGAGAGCATTCCACTAAGCGAAGACAGTTACTGTTGTCCCTCGGGGGAAACATCCCTCACCATTGCTACTTGTCGCACGCTTCAGCGCAAGCCAGATAGCCTGCCGCTACCACGTGCCGGGGATGGCTAAGCCTAGACGCTGACACCTTGTGTGTGCTCATGCTTTCGTTTATTGGCCTCGGTTCTCATCGGGGCTTCGATGCTCTCGCAGTCTAGCAAGTTCGAAAACTGCTCGTCGTTCTGTAGAGAAGATGCCGTGTATGTTTCCGTCGCCGCCCTCACCCCCTCTGCTTCTTAAATTTCGCCATAACATCCTTCATCTTCGGTACCAACTCTGGCAAGCGAAAAGGCTTACTCACCACATCGTCGATCCCGCTCTTCAACGTCATTTCGATCTGCTCGGCCCGCGCGTTCGCCGTCACGGCTATGACGGGTATGTGCGCGACCAACTCGCCCGTGGTCTGCATCTCACGCAGTTTGCGCGCACAGGTTTGGCCGTCCATTACAGGCATCTCAAGGTCCATCAGCACGACGTCAATATCTACACCGTCAGTGACGTGGTCGCGGTAGAATTTCGACTCGCGGATATGGTCAATGGCTTCGCCGCCGTGGTTTGCAACGTGGACGAAGCAGCCTATTTTGCGCAGCTGAGCCGCTAGAACCTTTTGGTTGATGAGGTTGTCTTCCACGATGAGGACGTGGAAAGATTCGGATAGCGTGGTTTGAACTGTGGTGGGGCTCGACATCGACGGGTCATTCTTTGACGGAGAGAAAAGCTGCGTGCTTAGACCTGTCAATGGTGTTGTTTTTGAGCTCTTTCTGTTCCTGGGTGATGAAGAGCCAGGGCCGTCCTCCAAGCTGCTGCTGGTGCCCTGGGTTCGGCGAGCTTTGACATAGAATGCAAATACGCTTCCTTTCCCACTCTCAGAGGCCACACCAATCTCACCTCCCTGCATCTCAACGAGTTCTCTTGAAATAAAGAGACCGAGGCCTGAACCGCCATACGTGACGTGGGTCCGTGGACTGGCTTGAGAAAAGCGCTGGAATAGTTGCTTCTTCTCTAAGTCGTCCAAGCCACGTCCAGTGTCTTGGATGGCGAAATGGATGTACAAGGTCCTGCCCAGACCCCATTCTGCCGCCGCCGTGACATCTTTGACTTTGGAAGATCGAGATGGGATGTACGTTAGTCCCCACTTGTCCTCCTGGGACGGCTTTTCCTCCGAGGCTCCGACGTGCATGCGTACCATGCGGTTTTCTTGGGTGGTGGTGAATTTGATCGCATTGGTCATCAGGTTGATCAGGACCTGCGACAGGCGATGGGGATCCAACCGGACCCAGTCGATGTGCAAAGCTGTGAAAGTCGGATCGACCCTGAGTTCCATCTTGATATCCGCCGTCTTCAGCTCGGCGTCGAACATCTTCAAAACTCTGTGGACGACGTTGATCGGCTGGGTGTCGACCGGGGTCACCGTCATCATGGCTGAATCGAGTTTTGACAGGGTCAACACATCGTCGACGATTCTCTTTTGGTGCTGAGCACAGAGCGTGATGGTCTGCGCAGAGTCGATGGTAAGCTCGAGGATGTCTATTTGAGGCTTGGTCAAACCATTTGCGTCCCGCATCTCGGTCAGAGATCCAGTGATCGAGTCAGCACATTGGAGGATGGCAGACAACGGATTGCGCATTTCATGTGAGGTCGTATCAATGTAACGCTCCTGCTGGCGTTTCATTTCCACCGCCTCCCTCATCCTGCGGGTCTGTAAGTTTTCGGCGAACTTCTGCGCACTAATATTGGTCATTGAACCGAAGATCTGTTGTATCCGTCCATCCTCGTCACGCTCTGGTGAAGCACTCGTAAGTACCCACGTGTGTCCTTTGTTACCAATTCTGTCTCGCCACGGGGTCTTGAACCGGAACTCCAACGATATTGCACATCTCTTGTCCAACATGGTAGTCCACGTCTCCTGGACCTTCTGCTGGTCTTCCTCAAGCACATAATTCATCCACTCATTGTTGACCGGGACATCTCGAGGGTATGACGCCAGGTCATACCACGCGTCGTTGACAAAGTTGAGCTGGCCGTCAACATTACCAATGAAGATACCGACAGGCGCGAGTTCCGCCATTTTCGTGAACCTGTTCTCTGCCTCGGCGGCCTGTTGAGTGCGGGCAACAAGCTGGTTATTGAGCTCGATGCGGTCTTGGGCGGCCAGCTGAGCGGCTCTTTCGCCTTTCTTGATCTCATCTTCGAAGAGCACGACCGAAGCGATCGATGTGGCCAGCTGACGTCCCAAGAGCTGGACGAACAAATCGTAGTCTTCATCGTACGGTCGCCTCGGGTTAGTAGCCATCACCAGAAAGCCCAGCGTAGATTCGCCTGTTGTAGGATGAATTGGAGCTATAACCACGACTCGCGAAGGGTCCCCAAACCCGCGCCATTCAATGTTTTCTAACATGTGGGGATCCAACGTGCCGTCGTCAACTCGGAGGACGATCGGTCTGTCAGTGGTCAACGCTTGTCGAAAGGAATTGGCGAACCCTTTCGTGCCTGTCTTCATATCTATAACGGGAGGGGCCGCTATGTGGCCGGAAGAAACGCCCAAAGTACCTTCCAAATAACAGACTTTGTTAGAGGCAGCACCACTGGAGCCGGACGAGGCAGCATCGCTATCTGCCAAGTCTTCGTTGAGGGAATAGACCATGACCATGGGAGCGTCATAGTCGTTGTACTCAAGGCCCTGAAGGAGCAGACCCCAGAATTGCGACACTTGTCGAGCCGCGGCTGTTCGTTCGCCGATCTCACGGAGCGTCAACATCCGTCGCTCGGCAATTTTGCGCCGCGTCTTCTCGAAAGCTGGGTTGTACAGACCAACCACTCCGCCGTCAGCGCCAATCAAGGGGATAATTGACCAAGAGAAATATGTCTCCTCCAGAAACCCGTTTCGCAGAATGAACAGGCAGTCGTCGTCCTTCATTGTCGCTTGTGCGTTCTTGAAGGCATTATCGAAGACCTCTTCCAAGGCGCCCCAGATCTCTGACCAAGCGTCCCGATAACGAGCACCCATCAATGCCGGATGTTTCTGTCCCGCTAGCAGAACGTAGGCTTCATTGTAAATAGCAATGTGATCTTTGCCCCAGTACATTGCTGAGGGATGCGGACTCGCCATGATAAGGTTGCACATGCCCCGAAGCTCGACAGACCAGTCTTGAATTGGACCCAGACTGGTGTTGGTCCAATCGACCCCTCTGGCAAACTGAACGTGCGCTGGGAGAGACGGTGACACGGGCAAACGTGTCCAATCGAAGTAGGCTTTATCATCGACAACCATTATGTCCGGGTCTGTATCATTCTTTGCGCTGGGCTGACCGATCATCTGACCGCTGCTTGGTGGGATAGATCCCGACAGTAGCTCTACATATTTCATGTCTCCACTCGGTACCGGCGACATTGGGTCTAGTGAAGTGGGCGAAGCATCTGGTAAAGGGTCAGTGACCAAGCTATGCAGAGCTCGAGGGGCGTCGCTGTTCGTGCGTGGGGCAATGTCGAAGTAGCTTTGCGAGGCGGTGTCGACTCGGTCGCCGCTGTGGGTGGTGGAACCGGACGCAGGCCCGAGACCTTGAAAATGTTGCATGCCGGATCGGGTATTGCCCTCTGCCATCGGCGCTGGCGAGAAAGGGTGCTGGCGTCCATGGATGACCTTCAATCGTTTTCTTACCAGGGCGCCATGCCATAGCCATCCTGCAAAAGGGAAGGTCGAGACAATATCTGATTCTGTGAGAGCGTTGAGAGCCCACGCCTTAAAATCCGAAAAAGACGTCCCCAGTTCAAGTAGTACACTCGGATCCTCCGCGCGTCCCTGCACATGTTCTAGAAGGGGAGCGCGAGTCTTCAGTGCTGTATTTGCGAACACCAGGCTGAGGCCAACCGAGGTTGTGTTGACCTCGTCGGCGATGTCCACGACCAAGGTAGGTCGCTCGTCTAGCTGGAGGTATTCGGCCAGGCCCACAGAATGCATCAATTGGCTTCCGCTTGGTCTTCTTGCATCTGACGGTGCGCGAGCTCTGTTCTTGCTTCCCGCTCGGCTTGCATGAGGAGATGTCCTTACTGGTATTGCACTCGCTGCGACACTCCTGACTGGTGCTGATATCCGCATAGAGGGCATGTCCTCCCTTTGGCTGAGAGCGGTTGCGGCAGCTTCTAGGAGGGAAATCTTATTCCCTGCTTGAGGGTCCTGCATCCTTGTGCTGTTGTTGACAGGAAGATCCTCGCCCTTCTCCTGCCCACCCCGACGACCTCTCTGCTTCTCGTTCAGGTCACCATGATCTGAGCCCGGCAGCCCACTGAAAGACGAACGTTTCGGATATTTTGTGGTAGGCTGAGTCGGCGACGGGGATCGGATGGCGGAGCGATGAGTGCGCTTCAAGGACTGAGGTGCGGATTCGGTGGTGGCGAGGGGGTGCTGTGAAACTGAGCCAAATGGAATATCAATTGTGTCCGAAGTAGCACTCATTCGAAGTCACATTCTTGATCCGATTGCGGCTAGACTCGAAAGGCAGGCATAAGGACTGGAAGGTTGGAAGACTCGAACGAGTGGGGGAGGACAGGGCAGGCGACGGGAGGTGCGCAGGGCCGGGTCGAGCGAAGTCGCGGGCCAGAGAGCACCAACAGCCGTTCGGAGTACCGCCAATGAAGTCAACCAACTTGGGAGCGGGAACCACGAGCTGCGAGCGTCACCATGAAAAAGCGAGCTTTGCTTGGAGCCGCGGCCGATCAGTCCTGCGTTGACGGAGCGGCAGAAGCCAGGGCCCTTCAGCACTGCGCAGTCCAGTGGTGAATCAGTGCGGAGAGTCTCGAGCGGATAAAAGGTCCGAGAATCTGAAGATGAACTTGGGTCCTAGATCATGACCGGATAATGATAATTGCCCTCAGAAAAAATCGATAGTCCAGAGTGGTCTGTTCGAACTACGAGTACAGAGCGGGATTGAGGTGAGACTGAGGTGGAACTGGGGAATGGAAAAGGCACTGTCGATCAGTGCAGATGGGAGGAGACAGCGGTGTGTGGACATCGGCACAGAAGTCGATAAGTCCTCGTAACTCGCCTGCGCGAGTTAGTGCATCGAAGGATGTATGCTTCGAGTGGCTGTTGTAGAACAAAACAACCTACTGCAAGTGGTGGAAAGCGTGCGTGGCGCTTCACTCCAAGCACCGAAGCAGCGAGGATCGTCCTGAGCCATCATGGCATTTGTGATTCTCGATGATTGGGGGGGCGCGAGGGGCTGAACCCTCCTCAACAGGGGGCCAAACGACTGGTACTCGGCTGCCGCCGGCGGTTACCTCAAAACTCACAAGGGCGGGCCCAGAATGTCAGAGCAGGAGCATTTACCTACACTGTAGCGAGTACATGACCGCAGAAAGGCCGTGGTGGCCGCGGTGGCTCGACCCCGGGAGCCCGGATAAAGTGCTATACCGAATCTTTTCAGCGGGCTATGGAGTATGTTCACAGTAATTATATCTATACAATCAGGAGTCGCACGCCCGTACCTAGCCTAACACCATACTCTCTCCGTTTTTCAGCTCCACACAAGTCAGGTCTTCTATCCTGCCAGAAGCGTGCTCAGACTTCTCCTTCTCTGCAGCCTGGACTTGGGCAATCGCTTCCCGAACTGTCAGGATCTTCCGCTGAAGCAGAAAAGCAATCAGCCCTGAGCCTCCCTTCTCTTCGTCGTGTGTACCAATCCAGTACTTTGCATGCAGGGTCTTTTGTGCCTTCACTGCGTTGATTGCTCCCAAATTAAGCTGTTTGCTCCACTTGATGGAGACGTCATGAAGGCCATGCAACAATGCCAAAACTTCCACTGGGGGCGACGCTGTAGCAACCACAGACAGGGTCGAGGCTTCCACGCCATGAGGAGTGTATATCAAGGCATCCACAGCCTCTGTCGCACAGTTAGGCCGCCGCGCGCAGAGCATTACTGCTGAATGATAATAGAGAGCGTCAGAGTTGGTGACCAGTCGACTTATGCCAATCCAGGAGGGTAGAGGAGGAATGCTGGTTTTTTGCCAGTTGGTGTCCGCTGTGAAGTTCGGCATCTCGATAACCGTGTCAAAATGATCCCATGTTCTGATCAATTGGGCTGCTTTCGTGGTCGCAATGACTGGCACCGTGCGGTCGACTTCGCGCAGCGTTGCCTGATGACAGTGGTCTGTAAATTCATGGGAGATGACTATAGCATCGATAAAAGAACAGCCATTCCTCCCTGCTTCAGCGGCGGTCTGCGATTCCAAGCCCTCAGCATCGCAAAGGATGGCATTGAGCCCGTCGATAGTCCGCACACTGCTCTGCACCAGGTGCCACTGCTTGGAGAACCACGAAGCAACATCTTCTTGTGGCCCGTCCAGCCAGGGATCGATTAAGATGTTGTAGCGCGAACGACCATTTGGTGGAGAGACTTGATCGGGATACGCGAGGGACAACAGCCAAGATGTATCGGCATTCAAATGAGTCAGGACTGGCACTTTGCCATCGTTTGCACGCTGGAATGAGCTTTTCAAGTGATCACGGAGAGCAGTTGTATCAGAATCAGCACCAGCAGGAGTGGCCATGTGTGTCTAAATGCAAAGCCCAGTTCCAACGATTCGATATGAAATATCAGTGAGCTCTGGGAAGCTGTTTTACCGTGTCTGCATCTATAACCTTTCCAGAGTCTGAACAAGATTGAGATGACGCTTTCATATTGTTCCCTGCCATCCTGCCTCGCCTACGGTCCATGAACCACCGGGATCTCCGCACCGGATTCGGAGCCTCCCATGGATCCGAACGCTGCTGATGCTTCTCCATCCACATAATAATGCACTCGTTAATCTGGTATTCTCAGCAAGGGCTCTTGCTCCTGATGAAAATTGCAGATGATTGTGTCATGTATACCAGGCAATCCTCGTATTCAGGGCACTCGCGGCTCGCGTCCATCTCCGAGCTTGCGCCCAGAACCTACGAAAGACCAGTGGATGCCAAGCCACAGATGAATCTTAACTCAAAGGGGACTAGCGCACCAAGATAAGATAAGCCCCAGGCATCTCTTTTTCAGGCTGACAAGTCTGCTCTCTTTAACCTCAAAGATTGACTAAGGTTCCCTTTGCACAGCATAATATACACAAATCACTTTGTTCTGAGAAGGAACAAAACTATAGTGTTCTCTCACAACATCTCTGTATTCCTGCTCCTCAACGGCAATCGACTCTGTCATCGATCAGGCTTCTGGAAGAACACCAAGAACTCGGCACACATCATCCGGTAGCCTGACGCGTCCCCCTCAAGAGCAACGGGCGAGTCAGAAACGAGCTTGGGCGGCCGACTTGCGGGTCCTGAGCCGTCTAACTCCACCGGCCTCAGAGCGACACCCTTTGACTGGAACGTTCCCTGATTTACCCAGACTGCGCCCAGAACCGACTTGGCCACCGAATCCCACGCTTATCCCACGATTCACAACGCCTGCGCTCACTCTTTCTCAGGCTTAACTCGTGTCGCCTCCCCACCTTGTACCCTCTCCTTCGAACACATCTACCTGTGACCTGCTTTGAGAGCGAGTCTGTTACACTCTTCATTATTTTCTTGCACGCTCACTTATACGCCGATGGTCGACTCCGCCGACGAGCCTCCGCTGTCAAGTCGTCTATACTCATGGGCTAAGACCAAGACTCCCTTCATACAGAAGTCCCCTATCCTCCCTCAAACAGAGCCCAAGACTTCGGGCCACTCTAACCCGGCGTACGATCAATCAGGTAGCCATCGACACGATGCTGGAAACAGCCCCTCTGCAGCTGGTCCTGCAACAAATACAGACCACCTTCGAAATGGAGGATCGGATACAGGCCATCAAACTGCATCAGTTGTGGACGAGAAAGGAGAAGGAACGCAATCTTCCGCCATAGGGACTACTCCTCCCAAGGGCAAGGCGCCCTTGGTCAACCGATTCTTCCGCGATGTTAAGCGCATCCTCTTCTCCAGCTGGGTCAACTGGCTTCTCGTCTTTGTGCCCGTTGGCATCATACTGGGCATCTTAGTCGACTGGGTGCACACCGACGTAGTGAGTCCCAGCGCCGTATTTGCCGTGAATGCAGTGGCAATCATCCCTCTCGCATCGCTTTTGTCGTATGCGACCGAGAGCGTCGCCATCAAATTGGGCGACACCATTGGAGCTCTACTCAACGTCACCTTCGGTAACGCCGTGGAGCTGATCATTTTCATCATCGCTCTGGCTGCGAAGGAGGTGCGCGTGGTTCAAGCCGCGGCTCTTGGGTCCATTCTCTCCAACCTCTTGTTGATTTTGGGCATGTGTTTTGTTGCCGGCGGTCTGCGGTTCCGAGAACAACTGTACAACTCGACAGTGTCCCAGATGAGCGCGTGTCTACTGTGCTTGAGTGTCATCAGTCTTCTACTTCCGGTGAGTGCTCACAAAAAGCCGTCTGATCAGCGTGCGTTACTAATGTCTTTCTAGACAGCCTTCCATGCCTCCTTCTCGAACACTGCCAGAGCCGATCAGGTGGTGCTGAAAGTCTCGCGAGGTACAAGCGTGGTCTTGTTGCTGGTCTACGTCCTCTACCTGCTCTTCTCGCTGAAGTCGCACTCCTTCATGTATCAGAGCACGCCCCAGCACCTTATCGACGAGGAGTCACATCCTGGAGTTCTCGCTGAGATCTTAAACTCGTCCAGCTCTTCGAGCGACTCGTCCAGTTCCAGTTCCAGCGAAACTGACTCAAGCTCCAACTCGAACACAACCACGAAGCGCATCAAACGTGCTCTCCGCCGCAAGCGCCGCAAGTCAACGTCTAGTACAAAGGACAATACCTCTCTTCCGACCTTCACTAGAAGTTCCTCGGTTCTCACCGGTCATGGGGGTTCGATGATGACCGGGGTTACTTCTGCCGAGCTAGAGCCCGTCTTTAGTGGTGATGAGGCTGATGTTGACGGTGAAGGAAGATCAGGCCGGCACCGCTCACGTACACACACGGTTCACTCTCGCGATTTCGAGAGCGGAGTGCAGAACGACCAAGGCTCGGACAAGTCGAAAAGACGCCACAGGAAGTCGAAGAAGTCCAAACGCTCAAAGAAAGACAAGGAAAAGAGCAAAGATAATGGGAAAGAAAAGGAGACGATAGAAACTCTGACCAAAGAGAACTCTCTGTCGACCGCAGATTCCGTGCAACCACAAGTGGGTTTTGCTGCAGAAATCCAAGAAATTCCCTCTGACGCTATCGCTAAACGGCCATTCAACATTCGAAATATTTCCGAAGCCGTCAAGCCAGCTTTCAGCTCTGCCAACTTCCCCCATCATGAGGCCACTGGAAGACCGCTTGCAATTCCGATCCGTCCTCAGTCGCAGCCACGAGCCTCCTCTCACCAAGTACGCCGGACTGCTTCAATGCCGGACATCTTACGTCCTACTGTTCCTCACCATGGATTGGCCCTTTCTGTCTCTGCACCTCCGCAACCTGACACATCCACGGTGCAAGCTACAACTGAGGTACAGACAGATGCTGTTGTTGAGCCCCAAACTCATTTATCGAAAACTTCGGCAGTTGTTCTGCTATTGTGCTCCACAGGCCTCGTTGCGTTGTGTGCCGAGTTCTTGGTCGGCAGCATCGACTACCTGATCGCCAACAGTGGTGTCAGTCAGGCTTTCATTGGCTTGATCATTCTGCCCATCGTTGGAAACGCTGCAGAGCACGTCACGGCTGTCACTGTCGCTGCCAAAAACAAAATGGATTTGGCCATCAACATCGCTCTCGGGAGCAGCATTCAGATCGCACTATTTGTTACTCCGTTGATGGTCATACTCGGATGGATCATCAAGACGGACATGAGTCTATACTTCAGCCTTTTCGAGACCGTCAGTCTGTTTGCTAGCGCCTTCATCGTCAGCTTCCTGATGATCGATGGACGTAGCAACTATCTTGAAGGAGCGCTACTCATTGCAGCGTATGTCATCATCGCTGTCGCAGCATTCTTCTACCCCACCTGCGATCTGAGCTCCGCCAGCGGGCCGCTTGATGGGCCTAATCCAGTCTGCTAAGCTATCATCGCCATAGACTTTGGGGGAACGGAACGGTTATGGAGACAAAACGTGAATACGAGATGTGGTTGAATCTGCAGCGAAGGTCAGACTCTGGCTCTTCAACGGAGCTGAGCGCTGCGATGCTGCAATGGCTCATGTCGACATAGGTTCAATCCGAGGACATTCCTTTTAACGATAACATGGAAGTGGGTATGCTTGATGGCCGCTCCTTAGAGCTTGCCTCGACCGTCTGTTGATGGTCCATAATCACAGCAGTGATTCTTCATTTGTGGGGGTCTTATTTGATTAAGTGATACAAAATATGATCCGCGTGGTCCGGGCCCTGAACCTGGACACGCCTGTTGACCTCTCCCGAATCTTTGGCTTAGATTCGTAAAGGCAGACTTGCGTTGTTCCTTGGTCTCTTACGTGCATGAACCTGCTCACGACTCTCGTTTCCGTATGCGCGGACAGAGCTGTACGCACTCGCTTGATGTTACGCGGCATGAGCATCCCACACGGCTGCTGATACATTCTTTCATAACTTCAGAGCTCTGTAGTCTTCTTCATCATCATACCGACACTGTGCACACCACCATGTCTGACACTCAAAGTCTTAGACAAGAGCTCGTGAATGGTGCAAGCACCCCAAGCAGCTGGGTGTCAGGACAAGGTAATAGATTTCTAACCCCAGATCCATATTCTCCTCTTGTCTTCTCTGAGTGGCAGCTCTGGGTCCTGTCCTACACAACGTGGGATACGCAGGCATTGGCTGCTCTGGGTCTGACCAGAGCTGCACCTGCTCCTCGGTGCCGCGGCTTTTTTGACCGCATGGTGTGCTACGATAAATGCTTATCACAAGCTTCACGACGCTTATCTGGATCCTCATCCATCAAGAGCCACCCCCAAAACCCTCACAACCATTCAGCATCCACATCGCTTGAGCCAGCATGTAGCGAACCCCGGCTTGATGCGCCAGAAGGACAAGCAGGCGTGAAGGTCGCTGTACCGATTCATAGCCCGCTCAACTCCGTCCATCCGTGTTGCACCTCACGCCCTTACCAGATGGCGCCATTACGATTACAGCTTACACTTCCTGCATCTGCTGAGGACACAGGGAAAGATTGGCGTGGCCTAATCAGCGGACCCCTGCCTAGAGGAAGATGTTGCACTCTGCCATGATCTTGATCGCCTACATTAATGTTCCATCACCCACAAAAATCCGACCTCGCTGTTGGTAAATCTGTCAGCTCGCTAGCAATCCTTTCTGCCACAATCCCTCAAGCTACCATGCCTCCGTCAACAGATAGCAAGGGCGAAAGCAACAATGCAATGGGTCCCGCATCTCCTTCTGAACGCCGAGGATCCCTTGTCGTCGATACGACGCTCGCGGGAGAAGAAGATGCCGCTGTTCTTGCCAAGATGGGGTTGGTCGGCTTCCGTGTATCCCTTCATAGACAGAGGGCTAATCGGGGACAGGTACAAGCAAGAGCTCCGACGTAACTTCAGTACGCTAGAGGTCGCCGGACTCGCCTTCTCTATTATGGGGTTGTTGCCCTCCATTGCCTCTACGTTAGCCTATTCGATCCCCGCTGGCCCGGTTGGGCTAGTCTGGGGCTGGTTTCTTGCTTCAGGCTTCATCTTCATTGTTGGGTTAGCTATGTCCGATCTGGCCAGCTCGATGCCAACCAGCGGCGGGTAATCGATTTTCCGTTTCGATGCTCACGACAGTGAAGCTCACAAGGTGCTAGGCTTTACTACTGGACGCATTACTATGCATCTCCGAAGTGGCGCAATCCGCTGAGCTTCCTCGTCGGGTACAGCAACACGCTTGGCTTGGTTGGTGGGCTTTGCTCCATCGATTGTCAGTGTCTCACGAAAGCTTCAGGGTCCTCCAGGCTAATGGCAATGCGCAGATGGATTCTCGCTCATGTTCCTTTCGGTCATAGTGATCGCCCGTGACGGCAACTGGACACCCAGCAATGGTACCATCTACGGCGTCTTTCTGGCCACCGTTGCCTGCCATGGCCTTATCGCTTCAACAATGGCTCGTGTGATGGGCAAGATGCAGACCGTCTTCGTTGTGATGAACTTCGTCTTGATCTTCGCCACTGTCGTTGCACTTCCGATTGGCGCAAAACACCGACTCAACAGTGCTTCTTACATCTTCACCAGAGTTGAAAACCTCACAACCTGGCCCTCCGGGTGGACATTTATGCTTTCCTGGCTTAGTCCCATCTGGACGATCGGTGGATTTGACTCTGCAGTCCATATCTCTGAGGAAGCCACTAATGCAACGAAAGCAGCACCATTTGGCATCCTCTTCTCCATCGGCTCCTGCTGGGTATTTGGCTGGATCTGCTGCATTGTGATCGCAGCCACCATGGTTCATGATGTCGAAAGCCTACTAAGCTCGCCGTATGGACAGCCGATGGCTCAAATCTATTATGATTCACTGGGAAAGAACGGCGCCTTGGGATTCATGGCGCTGCTGATGATTGTTCAGTTCCTGGTGGGACCTTTTTCCTCGTTATCATTTGAAGATCTGCTGACAGGGTTTAGATGGGCATATCCATTCTCGTCGCAGCCTCGCGTCAGGCGTGGGCCTTCTCGCGAGACGGTGCTTTGCCTCTCTCTAGCTTCTTCCGGCACATTTCCGAGAAGTTCGGATACATCCCAGTTCGCACAACCCTTGGGTGCGCTTTCCTTGCGGCAGTCCTAGGTCTGCTCTGCCTGATTGCTCCTGCTGCGGCGTCTGCGCTTTTCTCTTTGGCCGTCGCTGGCAACAATCTCGCCTGGGGAACTCCGATCCTCTGCCGCTTGGTTTGGGGCCAGCACAAGTTCTCCCCTGGGCCCATCTACACGGGTCGTGCGTCCACCCCTCTCGCGTGGATGGCTATTCTATTTCTGGTATTTGGGATCTTGTTGAGCATGTTCCCTGTCGGGGGACCGAGTCCGACGGCTGAGACGATGAACTATACCTGCGTGATCAACTCGGCGGTTTGGGGCGGTGCCTTGCTGTACTATTTCATCGACGCGAGGAAGTGGTTCACGGGCCCGCAAATTACGATCGACTTGGGCCAATTGACGGAGGAGCAGGAAGCCGCGTTGAGGGAGGAGGGGCTGAAGGTGGCAGCTGATGGGACCGCCGTCGTTGGTGGGAAGAGTATTGATGAGACCGAGGCCGGCAAGACGACGTAGATGGGTTTGATGCTATTGGCTCCCGACCACGTCCGGCTTCGAGGTCCCCAGCGAAAATCGGCAGCAGGAAAGAGATCCCCTCTCCGACGCACACCCTCTCGAGTGCATGTTATTTGCAACGATCCCCAGTCGTTGTCTCTTTTCCAATTACCAGCCTTCGGTTAACAAGACTCCCTCGTCTCTGCTATGTCGCCATGGCATGGTTTCAATTATCTGGCAGGCGTCAGCTCACCAGATACCAACAGTCGCAACCCCAGAGGTGCTCATTCAGCAGACCACGACATTGGCATTGCAATCAAGACCCGATTCTCACGAAACTAGCGCTGCTTACTGTTAAGCCGTCACACCGTCGTCGCAACAAAACGCATACAAATCAATGCAGCTTCCACCATATCTTGGTCTCCAACATGGCAGCCGCCTCGGGTCGCATTGATTCTGGTTGTTGATTCTGCTTCGGACGACGGGCTCATTGTTATGCAAGACTTGAGGAGCCATCGCCCCCACTAATCTCACCTTGGACCTCTTCTCACAACCCGCGTCCAGTTCTTCGACTGTCGCCGCAGAAGTCGTTCGCATGGGTGGGTTTTCTGCATATCACTCCAGAACAGCGAGAATAAACCTCGAGGCAGTGCAGAGAGGATTGTCACGAGTGACGAAGCTGCGCCGCCAGAATCGCCTATCAGAAATGCACAGCACCGATCAAGCCCGAGACGAACCCCTGACCGCCAGCGCAATCAACAGTGAGCGCGACCACTGGCAGGCTCACACCAACCCAGTCAAGGAGACTATTGTCGAATACTGAAGCAAGAAACCGCCGGGGGTGCCATGAATGCTTCGCACCTGAGTCCGATGAGTTCATGCGGCGAGATATCCTGGGACGACCATCCACAAAACATGGAGGCGGCACCAAGAGCCATGGAAAGAGAGATGAACGATCACTCCAAAAAGCTTTACCCAAACCATTTTCACAAAGGCGGAGTTCTCCCGGGACTCTCGTCATTGGTGGTCAACTATGTCCAGTCTTTCGCAAATTTCACCGGTTTCAATTGTCAACTGTTCGCATGGAAGACCTGCTGCCGAATCCGATCGTGAAGCAACATTGGCCGTGTCTGAAGCTCCGATCCAAGTACCACAGTTATAATATCTGACTTCTCTTTTCCAATGGGCAAACACCTACCGATGCTATATCAGCTGCTCGCGGGTGTTATCAACACAGAACAGAAGTATTTTGGCACGTTCAGAGAGGTGATGAACTATCTCTGCCGTGCTGTTGCCGTATTGTTGACACGTGGCTAGTGTCCTCAGCGTGCGTGAAGCAACACATGAGGAAAAAACCAGGCACTGCCACCAAGAGGATGCTATTCAGCTGCGTAGAGCGAAGTACGCAACCACATGGCTGTAGTCCAGCATCTCTCCTCCGACGCCTGATTCCTCAAAAGCCCTTCAAGATCGGGCCACTCCTCGCTTGCCATGATTGGAATGTCCTACTTACTCGTAGTGACTCTCATATCCTCTCGCTTGCACGCACTCTCGATTCGATTTTCCACCAAATGACGAACATGACGCAACTTCTCCTCTGACTCTCATCTTGGCGCCGCCTTCAACTCGCGTCCTTGCCCAATATCATCTTCTCAGCACATGGCGGTTGATAGCATCGATTTTCACACAAAAGCCCATGATCAAACTCGCGAGCTGTCTAGCGCCAATCCCGGCGCGCGTCCGGTGCACGTTTCCAAATCGATCTGCGAACGTGTCCGAAAGCGTCATCTCCACGCGCGGGATCGTGACGTACCGGGACATTCAACGGTTGGAGGATGACGCTCGTCGTGCCAAATCCAGCGTGAGTATGGCCACGGATCTAATTAGATCTGGCGAGATGGATCCCAAGTATGAGTATATGATAATACGCGACGACCTCCAGGTCAGGTCAAGAAGTGCTTGACTTCCTGCTAAGTCTCACACAAGACATCTTGGCCATCTGAAGACTCTTGACAGTGAAATCGCATTACCTATTGCGCCTACACAACGTCTGCCAAATATACCCACGAGGTACTTAGTCACCAAGGATCCTCGTCAGGAGCATGTCTTCGACCACCCGATCTGACCTCCCCGCCACGGGCTCCACCTACCAACCCACAAAGTCCGATGCCATCACCTTCTCGAACAATAACCCATTGGGCTCGGGCTCGTCGGGGAGCCATGATCACCAGCAGCACCACTACCAGCAGCAACAGCAGTACCAACACCAAGCCACTGGCATTGACAGTGCCACTCCCACCACAGCTACAACCGGTACAACAGTCCACGACACCGTGACCGCACCCGGATCGACTACGGCTATGCGCGGCACAGCAGGCACAGGTATCTCCGACCATCCGACCAACTATGCCGATGACAGCATGACCCATCCGAGTCTGCACGGGACAACAGGCATTAGTGGTCACCCGACAGACTATCACGCCGACGAAGCCAACCCGCTCCGAGCGCACCATCGGCCTTCTATTGCCAATGCCACAGACACCGGCCACGGCACCGGTGGGGCTCTCGGTGGCGATGAGACGATCCGGCGGCACGGCGTCGCGCAGAACGCGCCGGGCAAGCTGGGCGATCGGGGCGAGAATATCCTGGGCGCCGTCGGGTTTGGGGGCACCCATGTCGAGAGGCCGAAGGAGGATCAGGGGATTGGGGAGAAGATTGCCGAGTTTTTGGGTGCGTGAGCCTGCGGAGCGGAAGCGTGGCCGTGCAGCTAGATGATGTCCATATGAGGATGGGACTGGGAGATTGGTGTGTCCGTCTGTACGTTAGGCACGTCGGGAAGTACCGGGGCCGGTTTGTATGTCGTGCTACGCACAGTACTGCAGGAAGGTGACTGATTTCCGATCGGTGGATGATCGGATTCATGGGCTACTGTACAGTAGATGTATTGTATTGTTTACTGTACTCCATAGGCTTGGTTAAGGTAGTTAGTTGTTCACGGTAATTATGGATATTGAATGCAAGAGTATATTTACTGTGTGATTACTGTACATGGGACGAAACACGGGATGAAGCACGATGCGCGCAGAACAGGATGCATGTGTCAAGGCGAAGTCTACAGCTTCTCTGGGATCGTCTAATTAAGTAGACTGAAAATCCGAGCGGCCTTGTGCTGGATTATTGGGCACTCTTACCTAGGTAGCTCACATGCTTGAAGTGAATCCCAGGGGTAGGCTGCCGCGGTTTATGCCAACATGGGACGAAGCATGATGTGCACGGGATAGGATGAATATAACCAGATGGATGGATGAGTCAGTCCGTCGTTGGATTAGGGGATGATAACAATATGCAATATGCAGTCCGTTTGTTCTGCTGCAGTAATTAAAAGACAACTTTACTTTGACCACGGCGGCTTGGACGTGTCCATTGGAGGCTTTGCGCTGGGTTCGCGCCCCTCCCGTGATCTCCTTTGCCAGCTTGTCAGTATTAATTACAGGGTATCTAATTAGTTCGGGTATTGCTACTTCGACATGGCGGCTTGGGTGCCTTCGATGACGGAACACCTCTCACCCCCTGCGATCAACCCATTGTCAGCCCTTCCCAGGCGGAAGCACGCCTCCACCGGCCAATACCTTCTCCATGGCCGCTACAAGTTGGCGACGACCAGCACAGATGCTGAGATTCACCTAGGCGATATGACCATCGAGAGACCCTTCTGGGCCGTGGTGGTGGTCAAAGATACAATATACATACGGAGTATACAAGGCTATCCTGACTGGTGACCGGGCCCATACACTTGCACATGATGTAACCTCATGAAGAACGCCATTTACAGTACGTATGTTACAGAGCACACGACATTTCCACCCGCTCACTGTGTATACATGTCCTTCCACCACCGTTCAAGCTCCGACAGTACTCTCCGATCCGACCTTCCCCCTGGCCGTCCTCCTGCCCAACCAGATGGTCGACCCAATCAAAAGCACGGCACACACAGCCACGACGGCCGCCTGGGTGGCAAATACGGCCGCGATACCATCCCTCTGGATCCAACTGGGCTGGAAATACCCGACAGCGAACCCGCCACACGTTCTCCACATGTTGATAATGGCCGATACGACGGCTGAATGTTGCGGGTGTTTCTCGAGCACGTACGCCGTGATGGCCACCATACTCCCCACCAGCCCGATATTGACCATGATCCACCCGAACGCCAAACCCACCCAGCTCTTGCCGTAATGTAGCGTGAGGCCGTATGTCAGCAGACCGCACACCATGCTCCCTATGGGAAACCACACGCCGTGCAGGCGGTACTCGCTGCGCCAGTGGGCCTTGCGGCTGCCATTGGAGCCATTGTAGATCCACTCGTTGAAGAAGTAGCCGAAGCAGAAGCCTAAAAGGGCGCCGATGACGCCGGCGAAGCGGATGGAGGCGTCCTCGACGTCGTCGAATAGGTAAGGTGGCGCGCGGACGAATGAGTCGACTGTGGTGGTTATGCCGATCGGCCAGGTGAAGTTGATCATTGTCGACAAGCCGACGAGCAGGATCGGGGGCGTGAATGTCAGTTTGATGAGGTTGAGAGTCGAGGCGGCCAGTGTAGACGATTTGGGCAGGTTAGTGTTGCCGACGCCGAAGAAGGATTTGATTCTCCTGCTGCTGTTGGACTGTGTGGAGGTGGCCCCGTTGTAGAATGTTTCGTACCCGAACGCGAGGATCAGGAGCGTCGAGAAGCCGTAGAAGCCCGTCAGGACCTTGAAGCAGTCGCGCCACGAGTCCGAGCCGTCCAGGATGTAGCCAGCCAGGGCGGGGAAGAGGAATGGCCCGACAAGGAACGTCGTGCCCCAGATGTTGATGTACCGAGGCCATTCGTCGGGGCTGTACATGTCGTGGATGATGGGTAGGCCGATCACTTGGGGCACTGTGCCGAAGAGACCTTGTAGGGCGCGTAGCGCGGTGAAGACGGACCATGACTGCGCGTAGACGCATCCGAGGACGACCCCGAGAGTGATGATCTGTGGGTATAGCCAGACCGGAAGACTGGGAACAGGTGGGAGTTAGCACTGCAAGATTGTGGAATTTGACGTATCAATCGCAAGACAAGACTCACCGGCCATAAGCGTCGATGAATGGCACCGCAATAATACCACCAAAGCCCTGCAATAAGATTCCGTAGTTGAGAGAAGTCGCTGAATGGTTGATGGATGTGTTCCACTCGAACGCTTGGGGAACCACCAGGGTTGCGCCCCAAGTCATGCCACTTCCCACGACATTAGTACGGAACGTAACAGTGACGGATCCAACGTACCCGTCAGCGAGGATGGAACTCGACATCAACGCCAGAAATAGTAGTCTTTTCTTCCATGGGCTCCAGTTCTTGGGGCTGTGACTGTCCACCGCATCTTCTCCCTCCAGGATACTGGGCTCATCGCCGTCATTCCTGATAACAACGACGGTGCTCTGCATGGGAATGGTCTTCCCAGACATTTCGAGCTCGTAATATGTACCGGAGGAGGAGGAGTAGGTACTCATGGTGGCCAGGCACTGTCGAGAGTGATGGTTTGACACGAGGAGCAAGGGGGGTTGCAACTATGTTTTATGGATGAGAGAAGATAAGAAAGCGAGGGGTTGAATTCAGGAGATCGAGAAAGTGTCCGTTAAAGCACGAATGCCATGAGTGCCATGAGTTTCGCCCGCAACGTGGTCTCACAGTAGGCAACGGTCCTGAAACCTAAGTAGGTAGTCCACGAGCCGTGGTGCTCGTACTGTATGCGGGACGAGCAGAATGTAGTCGGGTTTTCGGGGACCCGTATGGAGCAGCTCGCGTGCTGATCGGCGATAGGGAGTCTCGACAGGAGCAGATAATGCAGAGATGTTGGACCGGTAGATGCTCCCGAGCTGGTGGCTGGGTTCCGATAGCCTGGTCGTTGCCTCGAAGCGAGTCCGGGGGTCGTTGGCTTCATGCGTAGACGTGGCATGAGACGACTGCCGAGAAGTGCTCGCAGCATCAACTTGTGGCCCCGCATGCCGAGCACGAGCTGCAGCGCTCAGAAGCAGCGCCATAGCTGAGTGATCGAGGGAGGAAGCTCAGGAAGGGCCGTGACTGTCAGGGGCGAGATGCCTCATGGGGTATGGCACCAAAATCAGGGGCTTTTGACACTTCATAAAAGTTAGAAAATCGCTGAATTCGGTTTTACCGAAGAACTGTGGCCTTGTAGACTAACTGTCATCGTAGCGTTGACAGTGGTGACAGCGGTATGTTCATGCAGTCGACGAGGGGTTCCCAGCCATTAAGCCCTGGCGTCACGTCGGAAAAGCCGAACAGACAGGGATAACGCAGCTGATGAGCCCATTGTGAGCCCTGCGGAGACGGCAGGACCTCCAGCAAAACTGTTACCCTGCCGAAGGGACACGGATTCGTAAAGAGAGCAAAACAATACTGTGCGGAGTCGACGCTTTGAAGCTTTTACTTCTTACTGTGTGCGGCGGTGCGGATGGGAGCGACGGGTCTCGGCGGAAGTTTCCACAGTCGTGGTACTCGCACAGGCGGAGAAGACGCCCGGGATAGCGAATTAGGCTCGAATAGCGCCACCCAAGTCCTATGTTAGGCGTGGTGGGCATGGCTGGACCCGCCCAGACAAACCTTGTCCCCTCTTGTTCGATCTTGTCCACACTCGTCGGCTCTATCGCCACAGGGGGGTTTACCGTGGCGGGGGCTATGAAGCTTATCTTGAGTTCTGTCAGCGTCAGAAACCTAATTGCAACACGTCTGCTTGACATTCCAGATGGTCCAATAAAGTTATGCCTACTGTTGACAGCCGGGATGCTCAGCTTTACTTTCGTCAAGTCTATTTCAGTCCCGGCCTCGTACAAGAATCTTCGGTCGTCTAACACCGATGGTAGGTGTTGGATGTAAAGTCGCCGTCTTGGATGTCCCTTATATCGTGTTTCAGAGTAACAGAACCAATGGCCGAAGCAGGAGCAAGGCTCGCCTCCGCGGTCACCGGAGTAAGTGTACCTTATGTTCCATAACATTCTCGGTTGGGCGGCACTGACGGATCTAGGCAGCTGCTCTGGGGTTCATCCCGGTGGCCATCCATTTCAACTTGTTTCCCCTGATGAACCGTTTGGGGCCGGTCGTGACGGCTCAGGAACTGACCGACGCATCTGATGCGGAGAGAAGCGATGAAGAGAGACGAAGTTCTCCGCTGTGTAAGAAGTCGTGGTGCGTTGGTGGCGGTGCACCTAGCTGACTCTCTGACAAGGTCCGCAGCTAACAGGTGTGATTCCCCGTTTGACCCCAATGCCACGAGTCTGACCTCAGCAGAGGACACCATGTTTGCAATGGCCGGGTTAGGACTTGTGGACTTGGTCGATGATACGACGTACCGAGTGAACGTTATCACTGCTCACATGGTGGCCGTGCCGTCGTCGCTCGATGGCATGTTGCACTTGTAAGAGAATCTCCTGCGAAGAATAGTTCTTCCGCTAAAATCCCCGAGTTCGACAGAGCCTGTATGGGCAGCCGCGTTCCTGATGAAGCAACTTCGAGATACGAACTTCAAGTACCCGTTCCAGGAGAATAAGACACCTACGCAGTACGGGTATAAGCTGATCGGAGAGGAGAGATTCGCCAATCAGCACACGTACTCTATCATGCACTCGCAAGGTCGAATGCCAAGTTTCTCCCGCTTCATGGAAGGCAAGTTCGGCAAGTTCGGCACCATGCCAGACAGGGTCAAATCTCTGGGCTATGATCTTGACTCTGTCATGAACGGCAAGGCGGATGATATCGTTGTCGTTGACATTGGAGGAGGCCGAGGTGAGATGCTCCTGGAAGTGAAGGCTGCGTACCCTCATCTGAAAAAGGAAAACCTCGTCCTGCAAGAATTCCAGCCCGACAGGGTGAATGAGGACGACCTGACAATCCAACATTGGGACTTCAAGGACGATTCGCCGGAGACGGTCAAGGGGGCCCTGGTATACAGCCTCACCCACATATATCACAACTTGTCCGACCTCGAGGCATTGCGTTTGATGAAGAAGGTTGCGGACGCGATGGCCCCGCACTCAACAATGCTGATCCACGAGTTCGCGAAGAACTCAACATATGGCAAGATGCATGCGACAATGATTACGTTGTATGCTGGAAGGATTAGGAGCAGTCGCGAGTGGAAACAGCTGGCGGCTTTGGCCGGCTTGGAAGTCACCTTCGAAGCTTATCCTGTGGCAGGGGAAGGTCTCGTGGAAATGAGGAAGCTGCCAACCGCCAACGGGGCGGTATGAACATGTGCGGATGCCATAGTAGCGTCTTTGCTACACTTAGTGGACACCATTGTTGAGTCAGTGCTGCATGTAAAGCACTTGTGCCTTGTGTCCGTTCGAGATTCTGGGACGAGCAAGTATTAGCGACAATTCTTATTGCAGTGGCAGAGGTGTTGGGTAACTCCCTCACACGGCAACAAGCAGTGAATCATGCTCCGACCTTCAACACCAGCTGCGGGCAGAATAGCCACACGCGTGGATTCCTGCGGATTTCACAAGCGTGAGACTCGCGTAGCTTTTTTGATGGGGCTTGAAGCATAATATGCAGCGATCGGCAAGCTTCGGCGGGTCCTTCTACCGGGAGGTAGCTGTACAGGGATCGGTGCCTTCGCTAATTAAAGTTCGCTGTCAAAAGAACCGAGCCCTATCCACCCAGCCATCCCCTGGCCTAAATCAAGCGGCACAAGATGCCCTCGTAATTGCAGGTCTGCACCAGCATCATCTCGTGACAGAACAACACATAGCCCCGATGGCGTCCGTGGCGCCTTAGGCGAGTCCGATAGATGCATTGCTCGGCCAGGTGCCTGATCGCCGCCACTAGCCTCTCCTGAGAGAAAGGGGAGACCGCTGCCTGGCGGGCTGCTGCCACTATCTTCAATCTGGACAGCTGACAAGAACTCCGTAGAACTATAATATCCGCCTGAGAACGAACCGCGATTACTCGGACAGTAGGTCATCTGAGGAAATTAGGTGTGCTTGTCAAGCATGCCTCACTTGCCTTGTCGGGACCTCGAAGTTTTACCGCTCCCATGATTCGACGGTTGGCCACGTCAACGTTGCGAGGGCCACTCAAGAGCAAGCGGACGCTCTCCTGTTCCATGAACGCGTCCAGAACCCACTTACGTGGCGAGGCACAGGGTGAAAGTTAGACCGCGCAACCGACTCCAAGGTTAGCCACACAAGTAGGATTTGTCACGACGTCGACTCCTTCTCCGCTTAAACCCCCCGCACCCTTTATCGGCCTTGGACGCGCTCTCGTAGTGATATGAGTATAGGAGGCTGTCTGTTCATCCGTAAATGTTATCGGATGTAAGGTACTCCATCCATGCGCATCTGACCTCGGATATCACAGTGCTGGTTCGGCCAGTACGTGCAAGGCACAAATCCTTGCCGCGTATGAGCACGGGGGCGTCGCGTCGAATGAATAAGACGTGCGCGTCTTTACTCTCACGATAGTGTTACTCCTGCCCAGCCCAAGACTCTTCGATTCCGTCCAGATGGACGTCCCTAGACCTGACGGTCCCGACGTCAACAGAGGTAACACACAACCTGCGATATTGCTCAGAACAAGGCTGATGTTCCCTCAGGGACGGATATTTTCGTTGGATGCTGGGTGTTGACTGGCTTCGTCTTCTTCGTTCTGCTGTTTAGATTCGGTGTCAAGGCTTGGATAGCATGGCTGCTGCCGAGTGTCTCCAGGCCCGAACGGGTATGGGGATTGGAGGATTTCTTCTTTGCGTTGGGCTATGCCTTTGACGTTGGACACATGGCTCTGATCTGGAAGAGGTGAGTTCGAAGACCAGCTGATGTAGGCTCCCAGCCGTGTATGCTGATCCTTTGTAGCTGGGAATGGGGTCTTGGCAGGCACTTTTTCTATCTTTCTCCAGTCGAGAAAAATCGAGCAATGAAGTGGGATTTCATATCCCAGCCTCTGGCCGTGTCTGCGGCCATGTGGTCTCGAACAGGCGTCATCATCTTCCTGTACACTTGCTTCGCGCAGAACAGGAGGAGTCTGCGGGTCATTGTGGTCATCTGCATGGCCGTCCAGATCGTCGCGAACCTCTTCACCATATTGCAAATCTTCCTCCAATGCGGCCCAAATCCGTACCGATTCGTCGACCGAGCAAGTTACTTCCATTACATGTGGGACCCGTTGCCGGAAGATGGCTCGGTCATCTGTCAGGCGCCAACAGTCCAAGCCACGGTTGGATATGTGCAGGGCGGTAAGTAGCCCTGTCTTTGGCCGCACTCTGCAACTGACGCCTTGCAGCGTTCAACTGTATCATCGACTTCACCTTGACCTATCTGGCCGGATTCGAGCTCTGGCAATTCATGCTGCGAGGCACACAGAGTATTAGAGAGAACTCGTTTCTCACCAGGTTCAAGAGACTCGATCCCAGGATCCGAAGCCAACGAATCTGGCAAACCTTGTTGTTGTGCGGCCCGCTGCTGCTATCGGGCGTTGCTTCGATCATCAAGACCTACCTGCTCTCAGCCCTCGGAAGTAGGCTGGACTTCACATGGAACATTGTTCCCTTCATTCTCTGGGTCAAGTAAACGTCACACTGTCCCTCCCAAACAATTCAGAGTAGACTGACCGAGGCGCTTCCAGAATCGAGAACTATTGTATCCCCATTGCGACAACGGCGCCTATCCTTCGACTATTCATTCGCACCTTTATCGACCAGCGGGGAGCCGACAAGGGGTATAACAGTAGCGGGAGCGGCGGGCTCGGCTCAAAACCAGGCGCACCACCCACAGAGTTAAGCAACCTGTCCCATGGCCGGTCACAGAAACCATCTGGCAATAAAGGCTTCATCCAGATGCAAGATACGGATGAGATCAGTGACACAGTGCCTCGGGGGAGTCCCCATGGGTCTGAAAACGGTCTCGTCAGTGATGGTGGGATCACAGTCAAGCATGAGTATGAGGTACGGGTCGAAGAGAGCGATGAGCTTCCTATCAGAAGGGAGGGCGGTCGCAAAGACCAGCGCTGGAATTGAGGCAGCGTTGTCCAAGCTAAGCTTCTTTGCTAGACAGCCAGACAAGCGCAAGCGAGTACAATCAAACCACCACTCCAAGCAGCTAGCTCACAAAGATGACAACCACTAAGTCAGAGTCGTGTTCGAGAACAGACACAAAAGAAAAATGCAAATCTGCCGAGCGTGCTCAGCGGCTGTCGAAGGACATGCGAAGTCTTCTTGCCTCAGGGTTATCTCGCAACCGAAATCCGACTTGACGATGAGCAGAATCCGATCGAAGTGTCAATGTGTTCTCACAGAACAACGCGGCGGGAAGTTGTGCCGAGCCACGCTCTTTGCACGTGCCGTGACGCGCACAACTACGGTAACGCATTTCATTGCGAAGCGCCGCTCGCAACGAGCTCGAATCTTTGGCTTGTTTTTCGCACTGACATTGAGGTTGCTTCACGAATGCTACATAGTCATCTCTTGAATCTCACTCTTGTGCAAATTGTCTTCGGCAGTGACTGGCCTCATCTCAAACAATGTTCGTCTCATGTACATCATCTGCTCGTCCATCCACTTCTGCAAGCTTGCCAGATCCACTATGTCCGTTTTGCAATTTCCGCTGCCTCGTTCACTCGCTTGGTTTTCTTTGCGGTGCGCAACATCGAGCCTTCCGGCCTCGAGTCGAGATCTCTCGCTCAGAAGGTGGAGGCGGTAGCTAGACCACTGATAGTATAGTTCAGGCAGTTGGGACTTGTTTCGAACATTCATGAGGGACGAGTTTTCCAAAAGGAGAGGGTCGCGTGGGCGCAGTGAAGTCACAATGGTGATCCTTTCGGGCTTATTACCCGTGGGGATGGCGATATGAGACACATATCTGCTCTGAAGGACGACTGCGCCGCGCTCAATGCGAGTATGGATCAGCCACTCCGGTTGGAATATCAGAAAGATAGGACCTGGACCTACCATTTGTGGGGAGCGAACCTTGGCGGTTGTACCGTCACCTCTTTGCATCTCACTTTCACCGCCGGTCATATACCTGGCATCCGGCAACATGACAGCGCAAACAAACGGGTATGAATCCCTGTGCCAGGGTACGACTGCATGTTTTGTGGCAGTAGATTAAGACTCAGCACTTGTGCCACTCTCACCGGCTCCATGCTTCACTGGGTCGAAGGTCGCTGCTTATGAGCTCGCTTGAGTGGGCTTCGCGAATCCTACTGGCACATTATCTGTGTGGGACTCGACAAGAATGCCTGGTGCCATTGTTGGAAGCTGACCTTTTGTCGATTTCCGCGCAGTGTTCGGTCACTTCAGTTCTTCGACTTCTATGCACCCGGATCAGTCCTCACTGCGATAGGATAGAGGGTTCACGGCATGTTATATGAGTTCTCAAGGACCCAAGTTGTGAGCGCTCTCATTGTATGTCCTCATTCGGAGACCATCCGGACTCAGTGACAGTGAACGATTCTGGAAACCGGGCCATGCCTAATCAAGGCCATACAACCCGTCGGGGAACATGCATGATTCTATTGGCTGGCAAGCCATTTTACGGGTACAGAGACCTGTCGAGAGCACATCAAGAGTCTGCTTATCTGCGGAGAAATCCTCCCCCTGACGTCGGACACATTGGTGGAGCAGCTCGGCCTTTTCCAACATGGGATATACTACGCGCGGACGCATTTGTCCTTGCCCTCACCTAACGCAGGCGCCAATATCCCCACAGCCCAAGTAGGTGCCATTGCACATTCGATGATGCTGCCTTCAAAATCACTCCTGCAGCACAGAGACCCTGTCCTATTTGAAACATGGTTGTTTTGAGTGCTAGGCCTAACAATGGCCGTTCCAGATCCCCGGTTCGAAGCCTGACCTGTGATCAACCTCCATGCCAGGAAGGAGAACTGAGGTCCGACGGACGAGAGGTGGGTGTGTGACATGCACAAGAAGGTGGGTGTTCCAGTACTCGAGACGCCCTACTCTTGGGCTGTCGATGCGTTGGCTGAATGTTTGCTGTCCTGTGAGAAAGAAGAAGTGCGACCTGACTAGACTTTCTTGTCAGGCTTGCCATCGATTAGGCTGGCATTGCGAGGGATACCTCTCGAGAATACTCTGGGAGGATGACCCAATCCGGGAACGCATCAAGCGCAAAGGACCGTCTAAGGCCAAGAAGCAAGCGCTGCCCGGGGCCGCCGCTTGCAACCGAGACATGACAGCGAGTGTTATGGGTGGCATCCAGGACACGACCACAACGCCGAGATCGCAGGTGAGGCACATTGCAAGCACACCATTAGCTACGGCCTCTCTCTCCCACGTGCTCCATGCGGAAGGTCTAAAGTCTCCGCTCGAGTCCTCCCTTTGGGATCACTACATCAATTGCTTTGCAAGAAATTACCCGACATGCTCGGGTTCAGAAAACCCATTCCTGTCATGCCTGGTTCCGGTCGCCCTGCGCTATGAGCTTGTGCGCTTCGCGCTCCTGGCCCATGCTGGGCTCAACGCCGCGACCAGAAGCCTTCCATCACTGCAGCAGGGAACCATGTTTTCCGACTCCGAGCTCTAGAAGGTTGTCAAAATATATGCTGTGGCAGAGGGGGCTGCGGCAAGCCCAAATCAAATGAGGACTTTTTCATATTGTGCTCAACGCAAGTGTTGCTGACGCTCGACGAGACGGACAAACTGTGCCTCGTCACAACGGCCCTCATGTTGGCACTATTTTGCAAGCTCTCCGAGGAAGACTACGACAGCTTCCGACCATACCTTGAGTTTGCTCAATACTACTTTATCTGCAAGATGTCTGCAGATGCAACATTAGCTGGTATATTCGCAACCCCACTGCCTCTCTTCCTACACAGCCTGGTCACCTACAATAATCTATTAAGAATGATCGTTATAACCCAGCCTCCTTCGAAGGTCATGGGAAATTCCCAGGGCGAACATTCCTTCCTTTGTCGGATTGCTCTCCACAGGATTTCATGTCTCTCCTTTGGCATATCGGTAATGACGTTGAGAACGTTGGCTTGGCCGACTTCAACCTATGGAATGGAGACTTCAACTTTCTGCCAAGTTTCAGCACCAGATCAGTTGTGCCCCCAGATATACAAGGTCATGTCCGAGGACGTGTTTTCCAATCTGGTACCGGCACAATGCATGCCAAAGAACAGGATGATCAGGCCACCGTCACGGAAATATACCGCACCTCAAGCCGTATCTACTTTTTTCGTCAGCTGAGAGATCGAGTGAGCCTGACACAGTCGAATACCACGAGAGCATACCCGCCGTTCATGGCACGAGCGCAGATTCGCAAACTCAGAACGTTCGCTATAGGGATTTTACGCACCTTGCCTAGCAACTCCCTGTTCAACAGCGCACGGCTCTTTCCGCTTGGACTCATCGGTCCTGAGCTTACCTACGAGAATGATCAAGCATTTGTATTGCAGAAGCTGAAGCTACTTCTGGAAACGTTACACTTCGATGTCTTCCGGTCGTTCGCAGGGGACCTTGCAAAAAGCTGGGTTCAGTCTCGGTTCCGCGACTACGCTGCTCGCGCGGATCGTCCTCACAACGCAACAATCAGATTAATTGGTTAGAGCGTTCTTGACAGCATTCTCACAAAACATGAGTCCGCCGACGAAGGATCAAAACCCCCATCTCAAGAGCTGCTCAGCCCCGCGTGGCATTTACCGCTGCGGTTTTTTGGGCAGTGTCGATGCGCAAGCACGGCTGCCAATAGCCAACAGCAGCAATTTTGGGCCTGTAGACTCCGCGCTGCAGCCCTGGACAACATGCAAGCCTCCTGCAGAAGTGCTCCAATGAGAAGCGTAAGAACCAAGCATCCCCGAACGCCAGTTGGCGCTTCCTTACTGGTCGTACAACATGAACATTAGCTCCAGGTTCCAGCTCCATTGCGTCCTCGAGTATATCAGCGACGATTCAATGTGTGCAAAAGCTGTCTTCCACCCCTTGGAACTGCTATCCTATAATGTCGACCGCAAAGCCCGTACGCACAGCGAAACCGAACCATTCTATATGGAAGAATCTGCCTGAAGAACATTTCCGCCGGACCGGTCATTGCGCTGTCCCGAGCTACGGATGGCGTGCCCGACGATTCGAAACACTGGTGGTCGATGTCTAATAGTAGCCAACACCTGGGACCTGCCACCGAAACCCGGTTTCTCCCTCCTCAAACTGAAAGTCGGCTTGCTGACGACCTTGCCTTCATCTCGGCGGCGCGGGAAGGCGTGGAATCAGTAACTGCTATATGCATTGAGGAAGTCCATGATCCCGCTGGTATTGTCCTGCGTGTTGCTGCAAATGAAGGGGTCCGGAGTGAAGTGAGAGACGATTTCGAGCGAATCTGTGGCTGCTTGATGTCGTGCGCACAAACAGGTTAGTGGTATGCTGGCTTATATCGCATCTTATTGCTCATCCCCGAGTCAGAACTCCCACTGAAGAGCTGCATTTCACGGATCTCGGCCTTGATTCTCTCTCTTTCGCAGGAGCGCATCAAATCACGCATGAGCTTGTTCCTTGGACGGCCGCCTGCGCATAACCACTCGCGTGGAATAACAGACGAACAGAAACTCATGAACACTTTAGACCGTATGCGAAAGGAAGCCCTAACACCTGTCGCCGAAGATCTCGTGCATAAGATCTCGGGATTGACACGAATATTCGAGGAGAAATTACGCCCAGGCAAGCCGCTGTCGACACTCGAAATGGATGAGATTGTCAATCAGTGCTTTTCAATCACCACTTCTGACGGAGCTTTGCCATTTCGAACCACTCTGAAGAACGCCGGGCTCAATTGTCGTAAGTGGTTCAATAATAAGTTTATCATGCAAATCGACAAGCTCGCAGCATATCATCGAATCCCAGATACACTTGCCCGAGCAGCTCACAGAAAAGCAACACGGCATCTCTTTTCCAGCATCAAGGTCGAGTACGTTGATGCCTACAAACCTCGGCCGAGCCTTGTGTCGCTTACCGGGAAGAAAGTCGATTGCCATGTTCATGCGGAAGTTCAATTGGTCATACACTATCTACAGCCAGTAACGACGTTGCCACCCCGGTACATCGGTACCAGCAAAGGGGCGTGCTTTCTGTGCCATCTTCTTATCGTCGAACATAGTCGTTTCGCTGTATCGACTTGGCATGGACGTTTATTCGACCAGTGGACTATCCCTGACCTAGCGGAGTATACGCCAGAAAATGTTGCTACTCTCAGGGCCATCATACAGCGCATGCATGACAAGTCTTCACGGCTTCTGACAGTACCACATCCAAAGCGCCCCCACCCTCTCACGAGCAGACACAATCTGCAAAGTTTTCCAAAGTTCTCGCCTGCCACAACAATATTGAGTGTAAAGCACGCCTCACGAACAAGCATTGTCCAGCCGACAATACCCACCATTGATGCTACGAGCATCCCTCCAGAGGTTGTAAATTCTGCTGAACCGTCGAGGACCAACTCACCCGTGGACCTTGACAGGGCAGCCACAACTACTGACGGGTCAGAAACACCAAGGCAACAGAGCGTCAGGATCCCAATAGAGGACATCGTCGCACCTCCCGCCCACGACCACTCATCAGCAAGCAACCAAACATCGAGCGATGAGTGGTGGGAGAGCGGGTCGAGCACGTCGACTCTCACAGCAAGCAGCGTGCGTCCAGTGCGGCTCCTTCCCAATGAACCTCATTTCGCCACGGTGACAGGCTTGGAAATATTCGCAGAGATCTTACCACCTGCGGTCGGGACTATGACCTTGAAGACAAACGGCTCGTATACTGACTTGTCGGGAGGCCATGTCATCAGAGTGGAGGAATTGGATGCAGGAAAAGAGGTGACTTTTGACCGACGTGAGAATGAGCCCTTGCTTATGCTCCGCTTTCAGGAACAAGAAAGAGAACTGTGTTGTGTGATATTGGAATGGGCCTAAAAGGTTTCCTGGATTGAGGCTAGTCGTGCTTGGCCTCCCGGAGTGTCTTCCCACCACCATGTCAACTCGGCACCAGAACGGAAGATAATAGCTCAGCAACAACAAGGCTCTCACTTGCAGGAATGATAAGAAATCTCCGAACGAGAAAAGCGACTTCCTGGCAATGCTAGGCGGTATCATGGCCTTTTCTCCGTGCGCCGGTAACCCTGCCTCCTCATCTCTTACTCCTTGACCTGCTTCAAGGCCTTGCAGGATCCCCTAGACGGCATGGCCTTGGCGCTCTCCAGCACGTAAGATTCAGTCATGATTTATCGAAGCTGCTGTCTTAAAATGGTCGGCTATGGCAAGGTGCTGCGTGGACGGGGAAAATTGAGTAGGATGAGTCACCCTCTTCTTCATGGCCATTCGGAGCGAAGAGTTTCGGGGCGAATTTAGAAACACTTGGATTACCGGCCCTCCGGAGGCCTGAAGTCTTTTGAAGAGACCTCGACGACAATCTTGCCTTTCGCGCGCGAGGTCTTCAGCTTCGCGATCGCCTGCGGGGTCTGTTCAAACGGAAACTTCGAGTCAATGATGGCCCTCACTTTGCCCTCCTTCATCCAGGCCGTGATCTGGGCCAGCTGCTCGGGTTTCGCCTGCGCGAAGAATCCCTGCGACTTTCGCTGGCCGCCACCCAGGAAGGCCGGCCACACGCGCCGCAGAAACGAGTCCCAGAAGTAAGACAGCGTGATGTGTCCAGCGACGTTCATAAACACCGCACCGGGCCTCGTATACTCGTGACATTTCCAGTAGAGCTCGAAATCCATGCCCACGTTGTCCACGACGTGGTCGAATTTGTGGCCACTGGCTTTCAGCGCCTCGAGGACGCCCTGTTTCTTGTAGTCGATGACGCTGTCCGCGCCGAGGGTCTTGCAGAGCTCCACGTTCACCGTGGAGCAGCTGGTTGTGACGGAGCAGCCGAGCGCCTTGGCGATCTGGATTCCGAAGATGCCTGTTCCGCCGGACCCGCCGTTGATGAAGATTTTGTCCCCGGCTTTGACGTAGGGGACGATCGTTTGGTAGGCCGTCAGTCCTGCGACACCCAGAGTGGCGGCGTCGGTGCGGTCGATCCCCTTGGGCACAGCGACCGCTTGTTCTCGCTTGGAGACTGCGTATTCGGCCAGACCGCCGCCCGCCATGGGTACCGTGCCCGTGACGCCATGGACGAGTTGACCCGGTTTCAGGGATGACCCTGCAGCCGGCGTGACGAGGTACCCCACGAAGTCGAGGCCCGGGGTTGCTGGCTTCGGGATGGCCAGACGACTGAGGAGTCGAAGTTCTGCGGGCTTGTAGTCGATGGGATTCAGTGCCACTGCAAGCACCTGCACGAGATGTTGATCGTGCTTTGGCCAGGGTATGGCGGCGGATTGGTTGAGGTTGAGGTTCTTCTCGAGACCGCCATGCGTGCTAGTATATTGCCAGGCTCTCATGGTTGTTGGCCGAGGCATGTTGGGTTCGTGTTGTGGAGCTGCGGAGTGATATGATGCGGGCGGTGTAGCACTATGAGATAGATGCCGGTGTTCTGCTGCAAGCAATCAGTCGTCGTTATATAGCGAGGCAGGGCGGGCATATTGCGCCGTGATGGAGCTGAGAAGCGCCGCGCTGGTGGTGCGACCGATGGCTTCTTGAAGCCATCGTCCGCACTCCGAGGTTGTGGCCCGGGTCTGGCATCTCGGAGCAACATCCCTCCGTTGTGTGAGGTTCGGAGCTCATGGCCAAATGCCGCAAATCACGATGGTATGATTTATCCTTCCCATCGAACAGGCCCAGTTCTATCCGTACGAAGAGGCGTATATTGTGATGCTATTTTGATCAGTTGGAGGCATGATGAAGCCGGTCCTCGAGGTTCGATGCTGGTTGCATTGTACTCGCGGGCTGCGGACCAGATGGGATGTCTGCAGCCTGCGACTCTGTCGACCTTGGCGGTCAGACCAGATAATTCAGGCTGCCAGTTTATCGCCGTGTGTAGCGCCATTGCCATAGTGCTCCTGCACAGCAGTACGAAGGACCTCGTAGTTGTCGGCCTGTTGAAAGCTCAGGGAGGAGATTAGTGAGGCGCTTCTCGATTTGCACCAAACGGCGATGACGCGCTGTTGAAGTGCAGTGACTAACACGCCAAGACCGCGCTTTCCCTCTTTTGGGCTCATACTGCGACGGCCGCTGATTGGCTTCGGGCGCCCACCCCCTGATCTCCGTCTCTGCCTGCGCTCCACGTTACGGCCGATGCTTTGGCTCCCTCCGCCTCATCACTCCACAAAGAAACTCGACCAGTTTATCGACTTATCCCTGGTTCATTCCCGTCTCTCGCAAGATGAATACCCGAATAGGCTTGGAACACGACAAGGCCCGCCGCCGCATCGTCCTTGGATCTTTTCCGGGGCTCGTCCCGGACCACTTGCACGGTGTCTGCGACGTATTCGACGCCCGGTTCCCACGTGCAGTGAACAGGGGCAGAAGACAAGATGCTGTTCAGCCCTGTCTGCACCGCCCCATACCCTGATCTATTGGTCCAGACACCACGGCCGGAGACCTACGGCCTTATCGCTAGTGCATTGATGTCCATGACAAGATCTATGGCCTTGCCTGATCGGGTGCTATACTGAGACGATGCCAAGCAGCTCCAAAGCTCGTGCACTACGCCCAGGTATTCATTCACAATGCATCAGGCCTGCCAGCTGGTACTCTGTGCCTCTTCATCTATATATTCTCCAGGGACCCTCGAAATACAGTCAACCTCGACACCAACAGAGAAGCTGGCCATCCCAAGCAATCTAACAACCATTCAATCTTCACACAGGCGACCTTCAAACACAGCAGTAATCCCCTTGTATCACCCCTTTCCTACGAGTCACCTCCCCTCTCAATACCACCGCCATGTCTGTCAGCCGCCTCCCAGACGAAACCCTCGTCTACACAACGCCTAGTGGCGTGGTCTACTTTGCCAGCGGCGACAACTCCAACTGCACCGTCTCGGCGTGCCCTATTGAATTGAGCGTCTATGGTTACAGACCATCAATTGCCGCCAGCAGCACCCTCATCGCTCTATACGCCATCTGCATGGGCATCCAAGCTGTAATGGGCTTCCGCTACAAGAAATGGGGATTCATGAGCGCCATGCTTCTCGGCTGCCTCGACGAGATCCTCGGATACGTCGGGCGGATCCTGTATTGGCAGAATCCATGGGGTGACGCTGGGTTCATCATGCAGATTGGTACGTTGCCTACACCCTGCCTGCACCTAGCCTGCTCCTCATGTCTCACTAACACGTCTCGTCTCTAGTGCTGATCACAATCGGACCCGTCTTCTTCTCCGCCGCCATCTACGTATTGCTGGCTCAAATGTTAGTGGTTCCCTCACCACGGAGTCTATCGTACCGTACCCTCAGCTAATCTGAAATACCCCAGTGTCGAATACATCTGCGTCAAGCACTCCCGCTTCGCCCCGAAATTCTTCTACTGGATCTTCATCCCCTGCGACATCATATCCCTCATCCTCCAGGCCGCCGGCGGCGCCATGTCGTCAACCTCCAACGGCAAATCCCAAACAGGCGTCGACATCGCCCTGGCGGGCCTGATCCTCCAAGTCATCACGCTCGTGGTCTTTGCCGCCCTCTGCGTCGACTACGCCGTCCGCAGCCGTTCCGTGTGGATGGCCGTCCGCTGGCCCCGCCGATTTATGCTCTTCTGCGCCTTCCTCACCGCGGCGACGGTCCTGATCCTACTGCGATGCTGTTATCGGGTCTACGAGCTCAGCGAGGGATACTCGCGCGACAGCGAGGCCTTGAGGGATGAGCCCCTCTTCATTGCGCTGGAGTCGGTGTAAGTTTACATACTGCTTTCTCTGCCGACGTTGCGTTGCTGATGATTGTTGATCCAGCATGGTCGTCCTTTCAGCTTACTGCTTGATCGTCGCACACCCCGGCGTCGTCTTCAAGACCGGTGACGAGCACCTCGCGCCGGAGGAGTGGGTCGCCGAGAAAGGCCTGAAGACCGAGGGTGATCCCTCTGGACCTTCCCCTGACGATGTTGTCAGGGTGTAAGCGAGAAAGAGATACTCGACCCCGGATTTTCCGCATGATCGCAGATTCCAATGTTGCGGTTCATTGCGTTCACTCGGGCTGCATTGGGCTGGGCTGGCTGGGGTGGATGTCAAGCATTTACCACATGTGCGACGGGCGTGCTATTTGATGAGCCCAGCTGCGTGACACTTGGATCGCTACTGTGACGCTTAATTTGGCTGCCAGGCTAGCTACGTGGGTAGGTAGCTGACAGGACATTTAGAAGTATGAAGGTTGTGTTTTCGGGGATACATATATTACTTTGGCCCCTGCTTTTCTTGACTCGACTTGTCGAAATTCATGGTCCGCTTGCCTGCCTATCGGCCTGCCACGACATGTTTCGGTCTCATCTACTCTTGCTCTACTCTGCTGTGTCCCCGCAGCCAGAGTCAGTGTACGGAATGACATTATTCGATTCAGTCGGGATAACACCCCGCGAGACGCGGTATACGGTATACAGTTTACAGTTTACAGTACAGCACGGTATATCATGCCAATCCCCATCCCATTTCAATCCCGATCACTAGCGCTATCATTTCTCCTCCCTACTGCGACTCCGATTGCGACTGCCTTACCTCTCGGCTTCCAAGACGATCCCCGGCACAAGCTTCTTCCCCGCGTTCTGAACACCCCTCGCGATCCGGAACTTGCCTCTCGACGCGACAGCCTCGAACAGCGCGCGCACCTGCGCCGCCTCGGCTGGACGATGCCGCATCTCCCATCTCAGGACGTTGAGCGGGAATATGACCCTTGGGCGCAGGTGTTCCGATCGCGCAGCACAGGAGAGTTGGACGTGTCGCAGCAATTGCTGGCCTAGTCGTAGTCTGCGTGTGGAGGCCAAAAATACTGCGAGTTGGGCGAAGAGATCGTGGTGCGAGTGGCTTGTATGGTCCTGATCGCCAAAGTGGTGCTGGACGAGTGCGCTCGCGAAGATGCAAAACGTCAGGTCGAGAGCGAGGAGGATGGCGAGGGTTATGGATTGAGGGTCGTTATCCGCGCGCTTGAGATGGATGTCCTGTTCGTCGGTGGTGTTGTCCTCGTTATACAATTGTTGGTTCTGAATTGATGGTGGATTCGCGACTCGCAATGTCTTCGTCTGCGTCGCTAAAAGCTCGAAGCGCAGGTTCGCAAGGCCGATATAGCATGCTAGTGTTTGCTCGAGGATCTCAATAATGGTCTGCCGCTCCGGGGTTGAATGGTGGAGTTGCTGGCGTCGGTGCTGGGATGGGCCTGGTTTTGACGTTGACGTCGAGAGCGTCTCGCTCCTCTGCATCAAGTTGGCCAATGTGAAGCCATAGTCGAATAATCTCTGATCAAGGGACTTGGAAACTCCCGCCCACGGCACGGTCAACCATTCTGACCCCCCGAGAAACGAGGCGGTGCTCCGCATCAGCGACACAATCATCACGTTGTAGCGTATCGATTCGAGGACCGAGCGGGACATGGGGTCGCAGGTCCGGTGCACACCCCGGAGGTGAATGATACGCGAGATCCCAAGAATGTGGTTCTGCCATGCAGCCATGTCCCCGGACGTGGATTCGAAAGACTCGTACAGGACCATGCATCGCGCAGCGACAAGGATATCGTCGCTGTGAGCGAGATTCGGGTCGTGTAGCGCGGTCTGCATCAAGCGCAGGCTATTGCCGTAGATCTGCTGACCCCTGATGATCAATACTTGGTCATCGTCCAGTCTGCCAATACGGATATACGCGAGGGAGAGTAGCGCTTGCTTGAGCAGCACCGAGGGTGCGGCCGCGGTCATCGCACTGCTGACTGACCGATACAGCCAGGCCGGCTCCCTTGGACCTGGGTATCGCGTGGCACTTGCGGAGTAGGTCTCCCAGAAAGAGGAGATGAGCTGGGTTTCATTGGCTTGACGGGGCGAAGGGTTGAGATTCAGTGGCATGTTCGCATATTGAAGCCCCGATGCAGATGGAACGCTAGTCGTTGGCGCTCTGACTTCCTCTAGTCGTTGTCTCTTTTGGAGTCCCTGTTGGCCGCGATTGATGAAGACCGCATACCGCTCGTAGCCTTCGCATTGTCTGCTGGATGAGACGCAGCGTCGACAATGCGGCTTCTCGAGATCGCACTGGAGTATATCAGAACGCTTGTTTCCAGCGCATCTTGGGACAATGATCCCCATACCCGGACCTTTCTCCTCCTGCAAGTGTTGCAGCCTTGAGATTTTCCTGGCACCCCAACCATTGCTTACTTGCCTCACAAAGGGTCGCACGTTTCAGGAACGGAGAGTCCATATCTCTTATTTTGTGCTCCATGATCCAGGGCTGTTCGAGTACTGCCTGACATTGAGCCGGTCAGGGTCACGGCTGTGGCTCAGGGCCTGATGCGTCGTGGCGCGCCTGAGATCGAGAAATGAATGCAACGAGAGGAAAGGTATTCGATCCAGGGAAACAAAGCTTGTCCCGACTCCCACGCCTAACTTGAAGCAGGTGCCAAGCTGCGAGACATGCAATCCGAGATTCCAGTGCGTGTAAGCCTCCGTACGTATGTACATTTGTAAGGACGAGTCTTCATTGGAAACTATTTAAAGCTTCCTTCTGAGATGCATTTCTTGAACTTCCCCGTCGGCAGTGAGATGTCAGGAACAATCGCCAGGGAGAGTGGTCGACAAGAGCGCATCCAGACCTGACACTATTCCCGCATCCCTAGTAAGCACGGCCGACTTATACACCAACAAGTGAACCTCATGCTTGTCTTCTCACCTGATTCCTCTTAACGCAGCTACAGCGAGGATCAGGAACGCTGAGCGTTACGTGACAGCTCGGTGAGAGATGTGTGACTCCCAAATAGGTGACGTAATTGGTCAACCCCGCGGTGCCGCCAGTACCTCGTACCTTTTGGCTGACTACTCCGTACCACAGCCGCAGGTTATTCGTGCAGCAGGAAGGACTGCCTGACAGCTGCGACACGCGATCGCCATGGCGGCTGCCTGCTCAGGCAACAGACGGGCAGGGCGCAGTGGATTGGCGACTGTTGGGCATCAACGAGGCGTACTGCTGCCTAGATACACCAGGCACAATTGCGCTTTTGTACGATTCACTAAGTAATTTGCACTGCGTCGACGACTCCCCCCTTGGTCTCATTTACTGCCCACGCGGACCATAGCGAATCACTTGTGTGAGCTGGATGTGATTGCCATACCATGTCTACTATCCGATTCTTTGACTCGACCCCTCATATCGTCCGCTATGGCATGCAGGACGAGCGTGAGGGCAAGTCCTGGATGCTGTTCTGGCGCAACGCCGTGTGTTTCCGCGTCTCGGTTTCACGCGAAGACGTCAAAAATACCCTGTTTGCAACGAGATGGCTTGAGCTTAACAAGGAGCCAGCGCCCAGAGTCGAAGGTATGAAGAATTGGGTTGAGCGATGGAACAAGCTGTGTGACTGCATCATCAGCCAGTGTATGCCCGTGCTGGAAGAATTGGCTCCCCCTACCCGGCAATGGAAAACACTCGAGGACCATTTGCGCACCCCGGCGTACGAGTTGCAAATGGTGGCATCTCCGGGGACCGGCGATGCGGTGGCAAAAATCACGAGCGGCCCAGTGGAGAAGCCATCTTACGAACACCACCTCCTGCCATTCTCCGACTTTGAGTCGATCCCAGAGGATCTCCCTCGGTACCGAGCGCGAGATCTGGTTGTTCTGGGACAGGAGAAGGACTGGCGCCATCCGCCGGCCAAGGTGCTGACACAAGATGGCAGAGTGCGATACTTCTTGTCCTGCAACAAACCGACGAGGAACGTCAGCAATGGTGAGATCTCGAATGCCTCATTGAACAAGATCAATGCGTATGCTCTACTGCATTTAAAGTTAAACGATGGCGTAGGTGGACACATTCCGCAGCTTCTGGGTGTTGTGGTCAGCGACGCAGGTGGAGGACTTGAGCACCGGGGCGCACAAGGTTATCCATCAGCAACAAATCAGCCAACAGGCGAGGAGACAGGGAAAGAGTTGCTGGTCGCTGGCGTTCTCCTCACCTATGTGTCAAAAGCCAAGACGTTGGCAGTAGTGGAGGGACTGTTTGCCGGCCAGAACGACTCCGCCGAGTTCCTAAAATGCAAGGAGAAATGGAGAGGGCAGATATCTTCTGCAGTCAAACTTCTACATGAACATGGTATTGCCATTGGACATCGCTTGCACGCCGACAATCCAAGGTCCTATATTAACCAGCACACCGTTCATTTCGCACCGATTGAGTCCGGAGGAGACACAAATGATGTGGCTGGCTTTCGAACGACAGTCACAGCCGCAGACGCTTGGTTGATGCTGGCGGGAAACTGTGCAGTGCTTCCCCCCGCAGATCAACAGCGAGAGCTGGACAAGCAGAATTTCGAGGAGCAGAAGACGATGGACTGGAAGGCTGTTGACAAGTTGTTCCAGTTATGAACCACAGTCTCGCCTTGTTCTGCTGGGAAGCCGCCCACCATGTACAGTCAGGGCGTTGAACGGCGCTCGAAATGATATCATCGAAGATACCAACTCAAAACGTTGGAGTCCTTCAACGGCCAAGTGAGGGATGCGAGGTAAGTCTTTACTTGACTGGGTATGTGTGGACGTGAAGGAGAATGTTGTATGTTGTTCCACACGTGAACATAATTTCGGAGTCACCTGCTGTGAGGATGCTCCGGTCGAGCACTCAGCCCCTTCAAGGAAATGCTGTCATTAAATGGACAGGTGAGAGACTAAGTAAGATGACCGATTGGGAGATTGTCTGCTCTCAGCATAAGCTGTCTCTCTTCTCCTGCTTCACAACTTCCATATCCTAGCTGTGTACTCGACATCTTCCTGCAATCGGGGTCCGGGTTTTCTTGTCGCGGACCGTCAATCGGTCTCCAAAAGATAATTAACGGTCTTTCCCCCAGACCGGTAAGCATGGAGACTCCGCTGCCTGAGATTACATTCCCACTTTGTCGTCAATCCCTTGGCTATTGTACCTTGTCTGGTCTTCTGGCCACCACCTCTTTGATCTAATCTTATTCGTGGGAACCTGGAGGCTGACCCGTTCCCACTTGCCATCTCGCGGAAGAGTGCTGTCTTTGGCGCAGTTACCCTTCCACCATTTCAGGCCTCGAGGTCTACCTTTAATGTCCTTGAACAATTTGGTAGCCACCACTACTCAGTTCTTGGTAACTCTTACATACAAGACTGAGACATTATCAGCTGTTGCCAATTGATGAACGCATGCGCGTCTCCAAGGTTGCACCGTCAAGTCTTTCTCCCACTTCAGAAAGGCATCACTGCCCTTGAGTGCACTGTTAGGGCCACGCCGCATAGTATACACATGACCTAAGGTCGCGGTCGAGATGCCCAAAGCGCCCGAAGTCCATACCGCTGCAGCGGCGTGTTCAAGCCATGTCAGCCAAGCAGGATGATGGGGAGTTTGGGGTGGATGACATCTCTCTGCCCGAGGTCAGATTGCAGCAGCTTCAACAGCCGCAAGACCTGCAGTGACGCACGTGGAAGCGACGACGGGGTCGTGGCGTACAATAGGCGTCAACTGCATGATCAAGTCTCGTGGACGCGGCGGCGATGGAGGGCCTTGTTGTCGACGCCGGGGGTGCCCTGACCATCCCCTGGCATTTTGGCCCCTCGCCCTTTTTTTGATGTTGCATGCGCTGAAGACATCCACCACCATGTTGACCTCATGGCCGCTTGTTGACGTCGCGGGTGCCGGCAGCATCAAGCGGCATTATCATTAACCCTTGCTCTGTCTCCGCTACAACAAAGACACAAATCTTGGGCGCAATGGGCGACATGGAGTTGGCGCCTGCAGTCACAACCCCCGAATACTTCTTTGTCTGGACTATGTTCATGTTCGAGGGATGGGCTTTTGTTCCAAGGTGTCTACACAATCAATGCCTTGGACAAGATTGAGACACCAGACAATGAAATTGCATACGCTTTATGTTTCCAGCATGCATAAGTACTGGTCTTCCATTCTGGCCAGCGACTCGAGAAGTCCTCCTCGCCCGAACAGAAAACAACAACGCCCTTTACCGCCGCTGTCACGAGAAGACGACGTCTTTCATATAGCAAGTTATCAACCCCTTGAAATACCAGCATTCCACTAACCTCCATTAACTTCAGTATATTGAGAAATAAATTGCAATGGCCGCTACCACCACTAATGCACCGGGCTGGGCCTTTGGGAACGCAGTCCTCGTGACAATCGATATAGAGATCCATTGTCGCAAACACTACCCGAAAGTTGGGTCTCCACAGGATCGTGTCTCCGAGGTTGGGGTTGCCTCATTCGACCCCCATCGCGTTCGCTTCGCAGATGCCGGGGATCGGGCCAAAAACACGTGGGGCTCGATCAAAGCCTGCAACTTTGCCATCACTGAGAACACACATATTCTCGGTGAAGGATCGCATGCCCGGCACTGCCGAGACCGGCACTGGGCGCTCGGCCCCGATGCCGGCGTCAAAGCGACAGACTTCGACTTTGGCAAGCTGTACAACGTCTCCCGGGTCCACGTGAAGAAGGCCTTTGTGAACAAGATCCGCACCCTACTAGGCGACCATCCCCCCTTCAAGACAGACACCCCCTACCACAACAATCGCGAGGTCGTGTTCCTCTTCTTCGATCAGCACAATGATCTCCGCTGGCTCCAGAGCCTGGATATTAACCTCTTGGTCGAGTTCCCGAACTCGCGCATCGTCGATATCCAACGCGGACCTCTTGCTGCCGCGATTGGAAAGCACATGCGTGGCAAGGACAAGATCAGTGCCGAAGATCTGTACAAGTATTTGCGCTTCGAGACGGTGCACATGCACAATGGTGGGAACGACGCGGTCTGGGAATTGCGAGCGTACCTTGCTGAACTTACGCTGACAGATCCGCAGACTCACAAGACGCGCATCCCCGACGAGGCATCGACGCTGAACAAGGACGGCGTCGTCGTCAAAGAGGAACCTACCTACATTGCCGCTCCGGAGGTGATTGTCGATGGAGAGGTATGGGAGTTGTAAGCGAGCCAATCCATTTTGTGCGTGTTCTAACCTACCTGAAGGTGTATCTTGTGACCGTCACAAGGACCACTGCCACAGCCTCGTCTGCCAGCCTCGCTCGCCATGCTGTTCTCTTCACCGCAAATGCCACGCTCTGATGGGCCGAATTGCACCCAGATTGCGAGCCGGCGCAATAACGCCTAACTGCGCAGAGTGGTATTTACTCTTTCCATCTAGACCTCTCCTATATCCCCTTATTCTTCCCCTTTGTGATGTCGTACATCGATAGCAAATCTTTCAGCTGTCATACAAGTCAAAGCACTGTGCTGAGCACTTACCGTATAGTTCCCCCTCCGTATGTACATCATATCAACTTCGTTGCGGGGGGGCATCCTCGTTGCGACAATTGGCTCAAGCTTTATGCCCGCCTCAAGATGCCAGGTACAGTATGTACAGAGTAGCTCATGATGGACACTGTCGGCGTCAACAAGAGAGTGTAGGAAGTCCAGCCCCAGCGCTTGAGGGTGTACCTCGTACCAAGATCTGAATTTGAGGCCTCTCCGCGCCTCATTGTGCGGTTGCAGCTTGTCTAGGATTCATAATCATCCTATCCATATTACGGAGTACACAGCACGACGTTGAACAGTCGATTAATCATGCAACGTCGCCGACGTACCGTGATAATTATGACATGTCTTATTGCAGGCAAGCTGGCGCGAGGATTATCCAGCTATCAAACTCCCAGCTCTCTATCTTTTCATTTATTCATCCATTCCTCCATTCGTCCCTTCATCTCTCCATTCGTTCCACCCTCTGTTCCGCCCTCTGTGATGACCAAAACGTTGTCAAGAGATCGACGTGGGATCTCTGGAAGCGGCGGGAGAAAAGAAATATGGCCTAATTCATTAGCTTCCTACTCCGTACGGAGTACATACATATTCCCGACAACCTCTTTCGTGTCTATCCATTTTCTGAACGGAACTGCTCGCGATCTACCACTGCCATCATCACTTCTGGAATAAACATCATTAGCACTAAGAGGTCAAGTTACATGGTCACGAAGCAGAGGTCACAAAGTCTGTAGTCACGCAGGAGATACTACATAATTACAGTGTACCATTGGAGTCGCGCCAAACTGAACCTGGCGCTGAAGTAATACCGGATATGAGCAGGGACGCTCCCTTGGACGCATCAGATCAGAAGGTTGCTAACCTCCAGCCGTTCGAACCATGTTCTACACGCTTGAGAGTCTGTTCTGTGTGTTTACTGCATTAGCTGCGTAGAGCGGCCGGGGATCGCAAAGCGTGTTTCATTACGAGGATTCAAGGGGGTAGTGTAGTATAAACTGCAGGTGAGCCTTGTTTCTATACAGTTCACATGCATATCCGTGGCCATATCCATGGTCATGTCCAAGTCCATGTTCATATTAATCTTGCATATTCATCAATTAGATACGTATCATATGTTCACATATTCCTATCATACATGGACAGACGAGGATTCGCCAGAAACTCGCGCGGCTGGTGCTGTGGTTCCGACCCCATTATCGGCAACGGCCAATCATGCCTTGACTGCGGGAGGGCAGTCATGGTCGAGGTCGAGTTCGAGTCCGAGCGATCGTGATCTCTTGTCTCTGTGACCGTGTCTGTGTCTGAAAAGGGGTTGGCCGAGGCGCCGCTGGACGAGTACTCGGACTCGGCCCCACCACCTTTGTGACCGTACACTCGCATGGGGATCATCTTCTTGCCGTCCTCCGAGGGCCGGAGTGTGAGATGTCTCGTGCCGGTCCCGTCACCCCTGCCGGTGGAGGAGGTGTCGCCGCCTCGGAACCAACTCTGCTGGGAGACGGACCTTTCGTCCCTGTTGAGCCAGGTGAGGCGACGACTCGATCTGTCTCTTTCGACATCCGGAGTCTGACGGCTCGGCTGATCTCGGTCGGTCGAGTACGTCCCATGCTCGACGTCCTTTGTTGGGAGTCCGTGCCCGGGACCGCTCTCTTGGCCGTATGCGCGCCGCCGTCGCGAACTCCTGGCAAAGCTGCTGATCGAGTCGACGAAAAAGTGCTGAAAGAAGGGCTTCAGGCTGGGCGCGCTGGCCGCGAAGAGGGCGAGGTACAGTTCCAGCACGGCCCACACCCACGTCAGCCACAGCTCCCAGGTGAAGTCGTAGTCGACGTTCAGGAGCTCGTACATCAGGATCGTACGCACCACGCCCGCCGCGACGGCCATGAAGCCGAGCGCAAAGAGCGCGTACAGCGCGAATTTCTGCCGCCGCGGCAGTTCGAGGTAGTACACGAGGATCAGGGGCAGGAGGGTGCTGTAGAAGTCGCCGGCGACACTAAAGGCAGAGGAAGCCGGGAGGGCGGCATTCTCCGACACGCAGTGGAAGCGGTGCGTCGCGGCCCAGACGGGGTTGAAGCTGTCCCAGTAGGCGTGCAGCGGGTGGCACATCAGCAGCAGCGTGAGACCGAACGAGACAAAGTACAAAATGTTGTAGACGATGCCGATCCACGTGGCGATCAGAAAGGCCTTGCTAAACTTGACGCTCAGACGGCGGTAGAACAGCAGCACCGAGATCTTGATCAGCGTGATGCCAATCACATAGCACCACAGGCTGGCCCAGATGTTGATGCGGCCGCCTACGAAGCTGCTGGGGGGAATATCCCAGACGTGCCGGCCGCTGTAGTAGTCTTTGTTGCCTATGATGACGAGGACGTTGAGAGCCGTGAGGAACCCAAGCGCGATCATCACAAGGAGATCGTCAAATCCGGGCGCCTTGGTGATGAAAAGTCGCGAATATAGCCTCGCTATGCCGGTGACGAGGCCGATGGCGCCGAAGATAATGCAAATGTAGATGAGGCCGGGACCTCTGGTGTCGGGATCGGCATAGTTAGGTTTCGGCCAGGTGGCAATGACGGAAGGGGGAGCTGATTGAGGGCCAGTCGGTCAGTACTCGTACATACTCGCTGCTCTAGAGTCCACATGGTTGCGGGACGATGAAGGGTGACAACTCACGGTGCAGTGTGTCGACCATTCTGGGTGCAGTTGAGACTCGCGTATTAGGACTGTGGGTTGTGCTCGCGCTTGCGCTTGTTTTCCGCGCCAGAAATCTGCCTTTGGAGAGACCCTAGCCGCCGTGGTGCATGCGATAGAAGAAGCCTCGGGCAGAGCGTCCAGAATCACACACTATGGACTTTGCGACACGAGACCCTCATTGCTCGGTGGGAGGATTGGTTGGGGATGATCGGTCCAAACTGCAGTGGACGGAATGCGCGTCGGGTATCCTCTCCAGTATGGAGCAACGTTGCAGTGTACAATGCGCAGTGACGACGGTACAGGCGCTGGTTCTGGTGCTGGTACTGGTACTGCTGAAGCCGATCACCAGCAGTCAAAGTCAGTAGGACAATGAGGCAAATATGATACAAAGGAGAGGAAAAGAGGGGGTTTGCTGAAATCAAAAGCAAAAGCAATGGTCAACAGAGAGATACGAGCCCTATGGGAGAAATCATTTCCTTACCTCCCGGTTTGGGGACAAATGTTTCCCACGCGCTCTCCTCCGTTCCCGTAGCTCTGGCAGCCCTGGTAGCTCTGACTAGGGTGTTCGGGACTTGCTCAGGCAAAGGAGTTGGGAAGGATTTGCATTATGGATCCACCGAGGCTGGACGCCTACCGGGTACTGGGCACGCATGTCGTATACCGGTTATCCGTATACCCAGTACCCATGTCCTCGAGGACGAAAAGAGCACTCTTCAAGCCTTCGACAAGAACAACTTGGGATTGAGATGCATGGCAGCTTGGTTGAGCTTGCAAGGCTGGTCCCTCCCGAATAATCAGTCGTGCAAATTAGTTAGTTCGCATGGAGATCAGAGGACATCCAGGTCTCCGCCCCAAACGGTCGGGAGCCGGCGCTAGCCTTGAGCGGCGAATAGAGACAGTCCCCTGGCCCCTGGAACTTGCATGGGGGATCAGCCAGTGTCAGGGACACAGTCTGCGGGGAAAGGAAAAGCCACCGAGGATCATTACTGACTAGGCGCGTTCTGCGGTGCCCAAGAGGGAGTGGGAATCTTACCACGGCTGTGCCTTGCAGAATTCGATTGCAGAACACGCGGCTCCGCTTTTTTCCTCGCTATTGGATTTGAATTCCACTCCACGAGGGTTAGGTCAGTGCTCGACCTGACGCCATTACGTAGTAGCGATGGGTATACTCCCGACGGGCTGTTGAACGATTTTCGTGGCTGGCGCATCCTTGATTCACTAATGTTGCTCCAATTTCAGGCGTGCAGTGGCTCCTGGAGACTTTAGGCTTCCTGACTCGACTCGTTAGGTCCCAGTGCGAGCACGTAGTGGGAATGGCGACCGACACGTTGTTATTGCGACATCCGGGTTGATCGCCAAACAAGTAGCTCGACAACGTGCCGCGCCTGTATGGTAAGAACTCGTGGAGTCCTTGATGATGTGGTAACAAATAAGAAAGCGTGCGATTCGTGAGGATCTGCGGTGATGCCAAAGGCTTCGAGTCTCGAGTTGCTTATCAGCAGTGACAAGACAGCTTGAATGAGCGCTCCCTTTTAAGCTGCACAAATTCCCCACTCACACAATTTTTATTTGCCAGCGGGATGGCGAAGGAGTTCCCTGGTCGCTCCAAGTGGAAAGTGAGAACGAATTTCGCTCGGGATGGCACGAGTATCCCGCGGAAGCAACCAGTACCCCATTTACATAACAGTCGCTGAGGAACTAGTACCGATCTATAATCCGTAGTGCTCGATGATCCACTCAGGACGTGATTGAATATGGTGCCACATTGGGATCCAACGCCTGCCACACAAACGGCATGCCTTGGGACAGCCCATCCTGATCAAACTTTCGCGCCGCAACCTGTTGGCTGAATGCCTGCATGCTGCTGTAGAAAGTTGCAGCCGCCGTCCGAGTGGCGGCATTCATGCGGTTTAACATCGCAGAATCGTCAAACATGTGCATCAGCGTGCGGTCCGAACCGACGAAGAAAGGGCGCACGAAGATTGCTGCCGTGCCGAGTTGCTGTTCAACCTGGTCAAGTGGTGGAAGAAAGTCGACCACGTTTGTGACACCTTTGGATGATGGAGGTGGCTGATAGAGCGCCGGGGTATGGAAAGGCAGTGTAGAGCTGACAGACAATAGCTCATTGGTATTGACAGTGTGGTGCGACGTGGAGACAAGGTGAGCCTATTAGAGAACGTGTCAGCAGATCCATCGATTGCATACGGTCAAGTGAGGTAGCTGCTAGGCTTACCATGTGCGACAAGGCATCAATCAGGGCGCTTCTAGTTGTGATCGACGGGAAGTTGATCGCTTTCGCAGGTCCTTGCGCGTCTTTCACCCATGCTTGCATTTCCTTGTCGGCTGTAACATCCGAGTCTTTGAAGTAATACGAGTTGACGAAAGATGTCATGAAAGCATGAATGGCGGTGTAAATCGTCGAGGCGTCTTCGTAGAAAGGAAAGTGTTTCAAGGATGGGCCGAATTTGGAGTTGATCAATCCCCGAGACTCAAGGTCGGTGGTGAAATAATTGGCTTGGAACCGGCCGCTGCCACTGTTGTACAAGCCTGTGGTGTAGTCCCTCGCCGAGCTGCCTGTGTACGCGAAGACCTGGTCAACGGCGGCGCCAGGAGCAAACAGAAGAAGCTCGGCCAGTGGTTGGATTGCGTAAACCTCATACATGATTCGGTTCAGCAAGGCAAGAACAGGGTGTTCGTCGCTCAAGGTGCGGATGGCAGCCAGGTACGCGATTTGGACAACCTCATGGGTGCTCGCAAGGTGGTTCCACTGCGCAAACCAGAAATCGTTGACATTGTACATGATCTTTGCGAGCAGCCAATCGTCCGGCTCATCCATGGGTGTATAGACCAAGCTAGATCCCACGTTTGTGCGAATGGCGAGCGGCAAGAAGTCCCCGGACGTCTGATCAATGTAGAAGTAGGCGTCGCAGGCAGCGGAAAATCGTTTGGTAGGCGTGAGATTCTTCTGGTTTCGATAATCCGCATAGAAAAGGCGACCACTCTGAAAGAGCTGCTGGAGCGTCATGCCTGTGACATTCCTTGCAACATCATCGTCGACGTTGAACTGTAATGTATCTGTCGAAGGATTGAGCCCATTGGAAGGTTTGAGCCTTCTCACTTGGTATGGGCTGATCGAAAGGCGCTCCATTGAGAACAGCAGGTCTTGGGTGTAATTGGTCAAGATGCCCGGGACGGGTCCATTAGGGAGAGTGTTCTTCCAGTGGCCATCGTATAACAGGGTATAGTCGTCCAGCGTCTGTAAGCCATTATACTGTGGAGCCGACAGTGTGCTGTCGGTTCTATCGAGCGTCATGGCGGCAAGGATAGGCACCTCGTCGAGCTGGATCAAAGCCTGGTCCGCGGCGACCTTGACCAGGCCTAACGCGCCGGTTGGGAAAAAAGGACCCCCTGCAACTGGAGGGCCATACAAATAGCCAACCTGCTTGGCGGTGATATCTAGACCTCTTGTCAGGGACGTGAGAAGACCAGTCTTCGGCAGAGAATAAGGCGGATTGAGTGAACGGCCCTCTAATGTCGATGGCCTGGGCACCGCAAGAGACTCGACTTCGCAAGTTTGAATGGCGACCAGCGCGAGAAGACTGGAAACGAGTGGACGGAGATTCATCAGGAATCGCCACAATTGTTAGCTGCCAGCAAAGCTTCGAAGCTGCCTTGCGCGTCGACAGGAACAACCGCCGCTCTCATGAGTGCCATTGCGCACGTTCTTGTATAGTCGCGATCCAGCGTCTTCACCCTGCCTCGGTCCCACGGCCATGTCACTGCGACGCCGATATGGGCCCAACAAGTGCAAGGGGCATAGTGTTCAGGAAGCGAAATTGCGCTTGTTGCTGAATCAGGCGAAGGCGGTCCGCCGATCAGCAGTGCGCGTCAGACACGGAAACTGCGGCGAGTCTAATTAACACAAAGTAGGCAGCAAGTGAGGGCACCACCTCCACGCACCTCGTCCCTTGCGGACAGTCGGCCCCAGTTCTGGCGTGGTCACGTGGACGGTCGCCAGCAACTTTCACTTTGCCCTTACCAGCACCTCACCTGTGTTTGATTGCTCAATTAAACCAGACTGAACGAAGGCGTCAAGAAGGCTTGAATGATCGACTGATTCGGACTCAAATCCAACGACGTGTTGCTTCCATTTTGCTTTCGAACTCGCCTTATCACTATGGACACACCGCTATCAATTCAGATCCACCCGGCCTCCAAGCGTGACTATCTCGTTGAGAACTCTCTGCACCGCGATAGGATATGGAACCCTACACGAGGAAAATCCTGGAACGGGACGTCGTGATGTCAGCATAGCATTGATCACAGCGATGAGCGTGAGTGAACCGGGGTGGACCGCACCATTACTGGGACGCAAACCGCAGAACAGAGACGGGAGAGCGCGGCTTCATCAGCGCCCAACTATAGCACCCCATCCTCCATCCTAGTCGGTACGGAGTACTTGCATGAATATCCAGCAGGATGTGTTCCAGAATTGCGGAGTTATACGGAGTAATTGGCATTCATTCGAATCAGCAGCCATCACTCATATCTCCGACTGGTTGCCGCGAGTGTTAGATGTGTCTCCCAAGGACGAATGGATGAAGGAGGCCCCTTTCACACGAGTACTCATCATGACTTGGACTGAGTTTTCTTCCATTCCGGTGCAAAATGTGCCTCTCGCGGTAAACAAGGAGTGAACCGCTCCGGTATCAGCTCAAGTAGGAATTGTTGATGGAGGATAAATGGGAGAACAACAGGGAACAATGAGGAGGATACTCCTGTCCTCCTCTCCTTTTCTGCAAGCCTCATCGCGTTTCGCATCCAACCAGAATGGGGACAGCGACGGTGGCTATAGAGACTGGAGGGGGGCGTTCGCCTCTGATCGGAGGACCTTGCTGATATGTTACAAGCTGCGACAAACGTGTGGGCTTTCCGATACTGGTGTCCTCGCAGATGTCCTCATTGCTGATGATCCAGATCCAGTGTATACCAACGGTAGTCCTTTGAACAGATATGATCGAAGCCGTCGCGACATCTTCGTGGACGCTGTAAATTCGCTTGTTCAGTAAATCTGCGAGTGCTGTGTGAGAGAAGCCTTGGACGCCTGCACCAGACTGTTCTGTTCTGAAGAAGTTTGTGGAGTCCGATGTCGAGGACAAGGAACGGATGCGACATGACGCGCCCCTTTCCCCATTGAGATGCTGTAGTTGGGACATTTGCCATCACGCCCGATCAGAGATCTTTTCGAGCTCTGTTTCCCCACGCCCATAGCCCTTCTCATCCTCTTGACGCCGCTCAGCTGCCACCCTCTGCTCCTCCTCCATCTGCTCATTTTCCTCGGCCTCTTTCGTCTTCAGCTCCTTCAACTCCTTGCAGAACCTGCTATTGTCCCTGATGCGATCGCCGAACCTGATAAATGCAAATGGGATGATGCACATGCCCATACTCAAAAACCCGAGCAGACTGCACGCCCAAGCAATCCCAAGGTTGGAAAACATGGAATGCGCGGCGAGCGGGAGAACTACTCCGAAGACGCTCCTGGCTGTACTGGCCATGCCTTGGGCACTAGCCGCAAAGGTCTGGTAGGCGTCACTAAGATAGTTGAGTAAAGCCATAAAAATCAAGGTAAAGCCGGTCCCGAAAGTTATGCCTGAGGTCACAGGCGCCAACCAAAAGGTCCCAGGTCTCGCGCTCCACCCAACCCAGAACAGCGAGACAACGTACATCGGCCCACCAATGCAGGCGAGAGGCAACCGTCTGTACTCTTCCTGCTCAGCCCATTTTGCATTTCTCTTTCTCGCTTTTGCCAGATAAGAATCCCACCAAAGGTATACTGGCATGGCGAGAACGGACCCGACACCGATGGGAATGAAAGCGAGACCAGCCAAGCCGTATGACCATCCATAGACTGAGTCTGGCCCGAGGAAGATGTATGGATATGCTTCGAAGTAGAGGTAGAAGATGCCGTACGCCAGCGCACAGTATGCACAGACACACATGACAATGACCTCTTGAAACAGCATGCGGTAAGGGCGAGTCATGACGACGGTTATGACATACCGAAAGTCCTTCTTCTGGGCGTCCGTTTTGGCGACGATGTTCGGATCCCCTGTCTCTCTGCGCAGCCTCGCTGCTTTGCGGCTCAGGAGCAGAGGTGCGTAGGTCTCTGGCATGAACGCAATAACAGGTATGGTTGCAACAGCCATGAGTGTCCCAACGGCGAACACCCATCTCCACGACGTGTTTTCAGCGATAAAGCCAGAGATCGATGGTGCCAGCGCTGGCCCTACGGCGGTGGTACTCATAAAGAGGGCCATTACAAGTCCACGCTCTCTCGGATCGTCGTACACGTCCGCATATAATCCGCCTGTGATTGCGATCGGGCCAGAAAATCCGATTCCACATAGGAAGCGAAAGAAGAGTAGAGATGGCCAATTCGGAGCGACCGCGCATGCCATGCTGAAGACTGTTGCGGTGGAGAAAAAGATCAACATCACTCGCTGCCGGCCATTATTCTCGGACAAAGGACCGCAAAGCGTTGGCCCAACGACATATCCGGCGAGGAAACAAGATATGGGAAGTGGTATCTGGACCGACTGAGTCACATTGAATCGAGCAGCGATGAAATCGATCGCTCCGCTGGGAAGGGAAGAGGAAAAGGTGCTGTTCATGACGGCCATAATGCCAGCGAAAAAGACGTAGAGCTTTTTGCGTCGCGGGAAATTATACGGGTTGTCTGGATCCGTGGAGCTGAAGGATATGATTTTTCTCGAGTCCACGCTCTTTTCTTGGGTATCATCTGGTGCCACGCTGGGCGGCTGTCCGCTTGTGAGAGTGTCTTGCGAGGCATCGGAAGGGTCGAAATCGGACCTGACCCCTGCGAGAATGTTAGAGGCATGACTCCCTCCAACACGCAGGGCTGTTACCTTGTGGAAACTGAGACGCGCTCAAGTGATTTCTGGAAGAGATCTGCTCCTCATCGTGAGTATCAAAACCCATAACCAAGCCCAATCACCTAGAGATGGAACGATAGCGGCAGAACAATATCAAACGCAGGACACAACTCAGACAAGCAGCAACAACGAGAGACAAAGGAATTGGAAGTGGAAATTACTGGACCGCTGAAGATAGAGAACTGTGATATTTTGCGCGGTGCAAAAGTCCGCCCACCGGAAGCATGAGAAATGTATGGAGTACATCGGTATTCTGAACGGGGTGAAAGCATGGTCACGCCATGCCGCAAGGAGAACGATCAACGCCCAATCCACCATCGCGACGGACCGTGTAGTGTCCCTTGGTAAGCCACTGTCATTGAAGACGAAGCTTGCAAGAGAAAACACAACCGAAGCGGTGGAGGGGATCGGTTATGACGGCAAAGGACAGATGGAGAAATTCATTCAAAAAAGAGTAGAACTTGCAGACGGACCTGACGCAACTCCAACTTTGGTGCGTGCGGAGTAATTCAGGCCGAGGGTCAAAGACCGATTTTGAGGCAGGCCGCGCGATGTTGGATTGGACACATGAGCAAACAAACATTAGGACCCTTGATCATGGCGATAGACCTAGGGAATGCTACGGAATGGATGGTCGATTCCCATCATGGATTTGATGCGCCTGAACGCCATACGAATACAAAGCTGATCGCATCTCGCATCCTAGTTCCGTTCGGCGGTAGCTGGTTGTTCTCAAACTATCTTCGCATTGCCCTCAGAACTTCTCCGTGGCTTCTCATCGCTATGCTGGACAGCAGGATACTCAGGCCGTCCTGCGACAACACTTTCATAACTCGGCAGTTCGGGTACCTCAGCCTGCTGTTGCTTTCGAGGCCGACGAGAACTGACAACGGTGGGTTTGCCATGGACATCCGAGAATTGTTCTTCGGCGAGGCGTGCCTTCTCTCGCTTCTTCTCTTTGCGCTCGTGAACGGCATGGCTGATAAGCATAGCGGAGCCGACAATGATAGAGGCCATATCGAGGGTTGAAGTGAACTGTAGATAGATTCGCAGGATTCACTGGGTCAGGCAAAAAAGAACTTGTGCTGGCTGCTGTTCGTGTATGGCACAGCTCAATATTGCTTCGGTGGTAGTTAGGGATTGAGATATGATGCTCGAATGATTATTGTGCAAGACATTGTTTGCTTCTTTGGCTTCTCGTCCTAATATATATCTACGCGCGATGTCTGCCGTGTTCATTAAGTATTTGTGGTCAGTTGCCACCCATTGGCCAGTCATGAAGTCATGGAGGTAGTCGTCATTTTGGGTTTGCACCGCCGCTTCTCTGGCGCCCAAGCCTCCGTAAAATGACAAATGTCTGGACTCGCCTGCGTTCGCCTCTGCTCGCCTTTGCATAGCTCTGCGCTTGCGTATTCGCTTCACTCGTCCCGCTCGAGAACATCCATCATCTCGCTAGCGAAGTCTACGTACCAAGCTGCGTATTGTTCATGATATACGTCCGCAAGGAAGCAGGACGTGCAACGGAGCAAAATTGTGGTGCATCCGATATTGAAATTCCACCTGGCTGAAATCAAACAAGGAATGAAGCACGGCGTCCTGCGCTCAGCCTCAGGTATTGTACACTGCTTTAATGTTACAACAAGCTCTGTCATATCCTCGTGGACACTGATAGTCCTCAAATCCAGGTGTTGTTCCTAGGTTCTGTTTTCCGTCCCTCGTACCAATGCACGTCGTCACAAGTCACGGCAGCTGGCTGCCAAGAGAGCTTTCGCAGCCCCAAACCCCCATGCAGTATGTTCATCCAGTCCGATTTGCAAGTCGCGGTGCGGCTGGCGTACTCGGAGGTGTGCGCACTTCTGTGCTCCATGATCGCGATCCGGATATGTCCACAATTGGAGAATTAGAGGCAAGGTCGGACTCACCTGAACGACTGTTAGAATAATCTTCGCCAAGGAGCTGAAGAACGAGACAACGTCCACTTACCCAAAGCACATGAACTTCTTCCAACCCTTGCTTCCTCCTGTCCTCCGGTTCAGGCGTAAGTCGGTGAATTTTTCTCCATTTGGCCCAGTCACCATGTCAAAATCGTTGGTAGGCGGAGCACCAGTCCTTGCGATAGTCGTCCTATGTTTCGAGTTGACAAGAGCGGCGTAGACATGGAGCTTGGCGACCGGGTGGTCCTGCTTGCTGCTCGAGAGGGGTAGATCTGGTTGCACAGTGGGGCTGTCCTCATCGATGGCACCAAGCAGTCTTTGGGGTGGTGTCAGCCGCCGTGGTCGGGTGCCTGAATTGCTGTACATGGAAGGCGGGGTTGCAACGACCGTAGGCGGTGCTGACGGGGGAGGCGACGAGTCTGTGGTCGGGGAGTAGAGTGTGCTTGAAGAAGATAACGTGCTGTCGAAAGACTCCGATGGTGATGGAGATCGGGAACGGGCCACGCCGGTGGCCTGTATGGTACGTGAAGGCATTTTGAGTTGTTTGTCTCCAAGTCGGCTTGTAAATTGTTGTGAAGATCGCACGGTGTGATCAGAGAAGCAATCTCGCTACTAGAGGGGCAAAGCCGTGCTACAGCCGGCAACGCGTTCAGTACTAGATATCACATGTGCTTGGCTCGGGCATTTGTGGATTTTGAAGAGCGTTTGAAACCGTCTCGCAGCCGTTATAGCTGTCGCCGGAGAAATGTGCAGGCCGTGTACGAAGTGCGGAGGGCAGATGGAAGTATTAGAAGCCGACGGCGGCGGCGTGGATCTAAACTCACTCTCAGGAGAATTAGCGAGGTACATCATCTCTCCGAGGAGTTCATGAGTCCAGCCAGTGAGCACACCGCCGTTGTCGATCATCTCAGTATGGGAGTTGCTTGACCTTCACCAGCGTCATCTCATCGCCTTTTCATACTTCGATTGTGCCTGGTCATTGGACCCTGAGATCTTGCAAAGCCCGAAATCTGCAAGCTAAGGACCGCTAAGGACTCCGGAAGCCCGGCAGTGGACGCCCCAAAACTCCGAGTCCGCTAATCGAAGCCACCCAGCTTCAGATGGGGAAGCGAGGGCCACGTCGAAACTCAATCTGCTCGTGAGGCAGCTGGGTGACAGCTGTGTGGCGCCCGGTTTGACAGCGTGCCTGTCAACAAAATGACGGAGATGGCTGATATGCAGGGCATGCTTACATGAAGGGTTCAACAGGATTTGAGCCTCCGTCCACAGGAGCCCTGAAGGAACGGCTGATGCGGCGGCCTGCCAATGGAAACGCCGTTGAATATATCGGAAAACCGGTGGTTGACAGACGATACTTCGCACTGCCACGGAGGTATTCAAGGGGGACTTTCCGGATTCCTGCCGTTTCAAACGCGTGCAGCCTCATACCGTCCTGGTGTGCTCGCGGATGTGTGTCAATAAGGCACGGACAGTGGCTTAATGGCGCTGGGTTCGGACGCTGCTGCTATTGTCCGGCCATCTCCGTTGTCTCCCCGCTCTTTTCCGGCAGCCTCTGATACGAGTGCCGTTCATGACTCCTCGTACGGAATATTTCCACCTTTACCCCATATCACCTTCATTGTCTGTGATACTGACATCGGCACCTCGCTGGAGCGACTGTCGCACTTGAACCCTAAGTTGCAACTCGACCGTGGTAGGTCCGGGGCTCAAGGGGAGAAAGATAGTCTACCATAATACACCACATTTGAGACGACGAACAGAGAAGGTAATGGGAAGTGACTCAAATATGGAAGCCTCAACCGGCACCACCTTCCCAATAATCGACATATCCCACATCAACGACGCCCAATCCCAACTACAACTCGCCCAAGAAATCACCTCGGCCTGCCAGCAATGGGGCTTCCTCCTGCTCAAAGGCCATCCCATCCCACCTGGCCACATAGACGAGATGTTCTCGCTGGGCAAACAATTCTTCACCCTCCCAGAAGACCAGAAAGCTCCCTACCCAATCACCTCCAAAACCATCGGCTACGTCGGAAGTTTCCAAGACAGAGGCAAAGACGACAAGATGTCCATGTGGTTCGGTGGACCGCCGGGCACTCTGGACAACAACAAAGCCATGCTCCCGCCCTTCTGGCACGAGTATACACGTAAACTCGAGGCCTTCAAACACGAATGCCACGCCCTGATCTTAAAACTGCTCGAATGCTTCGCACTCGCCCTGAACCTGCCGGTCCGCAATTTCTTCGCGACCGCGCACGACGAGGCCACAAGCCAAGACAACTCCCTGCGCATGATCCTGTACCCTGCGCGCTCGGAGATGCCGGCCTTCGAAGGCCTAGGGTCCCGCATGGCCGAACATACGGACTCCGGCAGTGTGACGCTCCTGTTCCAGCGGACGGCGGGGCTTGAGGTCCTTTCGCCTTCTGGCCGCTGGGTCCGCGCCCCGCATATCCAAGATTGTATACTGGTGAACTTGGGGGACACGCTGTCGTTCTGGTCGTCCGGGCGGCTGAAGGCCACGCTCCACCGCGTCACGTTTGACAGTCTGGCGCATGATCAAGAGAGGCAGACGATGGCCTATTTCGCCAAGGCGAGTCCCGATACGGTATTGCAGCCGATTTTTGGCCAGAGCACATCCCACAAAAAGTACTTCACCAATGGCGTGGAGCTGAGGCCTGGCATGACGGTGCGGGAACTGAGCACTACTATCATGCGCAACATCTATGGCGCGGCGTTCCAGTCTGCTGAGAAGCAGAAACATGTCCATGGGGCGGACGCGGCGAGGGTGGGGACCAGGCAGACTGCTGCTGTCTGACTAGGAATATGGTACATGGGTCGTTCGATTAGACATTCATTGCCGATTGTTGGCAGTCCAACGACGCTGCTTCTGATTGTGACACTGCCACATGCATGTGCATATGCGCTCGCTGCATCTCTAATAACACAGATACCGAGGACCGTGTTCTTCTTTACACTTGCTGACCTGAGACCTGCGCCAGAACCTGTATGAACCAAGCAGTCAACTCACCCGCTTGCTTGAAGGGCCACTCTGCTATGCCCCAAAACCGAGGGAAAGAAACTCCCATAGTTGCGGCAGTGTTAGACCAAAAGATAAGGGGACACAAGACCCCTTCTCCAAGCGCGAACTAAGGGGACATGAAGACTCCTCACGCGCAATTCTCAACAACATCGCCCACCTCTCGACGCAGGCCGGCGGAAAACATCCTCCCACTCCCCCAAGTTGGGCAACACCCCTCTCCTTACCGTCCCGCCCTTTCTCCGCCTGACGGTTCCCCCATCGGTCGTTATGCTCTCCACATCGCCGCCATCGCCGTACTGAATCCCACTGCTCGGATCGTCGGGGTCGATCTCCCCGAGCTCAATCTTCGTGAGGATCATGGCCGCGAGTCGGTAGAACAGGGTGTCGACGTTCTCGCCCGTCAGCGCAGACACTTCCGCCGTGTAAGGTATGAGCGCTTTACTGGCCCACACGGACGCGGCATGTGACGTGACCTCGCGCCCATCAGGGGATAGCGTGGCGGTCCATTTCTGGGAAGCCAGCACATTGACGCTATCGCCCCGTGATCGCGTGGTTGCGGTGGGCGCGGGCGTAGCGGTCGAGGTCGTTGATTTGAGAGATTCGCTACCCCCGCCTCCTCCTCCTGAATCATAAGGGAAATAGGACCTTCGACTCGAGGCGCTCGACGCCGCGGGTGTTGAGGCTTCATCGTCACGGTATTGGTCTCGTTCTCGGTCTCGGTCTCGCTGTGTCCTCTGCGCGTGCGCACTGCCGTTCATGTGAACCCCCTGCGTTCGGCTCGCAGGTTGGGATGACGCCGCCGCTTCCGCGTCCGCCAAATCGGCCTTGTTCCCCGCCAGCACGACGGTCAGGTGTGGACTGGCCAGCGCGCGCGCGTCGCTCAAGAAAGTAGGCAGCGCGTGGAAGCTCGCCAGGCTGGCCACGTCGTAGACAAGCACCGCGCCCGCGGCGCCGCGGTAGTAGCTCCTGCTGACGCTGCGGAAGCGCTCCGTCCCCGCGGTGTCCCAGAGTTGTAGCTTGATTCTCTTGGCGCGCTGGCCGCTGGCCGAACCGCCTCCCACCTTGACGATCTTGGAGGAGAATTCCACGCCGATGGTCTGCGAGGAGAGGACGCGCCATTCTTGGTTGATGAACCGGTGTAGGAGGCACGATTTGCCGGCGCCGGAGGGGCCCAGGAGCACGACCTTGGCGAGGTAGTCGTACATGCTGCTTAGCTCCTAGAGAGGACGTGTCTACGTCAGTTCCTGGCCGCCGGTACAGTACTGTAGGTGAAAAGAGCGAAAGTGATCTGGCACCTACCTGGCGCTGATCCGGCACTGAGCTGAGGTCTGATGCCGCCGAGGTGCGGCGCGGACGAGCCATGGCGGCGATGGTGCTCGAGTGAGAAGGAGCCGGCTGGCTGGATATGCCGTTGTCTTGGGTTCTCGCGGTTCCATGGATGCGGGATGCGTTGACATCGGCGGAGCGCGAAATGAGCAGCCAGATAAGATGTGGATTGGCACGGTGGGTACGAGACGCATCTGCCGGCTTGGATTGTGCCGAATGACGCGCCGCCAATTGCGTGGCTCGGAGGCTTCTGGGGGCTTAACTAAGCCGCTTAAGTCTGACGCCCGTTAAAGCTCCTTGGCCTGACTGGCCAGAAGGGGCTCATATGGCTTCTCAACGTCAACTGTCTCCTGAACTTAGGTATGTAAGAGGCTCCCAGACACCAATTAAACGCTGTCAACAAGTTCACACTCGTTGGATGGACAAGCCACAGTGTAATGCTACTTGTACCTGCTCTATTCCACCACCTCGTCTCTCCCATCTTGCCCCTCTCGCACAATCTTCGCACCAATCTTCTCCGTAATCTCGATGAATTCTACCTGCCGGATCAAATTCTGTGCCGCGCTCAAGGCCTTCATGACTAGCGCTTGATTCCTCTCTGTAGTAGCGGCTCGGAAACTTCTCAGCAAGAATTCACCGAGCATCTCCACTGACCAGTCGTCAGGGATTTCTGCGATGGTAACCACTGGGTCGAAGAAGATGGCGAACTTTCCTAACAGGTGGGATGTGCGTTCGAGGCGATCTTCGACATCGTCGATGGACAGGAATTCGTGGAAAAGAAAATTGAATAGCTCGGTCTGCACGTCACGAGAAGGGAGTGTGGAAGGGTCGATGGGGTAGGGCGAAGAGGATGATGGCCCGCCGAAGTAACAGTATCGCATGGCTGTGTCATAGTCGCCTAACCCGTGAGTGAGAAGGCGGAGGGCTTCCTTGTGGCGACCTTGGCGAGCATCGAGGATGATAGACTCAGACACGAGGTACGTTGAGAATGGAGCCAGGCGTTCAAGAACCATGTCAACCGAATAAGTCAGGTCTTTGCCCGCCGTTGTTGTACCGCCAGTTGCGTACGCGCCACTTCCGAGGAGTTGAAGGAGACGCAATCGGGATTGCCACCACGCCTCAGGTGGAGCGTTCTGATGGATAAAATCGAGGTAAGTTGGTTTGGGAGACTCGAGAGCTCGATAGGTTGAATAGCTCTCTGCGAGCGACGTCCGCGCGGCCTCGGATTTCTCGAGCACTGTTACCACCGAGTCGAGGTAGTAGCCAATCAGATCATCCGCGTATTGGTCGAGATGCTTGCCAAAGACGAGATATTCCAGATATTGTTGGACAGCACCGGGAGCATGGTCTTTGAGTAGTTTGACGACTTCCTGGGGACTGAATCTGACGCGAGCCGTATCATCTGTGAAGACTTGCACGGCCAGCTCTGGGTTGCGTTGTGCAAGCCACAAGGCATAGTCCTGTACGAGGTCGACATCACGAATGATAGTGAGGTAGCGACGCAATTGTCCTTCCACATATCCGACGTTCGAGCTGTAATCCATATCCTTCTCGCCATCAATGATCCGTCTCCACGTAGTCAACACTTCGCGCGCCTGCTTTCTGCTCTGATACAGGCGACTTAGAACATAAAGTCGATTGTATCGTTCCAGTAGCGAAGCGGCACGATCGAAGTCACCCTTCCAATGGTCAACAACGTTGTGAAGCTTGGCTCTGACAGACTTTTGCGCGGGACTCTCCGCGGATAGGGCTTGATCTAGGTACAGCAAGACGTGAAGTAGCGCCGCATCGACAGAGTTGAAGACATAATGGTCATCTGTAATGCTACCATAGCCTCGTTTTTCTTGCCAGAGCATGAGAAAGTGCCTTACTGTCATCCAGAACTCGATCGGAGCATCTTCAAAGCCAGAGATTGGAGGCTGATAGTCATGCAGTAAATCCGCCATCCCTTGGTGAAGCCATATACCTTCTGGTCCGTGAAGGACCTCTGAGGAGAGTGGCGGTGATAGAAGTAGCACAATCCGTGGGTCCAGAACTCCATCATGCAGTGTATTTTCCACGGCTCGAAGCAGATCTTCCAAGCCTGAGGAGACCGAGACCCGTGTCTGTAGATGGAGGAACAAAATCAAGCTAGCCTTTTGCTTGACATAATTTAGGGTGAGGAATTCAGTTTCGTCCTTTGGTTCACGTCCGTGAATACCGGCCAAGAACCCAAATATATGGCCAGGCTTGATCTCGGCGACCTTGTTGTCCACCAAATGCTGCTGGAGCCTGTATTCCAGCTGCGATATAAGTGGATTTTGCAGAACCATCAGAAGCTGCTGTCCGTGCCAGACAACATTTCTCGTGAAACCTCTCCCGAAGCGACGGGCAAGTGATCTTTCTTCGCCGATCCGTTTATTTACAAGCTCCAGCGAAGGCTCGACTGGCGTGGACAGAGATTGATTATCAAACAACGCGCGCTCCTGTTCGACTTGCTCCACTGCAGAATGCGTCCTGGGGTCGCTTTCACGGATAACGGCTTTTCGATGAGGCAGGAAACCAAGAGACAACGGTACAAGCTGCAGAAGCTCCGCTGGAACCTTAAAAAAATGGTGATGCGTGCTGAGCGTGTGACGCAGACCTGCGCGAGGGTTGTCCAGCTTGCTGGTGGGGAGTGTAACAAGTGTGCGAGGATGGGTCAACTCGGAAGCGTTCTCGACGTGTTGCATCTCCAGTCTTCTCTCTGTGGCACCATCCTCGGTCTGTCGTAGAAGTGCACAGATGATCTTACCTTCATCCTCCGAGTATGGAGCGCCCTCATAGTCCGGAACATTGAAATTGTCGATAAGCAGATCTTCTGGATAGCTCTCGAAATCAATAGTGCCTCGAACGACATCGCCATCGAGATTGACGAACAGCCCGACACCCGGCTCAGATTCATTCGTACCTGTGGTGAGCATAAACTCGGTCGGAAAAGGTGAAAGAATATGAGGCGTCAATCGCTTTTTGACATGCCTATTGCCGGTGTTGGCTGCTGATCTGGTCGGGAGGGCTTCGGTTGATGCCCGTGGACGAGCCCTTGGACGTGCAGTCGCATCTTGACCTCCGGAAGCGGTTGGCAATGTTGTTTGGCTGCCACTTGCTGCAGCCGTATCCGGCACACCGAGATGAGACAATCTATGGCGGCGATCTTGAGAAGTGTCCCTCGTAGGGCTGATAAGATCCCCCATGCTGGTACTTCTGGCATGACTGGCAGCGTCTACAGGAGGGGTAGAACGCGCAGAAGACCTACCTTCAATGTCCGAAACCGGGTCCTCTTCTGCAGGTAGCGATGATATTGAGAACAAGGGAATCTTCTGTTGATGTTCTACTTCCAACAAGGCATACCCATTATCGTCAGCCACACAGGCAATCGTGTCCCTCCTGCTGGATCTAAGACATCCTGGGTATTCGATGTTGTTTCTGACAGGTCGTAGCCTCTCCCCCACTCTCACCAACATGATCCTTTTGGCGTTCGCAATCATGACCACCGGCCCCTCCGGATTGTCCTTGTCTTCATTTTCGTCGATGCCACCGATCCACTGGACGCCAGTGGGCTCCCTGTTAGGAAAAGCTGGGCTGAATTCAGGCAAGGAGTAGAATGAGACGACGCCATTGCATAAAACGCATGCTTTCGACGGGCCGGGCAGGACGAGGATCTGATGGACGCCAGGAGCATTGGGAGGGTCAACTGAGGAGGCATGGCCACTGGGCTGTAGTCGGGAGGCTAGGATGTAGGTCGGAGAAGCATTATCGTCTCCAGGCTCTGGAGGTATTGAGACGAGGTGCAGAATCTCAGCGGCCGAGGTGCCAATATATAGATTGTTATCTGTGTCGAGTAAGTGGGCTGCCTCAGCGCAACGATGGCGTCCTCACCTACTCCAATACTCTACGCAAGTAATTGACACTTGGACGTTCCCGTCCTCTGTCGTCAAGGGTATATCCTCCAACACGGGACGAAGGACATATGGACCAGGTTCCGGTGCAGACAGCCTCTGTCGCTTCGCCGGCCGCTTGCCAGGGTGGTCTGCTTCGTCCATTGCTACCGCCGAGCTCCTTGGGCTTGGGCGAGCGGGCTGACCATTCCTATGAGCAGTCGTCCGACCTCAGTACAGAGACAATTTTGTATCCAAGCATGACTTCGTTTCACCGGCCTCGATCAGGTGGAAGGATTCAGGGCGGAGCATCGCAACGTGGGATTCGGTGGACCACGCGGCTTAAAACGCAGTCTCGAACCCCAAAGGAGGCCACGACTTCTCGACGTCGATTGCAGATTGACGCGTTTGAAGGTGGGATTGCCTAGAAAATACACAGTCAGAGCACTAATGGACGACGAAAGTCACTTGGAGTCAAATCGATAGGTATTGCTTGCCTGCCGTATGGACGTGTTGGCCGTCTCGGAGGCCCATGCCTTGACCACGGGGAATGATGAGCTTCAACGAGGGACAGGCGGGGAGGGTGCCATAGGTTCACCGGAGAACAAGTTCCAAAAAGCGATAGCAGCATGGCGGAGTAGGCTCTTTGGTGGTGTTAGGCGTCTACTCTCGCTGACTTTTCCCAGACATTGATCTTTCGTCGTTGATGCCGCAGCTGGATGCAACGGCCTCAGAATTGGTTGCGCAGCAGAAGGAGGCTTTGCTCGAAAGGAAAGAGTTGGCTCAGAAAACGAAAGAGTTCCGAAAGCTAGAAGATGCGGCCAAATTGACAGAGTACAAGTCTCTCTTGAAATGTAGGTCCCCCACGCTGCCACACTCCTACTTGATGTCCTGACTATCTGCAGCGTACCAGACATTCATTGATTTGATTACCGGCCATGGCAAGACCTCCTCCTCCGCATTTCTTCAGCTATACCAGCCTCTCTCTGAAGCTCCAGATCCGTTCCCTCTCCTCGAAGCATCCGTCGACTCTCTCGTTGCCTCGGAAGATACCGTACCTAAGCTTACCACGGAGAATCAGCAGCTGTTGGCTAGAGTGAAAAAGTTGACTGCGCAGCTTGAGGAAACGGAGCAGAAACTGCAGAACGAGAGCAAGGCGAGAAAAGATGCCGAGGCCGGTACAGGAAGCCAGGTCCAGCAGGTGGAAGAAAAATGGGAGAAGGTTTTGGAAGAAAAGCAGAGCAACTGGACAGCGAAAGAACGGTCCCTGGAGGAGAAGATTGACAATCAAGACAAATTGCTCAAAGAGCTGAAAGCCAGCTACGAGGTGTCGCAGCGTCTTCAAGATGGTTCTGGCGAAGCTACCTCTTCCAAAGCCGCGGCAGCCGAATTGGAAATGATGAGTTCCGAACTTGACAGGACAAGTGCACGTCTTGCTGAGATGGAGGCAAGGAATGAGCAGCTAAGAGTCGACCTTGCTCATGTCACCTCACAATCGTCTCGGAACCACGATATTGAAGATGATCCTGCCTTCCTCCGCCTTCAATCAGAGAACTCATCACTACTTCGGAAAAACGAAGCGGCGAGGTTCGAGAGGCAAGCGGAGAGACGAGAATTGGACAACAAAATACGTCAAGCTGACAGACAACGATCTCAACTAGCAGCAGACAATGACGACTTGCGTGCTAAAGTAAGCAAATGGTCTGACTACGAAGACCTGAAGCGGGAGCTTGACACTCTTCGATCGATAGAACTATCCATGGGCGTCGAGGAGGATGGGGATGAGACTCCTGCAAACGGGTCGGCGGAGCATGGTGCTAAACAATCGTTGGAACAACTTTTGCTCGCCAAAAACAAAAAGCTGAGCGACGACCTTACCTTGCTCCGAGTATCACACCAAGATCTGCAGAGTCAGCTGGAAGATCTGCAAGAGGAGTTGTCGCGCACCAATGCCGAGCTGGAGAAGGCTCAAAAACTGTCTTCGACGCTGGAAAATGATTTGATGCGGGTGCAAGAAGAGGCCGAGCATGTTCTTCCCTCTTCAGGAATGTCAGTTGCCGGGACTTATGTCTCCCGACACCCGACTGGCTCTTTACGGCGGGGAAGGGCATCACCTACGTCCTCGATCATCTCAGGGTACGACACACAACGGCGGACCAACACTCTCGACTCGCTTCGAGCAGGAGAAGGTGTGGGGGGTGGCTCAGGCATTCTCCCCATGATCCAAGCCCAACGGGATCGCTTCAAGCAGAAAAATCAGCAACTTGAGGAGGAACTCTCCAAGACTTATGCAACAGTGACGTCGCTACGGCAGGAGATTGCGTCCTTGCAAAAGGACAACCTGAGCCTCTATGAAAAGACTCGCTACATCTCCGCCTACAACCGTGGTCCAGCAACTTCCTCTTCATCCTATTCCGGGGCGCCTTCAAACACTGCAGCGTATGCAGAAGACACGACTACGGATCGATGGAAGTCGCAGTATGAAGCCAACATCTCACCCTTCGCCGCCTTCCGCGGTCGAGAAGCTGCACGTGCTTACAAGCGCATGAGTTTCCCCGAGAGAATCATCTTCTCGGTGACGAGAATGGTGCTTGCCACCAGACTTTCGCGCAACCTCTTTGCCGGGTACTGCCTCGCACTGCACATGTTGGTGTTTGTCATGCTCTACTGGATGGGGACTGCCGACATCGATCGAAGTGCCGTCCACTTGGGCGAAGCCGCGGCCGTAGCAGGCGTTGCAGGGCTTCGGGCTGACCATGTTGCTGATTCCTTGGCCGGAGATTGGAAGCAGGAAGGATTTGGATAGTATGCGTTATAGTCAGGCTTCGGCACCCGGAAGGTCAAAAGCATCTACGGCTGCGTCCAAAGGTCCTCAACGCATTGGTAATTGCTCTTCGAATAGCGCCGTGTATCCACGCGGATTTCGTACACGCGGCCAAGCTGTCATCCCAAGCCGGAGCTTAGGGGGATAGACCTCTATATATCACGATTTCCTTTCGCGGCGCAGGGCCACAACCCTCCTGACGTAGACCGTCTGCTCAGGGGTTCTAATTCGAGGCGCCGAGAGTGGCAGTTCCTCATGGCCGTCGTAGACCATGGACCTCGTACTCTTCCATGCACAGTAAGATCTGCGCCATTAAATCCATGATTCTCCTGACGGACTTGTTCTAGAACAAGCTCCAGATATCGTTCTTGATCAATAAGCATACTCCGTACTCCGTAGGTCCACTGGTGTTTAATGGACCTTCGCAACACGTCAAAGTTTCTGCTCTACATGGCGTGGCTGGCAACGTCAGTCGGCTTGTTACAGCCGCACCAGAAAAGATGGTCACTTGCGGCATAGCGGGACGCCCAATGCCCCGGCACCCATCCGGGGCAAGCTCAAGGCGAACCATGCCAATCCCTTGCCCTGACTAATTACCTAACTAGGCTATGGCTCACGCCTGATCATACTTACTCAGGACTCCGTAGTGTACTTACATCCACTGTCGCCGAGACCGAAAAGTTTTGCTTACGTAGCCCTTGATGTATATTGAGATGGCGTTGCTCCTCGGCATAATCAGCGACGCGCTGAGCCAAGCGTCGCAACGTGTCCGTACGCGCCTTACACGCCCTCAGAGATCGGCAGTTTCCATCTTAAGCGATCTGTACAGAACAGGCGTTCACGATAGCCGCCGCCTTGGGTTGATTGGACATGAGCTTCTGGAAATCATGAAACGACCACCAGGTCGGCTTGGACTGAAACGGAAGCATCTTGGCTAGATTGCAGTGGATGCAGCAAGACAACGAGCCGAGGAAGGGGGACCCTGGACAATTGCAGCTGCACGTCATGCGCCAAGCGGGTCGAGAGTGACATGCCAACCGTTCTGACTGGCTGTGTTGTGGCTGCCGGGCGGCAGTAAGACAACCAGCCAACTTCCGCAGGAGGCCTGAGCGAAGCCGATAGGAAGAGCGAGCGCTGGCGTCCAAGCCAACAACAGCCACCAGGCGAGAAACCCGCGGCGAGCGAAACCTGCTTGCCAGGAACAACAGTTCGACGGTTGTAATAACTAAAACACCGGCACAATCTTCACCAGAATACACTATTTTCAACACTGCACATACGCGGTCACAGCAAATGAGTCAACAAGAATGGTGACAGTCGAGTACTCTCTCAATAGGCACGTAGCTACCTATCTAGAGGTACTTTCTGGGTACTTTTCCGGCTCTCATGTTGGAGCCCGGTCTTGGGTGAGGATTGTGCTAGGCTAGAGTGCCAGTTATTTTGGTCTAGCCGTGCCGGGGTGCCGTGGTGCTCCAGGCGCTCTTTCAGGTAAGGTTCTCAAGCCTCTTAGGCGAAGCCTAGCCAGAAACGTCCAGGCGCCACCAAATTCCCCAGCCAAGCTCTGCCACGCGCGCCAATAATCAGCCATTGCTCTTCCTTCCTCTTCTAAATTTACCCATGCGCGCCCATGCTCTCCATGTCGAACCCTCGTCGATCAGATACGCAGCCGGGAAATCTCCCTTGCCGCCTCGTGCAGCCATCATGCAAGCAAGAGCCTCCACGCAGCCTGACGAGCCAATTACCGGGCCAGGGCCCGACTTAGCAACATCGCCTGCTTGCATATGCCCATGTTCCACATCCCTGCGATCCTATCCTCGGTCAGCATGGCAGGCCATATTACAAGTGATATAAGTGTCGGCGGCTGGTCGTAGCCATGGTCGCCGAACCCTTTGCATCATCAAATACAGAGACGTTCTCTCAGCGGCCATTCTCCAGCTCAACTCACAACCACTTCACATCGCTCTTCACACTCCGAAGCATCTGCAGGCCAGGCAATTCCGGTCTTTGTAACCTCACCAAATCCATATCGCCGCTCGCCACGATGAAGTACTCGATACTACTCGCCTCAATGGCCACTACTTTGATCGCTGCACCCGTGCAATCCACGTGGACGCCCGCGTTAGCTGGCTATTACGACGTCGTTTTCCAATACATCCAAAAAGCCAAGGCGGAGGGACGAGCAGCATCGTCGACATGCGATCTCTCGAGAGCTGTCATGCCAGTCGCACCGACACCACTCCCGTTCCCTCCAGGGATGGTACTTGAACACGTCGCCCTTGGCAGGGGTGTCCAGGTAGGACCATTACATCCAAGCTTGAGAACCTTTCAGTCACTAACAGACATTAGAACTATACATGTCCCAATGCCACAGCAACCCCCGCCGCCGCCGGTGCCGTTGCCAAATTCTACAACGTCTCATGCATCGCCGCCGACTGGCCAGATCTACTCGCGCCCATCTCGAATCTTGCGCTGGAAAACTCTCGTCCTGCCGAACCCGCGTTAGTCCTGGAGCCATCAAATCTCCAGCTGTCAGCACACCACTTCTTCTCCAATACCACCACGCCAGTTTTCGCCTTCGACGCCACCACTTCACCCGACCTGGGTACGATCTTCTCAGCAAAGGGCAACTCCTCCGACGCACCCGCAACAGCCCTCGCAGGTGTCGATGGTTCTGGCAACGGCGCTGTGCCTTGGCTTTACCTTACTACTCGACCAACCACCACAGGTGCTACCAAGGCTGTCTACCGGTTAAACACGGCCGGCGGACAACCACCCGAGACCTGCGCAGACATGCCTGCGACATTCAGCGTGGAATACTCTGCCGTCTACTGGTTCTGGAAGTGATTAATCGCCGGGACTTAAAATTTTGTGCGATCTTTTTCGTGGCGTTAGGGACCACATGGGCATGGGCATAGGCATATATGAATTTTCTGATGCCTAGTAATTGGGTGGCTTTGTTTTTGGACCTCCGGGTACACCACTCTGGGCAAGTACATACGTATTCTAGATTACCGAAGAGGGGGGGAAAGGGTTAAATCCAAGAAACCGACAACCATGGCCACTTCATTACTCTTCAACAGTCACCCGGGCTTCGCAGTATTGAACCGGTAATAAGTGATTTGTTCGTGATTACCGCCGACCTCGCGTGATCCACTTCCTTCCACGCCCCGGACAAGGCTCACATCCCTGTTTAGCTACCAACGACTTAGCTCCCAGTGGAATAATGTTCTTCCGGTGCTTGTAGTCCTTGCGAACAAAACTCCTGTACGGGGTAACTTGCCCTGTAGCGAAGGTACGGAGTACGTACTGCGTAGTACGCAGTACGAGGAAGCTTTGACTTCTGGGGCTGAGCAAGCTAAAGCTACCAATCCATTCGTCGACATCTCGTTGATTTTCTCTCACTTACGAAGTACTGCAATCAAAGGTCCTCCTTAGCGTCTAGGGCAACCTCGCTTGGCCTTCTCGCTACACGTGGTTCTCTATCCCTCCCCGGAACTTACCAGTGTTTCCAGACATGCATGGGGCTTCGAGCTTACACTACAGCATGAGACGGTGTCATGCCTTGTGGTAGGGCACCGCCATCGTCTGAGGTAAGTCCGATTCTCTATGTGAGGGCTAGTCCCTCAGCTATGGCTACCTAGGTATGTATACTGCCCGTGTCCATGGGCGTGCCTCCTTGTGGCGTGCCTGCCTCACATAGCAGGGGCAGCAAGAGGAAGGTGTGCCTACCACAGGCTCCTTGAGATCTTGATGAATCTCCTCAGACATGACTAGCAACGCATATCAATCCCAGCTCGACGCAGCCCAACACCGGGCCAGAGTATGGGCGATGACAGCACCTCGGGAAATTGGCTGCGATGACCAGAACGCCGATCAACATTCTGCTTCCGCGCAAGTCAGCTCTGCCTGAAGCTTTTGTAGCTCTCCTCGAGACTATCCAGATCGATGCCCGTGATGAATTTCGCCATGTCGTTTGCTCTCGACGGTGCGACGACCCTCCAGAGGCTGGGCGATTCCATCCCAATTGCACAACCTGACTCCCCGCCCTCCGTGCCGCCGCCAGTAGGAAGCCTTCCTAGCCAGAGAATGGCAGCGCGACAACTCGAAATACCGCGAAATACCCTTCGCGACAAACCGTCCTCACGGCAAGCGTAGGGGACACTGGCAGCGACACAGGGTCCCCAGCGAGATAAAACGAGCCCTCCGTAGAACCTCGTCCATTATTCTGCCAATAGCCACAACATGGCCAGCCGAGCAAACCACCCTTGGCGGACATCCCTCAGATCAAAACCCCTTTTTCCAGAACCTGCTCTTGCCAATGGTATCGCATTTCAGCCAAGGACTTGATGGAAATGGAGCACGGACACGACCCAGTTACAAGAGACTTAGAGTTGTGAAGGTTCTAGCTAATGCTTGATGGGATCGGCGCCATCATTGCTCAATTGAGAATCACGAACCATGGGTTGCTCCCCGCCCGGACCAATCGAGAGAGACTTCCTTCCATTGAGCCAATGCGGGCGATATTCCGGCGCGAGACCAACCCATGGTTCGCGATTCTCAATGAAGCCAATGCGGTCGACGACCACATCTAAAGCATTAAGACACGAGAACCATGAGAACCATGAGAACCACTCTCATCATGTGAAGGACAAATGGTAGGTCAGGTACTTGTGCTTATAGACAGCGCCTTCCGCCCTCTATTATACTCTCAACTCTTCCTCCGTAGACACCTTGCCAGCACAGCCGTTCAACAGGACTCGTTCCCATACTCGTTACCACACTCAGCGACACCATTCTCAACACATCTCATTATATACCAGTACTCGGCAACACCATCCACTATGGCATTGGCGTTCTGGAACCCCGAAATTGCCAAGCACCAAGCCATATACAAGCCAGCTACCGACAACGTCTTCTCTTGGCTACGGAGTCTTTACGGGTGCTCCGAGGACACCAAAGTTAACTACTACCGCACACTCGCCAGTAGGGCAGCCCGAGATGGCAAGCAAATGCCCGACAATATCCTCGACGACCTCCAGGACGCCATCGAACTCCGCTCCGAGGCGGCCAATTGGTTTAGACGGGCAGGGACAGCTCACGCCGAAGAGTGCCGTAGACACGAGCACATAATCAGCGTCCTCCAAGACATCCTGGCGGCCTTTGGCCCCTCATCACCATTAGTACCGCTTCCGGGGCCATCGACGAGCCCAGCACCTTTAAGAGCGCCATCACCATCACCATCACTATCACCTGCTCGGAGGGTGGACGTCCCATGGCGTTCTCAGCGATGCGGACCACCTGAATGGCTACCCGTCCGCCCACGTCAGGAATTTGGCCCCTCTGCTAAATGTGCCAGCGTGCCCCGGAACCTCAAATCACATCTCATCCACCACCAGAACTGGAGAGTGCTTTGAGTACAGTATCATATTGAACGACGGCCCTCTCAGCGAAAAAACCAACAACAATAATGACGACAATCAGGTATGAATCCATCGACGAGCATGACCCAATGCCCAATATCACTGACTTCCTCCACAGAGGTCGACACCTTTCGATCAGTGCTGGGAATAGGGCGGGCTGGCCTCTACTCTATCTTCCCAATGGAGATCGAGATACTGTCATGTCCTTCCAACCCACGAATGCGCAACAACAACGACGAGTCGACGACCACAACAACAGACACAACAACGACAACGAGAACAAAAACACAGCTGAGTATGACTGACGTGTGCCTGTCTGAACTGTAATAGGTCTTCGGATCCGCCAGCTAGGGACAACGAAAGAAACACCGGGGATGGCCGCCTATAGACGAGAGTGCTCGGGCGGAATTTAACCACGAGCGACATATCAGAAACAGAGTGTGGCGTGACTAGTCTCACCATCGCCGACACTGTAGCACAGGCTACCCTTCGGTCATAGGGGACCTTGGAAAGAGGAGGACGCCCCGCGACGGAGAGGCACCTTCACGAGGTGCGGGGTGTGAGTAGCAGCAACGGAGTGAGAGCCCTGACTTTCTTCTGTCCGATTCCTTTGGGAGTTGTGAAACCGAGTCCTCTCCTGGTTTGTGTATTAGTTTTGTTACTAATTAGTTTGCAGTCTGCGTTCGTCCGTGCACGTGTACACTATTCATTTGCATCCCTGGGCTCCCGAATCAGCTTCAGGAGAATCGCGAACCACGAGACAATGGAACTGATTTGTACACAAACTTGGTTGGCTTCTCTGCGGCGTATTCGCTCAGTCACTCGGGCCTTAATGTGTCCAACGAAAGCGAAGGGGGAGGCCTGCCATGTCCGTTTCCCAACCCATCCTGTCCTCGCCGCTGTCTCCGTCCGAATCGCCCATCTCATCGTCAGCGTCGCAATCGGTATCTTCATCCTGGCTGTCTGGGATTCCGAGTTCCGAGAGAGCTTGGCCTTTAACAACTGCATCAGGTTCAATGTCCACATCCATACCTGTATGCTTGTTGGTTTCGTTGTCAGAACCCATTCCTGTTGTGTTGTCATCGCCACTGTCGACGCCGCAGCTGTGGCCGGCCTTCTTGCCACCAGTCTCAATCATTGCTGACATACCGCTCTGGACGTTGCGGACTCGGAAAGGGAGGCGCGGCTTCATGAAGGCCTCAAACTCCGCCTACTCCCTGGATTGGACACCTTGGACCATCTGCGTGACATGCTGATAGGCGAATCGCCTGTCTTCCTTCCGATCAGCGTGGTGTGGATGTGTTTGTTGATACTTTCGACCTTTCTGGGTCCGCAGGGCGAAAACGCGTGTGGCAGACACCAACCAACGAACAGAGCGTTGAACTCTCGCGTGATTTCCTGCATCGCGAGACCCTTGCCTTGGATGTCGGAGTCCGGGATCTTACTCCCGAAGCGGTTGAGCAGAAATCGATCCTCTTCCTCCGTGTACTTTGCGAGGGTTGGTGAGGAGTCTGTGGACGTGAGGTTCGTGCTAGGCACTCCGTCAAGCAATCGCCGGAGGTCATTGCGCCATTGGTTCAGCGCCTTGATGTGCTGGGCATTATGCTTGTCGAAGGCATCAGGCCTCGCAAACACGGCTGCAGGCCGGCTGAGCCCATTCACCTGACGGGTCTGGAAGTTGAGCATCGTGGGGTTATAGTTTGTAGCCGTGACTTGGGCGGCGAGGCGGCTGGCTGCGCTGTGGCGGGACTTCTTGCGTCGCCTGCGCGTGGCCTCGTCGTGACGGTACAGTGCGGTGGCCTGTTGCACGTCCCAGCCGCATGCTTCGAGGTACCAGCCTGTGGAAAACGTTAGAAACTTGGCGCTGAAGATTGAAGTGCCTTTAGGGAGTGAGCTTACAAGCTTCTTGCACGCATGAGCGATCTTCCATGATCGCGAGGACGGCAGCCACACGCTCCTCAGCCTGGCTGTCCAGCCTTGCGGTTCGGAGACCAATTCTCACAAAGTCCTGTAATGGCTTGCACTCCAGGAGGTCATGGAACCATGGCTTCCCTGATGCCATGTTTGGGATCATTGTGCCTGGGGGGCTGAGAAAATCATTCCTGTCGAGTCTTGTGTCGAATTGCAGAGTGTACAGAGCCCTGGCAGCCGGGTTTACCCGACGCTTCGCTGGCAGGTCCTCGTCGGGATCGGTCTCATCTGGATCCCGGTCTTGTTCTGAACTTCCTGACTGTGGGAAGACGACCGCTTTCTGTGATAACAGGAGTAACCCTTCAACGGCGTCGCGCTCAGCAGGAGACAGAAGGTCCACGGCCGTGGGAGCCATTTCAGAGATGACGATAGGCACTCGCAAGTCGATGGAAGGCGATGCAGGTGAGGCCCAATGTAGGAACAAAAAGCTCAAGTGGTAGTGCCGTTTTGTTGCAAATGCCAAAGCCCACTTGTTTTGGAGAGTTCACGTGTGCAAAAGATGCGAAGAACGAGCACGCGGAGGTAAACCAAAGCATAGTCCGCCAAAGCAGCACGTCCCACGCAGTTACAGTTGTCCCAGGGCAGTGAGCATCGCGGTACTGTCTCTGAAATGCGAATGCCTAAAGCCCGGTCGAGTGATTCTTTGGGTGACTGCCTTGGTCGAACAAAGAGACATTCAACTACCTCAGCAGCTCAACATGACCACTTGGGATTGATACTGCCTGAGTCCTATACCAAGTGCCTGTGGTGACTGCCTGAACCGAAGCCAGGCTTTCTGGCCTTGACCGAAGAGGTATGCAGTGCACCAAACACTGCTTGGATTTGATCACCTTCAGCGACGGCGTCGTGCAGCCTGGCAGGGTTGCTGGGTAAATCTGCCCAGGAATGTTAACTCATCATCGGTCATTGAGTGGATTGGGTAATTCTGCGCGACATGACTCTCGGATGCAGAAGGAAAGCTGAATTGGTGGTCCTATGCGCAATGTCCATGTCGTGCTCCGGGAAGCTGAACCTTGGTGGCGGAGCATGCAACGAAGTGGTTCGGTGTTGAGTGTGTACCTGGGACCATAACTGGGCAACGAGTGACCTAGACCCATACGTGGAGAAATGGGTCTGACATTGAGGCGAAAGGACTGGTTGAGGAGGTATGTACGCTCGTCGGGAACAGGAAAGGACCCTGCATAAGAGTAAGAACATGTACAACAATACCTTCTGTGCAGGCAACTACGTGAGGGCAGCTCAAGGCCATCTTCGCTGCTGGCTGCGAGCATGCAACGAGGGCATTCGTGCCATGGTCCTGAACGAAGGCCTTTAATTAGTGCTCTCGTGAGACCATTTAGAAGAACGTCCCAATGATGGAGGTTCTTGTCTTGTCCATAGTGGCCCTGATCCGAAAGATCTCATCGTCGCACTGATCTCGACATCGGCCAGGAAGTACGTTGCAAGGAATCGGCGGTGAAGACTGCCACTTGAGAGGGACCAGAGAAGTTCAGACCATCAAGAGTTCAGTTGGGTGCCTCGGTGCCAAGTCGACTCAAGCCCAATCTGGGTCATGTGATCTCGTGCATGGTGCTTGAGGGCGCGACGCGACGTGACGCGCGGGACTGAATCTTATCATGGTGCTCGCCCCTCTCAACTAACAACGATGGTGCAACATAAGTTAGTGCAAATGTCAACATTGAACGGGCGAGCACGTCCTGTGCAGGCAGCAGACATCCTTTGAAAGATGTATTAAACATGCGGGCTGCCGCCATGGAAGAAGATTGTGTTAGAAATGGTGAGTTCCTCGCGTTCAACAGGACCTGCGTGCTGGTAGTGGGCGTAGGCTGTTCTCTCTTGCACTTCAACCTCAACCAGGAAAAAAATTCCACATCCCGTTTCGGTCTCAGTATGCTAATCAAGAGCAACGGTAAAGCTCTCCGACGGCCCTCGCTGTCCCCGGATGGCAAGACTTTGGCAGTCATTGCGCCAGATGACAGGATTCACCTCATTGACCTCGCCGAGGCCGCCCAGGGTCGGAAATTCATCAATGGCGTCAAAATCACCAAGAGCGTCCGCCCGTTCATTCGAATGTGCACTCTCCTCCGATGGTCGCCAGAACTCATGTTTCTCCCTAGTGACGAGGCTCTCGATGTTCAGTCAAGCAGCACATCAGAACGCGAGCTCGGAAAGTCCTGGCTGCTGCTCTCCGACACCCGGCGGGTCATTGCCCTAAGCACCGAACTGAGAAATCCGGAAATGATGCCAACGGACGACAAGGAGGGTATCAAATCGAACATTCTAGCCGACTACGACCTCGGAGGCCATAACGGCAAAGTCAGTCTTCTTGACTTTGTCTTCGACCATCGCCACGCTTTGGTGATTTTCGACTTAGGCTCGTTAGCCGCGATCCTCAGCTTGTCTCGACCTCAACGCGACGAGATTCCCCACGTCAAATTTCCAGACGCCCGGAGTCTTGCCCGAGCACCAGATTCAAGATATTTTGCTCTACTTCGGCGTGATAAAGCACAAGACAGAGTAACAGTGTTTCATTTAGGTGACAATAATCAGCTGTCCTACAAGTCCTTTGATTGCAATACCTCCGATGCACAGAGCGTAACCTGGTGTCCAACTGGGCAACCTCTTCTGGCTATCTGCGACTCAGCAGCTTACGGAGTCAAGGTGTCCTTCGTGACTGCTCAAGGCCATGTTCTAAATCAGTTTGATATCGGTCAGTCGGCCTTCCAGTGGGACCACAGCTTTATTCCTTCATGTCATTTAGAAGGCGTGGGCTTGACTTACTGGAGTTGGAGGAGAGCAAGCCAATGTGATAACGACCTTAGCCTTCAAGTCCTGGCGAACGGAGAGAAGCAGGTTCTGCTGAGATCCCAGCCCATCAACAGCAGGAGAGCACGCCCCATTGCGCAAATTGTCCATCCAGACTCGGTCGACGGCTCAAAAACTCTTGTATGGCTGGAGTCCACCAAAGCCACAGCGGACAAGCTCTCAGAATTCACGAGGCAAATTGATGCCTTTGGAGTCACACAGACATCCCCTGCTGCTCCTGACTCGAGGTCACAACCCAAATCTGATGCCCAGGCTCCAGCTCAAGATCCCCACCAGGTTGACATCGTCGAGCCGAATTGCGCGCAGACAATCGTGGCCACACGCCTGCGCTCTTCTCCTCGGATGCTCTTCCTGTGGAAATCACATGATACCACACGTCCACATGCCGTGGTTGTCTTTAGACACGGCATACGGCAAATCCATTTCCATCCATACCTCCCTCATGTCCTTGTCATCCTCACAATTTCCAAGTATCCGAGGATATATGCATGGTATCAACCTGCCTTACCCCCCATCACGGGCTTGATTCCTATCGATACAATTTCATCAACAAACTTCTCTGGAGCCTGGTTGCCTGGATGCGTTAGCCGTGCGGGCTCCTCCCGGTCCAACAGCACGACGGCTGGTGATCGTCAGAGATGTCCCTTTCTCTTCACCTCCAATACGGCGTTTGAGGCGGGTTACCTCTCCAACCATCAGGGACAAGTTGTCTTTGAAAGCATATTGCACCGCCCTTCACAACAAGACGGCGACGTAACTTTAGGCATGGAGGCCGACGAGTCGACAACAGAAATCATCGATACACCGAGTCGTCCGAGCAAACACCAACCGGGAGAGAGTGCGAGTGAAGGGGCTAAAAAGGCCCGCTTCAGCGTGCACGAGGATTCTAAGAAACACTGGATGGATGATCCCGTCCATCAGCAGCCCGGGTATGGTCACGCTTGGTGATGGCAGTTTAATTCGGTCGTAGGGCTCGAACCTTGCGCGGCCGGCTGCTTTTGCAGAGCCGAGACGAGCGAACATGTTAAGGAGTAGATGCAAGCGTGGGCGCTCGAAATAGTGAGGGAACAACTGGGAAAATGAACTAGAGGGCTATGGATAGGATGCGACAGGTAAGCCACTGCACTGGGAAAACCCATCGACCGCTTCGCAAAGTGGAGGGTTCGATAAAACGCAGCAGCTTTGCTCTTTACCAAGATCTGAAGGTCATACTGCGCATCAGCTGGAACGCCAGGAGTGGCGTCCTGCCGCGAATCTGTGCTTCTGTTTTGACGGTTGCGCCGTGAGGGTCGACCACCAGAACATGTAGGAACAGGAATATCGTCTCTGGGCAAGGTAGACGTGAAACTTCTGATATCAAGGCGGCGAAAATGACGAAATGCTGCTTACGCGCCATGTCATGTGGATCTGTAGATGCGCTTGAACGATAAAGCTTTGACACAGCCTCGTTGCGCGAACAACTTGCCGCGCAATCAGTGTCGAGTACGTGCGATGGCGGCAACGTGCGCCAGATCGCATTAGATACTCGGCTCATCGGGCGCATCTCTTCCAGTCATTCCCACGGGGCAAATAGATACTTGGAGGAGCACCTGACAAAGAGACAAGAGCCAAGTGATGACCAGACGCGGCCTCCCGGCGACAATCTCTCTCGTCGTCACTCAAGGACGCGCCATCATTGCTCTCGCACAAACCCATGGAGTAGAAGAACCCGGATGCGGGTGCCAGGATCTGCCTCGATATCATCTTCAGGAATCTGACAATTGTGCTTTCTCAGTGTCTCATGCTGCTCTACATTTCGAAACCCGAGATCGTGGTGCAAGGACTACCTCGTAGAATCTGACGTGGGGAAGCCTCCGCGCATGTGCGGGAGATCTTCGCATCTTTCGCATCCCACCCTCCAGCAGCTCCAGCGTGCCCAGCAACTCCTGCCTCTCCCTGTACAATTTGTGCATTTCAACCTGCTGAGGCTCCATCCTCTGATTGCATCGCGCTCCAGTTCAGCCTACACATTCAGCGCAAAGACTGATTCCCGCACCCACTGCCGCTACCTTCACCATTTCCCACATCTGCCAACTCGAATCCTTCCCAGCACTACCGCCCGAGGTGGTTGCAGTCAGGTCTCACAGGCGCGATGAAGAAGCTTCTAGGGAACATCAAGAAGAAGAGCGGCAGTACGCGATCACCAATAACTTGCGCTCGCTGAGGCTGACCTGCGCTGTGCAGGTCCTGACCGCAATGGAAGCGCCGGCTACTCGCTACCACAAGGCGACTCGCCCGAAGCCGTCGTCGTCCGCGAGGTGGTGAGTGAACAATCCGAATAACCTTGTCGATCATGGCTGAATCGTTATACAGACAGCTTTCTGTGAATCTGGCGCACCGAACTCCGACGCTGCCGGCGAAGAATATCTCCATCTCCCAGCCATCGTCGACTCTTCCGAGTCAAGTCCTGCCGCCGCCAAAGAAGCCGCTGCAACCATACGTCGTTACTTGAGCAAGGACCACTACCAGCGAGGCTTTGCACAGTACAATGCCATCATGCTGATGCGCATCCTGACCGACAATCCTGCCCACGCCTTCACCCAGAACTTCGATGCCAAATTTGTGTCGACGGTCAAAGAATTACTGCGCGAGGGCAAAGACACGAGTGTGCAGCAGATACTGCGCGAGACGTTGGACTACATGGAGTTTGACAAGGCGCCGAGCAACGACAGCCTGGGACCTCTTATGGAGATGTGGAAGAAGGAAAAAGGCAAGCGGAATGCTCTGCGCCCGACGGTAGGTTTGAATACATTGGGGTTATGTTGCGGATACTGATCCTTTGATTGATAGCACGGCTATCCTTCTGCCGCCTATGGGAGCCGCCAGCAACAGCAGCAGTCGCGACGCCGTGACACTCTACCACCGCCTGACGAGCTAGTAGGCCGGATAGAGGAGGCCAAGACTACAGCTCGACTTCTGGTTCAGACGGTGCAGTCAACCCCTCAAGCTGAACTGCTGGGAAATGAACTGGTAAAGGAGTTCGCCGACCGGGCCAGATCGGCACAGAAAAGCATACAGAGCTACATGAATGCTCAGGATCCTGCTCCCGACCCAGATACGATGCTCACGTTGATTGAGACGAACGATCAACTGAATATTGCCATGTCCAAACACCAGAGGGCGGTTCTGGCTGCCAGGAGGGCGATGGGTCTCGCGACACCCAGTCCTGCGGCAGAGCCTCAGCAAAACCCCATGTCGATGCCACAGCACGTTCCTGGTCAGAATGTGTACGCCGGTCACCGTCAAGCTTCTCCGCAGCTGCCGGATCATGGCCCTTATTCGGCCTCACCTCCTCGCCGACAGAACACCATCCCAACACCAGTTAGTCCACTGCGACGAGAAGAAGAACATTTCTCGCCCCCGGCAGGACCTCCCCCGGGCCGAGCCCCGGCACAACAGACACAAGCACCACCACCATCCAACGCTGAACCATATGATTTTTCGAGTGCGGCCAACTTCTCAAATCAATTCTCTGCGCCGGAACCTGCTCCTTCAGTTCCGACCAGGTCTACCGCCCGTCCGCAGTCACATGTCTATACTTCGAGTGGCGACTATGGCGTGGCCGAAAATCCCTTCGCGGACGATGCCTATGGACCCGGATCACCCCAGAAGCCAGCTGCACTATTCTCGGATCGGAATGCTGATACGCCATCACCGCGACCCACACAGGGACATTCGGCCAATGCGGATGTGCACGAGTTGCCCAGCGAGCATGACCGACCGGGACCGTACAATGCGGGATACCAGCCTACGCCCAGTTTCATGCATCGACAGGAGTCCTCGGCTGAGCATGTCACGATGCACGGTGGAAGCCTACCTCCTGCGGCAACACTCACGAATGGCAATCCATCGTACCCGTCAAGCAACATGTATGGAAGTCACCCTCAGAGTCCAGTTGATGATACGCAGGCAGTGGGGCGGAGGATGAATGACATGCATATTTAGGAACTACTGCGAGATAAAGACATGTGATGTGCTTGGGGACGCGGGACACAGATACCCTGATGACATTTTGGCTTCTTAACTACGAGGTAGAGCAAGTGTTGGATGTTCGTAACCATAATGGATAAACACGTGCTTGCCGTGGGAACGCGCTTGAGTCGTCGATCTCGGGCATCGCCGCCGCTTCCCGCAGCGCCGTTTGGATGTTTGCTTAGCCTCAGCCCAATGGAGTAAACGAAACGATTGACTCACTGCTGCTTGACATGAGTCTCACCTAAAATCCCCTTGAGAACTCCTCTATTCCTACATCCTATGATATCTCCAGAGATCTAGCTACACCTGGTGTAGTGACTCGTCGCATCACAAAATGACGTCGATCGAATTCCGCCCGCCGTACTCCAAAGACGAGCTCAACAAGCTCTACCCGAAAGACCTCGAACTGCGACTTGTGCAGGTCCTGCTCCGCCATGGAGAAAGAGCTCCCGTCTCAGCAAGATTTGGCAATGTGAGTGCCTGTGATACACTCGACGGCACGGAGAGATGTGCTAACGAGACCCCTCCAGGCAGGCTTACCAGCATATTGGCCGTACTGCAACGCGGCGCAACGATTGCGCTCAGTCGCCATGACGCCTCAAGATGTGTCGGAGTGGAACTCACTACAATGGAGGAGAAGGCTGGAGATGTTTGGCGAGGACGACGGCCCCGTCATTGCAGCTGGACCGAAAGGCCAAGTTGACGGCGTTTGGTATGACCATAATCTCCTCAAAGACACACAAGACCGAGTAACTGATTGACTTGGACTGATCAGTCAACTCGGCGAATTGACAGACCAGGGCCGTCAAACGACCTACACACTCGGCTCGCGTCTGCGGCAGCTGTACATTGAGCAACTGCGCTTTATGCCCTCTTTGATCGCCAACGCCGACCTCATCTACCTACGCGCTACACCACTCCCTCGGGCGCTCGAATCCGTCCAGCAGACCTTCTGGGGCATGTATCCGCTCAGCTCGCGCACCGCGGCATTCCCGTCCCCGACTATCGTCACCCGCACGCCCGCCGACGAGACGTTGTTTCCCAACGACGGAAATTGCCGGCGCTTCGCACAGTTGAGCAGGGCCTTTGCGCAAAGAACAGCCGACCGCTGGAATGACACCTCCGACATGGCATACCTGACGAAGATGATTGGTAAATGGATGCCCGACACGAGCGACAAGCGCGTCGCAGTCGACAGCCACCCGCGCCTGAGCGGCATCATGGACACAATCAACAGCACGCTGGCACATGGGCCAGAGACGCGCCTGCCGAAGGAGTTCTACGACCCCAAAGCCCGGGAGATCATCGATCGGATCGGCGTCGAGGAATGGTTCAGCGGATACAACGAGAACAGGGAATATCGCATGCTGGGCATAGGAGGCCTGATAGGCGACATTGTGGAGCGCATGACTTCCAAGATCGAGGGCGCTGGCCTGTCCATCAACGAGATCGGAGGCGAGAACGGTCGACTGGGCAGAGGAAGGGGCGGAGAAACGGGGATCCGGTTCGCGCTGAGCGGCTGCCACGATACCACGCTCGCAGGCGTGTTGACTGGGCTGGGTGCCTTCAACGGCGAAAAATGGCCCCCCTATACCAGCCACATTGCGTTCGAGTTGTTCAGAGTGAAAGAACCCCAGAGCCAGGACCCTCAATCCGCCCCGGACGCCGACTTCTTGAGCCCGACCACACCCGCGAGCACAGAACCCAAGACCGAAGCTGCGCCGACGCAAAAGCCAGGCCTCTTCGCCTCTCTCCTGGGGCTGAGGACGCCGTTCGGATCGGGACCCGCGTCCGGGTCCGGGTCCTCTTCGCGAGACGATGATGACACTTCCTCAGCCGGAACATTCACATCGTCGCGCGACCCGTCGTCCAAGTCCACCGCCACCTCGCGGTCCGACCCACTGAGCACGCCCTCGCTCACCAGACAGTCCAGTCTGAATCCGTCAATTTCGCCAGCGGACCTGATTGCGCGGAAACCTTACTCCTCCTTGTCTGACGGCCAGAAACAGCGCCTGCAAGGCTACTACGTCCGCATCCGCTACAACGACAAGGTGATGAAGATCCCCGCGTGCGCCAACCCGGGGAATCATTACGCCGACGACGAAAGTCTATGCACATTCGAGGCGTTCAAGCGCGTGGCCGACGGGTTTGTGCCCAAGAATTGGAAAGTTCAGTGTGGGCAGAATCTGGATGACGGGGCTGGAGGGAAGAGTCCGCTGCTCAAGGGCCCGGGGTTGGATCAGCCGCCCCAACTGGCCGGGCAGATTGAGGAGGGGTCGTAGCGGGCAGAGGACGGAGTGCTCTGTATTATTGTGGTGGAGGAGTTGATGCCGTGCCGTGCCGTGCCATCTGGCGCTGCATTTGTCTGTGGTTGAAAAATGTATCCATCCGTACCATGGTCAAGATGTCGCACAAGCCTTGGCGATTCGCAGCGGAGCGGAGCGAATTCGAGCGGAGATCAGGCGCCTCGGTTTTGGGGTCTAAGAAATGGTTTACTCATGTACCTAGGTACTTATGGAATACGCAATAATGTGCTACGAGTGAGTGTGGAGTGGGACGAGATACTATACCCGATCCATGACCTACGATCCACTGCGCCTAGTGACTGGGATGGCTATGAAGACTGACTTTGACGTTCAACGTTAAGACACCAGTTCGAGTCGAGTGATGCATTACAGTACCACGCACGCACACCTCTGAAGGTCGGGTAATGTGAGGGAGCTACAAAACGCTCAGGACGTAGGTACAACGACCTGTCCTCGGCGCTTACGCGCCTGGCGAAATCTTGAGCCACGCGGTGAGCTCAGAACCTGCACTGAGACGAGATATCGGCATCATCGTTACCACGAACGCATAGGCGTGAAGTGAGATCGCCCCGAGGCGAGACACTGGCATCTTCAACAGAAACCAATATGCGTGAAGCGAGATTATCTATTATTTACGTTGTTCAGCATCCGCCCTAGCTCCCAGCGCCAGGCATGCTACATGGGCCAAATGAAAGCGTCGGCGTGAATGTCCTTTCAACTCTACGCAATTACCTCATAACCTGCCTCACCTCACCATGTGAAGCTCTCCTCATTCAGCTCCAAGTTCCCCAACCCGATCCTGCTCCTAACCGCCGCTCGAACTTCATCCGCCAAAGCCCCGGGCCCACAGACACTCACCATCGTGGCCCCAATCCTGGTCGGCAAGATCTCGTCGAGCACAGCCCCCGGTTCGCACCGCCCCTGGATGATCTGCATGGTCGGTTTGCTCTTGCTCCTGCTCTGATCGATCCGCGGCGTGGGCTTGCTCGCGTGCACGCGGATCATCAGCACTTCTCGGCGGCCCTCCATGTGCAGGATCTCGTTCATCCACGGCTTCACCCACTCCATGCACTCGACGTCGCGGATCGACCAGACCAGCACGATCCGGCGGGTCGCCACGGTCTGGGCCCGCGCGCCGGCCAGCAGGTGCCGGATCTGGATCAAATGGTGCGTAATCCCGCCGCCGCCCGCGAACATGACGACCGTGCCGTAGCTGACTAGCGAGTCGTGTCCCGCGTAGGGGCCCTCCAGGAAACCGCGCACTTTGAGCTGGCCCCCAGGGGATGCGCGGGCCTTGTCGTAGAGTTTTCTCGTCATTCCCGTGCGGGCGACCATGACTAGGGAAGCACTCGTGGGGGCCTGTCGCACTAGATTCATGACGGATTGGCGTTCGAGGGAGTTGGGCGTAGAGGGGCGTTGTGGTAGAACGTCGTGCCCGGAAATGGCGGGTTCGGATTCCACGTTCGTCCACGCGACGGAGAAGGGGTGGGACATCCACAGCGAGACGGAAGGCAAGTATGCGTACATGTGACTGCCTGGTCGGATGGTGATTTGGCGGGGTAGCTGGAACGTCACCCGGCATGCCTCGCCGGGGAGTGCCTCGACGAGGGCCGTGGTCAGCCCACGTGTGCGAGAGTAATTGAGATAGAAGACGCGGCCGATCCGCACGACTCTCTCACCCATGAATAGTAGCACGGCTGTCAGGATGGAGGGGTACGCGGGCAAGTGCATGATGTCCAGATGGACGTAGATTCCAAGCAAGGTCAGGAAGGCCAGCGATTGGTGAAGGTGCAGGAATGTCTCGTAGAAGGCGTGGCGGATGGGTGACAGGGAATGCAGCGGCAGAATGATGACTGCAACTAACCCGAGCAAGCCGTAGTCGAGGAAGGGCGCGTTCTTGAAGATCCGTATCGTCGCCTGATCTCCCTTAGCTAACTTGTACGCCGCAAGCCAGGCGAAGAAGTGGATGAGCGACAAGACGGCCACTAGTCGTCCAATCCACCGGTGGAAGAGGTTGAATGTGTCAAAGCTGACGCGCAGGATCGGGATCGTGATGTTATTCCTCTGCGCCAGGACGATCAACGGGATCAGATTGACCGTGGCGAGGATGCCGCTCCGTCCGCGCAACTCGGCGTAAAGGGCGCCTTTTTGGGTGTTGTGCCAGTCCAGAATCAAGCAGTAGACAATGTTTGTGCCGGCGTAGAGGACCAGGATCAGAGTGTGCACCCGGCTGGGCAGCGTGCCGTAGTTGACAGCCCCAGAGAGCTGCAACTCGCGATTATGTCGCTTCTTGCCTAGCGGTGCGTAGATGAGGTGCTTCTTCAGCCAGGCCCAAAACCTCGAGCGGTCGACGCTGAAGTAGTTCTGCTGGGAAGCGCGCTCCGTCGTCATGCAGTAGATGTTGCGGATGTAGGACACGAAGAGCTGCGCCAGGCGGACGGCGAACACGACTAGAATGGCGCCGACAATGGACATCCACAGCAGCTGGACGAGTTTCTGGTCCCTTGCGAGATTGACGCCGTTCAGGCCCGTGTAGAACGGAGCCGATGTCAAGGTCGGAGGTTTGCTAGGACTCCCTGCAATTGCTGCTGCGACGTAAGGTCGAGTGACTGTTGGAGTGGTACTCGTGCTGGCAAGCATGGCCGTGGCATCCTTGTAGCTGATATTGCCGTCCGACAGATCTCTTTTTGATGCTGTTTCATTCAAACTATTGTTGCTGTGGACGAGCTCCGGGACAGCTTTGAAGTCATCTCCGAGTATGTTGCTGAATTTGTCCATGGTGTTCTCGTTGTTTTGAGCAGGTATACAGATTCGGTGTGCAAGTGAAGGATGAGGATTGAACTCCGCCGGGACAGTCCCTGGTATTGGTGCCGATCCCATCATGTTGCAACTCCTTTGTGCCCGGTCAACAAGGTCCTGTGAAAGGCAGTTTAGTAGGCGAGGGTCTTCTCCCGACAGAGAGTCGGACAAAGATGTTCTTTGAGAGGCTTGAGATGTCATGGCTTAACAAGAGCAGAAACAACGAGGGAAAGGAAAGAAAGAATCACTCAAAGAACAGCTGATCAAAGACGTTTGTATACTTGGAGCCATGGTGTTTCAATAGTTGGCGCTGGTGAACGGTTGAATAACGGGCTCAATAAGGGGCGATATCCACGTGACCTTGATGGCCACGTTCACGCGCCGGACAGAATGAACGTGACATGTGGCCGAATAGGCCATCGTCATTCAGTGTTATTCGCAGTTTTGGCAGGTGATCCAGGACATATCACCGAGAGGTCACATCTCGGCGACTGGTGAGCAGACAATTTTTGTACGAACAGGTGAGGCCCGCACGGCCGTTTGAGCGTTGCTGGTGGCGGAAAAATCAATTCATCTGGCATCGTCAGTTGACCCCCGAGATTGCGATGCTGAAGGTGATCGTGTCTTCAAATCTCAAGCACATATCGTGCAGCAAGTCTCATGTTTTGTCGATGACTGGGCTCGCTGGCGTCGGATGGTCGAAGGGGTCTTCGATTGTGCTGCGGCTCGGAAGCTTTGGACTACTTGGGGCGTGGAAACTTTGCCGACTCTCATCGTTTGTTTCAAACTCACCTCCTGCTGCCTCTTTCGCTTTTTGCGTCGCAGATGCAATTGTCCCACAACCAAGATAAGAAAGTAATACACCCTTCTACTCTGTGCTCACCGTCCCATCCACCCACCATCAATTGTGAGCACCTCTCCACTGACGTACCTACTCGCTTCACTGGCCAAAAACACCACCGCGCCTTTAAAGTCCTCCGGCGTCCCCCATCGCGCCGCGGGGATTCTCTCCAAAATCTGCCTCGCCCGGGTCTCGTTCGCAATCAACGCCTCGTTCATGTCCGTCTCGATATAGCCTGGCGCAATCGCATTGACATTGATGCCCTCCTTTGCCCATTCATTGCTCAACGCTTTCGTGAGTTGTGCGACACCGCCCTTCGATGCCGCGTACGCAGGGACGGTGAATCCGCCCTGAAAAGTCAACAGGGACGCGACGTTGATGATTGCGCCTCTGGCACCGGAGGCCGGCACTGGCTTGGACAAGAGATAGGCGCCAAAGTCTCGACATAATGTAAACACCGTAGTCAGATTGACTTGTAGCACCGCGTTCCAGTCGTCCAGGGGAAACTGATGTGCGGGATGCCGCTTCTGGATCCCTGCGCATGTGACGAGGATGTGCATGTCGTGGCCCGCCTTGACGAGATCGGGGATGAGCTTCGATACGGCTTCCTGGTTGGTGAGATCTGCTGTGGTAATGGTGACTTTGCGGCCTCTTTGCTGGATCTGGTCGTGTGTTTTTCTGTTGCTTTCGTCCCTCTGGCCAGCCACACATCGTCAGCATACTTGCGCGTCTCCAGACAACGGGCGACGTGTTCCGCCGCTCGAATGGTAGCCCTCCTTACCTGGACGAGAATGATATCAGCCCCAGCTTCGGCCAAGGCAATCGCCATAGCAGCGCCGATACCTCGTGTACCACCCGTCACGACGGCCGTCTTGCCCGCCAGCGAGAACATCTTGGTCAAGCTGTCCATCCTTGGCTGGCGTCCCGAAACAAGGACCTTCTAATGTGCCTTCACTTTCGGATCTTTTAACAATGCAGAAGTAGAACAATCGGTAGCGATGCAATGTGCTTGAGGCGACTGCTGGGATACTGTTGTTCAAGTTCTCACTGGCGACTCTCCCTCTATCTTCTGAGAACGGTACCTCACAACGACAACGCAGCTTCTGTTGAGCATCAATTGAAATGATCAACACCCCACGACCAACTCACATCGGCAAATGAACAATCCCGACTCGGTCGACCAGACGCCGATGTGAGGGGAAAGTTGACTGTGACCCTCGTCGCACAGCCTCGTCCGTCCGGAGAGAATGACGAAATGTGCAGTGCGGCGGCGCGAGGCAACTTGATGCAACAACTACATACTAACCTGGGCTGTGATCTGATGAATACATTTTGTGACTGCATACACAGGTCGAACATGGTCCCAGAGAAGCTTTGCAGGCTAATGGTCCATCCCAGCTGGAACGTCGGCGTCGGCACCCAGCGGGGAAACAAACAAGATCGTGTGTAACTTTTGGACCTCGCTGTGCCGCTGTTGCTTGTTTGAGCGTGTCTTCGCCTAGACTAATTGTCATAAGACCAGTGGCATCCAGCGAATGCTTCTATACGAGGTTCACCCTGGTTTGAGCAATCTGGCATCGAGTCGAAGCTCAGCCGCACAAGAGGATGCACCTGCGATTGGTCAGTCGAGGCTCGGCCAAGAACAGGACACGAAATTCACAAGCTTCACGAGCTTCACGAGCTTCAGGAGCGCTGCGAACCCTTGCCCTAGACTTGATCTGCTTAAGACCCTGGTGAGCTGAAAGGTACAGGCTGAGATTATGAGACTGGAGGGGCGAGCAGTTTCCCTCGCATCCTGACCGACCAGAACCTGCATCGTCGACTGATCGTCAAACGGTCGTGGGCAAACTTTCAAGACAAGCACTATCATCTTGTGACTGCTTCGGTTATCGATTCATTGGAAACTGCCTTCCATCTACGCACTCCTCAGTTCCCGTCTGCCTCGTATTACTGCTGAATCCTTGAATTACAGCTGAGTGATGGTGAAGCAGCAGGTGGCAGTTGATGGCCCAGAAATGCTTTTCTACACCCAGCTCACACCATCACAGCACGCAAGACGGCCTATGGTGAGATACCCCTATCGGAAGCGTTCAAAGCTGACATCTTCGCTACCAAAGACCTCGATGGCCAGATCGGTGAGGCTACAGCTCTAGATCCTCTAGACGTTGACCTCAGCCTCAGCTGCGCTACCACAAGGGGGAAGGTATAAACTGAGCCGTGCTGCCTTCTCTTCCTGGTTTACATCCATCCGTTCTCCTCCTCAGCTCAGTCATACAGCAGAGCCTGCACTCAAGCTTTCGTCACAGAAAGTCTCTGAAGATGCCGATTCTAGACTATGGATTCTGGAAAGCGAAGCCAGTTTCCTACAAGGTCGATGGGCCAGACGACCGCAATCCCCATATCAATCTCATCTTCAAGGACGACGATGCCGACACCTGGGAAGCCGCAATCAACGTCAAGTCTCGGGCCCATCCATCTGAGCTCGTGTATTGGTTCGACCGAGACTTCTCACACCGAATGTCCCGTGCCCTCGAGAACCACCAGCCTTATGGTTTCAAAACGCTCAAGTCTCGCAATGGATCGGCCCATCCCCTGGCCCTCGACTACCTCCGACTTGCTGACCTGCTTCACCTCCAAGATGGGAGGCTATTGCCGTATGACGAGGACGGGCCTGACAACGATATCCTCGATCAGCTGCGACCCATCCTTGATGATGCTATCAGTCAGCAGGCCGACATCTATCTGTACGGCTCCCGCTACGACACAGGTGACGGAATCCATGACGTGCACATGAACCAAGGCAGTCCAGGCCGCCGCTTCAAGAAAGACAATGGGGTCCACACCGACGGCGGCATCTTGTTCCGCTTCCCACATGGACACTGGGAGGCTGTCTTCCTGGCATTTGCCTCGCAGCAAATCCCTACTGACGAGGATGGACATCCCACGCGGGATAGCAGCTCGCTTTCAAATATTCTTCGTGCGAGAGGCCGCGCTCGGCTTTGAGAGGTGTACATAATGGTGAGATGTCTGCTCAGAAGCGCTCAGGCGCTTAACGCTCTTCGTCTTAGGACTAGAGAACTTGGACGTTGAGTGGCGAAGGCATGCTTTTATAGTGGAACTCTCCCAGATGCAACCAGGTGACCAAGCTGCCATGTACGGTCCGAAGTTGGAAAGGTGTAAGGATAATCGAGTTCATTCATTTCACAGATCAGTTATCCGCTACCCAGATTTATGTCTCAACTTCTCTCACGGCTCCTTTCTGAGTGTCCAGCACAAACCCGAGGACTTCCAGATCACCGAGGCTGGTCTCCTCTCTGAGCTTGCGGATGTCCTCTTTCACCGTCTCATCGAGGTGCTCCTCCTTCCACATGCCGAAGTCCATCTTGTCCACCACAGCCGCGGCTGCCGCGGTCTTTGGCTTCGCAAAGGCACGCACTTCTTGGTCAGTCGCGTGACTCATCCCGCAATCTACTTGTGCATCAGCTATCAGTCTCACAATTAGAGGTGGGGACAGTACCGGTATGATGAACGATAGCCACAAGTTCGAGACTAACGACGGCGCGCAGGATATGGAGTGATCGTATTACGTCCTCTGTGACTCGACCTCCGGCGTTTCGGAAAACCGCAGCCCGCATGTCTGGTCCGAAGAAAGCTTCGGGGACGCAACGAGGATCGAAACAGGTCACTATGCCGTAAATCAGGATCTGCGTGAGGATGCTTTCAGCTATGGTTGGTAAGGGGCCTACGAATGACCAATATTTCTGCCCCTGGCCTTCCTCTCATGGCCTGGATTTGTGTCATCTGCGGCGCGCCGGTGAATGAACTTGCGTATGTTGCATTGTTGGCGAGGAATTGCTGGATCCGGGTACTGGCTGCGGACATGACGGAGGATAGTAGCAGGACTACAGTACTTGTGGATCGATATCGTCTTGACCGTGACTTCACCATGGACACTACCACGGCTCCTCATATGTGTCCCCGTCCAGCTGGCGAGTACGGAACCATTCCGTGGATCCATGTTCGCCAGGAAGCCTTGCAGACTAGGCCAGCTGGATTCAATCACTAATCATAACAACTGGCATCAATGAGGAGGTAAAGGTTCGATAATCTCGATGTGAGAGTGACCACAGGTTTGTGGTGGTCCCCGACGGACGGTGCAATATTCCTCCGCCCGCCACCGGCGAGACCTTCGTCCACCAGGCAATTCAAAAGTCTGAGCCTGAGGAGTTCACAAATACTTTTTCGAATTCTGGATGTCTCGATTACTGACATGCGAGCCACTCGAGAGAGGTTGAAGCGCAGAGAGCGTACGTCAGTGGGCGCCTCTTTCTCGCAGTAACTAATTGACACAAACCTAAATGCCAGAGTAGTGCGGCGGCTTGACGGCCGAGAATGGCGCGAATACCCCGTGGGGATCCCCACACAATAAGGCAGCAGAAGCCCGTTGCTAAGCTTGATCGGAATGATTAATTAGATGATATGCCGAAGCATTTCTATTGTGTAGGCACGGAGCTCGATCGTCATGCACCCAGGTCTCTGGTGCCATCGGACATAACCCGTAACGGAGCTTTCCCACAGAATGCAGATTTTCTGCTACTATGAACTCGCCCCTTCCGAGGCAAATCAAGCTCAAGTTATGATTGCGTCTCCTTCATCTTTGGCTACGCTGTCCAGCGTAGCGGTTCAAACCCCCCATCGAGCTTGGACTCCTTTTACCAACGAGGCCAAGTAAGCCTCGCAGCTGAGTCAGCTTGGGAGACATGTCCTTCTGGGTGCCGTCCACCTCGCTTCACGACGGTTACGTTGAATGCCCAACTGCCCAGTCATTATGTGTGTTGCCAACGCGGGGGCGCTAGAGGACTTTGTGGAGATTTGATACGAGCGTCTCAAGTGTCTCAACTTTCGGTGTCAGGTTTCGTCCACCGTATGGCTTCCATGGACAACAGAGCAGCCTCACCCCCAAGCAAGCCCCTTTGCCAATCTAAGCGAATAAGGGGATTCATACAAAGCTTATCCACGAGGATCAAACCATGCATTGTCGAGTCCTCGGCTTGACAATGCACCCACATGGTGAACAATCGACAGCGCCAAGCCAAGCCAAAAACCATTGTCGCTTTATCCCGAGATGACAAGTTAACACAAAGTCTCCGAAGCCTGTCGAATGTGTGCCAGAATCGTTAAAAACCCGTCACACCTCTGCAACTGAGGTTTTTGGGTTCTTCACCAACAACAACAGCAACCACATCTCTTCGAAGAATCAGGCTCGAATCCGACTTTCAGGCAAAGTTCCAATCCAAGTCTTGTTTCTTCGACGAGCCGATCCTATCCTTCAGCGTCTGCATTCAATCTACTCATCCCGACGTTTCATTCACCTCCACCTCTATTGACGACGTCCGACTCTTTACGGCACTACACAGTATGCATCCCCTTCAGCCTGCTGATCTCGGCGCTGCGTGCCCCCCTGGTGTTGGACTTCGTGTTGGACCTTCTGCTTCTGTTGCACTTGGCCCAGCTCGTGGTCACGGCACATCCGCATCGGCACGCTCCTTGAAGCCCACTGCCACTCACGCCACTGATATCACTACCAGCGACGGGGGTGCTAGTGCTGATGCTAATGCTGAAGCCGACATTGACTTTGACATTGACGACGCCGGCGGCACCGATGGAGGCCGCGACTTCCCCATCGACGCGGACTGCGACGACGATGTCGAGAACTTCTTCGACTTCTACGGCAGCGGCAACGGTGGCAACAGCGGTCTCGGCGGCCACGGCGGCCACATCAACTTCACATACCGTGGGCGATCCATTCGCGCCGCCGACAGTAGACCGACTTACAAGGACCCCGAGAACCGCGTGACTCGTCGTCTGGTCGATCGGAGCCGTGAGATCGATCCCCTGAGACATGTCCCTCGAAGAGCGAAGAACCGTCGTTCTTAAATCCCATGAGTGAGGTGTTAAACATGACACGTTAACTAAGGTAGGTTGCATGGGTGAAAGGCGAAAGAGGAAAAGGTAAGTTAGAACACAAGGTAAGTACATGTACCACCCTTCCTGACGCTTGAAGGTAGGATGCTGTGATACAGACAGACAGACAAGCATGATGAAAATACAAGGTTATTGCCAAATATTGTAATTCCTTTGAGAAGGTGTTCACTGCTTAGTGCTTGTATTTACCGTGCTCTCAAGCTCCACGACTGAGATGTCTGATCAGATGCATAAAAATGGTAGCTCGCATGAGAGCCAAAGGAAAAGGTAAGTGAAGTTGAAGAAGAAGAGGTAAGGACACGGAACCTTCCCGACGCTTGAAGGTAAGGTGATACAGACAGACAAGTAAGAATGGTGAAAATACAAGATTGTTGGTCAAATGTTATGATTCCTATTCCCGTGCGAAGGTGGTCATTGCTCTGTGCGTGAAAATAGCATGGGCGTGCTCTCGAGCTTTTCCTACATTGTTCCGAGTAGAGTAGAGTAGAGTAGTCCGACTTTCGAGAACCATAAGACGTAGGTGGCACTCTGGCAGTTGTCTCACAACGGTAGGCGGGAGTTTTTGAAGACGTCTTTTGGCAGGGGTTTGAGGCTGGAGAAAATTGAAAACCGAGCTCAGCAATGCTTACCTGTAAGGTTTCTCATCTCGGTTTACGCAAACTTCACCTATGGTTTATTTCATCTTTCGGATGGCTCCTCACTCTCTCTAATTAAATAGCTGATAGCTCACTGAAACGGTAGTCAATCTAGTTTTATCGCTAAATGATACATACCTGCAGAAGTACCCTTTAGATTTGCTGTTTTTCCTGTTCCTCACTTCGGCTTCTTCTTCAGTCGCACACTCGCTCAGTCGCACATACTCTCACTCGGATCTCCTCCCCTAACAAGTGACCACCTAAACACTCTACCGCTTCGGTCTTTTGGAAATGAAGTCCTGTAAGATACCCGCAGCTTCATCCGCGTCGTCTTGGGAGGGCCGTTTAGTCGCACCACCTGCGGCGGGGCTACCAGCGGCGCCTGCAGGAGGGGCACCATCGTCATTACCGACATCATCACCGCCGCCTGCATTCCCACTGCTTGCATCGCCGGCAGCCCCAGCGCCACCACTACCACCTCCACCGGCACCTGTACTGGCACCTGCACCACCACCTGCACCAGTGCCATCACCGCCATCGCTGCCATCGTCATCACCTCCGTTGCCACCATCATCGTCGTCATCATCATCATCATCCTGGCCATTAAAATCCGTATCGGAATCATCGACCAGGTCGTTTTCATCATCCACGCTATAGCTTTCCTTCCACTCGTACCGGTACATGAAGTGCTTGGCGAGGTTGAGGATTCGGTGGCGCTGTTGTTTGATGACAACAGCAGTGCGAGCGGGACGAGGCACCTCGCCAACGCGGCTCATGTCCTTGTCGACCGATTTCCTCCTGTATGAAAAAGCCCCTGGGGGAAAGGAACCATCTGGTCTCGGTGGCACGCTATCGCAACGGTAATAGACCTTGTGGTAGGTGGACTTGCCCGCAAAGTCGTCGTTGAACCGCCGAGTCAGGTCCTGAACCTCCTGGTCTGACATGTTCAACGGGAAGTTGTCGCCATTCTGGAAGTAGTCGGCTGCGGCAGCGGCACCTTGTTGAGCGAGCTCCCCGTACTTCTCTTCATACCTCATCGCCTCTTGCTCACGGAGCCAGTCTTCCTCGTACTTGTTGAATCTGTCGCCGACGGGCTTGAGGATCTTGCCGGTGACCTCGGCGTAGGCATTGTTCCGCCACCTGTTCAACTTCGCGAGATGTTCCTTGTCGTGCCAGTCGAACTCGACCTCTTGGGTTGTTGGGTAGTTCCCGTCACTCCAGCGGAATGGCCAGTCTCTCCTTTGACCCGGCGCGGCACCCTTGATGCGGCAGTTGCCCTCGAAGTACCGGATTTTGTATTTGCCCTTTGTGATGGTCTCGATGTACAACTTGGTCGGATCGGGGCAGTGGAGCCTGGCAGGGGTGCGATCGGGGTTGATGGCGAACCCCGTGGGGATGCGTTGTCGCTTGCGACCACGACCCACTTCGGTGTAGTGCCGACCGGGGGTTGGACGAAGATCAACGTTGCTGGTGCGTGATGCATCTGACAGTGGCGAATTACGGGCGTCCTCGATATCCGAATCCACCTCTTCGTCATCGGGGTGGGCGCGAGGCTGTTCCTCTGTGGCATTGTATCGGTCGAAGGCGTGGAGCTCGTCCGTTGACTCCAGGAAGACGCCGTCAATGACGCGGCGAGGCTGATTGGCGTTGACGGCCCGCAGCCCACTGTTGGTGTTGGGGCCCGAGTTGCGAAGACGTCGGTACTTGGGGAACACCAGAGGGACACTGCCAATGCGGATCCATTCATCGATGGCGGTCACGATGTCCCAGCGATGTCTGCTCAAAAATTGCTCAGCTGCAAACACGCTGTTCGTGGCCGTGATGGATAGGAACAGAGCCAGGCGTTCATCCCGGGCCATCTGACCGCGGACCCGGGTCCGAAGACGGGCAAGTTCGCTGACGACATCCTCGTAGTCACCATTGCGTCGGTCGATGTCGGCGGCGACGTCAGCCCGGTTGAATCGGTGCCGATTGAACATCATCATCATCACGGAATTGGATGTGGCTCGCTCTTCGGACAATGGTGGTGCCGGGGCTTGAGGCACAGTTGGCTGCGGCTCATCTTCCATCTCTTCCTGAAGCCGCGCAGGCAGTCCATCCCGCAGTCTACGCTGCATGCGATGAACCGTTCGGCGGCGTTCTCGCTGCACAGTATTGTCCGTGTTGACCCCAGACCTTGGTCTTGTGGGCGGCACCTCGGCAGCGTTTTGGGTCGTCCAAAAATCCATAACAGCACGATTGACGTCCCATTGGACGCTGGGTTGGGTGAGATGAAATCGCAGCGTGGCGTCCCTGATCTCAGGATAGCCGATCTGGTTCCTCATGGCAGTAATACGATCCCGTCGCTCCTCAGTGGTGTTAGGCTGTGGGGGCATCCGGGGGTTGGCCTGAAACGCAGCCTGGCGATTGACCGGAAGACGGGGACGCTGGGGACCCGAGCCAGAACCTTGTGAGGGATCCATTGTCGCTACAAGGACACGGTAGAGGCTGTGGTACGTCAGCTTGGTACCGGGCAGCCTCCAGGACAGAGGACTCACTGTTAAAGGTGCAAGAACAAGACAGGTAGAACCGTAGAATACACCCTGCTGCGTCAGTCGCCAGACTGACCAAGAGCTGCCAGGGTTACAAGCCCATGCTTCAACCGACCCTGTACAGCTCGATGACTTATAGCTGAAGAGCTACAGCCAGTTTCCGAGCATTGAGGGCAAAGACAGTGTCATCTTCGTTGTTTCCGTCGAGTATCCGCTTGCGGAAACCGCACACAGAACCTGAGTTGAGCAGCATCATTGGTCGTTTTCGTTGCATACAATGAGGTCCGTGCAGGGACCACGAGGAGGAATGTCACAAAACAGGCGCGATATCTGCATTTGATGAGCGTCTGCCGGGACAACACTCGACTGCCTGAGCTTGGCGACATAGTTCACCCAGGGCCGAAATATCATGTTTGCAGAGTGATTTGAATGCAGCAAGAGGAGCTGGAGGAAACATGAAGGTCTTTTTTCTGGAGTCACGGGCGCTGGTATATCTGTTAAAGGGGGTGGCTGTATATATGTGTGCCTGTGTCTTGATGTGGTGGACGAAGTCCTGCTTCCTATTGCGGACACGGAAGTCAAAAAGCAGTGCATATGTACTTACCATCCAGCTTTTCGAACCAGACAAATGAAGAAAAACAAGAGAAGGCCTGATCCCGCTTGAACAAAGTCAGGGCTGCATGGAATCTGGGCTTGAGCAAGAGCAAAGCAAGCTGGACACTCAACAAGGAAGGCACCTGGGTATGTGGCGGTAGAACAAGCCGCGCCCAGGCTCTGGAAGCCGCAGACGATTTATTCCCATCAGTTGCTGCCGCATTCTTTTCGACCTTCCGGGCCATGCGCCGTGCCCCGGTGTGGCCTGTGCTGTGCTGGACAAAGAACCCGCATCGAGGAGTCAGCAGTTCGCAAATGTGCGATCATTGCCATCCGCGTCGCACGGGACTCGGCCAGACCGGCGCACTCCATACGGAACAAGCCGCAGGCATACAGGTACTTTTCCGTGTCCAGATCGCCTTTGAGTTTGTTCGGGACCGACGGATGCTATCGCTTCTCCCGTGTTCTGTGGGTGTTTTTGAGGTTTGATCATTCCGCCGTCCGCATGCGGCAGTCCGAGATTTGTCGCGTGATCGTACCGGGTATGTGGGAGCTGTCACCATAGCGAAAAACATCGGATACAAAGACACCATCTGTTGAAACAACGGTGGTCAATTGCAGTTGGTACGGAGTGGTTTTGTCATTATTGAGTGCGCGAACAGGAAGATGAAGGCCTGGCACCATCAATGCCAAGATGAACTCACGTGATTCTCCACGTGACCATGACCATGACCCAACGAGCCTTCAGCCTCCATCGCTTGCTCCCACTCACGGCAACTGCATATCGCTGTCTCGTACATAATGATCGGTTCCAGCTCTTGCCCACTTTTTAGATGAGACTTCTCACCGCCGCCATAACCCAATCCTTAGCACCCCTCTTCTTCTTTTCTTCCTGAAGCTCCATGATGCTGGCACGCCTCTGGTCCTCCGACACCCCTGTGCCACTGATCCTACTTCGCTGTTCCTCCCTCATGCCCGTGTAGATATCGATATCCTTTGCTCGGATGAACAAAGCGCGGTCTGCTGGCCGGGCGAACCAGCTGTAAATCTTCCAGACAAAGTATAGGAAGATGAGCAGAGGACCAGCGAGGTAGAGTTGGAAAAAGATGTTGGCATCCAGGTACGGCCCGCCGATCGGATACAGTGCGACGTAGAACTGAGCGATAAGACTGATGATGTTGATGAACAAGCACAGCCACGAGCCCCAGACGCCCCAAGCGGCCCTGAAGGGGAGCTCGTCCAAGGAATGACCGTGAGCAGCCCTGGGAATGAGTTAGTCACCGGCGATGGGAGGACAGAGGGCAAAGTGCAGTCTTTGCTTACCAGGCTGCGCGGAAGCGGATATGTGCAAGAGCGATACTGCCGTAGATGAAGAGGATCGAAAGACCCGACAGTGAAAGGAGCCAGTTGAAGATCGTGCCACCATTCTCGGCCAAGTTGATGAATGCTAGGCACCCGAAAAGGAGCTGGAGAATGACCACAGACAGAGGGCGGCCCTTTCTGTCGACGTAGGCGAGTATCTTCGGACCCATGCCTGTGTACCAGGTTAGCGTGGTAAAGAATTATAGGACCGTAAACGCACCATTCGCCGCAAGAGCTTGAATCGTTCGGGTCGAGCCAAATGTGCATGAATTTGCAACGCTCATGACAGCGATCAAGATGACCGCATTGAAGATCGAAGGGAGGACCTTGATGCCAGCAAGCTGAATGGCAATGACAAAAGGCGAGTGACGCGATGTGGAACCTTCACCAGTATACAAATCACTGTTCTCGGGTACGATCAAACCAACGAGGAAAAGGTTGACAATGTAGAAGATCGCGATACGCCATACGACCTGTTTCGACGCCCTCGGGATCTCCTTTCTGGGGTTCGTTGTTTCCGCGGCAGCCAGCCCGGTCAGCTCAGTGCCAGTGTAGGCGAACGCCGCGGTAACGAAGACGCTGCAGAAGCCGTGAAAGCCGTTGAGGAATGCCTCGTAAGGTGAATGCCTGTTTCAAACCGTCAGCCTTGCCGGGAGCCCTTCCGAGAATGACTTTACCAGTATCTTGCACCGATGTAGCCTCTGTCATCTGTTGGCACGCCACCACAGTTGATGATAACTCCAAGGATCATGAAGCCTATGCAGGCGATAATCTTGATGATACTGAGGACGAACTCGACCTGTTCCAATTAGCTCGATCTCCGAAAGGACTTTCGAAGAACTTGCCTCGCCATAACCCCTCACACCGAAAAACTGAATAGCAACCAAAGCGACCAGCAGCGGGACGATCCAAGCACTGTTGTTGATACCCTCGGATCCTGGCCAGTAGTGGATGATATTGCAAGCAGCCGATATCTCAAAGGGAAGGACAGTCAGCCAACTGATGGCGTACTCCCAGCCGCAAGCGAATCCCAACGAGGGATCCACGAATCGACAGATGTACATAGTGAAGGCGCCATTGATCGGATACATGACGGACATTTCGGCGAGGGCCTGCATCATGAGATAGCTAAACGATCGATTGTCAGCCGAGGACAGGGTCTTCCGGGATCTCAAGAAACATACACCATGAGACCTAGAGAAAGCGTTAACGATCGCACCACAGTGCTTGCAAAGGATAACTAACCAATAATCATGAAGCCAAGAAGCACAGAAGCAGGTCCGCCACTCTGAAAAGCGCCGCCAGAACCAATGAACAGACCTGCACCAATAGCACCGCCACTAAAAGCATCGATTAGCATGCACGTTGGGACTCCTTATTCCATGGCCTGCAACTTACATGGCAATCATTTGCATGTGTCTTCCCTTCAGATCGCGGTGAAGCGCGTTCTGGTCGGCTACCACCAGAGCACGATCCTCAGGGTCGACGCTGAACTGCCGACCTCGTGCATGATCAGTGAGCGAGCCCCGTCGGTAACCCGGAACATCGTTGCCATGCTTCTCGCCGAGCGCATTTGTGTCGTTCTTGAGATCCATCTTGACGACAGACGAGAGCGAAAAACGAGGGGAGAATAAATGGAGGAATGAGATGAAGACCGCGGCCACCCCAGCTTTAAAGCACCCACAAGCTTTCGCAAGCAATGCGATCACGACAAGCACCCTTGAGCTGTGAGGGCAGCCATTAGCGATATGCGGCGATGGCAAATCATAGATAGGCGTCCGATCAGACGAATCAAGAGTGGTTCGGGGCAGACGAGAGGCCGGACCTGTTTACGGAGCGCATTGGTGGATGCTACAGCAAGGTGACATCGTGCCGCCGCACCTTCATTTAGCGAAAGCTGCAAGTGACCTGCCTGACTAGGCTCTGGGGAAGGTGCTGTTGAACAAACGACCGAAGCAAGCCGCTGGCGCCAAGCGACGTGGCGCTGTCTTCGGGATCGAGCTTCGCCAGGCTTCGCCAGATCTTCCTCGCACCACGATATCATCATCAGGCTGTTTAGTACAGAGCCAAGTGGGTGTTCTCCTGTGACCACCAACACTGGCATGTAAACAGCGAGAGCACGACAAGGTGACCAGCCTAACACAGTGAAATGTCCGTTCCAAGTCAGTCGAAATGGATTCGCCACGCGGGGGCCTAAGGCCTGCGGGCTTCGCTGCCCCCGCGATCGACAATACGATTGGGCCTGCGGAGCTGTTTCCCTAATTGCTTTCCCAGTGGCATCGTCAGAGATAAGGATGTCGTACCAGGTTGCGCAGTGGCGTGTTGATCAATGCCCGGTCACTCCGATGCCCTGGAGCTTCGGTGGGAGCTTCCATGCATATCGTACCATCGGTCTGCGTGACTAAAATGAGACATGGCCAGCAGAGCCGAGCTTTGTGACCTGTACGAGGTACCATGTACTCGCACGAGAGGCTGGCTACAAGTCTACGGTTGCAAGACAGGCAAGCGCATTTGTCGGCGCCATGGAGATTCACCGGTAGAGGGTGAGGAGGAAACATTGAGATAAGTCGTTGATGGGTTCTCTCATCCGATGAAGCTTGCGACGTACGGGGATCTCACCAGCATCATACCTATCTGCTGCCCCGATTGCGAGACGGCCACTAGAATAGTTACGGATCAATTCAGGCGGTGGCATTCGAAAGCAGCACAACCATGACGAAAATGGTGCGTGTGAAATAATTAGTCACAGCCAAGAAGAGAGTGAAAGATAGCGCCCGTCCAGGTCGCCTGCATCTCCCAAACGGGGAGGGGGTTAATTAGGTAAATTGAAATCCGTCCGCGGCCTAATTCAATCCCATGCGACTGACCAGATACTGTAGGCGGGATGCTCAGCGATGCTCATCCTTCTTCTGCAGAGGTTGCAAGGTTTCTCGACCGAGGCACAGCCTGCAGCGGGTTTTTGTACACGTCTACATTAGACTCTGGGCAAGAGTTCTTGTCTAGGTGCTTGATGGGTGCTTGTCTCTCTGCCGGCTTTGCTCGCCTATCCCGGCGGCCTCGGCTGTCTTGGTGTTCGAAGACCGCTAGGATGCCCCAGCACGTGCCGCAGCACGTGCCCGGGGCCCCAAGTTGCACCGCTAGATTAACTCGGCCGCCCCAGCGAGGCCAGGTGGCCACCTGCCCTTGTTGGCAATGGGCACGCGAGCACGCGCACCAGCCTTGGCATTTACGCTGCCAGGCCCTCGTCCTTCATCTCCCTCTTTGCACAATCAGATAATTACCAATTACCAGCCACAATTGATGGATGACCATTGTCGGGTCAATCACACTTGCCTCCGTTGACCAGACCGATATGCCCACCCATCGGGTCAACCACCCATCCCAGTTGCAAACGGTTCTCCGACATTGAACGTTATTTGAGCCTCGAGTCAGAAGATGAAGAGGTTACACGAAACACCCCCCTGGTTTTTGGCACATGAGGGAGGCTGCCCAGCTCTTCCGAGATCGCCTGCGTTCATTCGTTAACCCCGGCAGTCATCTCAGCGTTGACGAGCCTGTTATTCGATGCTTCGGTCGCAACTCAAACAAGGCACTTCCGAGACACAAACCAACAAAAGAAAGCTTCCAGCTATTCATAACCGCAAGCCATGGGGCCTATATTCATAACTTTATCGTACATTCCATACCCATCTCGGCATGGTCTTGAGGCCAACCCAGAGGGCCTCACTATCAACCTGGAACTTACCAGCTCGAACTACCCGACACCACCAGCAAGGTTCAAAAAGCATTCCGCGTATTCTCTCCGCACCGGATTATTGGAACTAACGCGACGCGTCTACGCCACTATCATATATTGCACAACAGCTTCGTCAATATTATCAATATCAACCGCACAAATAACCGCTTTATTTCACTCGAATCCCCGAGTTAAACTCTCTATACCATGCCTTTTACAGAAGGCGCCGACTGTGCGCGGATTTAGAGGTCCTACCTACAGTTACACGTGACCCCGATCGCGTCCGCGCAAACCACCCAGTCCTCCTCTACCAAGGCAAAATTTACGCGCCCACAATTGATACAAGCTATTCAAGATGGAGTACCATCGTTTCAGTCTCCTATCACTGTCGTTTATCGAGGTCTTGCATGTCGAAACCCTGTTATGAGTTTGTGGTCGCCGATTCCCCTTTTCCTCACCTTCGTCGCGCCTGTTCTTGATCTTTTGTTGTTTCATACCAACCTCAGAGCACAACAGGATACAGCACCAACCTCAGAGCACAACAGGATACAACACGCAAAATGGCCTGGAAAGCTGTCAGAGCGATTAAAACACGACGTGGCTTGCTGTTCGGTTTGAAATGTGAAGGGATCTCTCACTTAACGCCTCGATGGCCTCATCGAGTGTCATGACCATCACCGTTGCGAATTGTGTGGATGGAAATGGGCCACGTCCGACAAAAAGGGAGGGCGCCGAGTCCTGACCCATCACCTCTCAACAATAAATGAAAACAGTCCACGAATACTCCGTAGTGTAGTTAGACACATATATATTGCATTATGCAATTTAAAGCACGCATCGACTGTAAATTGCATCACGCATCGACTGTAAATTGCATCACGCATCGACAACTCAACAACATGCGCCTAGATATGCTCCTGAATCAAGAACCAGCTCTCAGCCTATCGAACACATATCAATCGCCACTGCTGGTACAGATGCCAATCCACCTTCCGTGATGATGGCCCTCGCATGCAAAGCTTCGGCTTTGTTGACAGTCCAATGCCTTGCTTTTCCATTGTCGCATATAAAGCACAGGCATCCAGATGGTGCCCAACTCGAGCCAATCTGCTCCGTGCCAGGAACGATCGAAATCGTAGTGTAGCACGTCCAAAGAAATGTCCCGTGAGCTTGAATGGGGTGCATATCCCGCGCTCGTTGACAGGCAGAGGTCCGATGCCGTAGGCGTATTTGTTTCCAACCCGCTGATAATGCGCCGCAGAGCGACGGGTCTCGGTGACTGCTTTTCATTCTCTTAGCGTCAATTCTCTGCCCCCTTCATGGCGGTGAGGCACGCCCACCACGGCGGCCGGGTTCCACCTCCCTGCTGCCAGGCGTAACGGATACATATCCGCGTGCACACTGAGCAGGTGCAAGGTGAAGACTCCAACTAAGAAGGCACACTGCATGGGCTTCTTCATGGGCCTCGTAGAAGCAGCTGCCCTCGAGTAGATGAGCTTGTCGCCGTTTCCTCTTCAGGTGATTGAAGGACAGGAGAGCGGACACTGACATTTATTTTGCAAGTCGCTGCTGTCTCACGTGCAGTTGAACCCAGGTTCATGGTGTTCACCTCAGCCACAGACAAGGGCAGGCTGAGGAAGTTCCTTAGAAGGCTGGTCCAACGGAAGACCCAAGCCCTTCAAGTCGTCCGTCCTTCGGATAGGTTGCTTCTCGCCTAAAAGTCTCTCCCTCAACTGTGCCTTGGCTGTTTTCTTCTTGCTAACTGTCATAGCTCCAACTTGAATCGCTTCCTCAGGTAGACGCCGAATGTAAGGTTGACAAACCCACCAGGGTCTTTGATACTTTAGTTCAGTTCTTTGTTTCGGCGTCAGTCCTGATTCCGATACTGCATCTGCGGTAGTGGTAACATCTGGTTTTGCCCCTCGTGAAGCGTCGTACTCGTCGAGGCCGCTTCGTACCGCCACTTCGACCATAGCCAAGACCTTCTCAAAGCCGTCAATATCACCGAGCACAGTCTTGGCCAGAGCATCTCGAATTTCGGTGTGAACAGAGACCAAAGGCCTCAACAGCTGGAAGAGGTGCCCTTGCATCGCCCTAACGTTTGGGTCCGACCTGTATTTCTTTGACTTGCCGTTCGGCTTTTGTTTGTTGGCAGGGTTTTGATCCTCTGAGTTCATGGCGCTCGGAGTCCCAGAAATATCCACGGGATCGCCTCCAATGTACAGCGGTTTGCGAGCCGGAGGTTCCGTGTCAAGGGAATGTCGATAAATGATGTCGAGATATCTCCTGAAGACTGCATCCATGCGATATCCCCCTTTCCCGTTGGGTCCATACCAGTATTGCCGCGGATTGTACACCTTTGGAGGCGGTGCAAAAATTGTGGGATCCGAGAGATTTCCTTCCGCGCTCATAATGCCGTCGGCACCGGTCGCAGCCAGGCTCGCTTCCAGGTCACCGGAGTTCAAGATATTGCCGTTCGCGAAAATGACGGTCTCAGAGGGAAGGTTGTCTCGCAGATATCGAATGACAGACCAATCTGCTACCCCCGTATTGTGACCTTTCTGTTCTCTTCTCCTCCCGTGCACGGTCAATATGCTTGCGCCCGCAGACAATATCATCTTCGCATACTCGAGGGTCTTTTCCCTTGTGTCAAGTATTCTCATCTTGGCCGTCACGGGCACCGACAATTCGTTGTGTAACTTGTTGATCATCTTGTAAATAGTGTCCCAGTCCTCTTGCAGGTAGGCACCGTAGTGGCCCGCTCTCGCAATTCCTTGTGGACATCCCAGGTTCAAGTCTACTGCGTCACAGTACGGAGCCACATACTCCGCTGCATCGAGCAAATCCTCCGGCTTATTCGCACAGAATTGCACGAAGAGAGGCCTATCCAACGTCGGGTTCCCGTCCAGCCAAGGTACATCTGGGGATTTCTCCTTTGTGACCAGAGTGCTTCTCGTCGGCATGAAGTGCTCGTCTCGATATTTTGCGCTTTCTCGGAACAGCCGTGCGTGGATCATGGGCGTATATGCTAAGAGGGACTTCGAGCGCTCTTCATCAAGGTAGGATCGAGTAAGGAGTCTCCAAGCCTGGAGCACTGGTCAACATGAATCGTGCGTCGAAGAGGTGAGAGGGAGGACCGACGAATTCTGAGCGATCGACCATGGGCGCCACGATGTATTTGGGGCTGCCGATGCTTTCGTAAAAGGCCCGACCCATTAATCTGCCTGGCGACGAATTGCTCGTGCCCGTCGGCGATATTTCTGCCATGGTCCTGGAGGAAGTTGCGATTCGTCTTCTGGCTCGCAGGTATGTGGTCGTACGCCAAGTCGACGCTGGCCTGGACATACGTGCCAGGGGAGGTAGGGAGGTGCGGCGAGCAGACGAGGGTGTTATCACATTGTTTGGATCAAACACCAGTACCAGGCAAGCGTCAAATGCAAATGAAGTGTATTTGAAGGGATGTGGGCAAGCGAACAAAAACTACGTCCAGCGGTGCCCCAGCGGGCTGAGTGCCAAGATTCCACCGCAACTTAATACGGCGGAGCATTAGGATGACCATTGATACTCCGTATGGCTTTACACATCCATGCCACTTGAGTGCCTGCGTGACTGCAGAATGTCTGCGCAAAGTAATTGCTTGAGGATCCCAGTAGGAGTCTCGCATAGTTCTAGCCGGGGCTTGCCAGGTTCCAGGCATTGCCGACGGTAACAAACAAAGCTGTTGTCGTGACCGGCCTTCAAAGTCTTAATCAAGTTCCCCGAGTTCCGGCCACATTCTTGTGATGATGATATGCCTCAAGACACCAATTGCCTTCTGATGGTCTTGCGCGGGACCTCACTTGTGCCCTAGTGCTCTTAAAGTAACGCATACCACATAAATACAATGACCAGACAATGACTCCCACGCTAACACTGCCATTGCCAATTCGTTTCTTCTCCGACTGAGCAATACGGTGGTGGTGCACTTGCAGTCGATGATGGGTTGACATGACATTTGACGCCTCCAAAAGTGCCATTGATGCCCAGCAGAGATAGGTCATTCGTCCCTGGATAAGCGACGTTCTCTGCGCCTCCACCAGGATCTTTCATCCAGTCCTGCTTCCACCAGGCTATGGCTTCGCAGTTCGTGTCTCTACTTATGGACTGAATATCAGTTCGGCTTCCTATAACCCCTGATAACGTAGCAGGATGGCAATTGCCTGAGACATACCTGAAGAAATTGCAGATACACCCGGGGTTTGGCCCAATTGAAGTGATAGAATGATACTATCCATGAGCATTGTGTCAGCCAGCTGGACGCCGATGTTCAAACCACAGCGTCCCATGCCGGTGAGAAACGGAGTAATCCTTGGCCAGAGAACAAAGAGCGCAGATGTTCAGCCCTTGCAATCCTTGGCCCGAATGACTCACAAACTGATCTTGTAACGGCACACAAAAGTTGTCCAGAAACATCCGGTATTCACACTGGCCACTGAAGTATTTTTCGGTGCAGTAGTAAACCTGGTCGTGTTATTGCATCGGACTTCTGACTGTCAGGAGGGAACGCACTCCGCAAGTGATATTGAGGGTTGGGATCCCATGAAAGGTTGAGATCAATGGTACTGCGGCAGCCAAAGTTGCCGCCATAAGTGGAAGAAGTCCATGGGTGCCCATATCTCTCATGTAGGAAGATCGTGGGTGTTGAAATGGGGGTGTTGAGTCTTGACAAGGCAGTATATGTAGTTCCAAAGCAATGGTCGTACAGCTTGGTCCATCTGCAGGTGCTTGTGGTCCTTGACGGCGAAAATCGGTTTTGTGATGCATTGAATGATCCTGAATGTGGGACTAGTCCGAGCTCTGGCAAGTTCTTGAACGATTCTCCAAGATCTAATTGAATCCAGTGTGACCTCGTAAGGATCGCGCCAAGCAGGACCTCCTTCGGGTTGTATGAATCCGGAATTGACTTCCCATTGCACGCCCGCTGCTGTTGCAAAGCATTTCTAGATCGATGCGGCGTTCACAGATCAAGGCATCAACCTCACACCGCCATCTTCGGATACTATGGCCACCTTATCATCCTCGTCGATCCGGCTCGGTCCCGCACCAGTGCCGAAGACCTTGTCAACCCGCCTTTCGCGATCCCAAACAATGTCGTGATCACCGCCTTCACAAATCTTCTTGAAGTATTTGATGCGGTGCTGCGGGATCCACTCTTCGTCGGTGCTCTCAGAAATCCAATTCTTTGCGGGCATTTCCTTGATCCCTTCGAATCGTTCAAGATAGCCGACAAGATATTTTGCGATGTCGAGGTCTTTGTCCCACTGGAGCCGGTTAAGCACATCTAGAACGAGAAGTGAGCAACATGCGAGAAGCAGAGTTGGGGCTTGACTGGCCTTGGGCGGTTCTCATCTTGGGTAGAGGAGTGGTGTTGCTTGACGCGGTTGTGCCTTGTTTTCCAGGTCGTTTGTGTTTCGCGTAGCGCTCCAGGTCTTGAGTCTTCCTCACCCCATCGTTCTGCTCCTGGATTCGTTCCTCGTTGATCTTCTGAAGGTGCTCTTGTGCAACGCTCCTCAAAAGATCAATTGCACTGGACTGAGAGTCGAGGGCGTAATCCTCTGTGGGACTGCCGTCCGCCATGGATGACGTTGCCTCCTGCTTCTACTTGAATAATCTTTGGATCGAGTCCGAGGTTGAGCAATGAAGAAACAACCCCTTTAAAGATTGATCGATGGTGGGTGCTTTGGGCGCTGGCATGTTGAGGCGTGGCAACGATTTGAGAAGCATGACTCACGGTTCACATCATTTGTAAGTGACTGCAACAATCGAGCAGGGTCGGCAGAGATTACATCACTTCGGGAGAGTCACTGAAGTGCGTGAGACAAGTCAGTCGTGTCAATGGTTTGCACCCTCCTAGGAAGCAGAAGTTGAGTGAGTCATCGTCCTGATTGCAAGGCGTTCGAGACTTCAACTGGCTTGTAGTGTCAATAATCCACAGCGGAGTTTGGCTCTTTCATACATCGCTACCAGAACCAGTACCAGATAGTGTGCGACTATCAAACTGCAGGATGCGAGTAAATAATGGTCGTTCCAAAAGTGTACGAAGGACAAGTTTTGAGTCTGGAAGGCCAATTAATCAAGGGCACCCGGAAGGGTGGTTATTTGCCAAGATTTTGCCGTTGTCTCGGCGCTCATCTCAGAGCAACCTCGGAAGACGCTAACATGCACGGAGCAAGAGACCACTGATTGTCTGTTGCCATGATGGGACACTTTTCAATGCATTGATGGTTAGACTATGCGGTCAATTTGTTGTGTGGGAAATCCCTGCATCGAGAGAATCGCGTTCAGGAAAATAACGCTTGGAAGGCGTTGGCTGTCCCACTTTCGCGTTATCAAGCATGAAGTGCGTACGCAGCATACACGACACTGGCCACGGGGGACAGAAGTGGGTTATGAGAATGACTTGAAGCTTGCCGTGAAACAATATGTTCCATACAACGAGAAGAACACATCGCTGGGCGATGTCACCTTCATTGCTGCGCATGCTAATGGCTTTCCAAAGGTCAGTAGTAATGCAATGAGCTCTTTTCGCTTCCTTCAGCGCTGTAACATTCTGAGATGGCATGTAGGAGCTTTATGAGCCAATGTTTGATGATCTATATGAGGAGTTGAAAGCATTGGGAAGGAGTATTCGGGCGATCTGGATTGCCGATTTGGCTCATCAAGGTCAAAGCTATATCATCAACGAGAAGGCGCTGGGAAATGACCGTATGTCCAGATGTTGCATTTGCATGAGGAATAGCTCGAACTGATCAAGCATAGCAAACTGGTGGGACGGTGCCAGAGACCTCCTCTTCCTCATAAACCAAAAGCAAGCTGAGATGCCCCAGCCGCTAATCGGCATTGGCCATAGCATGGGAGGGTCACAACTGTAATGTTCTCCAATGGTGCTGGCAGGGAGATGTTGACTCTTTGCAGGGCTCAGCTGTCACTCCTCCATCCTCGACTACTGCAGGGGTTGATCCTCATCGACCCCGTTATCCAGACCGAGAATCCAAGCAAAAGCTTTGCAAAGCCGTCAACTTACCGTCGAGACACCTGGAAATCCCGGGAAGAAGCAAGAGTGAAATTCGAGAACAGTAAATTCTATCGGGCCTGGGATTCAAGGGTACTTCAGAAGTGGGTGCAGTACGGGTTACGCGATCTTCCCACTGAGATGTACCCAGACAGAGGTGAGAGCAAAGAGCCCCCTGTGACACTCACGACACCGAAGTCGCAGGAAGTCTTCTCATACTTGAGGCCGAAGTACTATGGAACTTCTGGCGTCGCACCGGAGAAGGATCGGGATGTGTACGGTGACATGCACCCAGATGACATTGAGGAAGGGTACCCGTTCTATCGCCCCGAGCCAGCCCAGATATTCCGGCGACTGCCAGAGCTAAAGCCACCTGTTTTATACGTGTTCGGGAACCATTCTGAACTTGCGACGCCAGAATTGAGAAGAAAGAAAATGGAAACAACGGGAACCGGAGTCGGCGGAAGTGGTGGGTCCGCTGAAGGTATGGTGAAGGAGGTCGTGTTAGATTGCGGCCATCTGGTGCCCATGGAAAGAACTACAGCATGCGCCGCTGCGGTGGCAGCGTTCACAGCATCGGAGCTTGCTCACTGGGAGGAGCAGATGTGTCAAGGGCAGGCACGATGGCTGATGAAGCCGAGGAGTGACAGAGTGGGAATTGACGATGAATGGAAAAACATGATAGGACCCAGGGATCCTCGGAATATAGATGATACCGCCGTGAAGAACAAGGGCAGCTAGATTGATTTCCAGCTCAAATCGGAGACAGCCATTCTGAAGTGACGAGGCGACCCTTCAAGTTCACCTCACTTTCGACTTGGGAATTTCCTGTCTCGGAAAAATGTTGTTACGTTCCGAAGCTCCAGCCGACTTCTGCTTTGCCCAAGAATCTGCACTTCTGAACTCCTGCCTCGTTGCACCACCTCGATCAAACGCTCCACACAACAAACGCGCTTTCGGCTTTACGGCCAAGCATCATGGTATACATGGCCGCCGTCGTTCGCGCAAAGACATACTCGACTAATGATATCGTGTAGGTGTACAACTGGGAACCGCACAAAGATGTGTGCTACAAACTCTACATCGAGGAGAGAAAGGTATGCCCGAAACCACCCCACTCACGCTTCTTTCATCGCCGCAGCCACTAATAACAACAGTCCCTCGAGGACATCATGCAGCACATGCGCGACACGGTCAACTTCGCACCTTCCAAGCGCGCCTTTCAGACTCAATTCAAGCGATGGGGTTTCCCGTCCAAGCGCAAGCCAACCTTCCGCGATGACGACCTTCTCGAACGTGTGAAAGAGCTCTGGGAGGCCAACTACAGTCAGCGCAACATGCTCCAGACCCTTCAAGCCGAAGGTCACGACATCAAGGAGCGTGAGCTGATGAGACTACGCGCCAAAAATCGCTGGCTCATGCGGATTCCAAACGGTGCCAAACAAGCGCCTGGTGATGACACTGACGCTGCGTTCGAAGCGCAGTTACTCCAGGCTGCGAAGGATGAAGAAACCGCTGCTCAAGATACTGAACCTCAAGCGCTGGACGACCCACCACCGGAATTTGTCGAGCGCCAGAGGGAGAGACTTCAAGAGCTGCAGACAATCAGTGACCAGCGCTGGGCTGAGAGGAAGCGTCGTCGTCGAACCAAAGGGTATGCCGGCCTCCCAGCTGATCCAGTGGGGCTCCCACCTCGGTTCCCTTCCGAGACTACACTCGAGGAGAGTAGGCATATCTTGGGTCTCGAGGTGAGAGAGTATCGGGCTATCCGCGATCAGTTCCAGGCCATGTGCGAAGAAGAGCAGATCCTCCAAAAGACTGTTGCTGGTGCTGAGAAATGGCAAGCCATCAAAGATCGTCTCATTCGCGAGAGTGCCCTTCTTCAGCGCGTGGTGTGGCAGGACACATCCAACCTCCAGTCCAAAGAGCTCGCTCTGGATGTCATCTGCACCGACGTCACCAAACGCATTCGCACCATGGGCAAACGACTGACGATCTTGGAATCTAAGAACGTTCTCGGCCTGAATCCTGACCAGAGTCGTCAAATTCGCGGCGAGTTCTACGACATCCTCGAGTCGGAGCATTACACCAGCAAACTGGAGATGGGCCCTGAGAAGTGGAAGGATCTCAAAGACCGCTGGGTCGCCAACAACGCGTACCTGCAGGCTCTTTTGGCACCGGGCCCAGAAAACGATCCCGACCACAAGAAGAAGCTCGATGCCATGGAACTCTTGTGTCGCGATGTCATGAAACGCGTCCGAGACGATCGCGCCAAGAAGAAGGGAACGTTCCGGAAGAGCAAGCCTACACAACCTTCTCCACGAGTTGAGGTTGCCACTGATGGGGCGCCAGCTCCGACTACTGCACCCGCCGCAAATTCGTATGCAGCCGCTTCGCCTGCCAACCCATTCAGCGAGGTGTCCCACCCTGCGCCACAGAATGATTTGTCGGACCTCCAGATTGACCCTAACCTGCTGCAGGTGGCGGACAATCTTGGTACTCCACAGGTCTCGACTTTGACGCCCGTGTATATCCGGCCACATCCGGAGTCCACCATGTACACGACAACCAAACTCTGGCTGGGCTCCTTGGCCAATCATACCGTGCAGGAGCTTCGAACGCTACTTGCCAACAAGTATCCCAATTCTACAGCGGAACGGATCGATGGAGTGGAGAAGGATGCTGGCGGCAATGAGATCCCCTATCGCATCGACGAAGATGAGGAATTGGAGGCATACCTCGATCATGTGCAGACCAAGACCAAGAAAGCTACGTTCGTCGTCCTGCTCAAGCGGGCTTGATCGAACATATCCAGGATGGCGGTCCGCTCCTCGACAGACGGCCGAAAAAGCGGAGACCTGGAGTTTCACCCGAGCTGGCCCCATCTCGCCCCAAGTTCACTGCATATTTAGTGATCGATCAATCCCCAGTTGCATTCGCAGTCAGACACAACTCTCTACAGACATGTATGCATCTGAGCTTGTCACGGACGCTGACATGGTGTTCCGGTACGAAAAGACTGCATGTCAGCAAGAGTGTTTATCTTGTGGAGCTTCTCATGGAATTATGGGCCTACTACTTGACGCCGCCACTGATACTCACGCGTACGCACGGCCATGGGCGAGATCGGGGACACCTGGTAATGTAATATTAGTAACCCAGAATTGATGGCAAACACTCTTGTTCCCAATGCTGTTCTTCCCAGGCACGCTTCGACGGCTTGCGCGTACTCATGTATTTCCTGCTGACTTCAGACCCATTTTTTGTGACTTGCATGTCCGACGGATGGAAGGATCTGAGTGCTTTGGGATCCGAGTCGAACAAGTACAAGTGACCAACTTTGCATTCGGCCGGTTAGGCACTGCAATTGACCTTTGCACGAATTTCATAGGTCAGGGGAATTCTCATTGCTCCCTCAACCTCTGTGGATATTGGAGTTATCCTTCTACCTATGCGCTCACTCGGCCGCATCACATCGGCAACGCTAACAGACAGTACCTGGCACTTCTATGCATTCTGTGACTGGCTGGCCCTTCTGTCGAAAACAGTCTTGATTACAGCATAAACTCCGTGTGTGCTTCTAGACCGGCTTCGGTGACAATAATGCGCGGTAACTACTAAACGATCCTTGTTCACTGGGAACTTTATCAGGCCCTCTTGCGGACTTACCCTCTCTTTTATGCACGCGGCTTCACGTGGTCAGCCGGCGCTTACGACAGTATAGCTGGTACACAGTACTACGAAGGACTTTGATAAAGTGTAGAAATCCCAGTACTGGCATTCGGGGATAGTGCGCACGGCCCCGTCGTACCCCTCGTCTGACTCGTGCTAGTTAAATGGGGAGCGGGGCAGTCCACCTTCTGGAATACAGTCGGCAAGCATTGGTCTCGTTCCTCACCCAGCAAGTCGTACGAGCACATGTAACCAGCCGCCCCGGCAGTAATTAGAACGTGTCTCAGGGCCATTGTGCACGGGATGATAGTGTCAGCACAATGAGATTCTGGACTCGGGTCAGATTGATTATGGGTTAGATCGTGTAGGTATAAGTAGGTGTCACGACCTCGATGACTGCTGCTGTGCTTCCCTCTTTTGTTACTATCTGGCTACATAACCAGAAGACAGAAGAAGAGAAACAGACAGACCACATAACTGCTACGCCACACTCTACAGGATCATCCGCCATGGCGCCCTCGAAACTTGAAACAATCGATTTCACCACCTTCTCCAACATCGTAGCCGGTTCGCCTCGCAGCTCGAAGCAAAAGTACCACGGCATCGACCCCACCACCAAGCAACCCAACTGGGATGTCCCTGTTGCCACACCGGAAGATATCGAAGATGCCGTCGCTGCCGCCAACAAAGCCCACGCGGAGTGGAAGACCACGACCTGGGAGTACCGCACTGAGCGCATCGCGCGCTTCAAGGACGCCATGGAGGCCTATCAGGAAGAGATGACCGACTTGCTACTGAAAGAGACTGGCAAACCCCGCCAATTCGGAGCCGCCGAGGTGAAAGGCGTGTCCCAATTCATCCAGTGGCACGTCGACATGAAGGAGCCCAAGGGCGAGACGTACGATCTCGAGGATCGGACGATCGTGAACAAGTTTGTGCCGTTGGGTGTCGCTGCGGCGATCTGCCCGTGGAATTTTCCCTTGCTGTTGAGCCTGGGGAAGGTGTTGCCAGCAGTGCAGATGGGTAATGCCATTATCGTCAAGCCGAGCCCATTCACGCCGTATGTCGAAAGAACCCTGTGGGAAAACGTGACGCTGACGACCGAGCAGATACACCGCACTGAAGATGGTCGAGATCGCAAACCAAGTGTTCCCTCCGGGACTGGTCCAGGCTCTCGGGGGCGATGACAAGTTGGGTCCCGCGCTGGTCGACCACCCGGACATCCACAAGATTAGCTTCACCGGCTCGATCGCCACGGGCAAGAAGGTCATGGCCGCTGCTGCCAAGACCGTCAAAAGAGTCACCCTGGAGATGGGTGGCAACGACCCCTCGATTGTGTTGCCAGACGCAGATATCGCAAAGACTGCGCCGATGGTTGCCATGGTACGTTGATCCCATGTCTTCCTGCCACACGGACTTTACCACTGACCACATTGTCTGCAGGGCGCATTCTTCAACACCTCGCAAGTCTGCATCGCCTCGAAGCGAATCTACGTGCACAGCTCCATTTACGACGCATTCCTAGAAGCGCTGGTCAACGTGGCCAAGTCGTTGAAAGTCGGTCCCTCGAACGACGACGGCGTCATGCTCGGTCCCATCCAGAATAGTATGCAGTACGAGAAAGTCAAGACCTTCTTCAGGGACACCAAGGACCATGGATACAAGTTCGCCCTCGGGTCCGGCGACGTCCCCGAGACGAACGGCTTCTTCATCAACCCGACGATCGTCGACAACCCGCCCGACGACAGCTTGATCGTGCAGGAAGAGCCGTTTGGCCCGATCGTGCCGGTGCAAAAATACGACGACGTCGACGAGGTCATCCGCCGGGCCAACAATTCTAGAGCTGGCCTCGGCGCCACGGTGTTTGGCAAGGACGCGCAGAAGTTGCAGGAGGTCGCGGACAAGTTGGAGGCCGGGTCGGTCTGGATCAACAGTTACCCGGCGGCGGGACCTCAGGCCCAGTTTGGCGGCGTCAAGGAAAGTGGTATTGGGACGGAATTTGGCACGCTCGGGATCTTGGCTTACGCAAATGTCAAGGCCATCACGACGATGAAGGACGGCGCCACCCCATCGCGAGGTTGAGAGGCGAGCGACGAGGGATCGAAAGTGTAAAGAAATGTGAAATAAGCATAGAACATGCAATCATTCGAAGCGTGACGTTGCGTACACTTTTTTCCCAAATGATGTCGAGGCCTTCATGCCACTCAGCGAGACAACCACTTGCGCTCGCTATCCAACAAACAAAGCCTAGAGCTTCGAATCTCTACCCTTGCCTGTCTTCCCACCCCGTCCAGTCCCATCCTCCTCCTCGGCGCCATCCTTTACTGGATCCGTATCGCTCGTCTCGGCCTTCAAACTGACTGGATCCCCGATCATCGAGCGGTTCCCCTTCTCCGCCTGTCCCAGATCCTTCTGCGCAAGCTCCTTCAAACTCGCACTGTGCTTACCCGACGGCTGTAGCGTGGGATTCTGCGTGCTCTGATTAATGTCTTGCTCCGTGGGCGCGAGTTGTTTGACGCCGTTCACGCCACCCTGAAGCGCTGGGTTCTGGGCACTTTGATTCGGCTTGTCCTGTTCGATCTTCGCCTCGGGACTCTTGTTCGGCCGGTCCTGTTCCGTGGGCGAGGTGTCGGATTTCTCGGCCTTTAGCGAGACAGGGTCACCCAGGGCTGTGGGGTTAGAGGCCGCGGATTCTTTGAGGGTTTTGCCGCCGGCCATGGTGTGTTGCGGGATGTGGAATCAATATACGGAGTATCACACACAGAACGCAAGGCGTAGAATTGAGCAGCGATCGAGGTTCAACACTTGAGTTATTCTGTACTCGTGTTCGGACCTCGGTATGATGTCGATGTGGTCATAAGAAGTCCGGGGTAATGTATTCATGTGCTCGAGATGGAGCTCGTGCTTGGACTGACGTCTTTCATTCTGCTAATTATGACCTCAGGAAGTGACATCCGAGGTCCTGGCGATTATCACGATCCATCGCGGTGAAACCTCCAGCTTTCAACACCCCGATTCTCTGCTCGCTCTGATGGGACACCTTCTTCTTACAGAGCAGCCCTTCCGTTGTCGATAGAGAGGCTGAATGGGAGAATCGAACCGATGGTGCAAGAGGTGCTCGCCGCGCTGTCCTGTCCGCTTCTTGCAGTCGTTCACTGACATCAGACGGTGCGACGTTGTTCCTCTCCGGCTTTGGCGGCGTGGCTGCCGGCCTCGTGTTTCACGCGTTCATTTGGCTGCTGAGAATCCAAAACACTCACGACTAATTACGCTCAGCTGTTGCAGAGGGCACGTGTCATGCGATGTTCTCTTCATATTGCTGTGAGCGGGCAGAATCGTTCTGCAGCTTGTAGATGGAAAGCGTCATCAAACAAGGACTCCAAACCAAGCCTTTTCGCACTCGGCCTTCATCAACACAGCCAATACGTAGGACAATCGGCCAAACCGCGACTGGTGAGTCTTACTGGAGCTTCGTTCTTCACTGCTAGCGTTCGAGTCTGGTCTTGAGACTATCGCTAATCCTGGGCGGAATTATGGCAACTCGCATTCTGCCAACCTCGGTCCAATCCCAGTGTACACGTTGCAAATGGCTTAACATACGAGGTCTAGCGTGTACCAAGGAAGGTACTCTCTGGGAAGGTGAGAAAGGTTATATCGAGTCGACTAAAACTCAGAAGCAGTGTTCTCTCGACTTTCCAATTGACCAGGTTCTTCACCTAGCAGCTTATACTCTTGCACTACAATGGTATTCCTGGCAAACTTGGAGGGCGTAGGTCTCGTCTTCACGTACGGTCTCTTCGGCGTGCAACATGATAGCCTCACGACCGAAAAGAAGAAGATAATTTCGGACCTGTACACCCTACTCAGCAAATCCGCCGGTAGGGTTGATCACCTGCAAGATGAAAGCCATGGTGTCCCTAGGGACGGTCCCAGATCGACTGTTTTCGTGGCATACTGGCTCAAATCCGCGGACTACGACAACTGGAAGGAAACACCCGAACTGAAACAGTTCTGGGACAATTTGCCGGATGACGCTGGTGTGTGGCGCGAAGTCATGACCGTTCCCAAATCCCGGTACATGTTCGCAGCCAACCAGCACGAAACGTCTGGCCTGGCAACCATGCTCGGACTCAAGCCGAGTTCCGACGAAGGATACTGGGGTGTCTATCGACATCGTTTGAGTGAAAATCCCGACGAACACACCGACTCAAGCGACACTTTTACATCGCCGCTCGTGACTGTTGCAAGAGCAAAGCCAGACGCCGGTAAGCAAGTGGTTGATCTCGCCAAAGCCTCTACATCAAGCAATATCAGGCATGGAAGGGTCAAGATTACCAACATCCCGGATAATCTGTGTTACTGTCGGGAAGGCCAGAGACAGCCCAACCTGCCGAAGGAGGAGCTCGAGACCTGGAAGGAGAAGCTGGCCCCGCATGCTGTCGCTTGGATGAACCACCTGGACACGGAGCGGAACAAGAACGGGGTAGTCTCCTTCACTTTCAACATCGGCCACGAAAAGCCCAAGCCGACCTTTGACCCGGGCGTCGACTTGGAAGTGGACACGGACGCCGTGGCCGAGACGAATCAGCTGATGTATTTCCTCGATCTTGCTCACTTTGAGTTGGCCGGACGCTCGTTCAAGGATCACGTCAAACTCCGGCAGACTACGTTCGAGGCGTATGGGCCAGGCGGCAAGCATAGCGAGAACGGCAAGCTCTCGATCTGGGTTGAGCTGTGCGTTTTGAAGAAGGGCGATCTGGAGGCCGAGTACATTGGCTGTCGGGAGGGGACAGGGCTCATGCTGTTTGAGAAGTTGTAGAGCGGCGGGAGCCTACTCTGTCGCTTGTCGATAGGATCGATCCTGTCAGCGCCCGCAGCTATCTTTCTCGTTTCGTTCTCGATAAGCTAGCGACAATACAAGGCGACCAGCTACGAGTCCAGTTCTTGGGAGCGGAAATAGCGCCGTGAGTGACACAAGGAGGGCCTGAAGGTCCCCTGCAACCCCGCGTCGAGCGATACGAGAAGCCCGAGGGCCTTAACTTAGCCCCTCCATGGACCCTTCTGGCTTCAAACGGGCTGACGCCTAATTGACAGATTACTGATACCCTCGAGTACGTGGGATCTAGATGTTATCGGCTCGGCCGGCCACTTCTCAACGTGAAGTGTACCGCCGGAGAAGGTTGACATGGTAAACTCGAGCTGAAGCACTTACTTATCGGACAGCCGGTACCTGCCCACGCAGCTGGTCGTTCGCTTGCTTCAATACTACTAGCTCACATCGCGAGGCTCGCATCCGCTTCGACTTCCATTGCCTGGCGCCATATTTCAACTGGAATCACGATATAAAGGACACACCCAGAGTCTTGGTGATTCTTAGGGGCCGTGAACAATCTCTTTGTCACTCAGCAATCCATCACAATCGACCTTTCGCACCATGGGCAGCGCACAACCCCCCTCATCCACCCTCCGCGTGGCAGCAGCCCAGTACGAGCCCGAGTGGCTCGACCTCGCCGCCTCGGTCAAGAAGACCTGCTCCATCATTGCGGAAGCGGCCAGCAAAGGCGTCAAACTGGTGGGCTTCTCAGAGGCCTTCATCCCAGGCTACCCAGCGTGGATATGGTGGGTGGTGCATCATGATGGATTGGTCGCGTATCGTCTCTCCTAACGGGCGTTCGCAGGCACCGCCCCGTCGACCCCGTGCTCGCGACGAGATACATCCAAAATTCGCTATCCGTGGACTCGGCCGAGATGCGCACCATCCAAGCGTGCGCAAAGGAGCACGGCGTCGTCGTCGCGCTGGGCTTCTCCGAGAACGACCACAACTCGGTGTATATCGCGCAGGCCATCATCGACGCGGACGGCAAGGTGCTAATGCACCGCCGCAAGCTGAAGCCCACGCACATGGAGCGCACCATCTTCGGTGATGCCAGCGGTAACAGTCTGCTGAATGTCGTGGGGACAAAGCTGGGCAACGGCAAGCGCGTTGGGGCGCTCAACTGCTGGGAACACTGTCAGCCACTACTAAAATACCACACGGCCACGCAGCGCGAGGATATCCACGTCGCGGGATGGCCGCCGTTGAGCCCGCACCAGGGGCCCGAGCTGTGGAGTATGTCCCAGGAGGGTGAGTACGGTGTCTAATTATTCCGTGGGGAATGCCGCCTGGCGGTGGCGAGTTGAACCAATTAGTCTAACCTCCATTCTCCGTGCCCGTTAGGCTGCCAGACCCTCTCCCAAACATACGCGGTCGAAACGCAGACGTTCGTGCTGCACGCCACGACGGTCCTGGGGCCCAAGGGCATCGACCTCATGGGCACAAGCCAGAGCATGCTAATGAATAGTCCTGGTGGGGGATTTTCTGCCGTGATCGGACCCGACGGCCGCGTGCTTTCCCAGCCGTTGGAACCTGAGGCGGAAGGTCTCGTGATTGCGGATATCGATCCCAGCATGGCGATTATGGCGCGCAGTTTCCTCGACATTTGCGGGCATTATAGTCGGCCGGATCTGTTGTGGTTGGGCTGCGATACGCGGGAGAAAAGGCATAAGGTTGACGTCCCGAGGGGGAAGGGGGCGCAAATAGAGGAGGGAGAAGCTGGGGGTGTTGAATCGAAGTAGGTATGCTGTGAGATGATATGGTATGATGTGGTATGATATGGTATGATATGGTATGATATGGTATGATATGGTATGGTATGGTAAAGATTTGGATACGCGTGTCTGTTTTCAAGTTGTGCAAGAGCCCTTGAGTTGGCGCTTTCTGTATCCTTTTTCCTTTTTCACTCAGTACGCCACCAACCCCACCGTTGCCAGCACACTAACCCCCAACCCAAGCCACCCACTAACCGCAACCTGTCTATTCGTCAACATCATCCCCGTATCCCAAACTAGGTGCCTCAACCCATGCACGATATGGAAGCAGAACGGAAACGCAAAGACGGCCTTGATCGCCAGCTTCGTGGCATGGGGCAGGCACGCGAACCATTCAACCACGCTGGTGCTGTCGAGATGCCATCCCACAAGCGGAGCGATCAAGTATGCCGCCCCGAAGATATAGATCGGTGCGGTGATGAGGATGGCGGAGTTGCGCATCAGCGCGCCCGAGTACCAGGTGATTTGCGGGCGGTAGATCGAGAGGTGAGGGCTCACGGGCCGGTTGAAGCGTTGGCTGGCGAGATGAGATGCGTGTTCGGCTGTGGTGATGGGCTTGAAGTGTGTGTTTCGGGAGGGAGTCGAATTTGTTGAGAAGGGGAATCTGGAGGGAAACGTCCGGGGTAATGATTGCGGCGGTTGCGCCTTACGTGCCATGAATGGTAGGGGATGATGAGCTGCAAGGCCGGATCGCACGCACGACGAGAATCCTGCTGTTCCTTTCACTGAAGAGATCGTGGATAATCGAACGGTGTGACCATACCCACGTCTCGGTCGTTGTGCTCGCATCGATGCAGAAGCAGGTAGCATGATGAGTAAGATGACGAGTAACCGATCGGCCGTTCAAGCAGAAGCACTGTACTGTGCTTGATGATCATGAGTTCTCGGGAAGTAGTCTTACGGGAACCTCTTTATGCATCCTTGAGGAATGCGAGGAGCAATATAACCGGCTGATACTCCATATACTGTGTACTGGCGAGACTGGCTGAATGAAGTTAGCGACAGATCCACGGAGCCACAGTCCTGGGTGCCGACCAATCCTGGCGTCGCTACCGTCGGTCCGACGATCGAACTTCCGTCCTTCCTGGATTTTATCCCTCGCTCGCTGTTACTGTGCTGTGTTCATCGTCCACCCATGATCTGCCCTGGGTATGACCCATGTACGCATGCTCGTATCGCTAATGCAAGGCTCGTACAGACGCGCATGTGAGCCCTGTCGAGCTCGAAAGTCTCGATGCCTACCCGGCAACCGGGCGGGGATATGCAGAAGGTGCGCCTCCCTTAGTATACTGTATTCTGGCTGGCTTCTGTTTTGCTATTTGAGACGGTCGTTGCACTGAACGGGACTGACGGTAGCAGATGTGAGCGCTCTGGGGTTGTATGCGTCCATCATGAAGTGGTTAGGAAGACAGCCCCTCTGAAGAGGTGAGCGCTTATCTCACTGCACACCGAACGACCTAGGTAACAGGCACCAGAAAAAAAGGCCGGTTTGCCCCAAACCATGCTGCACTTCGAAGAGGGTCCCAGACCGCAGATACCGGGTCCGGGCAGGCGCACAGGGACGGTCCTGGCGGATCAGCAGAAGAATCTCTGTTACTGGAACGACCCAAAATAGCATCAGCCCGCCGGGAAAACGAGGAGACGTTCGGCCACGCTCTGCTCTTGAAGTTGGGAATTAGTGCAATCGATCAATGGCCTGCTTGCAGGGATCTCGAGCTCCAGCAGGCGAAGACGTTCCTTGACCAATACCGTCGGATGGCGCAAGCGGTGCCCTTTGCTATCCAAGTCGCTTCTACACAAGCGGCCGCGGAAGCTGCTCAGGCGAACACGAAGGCGCTGTTGAGCATTCTTTTCGCATCCAGTCCCGTGTTACTGCTGGCGGCAATACTCACAGGAGGCAGTTCTGATCCCAAGTTCGAGAAACAAGCAGACCACCTCTTCCGGCATGTCCTAGCTGATCGAGTTATTGTGAGGGGACAAACGAGCCTGGAGCTCCTTCAGGGCCTTCTGACGTACTTGGCCTGGTACCACCATCGCTTTGAGTCGGAAACGCACCAAGTCTACCAGTTCCTGCAACTTGCAAACGGCATGGTTGCCGATTTGGGATTTCCCAAGAAGTTCTCAAAGGCGAGGATCCTTTCACCGCAGCAAGAGGCAGACCCCAACGAAATCAGGACGTTCGTGCTATGCTACTACCTCAACTGCGGAGGCAGTGTGCTCGGGTACGACAGAGCGGAGAACATGCGATGCATCGACAGTCTGAGGAATGCTGCAAGGATGTTGACGACCATATCCCAAAGACCGCAAGACAAAGAGGCCCTAGCGCTGGTAGAGCTGTTGCATTTCGTGGCAAGCCACCACATCACTACCGATACGTCGAATAGTGCTGCAAAGCTTCCAGAACCAGGACCCAACTTGCTCAAAGACTGGGAGACAAAGTTCCTGCACCCACAGACCTCAGCCACTGTAAGATCGACGTTCCATTTCACCACAGCATACAGTCTGCTCAAGTTGTCGAGCGCAAAGTCACCATCGCCCACAGATGTCCAAGTTTGTGTCCATCACTTCCAACGAGTGCTTTCGAATATCCTCGGTCAAGAGTTGTCCTACCTCGTTCGCATGGGCATTGTTGAATGGGCACACTTGATCACGACTTTATTTCTTTTGGCTCGGCTTGGATCCCTAGCAACCACTGGTGGTCCTGCCGGCGGGGCAGTACGTCCATGGGCTGTGCATGACTATCTTGAACGCTTTCGATCCCTGCGCGACACCTTGGCGCAAGCGGAACCAGGAACAGACATTGCTCTGCGTGCGCCGCACTTGCTGAGCTGGCTGGACAGGATATTGGTCGCAGTGGCGGAGCGGGCCCAGTCTTTTAAAGCACACCGGGACGTTTCTTCCGCCGACATAGGTCACCAAGGCTCAGCATACGAGCTTGTCAATTCCTTTCTCGAGAACGACAAACCTGCCCTAGCTCGAGTCCTAGAGACTTCAAGCACATCGAAGGCGGAGCCAGAACTCGGCGGAGAGGACTTTTGGAGCGAGTTCATGTCAGACTGGCTGAATTGGTAGGATTAAATTGGCGGTGCTGCGTCGGATCGATGCTGATGGTCTCGTTCGGTAGGACCATGCCGAATGCAAATTATGTCGCGTAGCAAGTAACGACTGCTTGTCTGGACAGAAAGATGTCCCCGTTGATAGGATCACCTGTGGAGGAGAAATGAGCTTCTACCTGTCATAGAGCCGTCAGACAGCTACAGTAGGTGGTGGGAGTTGATCGAATGAACGGCAGCATGGATGCACAATCATAGCCGCGGGGCCGCAACTCAAGATGCTGCGGAGCAAAAATGTAAGCAACATGAATTTCAATGCCGTAAATTCGTGGTAAATTCGTCACAGAAGATCCTCGGCCGCGGTTAGTTTATCACCACCGCAGCAGATTTATAGTCATGCTAATATCCGAGTTTCTAGTGGCCTAATGGTTAAGGCGCTGGTTTTCGGTCTAGAATTACACCAGAGATTGGGAGTTCGAATCTTCCCGCGGTCGATATCTTTTTGGGCTCTTTTGAAAGGTCTTTCTTTGTTTTTAGCAGCTGGGTGCTTGTCGTATTGAAAGTAGTGGCGGGTGGAGAGGGGCAAGGTCGGAGTTTCGGCTCATGGTGGGGTACAGTCCACGTACCTATGCTCCAGGCTAAGCACATGGGAACCTCAAAAATGGTCCAGGCAAATTGTGATGGGGCAGGTACTCTGTGCGAAGCTGTAGAACAAGCTGGGTGTTTAGACTCACTAAAATGGAGCTATATAACTCTGCCTCAGATCTGTCTGGCGGTTGGTAGCTGCAAACACAAGTCGCGCGTTTAGGGAGAAGCTTCCCTCACTCCCTTTTCTTCAATCCGGGCTGGGAGAGGATCCTGGCCACCATTTGAAACGCACATTATCTGAACCGAGCTAAGGACTTGCAAGAACGATCTTGTCCTGACGTTTACCTAGCCAGTCCATTATACTAATCTACATCGGAGGCTCTGACAATCAGTGTGCTGATATGGACTGTGGCTGTGTGGGAAGGGGCGTTGATTTCGTCGAAGCCGGCTTCTCTGTGGCCGCAAATTTGGCTGCTTCTTCCGCCTGGTCCGCTCGGATCTTCTTCAGAAGTTCAGGATACTGTTTCAGCCGGTAAGGTCAGCAACTGTGTCATTGGCGATAAAGACGCCAGTGTCGCACTTACCCATCTCTCCCCAACGTCGGGATGGCTCTTAATTCTGTTCATCAAGGTCGCCTCGCCTAATCGGCTCCACATGCCCTTGATGAAGGTGAACTCTATATCATCGAGCCTCTGACCTCCCCGCTTCTCCAGGATATCTGCTCTCAGCTTCTTCACCGAATCCGGCACGTCCATACTTTCGAACGTCGCATCATAACTCACACCCTGGAAGAACGGGATGCTGTATCTGGCCCCCGAACCGCGCGCTGGACTCTGCACACGATGCGTTGTCGACTGGCACACTCCTTGTGTCAACGCTTCCATGCCCTGCCCGATGGCGACCACAAACGTGCCGTCAATAGGCGGACAGTCGACCCATTGACCCTCCGCGTTCTGAACCTGCAAACCGCGATGATGGCTCGCTTGCAGCAAGTAACTCGTCAGCATGCTGTCCTTGTGGGGCCCCACACCCTGCGCCTCGCCTTCGACCCCCAACTCCTCCAAGTCAGGGTACTTGACAATCTTGAGCTTATGCTGCTGCGCATCGTCGAAGAACTGTGCGAACGCATCCCTCGGCAAGCCGATTGCTTCGGCTATCAGGCTCGTGAACTCCATGCTCATGTCGCCCATCTTGGCCATATAATCCTCGTACACGTCCCTGAAGCCCGGCAGGGCGTGCGGGTCGGGCCACAAGTTCGGGGCCAGCAGGTTCCGGTACAGGGGATCATCTGGCCCAGGTACTGGGTGTGGCGTCGACAAATCAATCTGTTCGCGCCAGTCGGTCTTGAAGCGGGTGATTTCCATGCCTAGCTTGTTGTAGCCGAGGAAGGAGGGCGCGTTTTTCATCTCGATCTCGAGCTTCTTCTCCTCCGGGAGGTCGAAGAAGGCTTTGCCCAACGAGATAACTTCATTAATTAAGTTCTCAGGGATGCCTGTGTTTTTTATGTACAGGAAGCCAACTTCCAGCAGGGCGTGCCGGAGCTCGTTGAGTAATTGCGGCTTGGTCGTGGGGTCCCGCGCAAGCGAGAGGTCGAGGATCGGGATGCTGGAGAAGGACATTTCGACAGAGAGAGTCTCTTTTCGGAGATGTTTATGAGCTGATGTTGTCGGCGCTTGTGTCTAGAATTTGTTCATGTCCGTTGAAGGTGTCGCGGCGGGAATGTAAGCCTTGACTACATGAATGTCAAATACGCCCTTCCACGAAGTCGGCTACACTCTCCTCGGGTAAGAATCTTGGCCCAGCCATGCGGGGATCTCCAGGCGGAGTGGACTCAAGATAGCCATGGGAGACCGTTCGAGACATGCTTGAGCTAGGCATTAGCATCTGTATGGATCTTGCCTTGCGGCATGACCTAGATCTGCCCGCAGTAAACAAGACGGTAGCTGCAATGATCAGAATGCTCCGGAAATGGACGGACATGCTGGGGTGGTGCCTCCCACTGACCATGTTTGGAAGAATTCACTGAACTGCTCTGGAGTTGATTATTGAGTGGTCGTGCTCGGCATCCTAAGAAGGTGCAGTTGCAGCCGAACACATACCTCTCGCTGGAGCACCTGAGCAAGCTGGATGGAGGGTGAACATCGCTCGGTTGCGACCTAGACCGAATCTTCCTTAGAGATTCTAATACGGGAACCTCTGCTTGTAGCGAAGCTTTCTCGGGAGAACAGCGAGCAGAAATCATATGATGAGCTACATTCGTATTGTCCTCCCGAGTCCGAAAGCTGAGCAGAAGACGTCGCTCACAACCTTGCTCCTGGTGTTTGGATGAGATGGTGAACGGTCCGGTGCACAGTCAGACCACTGGCACGGTCAACAAACGGCGCCAGAAAACGTTCCACGATGAAGTTGAACCAGGCATTAAACTTGAAGCCTTTCCCGTTCGTGACGCTGGGTGAGATTCGGGAACGCAGTGCATTCCGGTCTCATAGGCGAATACCTGCCTACCTTTAGGACAGCGACAGACCATTAGTTCAATCTTGAGAGATGGCCGAGTGACAAACGAAACGCAACCGTCAGAGCCAAGCACTCGGACTTCTCAAAATCTGGGGCCAGACTGCTCGAGGAAAGCTCGGGAACTCGTCAGTTTGTGTGTAGGGTCGCGTCTCAGTCGACAACTGCGCCAGCGTCTCCCACGACTTCTCCGCAATTCATGCCGGCAGCTCAATCACGGCGTCGCTGCCTCCTCCCGCGTCACGATCCTAGATATACGTTTATAAACCTTCGACGAAATTCAGAAATGCGTTGAAGAGTGGCAGCGAACTTTTTGTGGTCGGTCCGCCTCCAGCTCACGATGAATTCACTTTCGCAACTTCGACGTCCAGCAAGCTCCCTCCTCCGATGCCTCGAACGGGAATGTTCCTACAGACCAGCAGTCTCGGCCACGCGGTCGTTCCATACTTCGTCCTCGAGCCGTGAAGAAAGAGGCAAGGATGACTCACAAGGAAACCTCTCTTTTAGAGGCCAGCTATATCAAAGCACCGCAGAGAGGCTGAAGCGCGAAAGAGCCTCGGAGGAGAACTATATACGAGCCCAAGCGCAAAGAGGTGGAGGTGCTGCGGGCAGGACTCTTGGGCTGAGCTTTGGTATGCCTCTGGTCTCCATGGTGTGTCCATCACTCTGACAACAATAGTTATCCTCTCGGTCGCAGCCGGAGCATACTATCTCGGAACAAAAGGCGAGAAAGCGCCTGAAGTATTTTCGACCACACCTCTCTCGAGAGCACAGCCCCCTCAGCACGATACGCGAACGTCGAACTTGCAAGCTGCTTGGGTAGACTTTGCTCAGATTGTGGGCAAAGACAACGTCTCTACAGTCCCCGATGACCTCGAAGCGCATTCCGGCTCAGAATGGTCATCCTACACGACCAAACCTAACGAAGTTCCCTTTGCCATTGTCTACCCTGCGACGACCGAGGAAGTCTCCAAGATTATGAAGGTATGCCACGATCGGAAAATCCCCGTCACGGCGCTGTCCGGCGGCACCAGTCTGGAAGGCCACTTTGCACCCACAAGAGGAGGCATTTGCATCGATATGGGCAGAATGGACAAAATTCTTGAGTTCAGTCCTCAAGATCTCGATATCGTGGTCCAGCCAGCCCTCGGCTGGGAGGATCTCAACGAAGAGCTCAAAGCCCATGGCATGTTCTTCCCACCGGATCCAGGCCCAGGCGCCAAAATCGGAGGCATGGTTGGTACCGGCTGTTCGGGGACGAATGCTTACAGGTACGGAACGATGCGTGACTGGGTGGTCTCTCTCACCGTTGTCCTCGCGGATGGAACTGTCATCAAGACCAGACGCCGACCTCGGAAATCAAGCGCCGGCTACAACTTGACTCAGATGTTCATTGGCAGCGAAGGTACTCTTGGAATCGTCACTGAAGCGACACTGAAGATCACTGTACTGCCTAAGAGCCAGTCCGTTGCTGTTGCCACTTTCCCCACCATCCATGCCGCTGCTGAATGCGTTGCACGAGTAGTCGGTGATGGTATTCAGCTTGCAGGAATGGAAATTTTGGACGACGTCCAAATGCGCTGTATCAACAAAAGCGGCATGACCAGCAGACCGTGGCAGGAAGAGCCTACATTGTTCTTCAAGTTTGCCGGGACGCCGGATGGTGTCAAGGAGCAAATCAAGATCGTCAGGAGCCTCGCCAAAAGTACACAAAACAAAAGCTTCGAGTTCGCGAAGAACGACGATGAGGCGTCCGAGCTCTGGAGTGCTCGAAAGGAAGCACTGTGGAGCGTCATGGCTATGCGCAAGAACAGCACCGATCACGTCTGGACTACGGATGTAGTAAGTGATATTCTATGCTCTGATTGATTTTGCAACTGACCGAGACAGGCCGTTCCCATTAGCAGGCTAGCCGACATCATCCAGGAGACTCACGACGATGTGGCTCGCAGTGGATTGATTGGCGGTATCTGTGGCCATGTGGGTGATGGCAACTTTCACAGTGAGTACTTGGACGCTACTATTCGATTTATGCGTTGACGATATGAAAGCAATTTTACTCTACAACGAAACCGAAAAGAAGATTGCGGAAGACTTGGTTCATCGCATGCTTCAACGTGCTATAGCCATGGATGGCACCATCACGGGCGAGCACGGCGTCGGCTTGAAGAAGCGTGAATATCTCCGTGAGGAACTTGGTGAAGACACTGTCGACGCAATGCGCAAGGTGAGCTCCGTTGCCTTGTCCTCCTTGCTCTCCAAACTGATACCTTGGTGTAGCTTAAGCAAGCTTTTGACCCTCTTGGCCTTCTGAACTGCGACAAGATCGTCCAGATCGAAGCGGGCCATTAAACGCCCAGCTCGGGAATCTGTCTACCGAAGTACGTGGTCCTTGGCGTCTTGTCACAGAAGAGGCACTTTCCTGGCGAGCGTTATGTCATTGCTGGCAAACACCAATCGTCAAGCCCCGCACCAGACACTTGCGCCACGAACTGGTGTTCTTTAGGCTAATATCTCAGTGCTCTGGCCGCGCGACCCCTCCGGTGGTCAAAGAGGGTTTGGATTTGGTGTGTGTTGATTTTGGCGTCACGATCTGGATTTCTCACAGTGGAAGGCGGTCCGCATGGGACAAGGCCAGCTTGATAGCCGATTTTCTGCAGCAAAAACTCATACCCTCAACCGGTCGACCTCTCTGCCATCTGTGCCCTGCCCGACCTTTTTTCCACCCATTGGGGAAAGCTACGTACCTTCCAGACTTGCTCGCCGCCGCCATGTCTTCTGAAACACAGACCAAGGTAGGTGGCGCTGTCGTGTACCTGCAACTGCACTGTAATATTGACACTACGCAGGAGAACAACTCCTTCGTCCTGCGGGGCGTCAAGGACGTCCTCTTCGAAGACCGTCCCATTCCCAAGCTCAACGGACCCCGCGATGTCCTCCTTCAAGTAAACTTTACCGGCATCTGCGGCTCTGATGTACACTATTGGCAACATGGCAGGATCGGACATTTCGTGGTCAAAGATCCTATGGTGCTGGGACACGAGTCTGCGGGGACCGTACTCGAGGTTGGATCAGCTGTCAAGAGTGTGAAAAAGGGGGACCGCGTCGCAATGGAGCCAGGTATACCATGCCGGCATTGCGTGCGATGTAAAGAAGGAAAATACAATCTTTGCCCGGACATGGCATTTGCGGCGACACCGCCATACGACGGCACCCTGGCAAAATATTATGTTCTTCCGGAGGACTTCTGCTACAAGCTACCGGAGAACATGTCGCTGGAAGAGGGCGCGTTGATGGAACCTCTGGCCGTGGGGGTACATATCACTAAGCAATCGGGCATCAAGCATGGTGATACCGTGGTTGTTTTCGGTGCCGGGCCCGTCGGACTGCTCTGCTGCGCTGTTGCCAAGGCGTTGGGTGCCAGCAAGGTTATTGCCGTGGACATCAACACCGAACGACTTGATTTCGCCAAATCTTTCGCAGCAACTTCAACCTTTGTACCGTCGAAAGTATCAGCCGCAGAGAATGCACAGAAGATAAAAGACGACAATGACCTCCCCTCGGGAGCAGACGTCGCTATCGACGCCAGTGGCGTAGAACCCAGCGTCCAGACGGCCATCCACGTCCTCCGTATGGGGGGCAGTTACGTGCAGGGTGGGATGGGCCGCGACGAAATGACCTTCCCTATCATGGCTGCATGCACCAAAGAATTAACCGTGAGAGGCAGCTTCCGATACGGCCCCGGTGACTACGCGATGGCGGTCGACTTGACAAGCAGCGGCAAGGTGGATGTGAAGAAATTGATCAGCCGAAAAGTCAACTTTGAAGACGCGGAACAAGCATTCGAGGACGTGAAAGCCGGAAAGGCAATCAAGGTGCTCATCGAGGGACCGAAATAGGGAATTGAGAAAAATAGGTGATGCGACATGGTGTGATGTGTCCCTGGGAGGATTCATCATTCAGCATACAGCAGTCGAAGTGAACGATGAGCTGTCCAGACCTGTCACTGCACAGCTGCCCTTCCTTGGTCGACCTTGACTCAAATCCCTTGATGAAGATGAAGATGTTTGATCTTCCCCTCGTGTGACTCACAGCAACGGCACTTGACTGACCTCTGGATAGATGTCACTCACGCACAAAACGTTCGGTTGTTTTGCTTCACGCTTCACATTGTACATAACCAGTCGAAGGCAGAGACCGGGACCCTTGAAGTCATTTCGATATCTTGCTCATCTCCGCAGGACTATGCGCCCTTCACTCGGCACTGCATCGCTTCTCTCCAGGAATGCTTCATGACTGTTCGATGACTCCCACAGTCTGTCATCCAGTGTTGCTCTTCACAGTGTCTCTTGACTGTTCCCGACGCCCCGGCCCTTCAAACAGAAAGAGGGGAGCTCATCTCAGGTATAAGTACCCCCGTCCCTTCCGTCGCTCGCTTTTTCCATCCTGTCCCTCCCCAGCTTTTTCTCTGTGCCTGTCTCTCTCTCTCTCTATATATATATATATACATACCTGCGCCCGGGTGCTTTGTCCTTTGCACGCCTTTCCATCGGCATTCCTACGGATTTGACCGGTCCGTGTACCACGAACTCGAAACTTCGGTGCCCTTCGTCGATCGCCCTGTTCTGTCAGGTACGACCACTACCGACAGCGGATTTCCATTGCGAGGCAACATCGACAGGCTGGAGTTCGACTCTCCCGACAGTAGCAGCCGAAGCCCCATAATATCTACGTTGGTCGTGCGCCCGCAAACGTTGCCGGGGAGTTCCGTGCATGGCAGTTCGCCACCACTGCCACCAGCTCCGATGCCTAGTGCCCCCCTTGACAAGGGTCTTTCTTACCTGAAGGAGCAGCAGGGTACTAGCTCGCGATCTTGACGGGCTACAATGGACAAGCTCGCCTCTATGCGCATGCTCGGAACAAGTTGATTGCCGAAGATAGCAAGTACACCAGCTTGGTCATCAATACCTTCGATGCGTCTCAAGGCGCGCAATACGACGTGGTGATTACGGACCTACGGCCACGCCGAAGGCAAAGATGCAAAGAGACTCTTGAGCACACTATTCAACGACTCCGGCAGGGCTGTGGCATCAGGGGCAGAGGCAAGAAAGGCATTGCGCGAGGTTGGCACCACGCCGCCAATGCACCTAAGCATTTTTCGGCGAAGTGACCGCGGAATTCGATATGGGAAGAAGCTGACACAGAAGACCACGAACAAGGTGACGATGGAGAAGACGGGATGGAAGGCGCGGACGCAGAGAAAGACATGGCGTGAAAGCCGCAGCCACCGAGTAACACTTTCTGCCACGAGGTCAACGGCCTGTCCTCCGAGTCGTATCGATCGTGAATCAAAATGCAAGTGATGGGAAAGCATGGAGCGGAGCCAAAGACAGAGCAAGGAGGCAAAGGAGTCGAAAGACTCAGTGTCGAGCCCGACACGAGTCAGAGCCAATCCGGAGTTTCGCGAGGACTGCACTACTCCAAGGGGACTGGAGGTGGCGGATACATGCTTGTCGCGTGGAAGACCGTGCATGCGATGCTGAACGGTTTGAGAGTGGATAACGGTCAACGACAGTTTCGATCTATTCCTCGAGAGCTTTTGGTATGGGCCGAACCTTTGTCCACGACCAGGAGTCGGATCAGAGACATGGACCTGGGCTCGAAAACCTCGACCCTCATTGCTCGACCAGCGAAGACGGCTCATCAGCACTTGTATATCTCTCACTGTACCGCATGCCCACAACACTACAACAAAAACAAGGCCCCGAATCCACGACGGTATATCCGCACTTGCCGGCATCAAAGCTCTGTTCAATGGTTCGCGTAAGTGGTGCATCGGCGTCGGTCAAAAACGAATCGGCGACGATGAGTCGAGTCCAGTCTACCTACGCTCTTACAGAGCGCCGCGAGGGAGTGCTTTACCAAGGCTACATCCTAAAAATCGTTGCCCTACGCGCTGTCTGCCTCTGCCGAGAGTCGCGAATCAACGGATATAGCTCTCGACGAGAGGCTAGGTTACGTGCACGACAAAGAACATGCCGACATGATCGACTCCATAATATGGCAAACCGGGTACCCGTGTGTTTTTCCGTCGGCGTGCCCAGGTATTATAGATCAGAGTGGGTACGGGTATGTTCCTTGCTACTTAGCTTGAGACGAACAGCCTCTTCCTTGGCAAAGGTAAGCAAAGCCTCAGTCAAGCCAAAATAGCGTCGCTGCGGTCTTCTCTACAGCTGTGTTTGGCGCTTGAAGACACTCTTCGCTGGTGAGAGGGTCGTCGTTCTTCCCGGTCCTTATCGCAACCATACTCGTCATGGCTTGGTGCTTGCACAGGCCCAAGTCAGCCTGGTGCATCTTGCCTCACAGAAGAAGAACTAGAAGGATTCACCAGAAGATTCAGACGATGCCAAAGGTCAACACCGAGCAAGACACTCAAAAAGGCTAGCGCCCAGGCCACTTCAAAGCCCCAGCGGAGAGGGAGCTTCCTGTGTGCCCACGAATGTCACCACGCATGCTAGAGTGGTGTCGGGCCTCTGAGAGCATGAAGCCAGCTTAGTGTCACAAGGATATTGAAGCCCCCGGACCTCCGGCAACTTCGAGCCATCTCAACCTTGGACAGAGGAACAAAGACGATCCCATTCACCTGTCCGTCCCGGACAACAACGATACATGGACAGGCAAGTCCTCGAGCTCACGCCACTGGTATGATAGAGCCGATGTCTCGACTTGGCGTTTGGTCATACCCATCGACCGCCCCGTCGCACGATGTGTGGACCGAATTTTGGCGAACCGCGTGCGACACATGCAATCAAAACATCTCATCCTATCCGACATCTATCACCTCAGTCGCCATCGGCCCTTGTGCAAAAGGCGAAACTGCCTAAAATATCGCTCAAAGCGGTCGTCTGTCCTCCCTTCTGGCAATATCAACCGTACCCTCCTGGAATACCTTTCTAGGATCGAACAGGTGGTTTGCCTTCTGGTTAGCAGAAAAGACAGGTCGTCTTGTGTGCTCGGGACTTCGGGCTCGAAAATGATCAACTCGGCAGCCACGGGCAGGCACAAACCAAGAACTTTCCATCGATCCATCCAACAACATCATCAACTCTGACCACTATGTTTGGATCTCGCTAGTTCCAGGATCCTCAGGCCGCTCTCTATGCAACCTGACAGATATGGTGCAATGTCTTCGGCTTGGAGTCCTCCACAGTCCTCTCGGCTTGCTAAGCATCCTATACAGCGCCGGCAACAATGCCCGACTGGAGCCTGAAGCCGGTCTTGCTTGCTGTCTTCTTTCACCTCAGCGGCGCGCTGCGCTTTCCAGGGTGAGGACTCTCCCCGCGAGTTCGACTCTGCGGTCTATCTTCTCCATCTTCCCCATCTTCCGCCTTGCATCAAAATCAGTCTCTCATGCCGCCGACACAAATAACAGAAACAAGCGGATGTGACATGGAGGTCGATGCAGCACGTTGGGTGGTGGGCTGTCAGGGGCGGCGACGATTACGTTCTTCGTCTGTCGTGCTCACCAGAATCATCACTACCATGGGAGCTCCGCGTCGAGCGAGCGGATAGCCCAACCGTCAAGGAAGTGGAGGAAGGAGAGGTAGTGGGTGGTCTTTTCGACCAAGGAGAGTCTACCTTGGTTGTTGGCAGTGGGTGGTCTTTTCGACCAAGGACAGTCTACCTTGGTTGTTGACTGGGCCACTTGGTGGGCTCCATCGCGGCGAGAGCGCGAATATTGAGTCGGATGCTTGAGAAAGCACCCAAAGACTGGTTGGCCGCCTCAGGGTCCTCAGCGGCACTGTTGGTCGTGGTGGCTTCGTGGGAAGCAAGCTCGAGTTAACATGGCAACTTCAGTAAGTCCTGCGGTCTCCATGATGACGTCCGGAAGCTATGTGCCGTTTCGTAATCGTGTCGCCCTCTACGAGTAGGACTCAGGTATGTCATGAAGTACACACGTGGAAGCTCACATGGTGCAAAACCATGAGGATGCGGTGGAGTGCGCAAAGATGGAGCTAGGAGATGGGCTTGTCTTCCGCCAACCCAGAGATCTTGATTTGAATACCCCCATATTCTGACTCGGCTTGCCAACATCTCATGGGTCTCGGTATGTTTCTGTCCGTTGGGATATCCAGCTCAAGCTTCTAGAGCCGATGCCCGAGCTGTCGTGTGCCGCGCTGTCGAGCAACAGAAGCAATATATATCGCATGGTGGGCCTCCTCTCAGCTCTCTAGATGGAGGAACAGACAACACTCCCTAGCGAAATGTCCGCAGACGATGCAACTGTCCAGTGGCTGACGGTGCAACTGCGACTCCTTCCCCCGTTCCCGCGCCTGCGGTTGCGGGTGGCGACGGTGATGATCTCAATCGCCGTCCGCCAGACAAGCGTGCGAGCTTCTGCTGTTTACGTGGCATTTACGGTATCAAGCCACTATGAGCTCTCGCCGAATCGAGGCACGACAGTCTATCACGCTCGAAGAGTGCCTAGAATGCGGCAGCAGATACCCCGGGCTCGCAAGGGGATACTCGTTGAGATGATGGAACACATAAAACAATGCCTGAGTAGGATGCTCATGAGGAAATCTACGACTCGTGAAGTAATGTACCTCTTCGAAGGCTGGAATGACATCAAGCAGATGCTCCCGCCACTTGGTCCTCAGCGCATCTAAAAACACCACTGCCCCCAAGCCATGGTTCTGGGTGTCTCTTGCGGTCCTGTGTGGGCGCTCAGATCAGCGACGACGAGCATCCGCGGCGTCTGCTCCATATTCAGATCGGCTTACGGGTATCCGGCGCATCAGAGTGTGGAAGCTATATCCACCACTTCCAGCTACTCGTGGGAAATACTCCCGTCGCCACAGAGTGAACCGGTCTCACGTAGTTTCTGCTGTAGGCCATGCATACAATTAATACTTATCCTGCTGGATAGTATGTCCTGGGTTTGGGCAAGCTTCAGCACAAAAAACACCACAACAATGCCGCGAGAGCATGAGTTGTGGGTTCATTCATGGATAGTCGATTGCACTGCTACCAGAGTCCCACGCACCGTGTTATATATATATGATCTCGGTCTCTGAAAATCCCAGCCACCCGGTGCTGGAACGTGAGCGCCGCGGAAAGGGACATGGAGTCTCTATACCTCGCGCCACGCGCTTCAAGGTATATTGCAGCCATCTACATCCCTCAAGCGAAAAGGGTTGGCCTTTCCCCGGCTACCTGTGCTGAACAAGCACCCTAACCCTAACCCAACTCTTCGAGGTGGATGATGTGTCGTAGAGACATGGCCAAACGTTCCTTGTGAAAGTAGGGCGCCCGGTCGGCATTCAGGCCTAGCATGCGCGTGTCGCAAAGCTCAGTGGCAAACCGAGCCACCGAGAAGTCTAAGTCGGTCACCTCGGTGGAGCGTTTCTGCGAGACAAGGGTTAGCGACTGGGTGAAGATGGTAAGCGACTAGGGAGGATGTACGTAGGCTTCTGGGTCTTTATGAAAGGGTATCATGACACCAGTGAAGTGGGTATGCCCTAGCCGCCGCATGACGAGGGTGAGGACTTGCTTCATGGGGGCGTAGTAGAAGATACCACGGTACATCAGGCGCTATTGTTGGCATGCCTTTGCTGTCCTCTTTGCACGGAGCCTGCCTTTGGCTCGGATCTCTTTCGAAACGAACTTGGAAGTTTTGATCTTCCAAGGGTTTTTTTCTGAAATGGATGCCGTGGACTGCACGTGCGCCACCCGTAAACGGCAATTCAGCAAGTGCGCTACGAAACTCCAGCCGAAGAACGAGCAGAATTTGTAAGCGCTTTTGGGAGTTGTCGTGTCAAAGTGGCAGGTTCTGTCTTCGAAACCACTCGCAACCACGCCGGGCCTGCTAAATCTTTTGGCAATACTAGCAGGGGCTGCCCGGGGGTGGGGAGTAAGCTGAAGCAAAAGACACCCCTCGCAGGTTCCTGTGGTGACCAAGTGTTAAAAGGCAACACGATCACTCAAGAGAAAACAGGGTTACGCATCGCTACGTATATTAACCTGGCGATTGGTAACCTGAACTGGCACGATTTTCGTGACCGACACCAGAACTAGTGCGGCATGGATGGAGCAGGTCACTAGATGCCTGGAGCAGTAGGAGGCTCAGATTAGTCCACCGATGTACCGGTAGTTCGCTCTGCCAATGGCATAAGGTCCTTGGCAGTGTTGTTAAGAGTCGACTCATCACCTCTCTTCTGGACCGACTACAACTGCCTCATCAAGACACGCTCCCGCCTTCACCATCAACTAATTTTTTTCACTCGCCCGTATACCGCCTTTCCGCGGCGTTGCGAGGCCTTATACGCTGCGCACCACGACCCGTTGGCGCCCACGGGGCATGGGAAACACAACACTGGCAGAAGCAACCTTGTGAGAGGCATCTCGGCAGATGCAGCATCGCTCCAGCGAAAGGAGATTATCCTTGGGTCACAGCGGTCGACGACTCGGATCAACACGCGCAATGCATCATGTTGCCGCAGTCAAACGGCGCTTTCTGGGTAAGAGCAGTGCTTTGGCTGATACCCCGTTTCTCAAAGCCCGGCGACACATGTCCATCGTGTGGGATGCAAGGAATGTGACGAAGGACACAAGGTCCCTTAGGCTGGGCTCAGAAAAGGCTGTGAAGGGTCTCTTTGCCAGCAAATACTTCGACGCCACCGACTTCCTTCTCCTTACCGGCAATGCCAACTCCCTGGATCCGTGGCCCATCCAAGACTCAAGTCGATGACGGTGATCCGGCAGCGGCCATCGCGAATGGCGATGATGGTTCTGCATGATGGTGTGGTGCAGACTTGGTTTCATCCTTATACGACTATTCCGGTTTACATTCTTCGTCGTGGGCAGAACCGATGAGTACTTTAATACTCGTGAGGGTGGTGGTCTGTTATTGACCGGTGTGCTTAAGTGCAACTTATCTGTCGTCCCCCGGCATTGCCCCCGATTGAGGTTACATCTAAAAGACTGGCCCGACATGGCACGCTCGGTATTCCGTTTCTCAATCTGTGCCCAAGCGAGTCGCAGCGAGTTCGCTACCGTGTCAGCGGTGCCTGCGGCGCTTGACCTCGAAGGGCGGCATGGCCAGAGATGACCATGGGCGCCCGAAGCAAGACCATCGCCAATTTTCAAGACCCTGATCACTCCAGCCAAGTCCTCCTGTGCTCGATGAAAGGCTCGGCGTACGGCTTCAAACTTCAGAAGAGTTCTCGTATGGTCGTGATGTCTGGATTCATTCCCCAAAAGAGGCCCTCGCAACTGACCAGCTCTTCAGTAGGAATGCTGCACGAGAAAAAGGCACCATCGTTAACACCGGATCATCATGCGCTCCAGAACCATCTCTCCTACTGGTGATACCATGTCCTCACCTGGCCGAAGAGGGATCCATAGCAACAAGCACAAAAGCTTCCATGTTGGCTTGTGTCTACTCACTTAAGCAGGCCAGGACAGCGCTGGGCCCCTGGGCGATGTCAGCCTTGTCATGTGACCATAGGCAACAGACCCCTGGTGGTGACCAATCCATGCCAGATCCAGCCAAGGCAGTTCGTCATCTCCCAGGGTACCAGGTCAGGCCAAGACCTGACCTCAACGTGGAGCTATGGGACAAGGAATCTTTCGTTTGTGGACCCAGCAGCTGCCGACAAGAGCGCGACTCCCGAGCTGCCTTCTACTCCCAGAGACACTCCCGCGAGCCTCTAGCCGATGCGCAAGCATTACACATATATATACATACGCAGCAACAGCACCTGCCAGGCCGGAAACCTCTTTTAAAGCGGAAGCTCCATGCATGTTGGCTCGTAAAGGTCTAATGACACGCAATCCCTTACTTCATTCACACGCTTTGGAACTACACTCAAGAATGCAGCTACGAAGTTCGGCTTGGCGTTGCTCGACGTGATTTACTTTGTTCGTCTCCATAACGAGGCCCGTCGAACTTACTCCTCCAGTGACTGCCGACGGCGGCTGGCCTCCCACTCGCAGAGATACTTTATGCGGTTTAGACCAAATCGCCATGACCGGTTTAGACGAGTCATTACCTGGAAAGACATACCAAGGGTCTCAATACCACCTCCTCACGGCGTGGTGCCGGTCTGGAAGACTGTCTCAGTGTCTTTCAATCTTCCTTATACCACGCCTTTCTCACAAACCGGATACTCCAAACCTAGCATGAGGCAGGAGATGCAGATTCTCAGTACTAATGAGATCGGATGCACTGGAATGGGATTTGCTTTTCCAGTCCAACAACCGACGAATGAGACGTCGATACACCGGGGATGTCTCCCGCCCCAGCTGTCGGGACGCACTTTTAGTCGATTGGCTAGATCTAATACGCAAGAGCAAGGCCGCCATGCAGCGTAGGCCGTGGACGAAGGCTTCCCACCTGTTCGTTCACATCGAACCATGTCAAGCAACGCTATGTGTAATGACGCACGTTCCGCATATGGGAGACAGCACATTCAGCTCCATCGGAGGTCTAATATGTTAACTCAGAAACCCCTGGGACGAGATCCCCCGACACGGACAAGGCAGCAACCACCTGGCTAGATGCCAGTGTATTCGAGGTGATACCGCAGCACGAGTCCTTAGGCACTCTCATGTGCATTCTTACAAAAGCGAGTACATATACGTTGCCCAAAGGTCATCTGTGGCGGGCGGCCTCATCCCTGCCCCGATCCTTGTGCCGCCACTGCCCCATGGCGAAGCAAGAGCTGCACTGCATACATAGTCCATAGCTCTCTGAGAGCCTCGCTCTCGGGAGATAGAGAATCAGAGATTGACAAGAGTTTACAGTGCCCTGCCACATCATCTATGGCCCACGTCAGCAGGTATGAACGACAGGTCCATCTCAAGTAATACATACCCGGACAAGAGAGAATCAAGATCTCAATTATCAAAGCAGAGACTAGGGAGAGCTATGTACACTCTGCCACTGTCCTCAGACAGATCCAGGAAGCCGGGCAACGCCCAAAACGTTGCCTGTTGATCAATTCCGACGATGCAACAGTGGCAGAAAGAAAGCCCAAGATCCCCGAGGCTCGGGTACATAGTACTCGAATCGCACCTGGAAGCTTAAGCTTGCGAATCGATCACAACCGGGTGCTTGGACGGCCTTTCCACCTTGAGACCGGTGCATCTACTTCATGAGTATGTCGGGTATATATATAACTACGCCACTTTCCCAGGAAGTGCAGACGACAGGTGCTCCATAACATCAGGAATAAGAACACCCCACTCTGGAGGAGAGGCGGACCCGCACTATGAGTCTACTCGGAGACACTATTATGCTGTACCCCTGCGAGGCTAGCATAAGGCAGTAGGCCAGTTTGTCGCTCCAAGAGGGTTGCTTGAAGCTGTGTTTACGAATCCTCCCGAGCCATGCTGAACTAGAAGTTGGCTGGGACTCCTGTGTACGGGCGAGGGAATTGCCATCGCGGTCACAGTTCACTTGGTGGTGGTAAGAGGAGTCGCCGTTATCCCAGAGGCACGAGCAATGGGAGAATGGTTGGGATGCTGGAAGCTCGAAGATACTTATTAAGCCTGCTACGGAGCCAGACCCATTCCCCTTCAACAAGGAGGAAGGACATGGTGTCCTGCATCTGTGGCAGCAGGTAAGGATCAAGCTGTGTATTGAAAACGCCGAAACGCCCAAACCGGTCGCCTGTTCGCCTCCTTCCCTTCCCAAGGCCGCTCGAGTTGTGAACCAGGGAGTACGGCATCTCTATCTCAGACTGGGCATGTCCCCGAGACCATGGCCTGGACGGCACTCGCGCAAGAAATGCAACGGTAGCCTGCAGGTTGGTTCCAAAAAGAGTCCGACGAGATGGAAACTCTAGGTAGGAAGCAGATATCGAGGTCGCACTCTCTTCATATTCTTCAGCCAATGCCGGACAAATCACCAGGAGACTGCTGAGTCGGGAGAACCAACTGGGGGTGGTTCCTAAGTGTCAAGCCCGCAGAGTGTGGTGCCGCCTTCCTTGCGCGGTTGTCGGTTCACTGGCACGGGTGTTTGGTCCCTCGTACGGGTGTCAGGTCGTTGGAACGGGTGTCGGGTAGCATTACACCTGACCGCCGCCGCCGCCGTCGCTATACCTCGGATGAAGAGCATTACCTCCTCCACTGCTTTTCGGGCTACAGAATCATATCAGCGCTTATCGCGACGTGGTGCTGCACCTTGGCCGATCTTACAAGGCCTTCCGTCAACGATAGCGTATCGTTGAGACGATAGTCGTATTGGGAGCCTGAGTTGGGTGACTTTCAGATCGACGTCGATATCAGGCCGACATCACGGCGCGTCAGCAGAGCTGGTAAAGAAGTCAAGTGTTAAGATTGTACCGAGATGTGAGTTCTAAGACAGAGAGCACTATGAAAGGAGTGTTTCAGTGTCGTGGTTTTGGTGGGAGGCGCATGGTCGGAATCCAGCTAATCAGAGTATAGAATTTGCCGGCGATTGCTACATTGCGGGGCTGAGAGACGAGGCTGCGGCAGTGAACCGTGCCAGTCGAACAGCATGCAAGCTGATGGTGGTGGAACCCGACTTGCCAAGTCCGAACAACGATACATACATACAGCACTAAGTATCTTGCCCCGTGTGGCGGAAACCCGCTGGCAGGAAATGCGGTTTCTCAACCAAGATACGACTTTGGGTCGTGTCCAGATTGGCAATGGTGTCGCAGTCAGGATTTGATACCTTGTGTACGGTACTGTGGAACACCAAGCCGACAATGCCAGAGTCTGGATACAGAGAGTCAAAGGGGCCACGGATATATCGTATCAATTCCTTCCCTCTACCATTGACCTACTATCCTGGGTAAACTTCGCTAGACGTGGCCACATCAAGTTCCGAAGCTCGCTACTTCGTACAGGACTTGGGCAAAAGGCACCACCACCGTACTAAATTTCTAGCCCTCTTCCGTAATCACCGTCTTCATTCGACAAAATGACCCCTTACTCCTCTAGAGCCTGTGTGCTGAGGATCCTGCTTAGCGTAACGAAATCGGAGCGGTGGAGACTGATGGGTAGGAGCTGCATGTGTTTTAGGAGTATTAAAGGAGTAAAAGGCATCATTGAGGCGTGAAGGAGAAGCAAAGGTACATATAGCTGCAAGAAAGGTGAATCTAAGAGCGTGGCTCGTCCTGATGTACTGCTCGAATTGTTCCGTCCTTGAGATTAGACATTGAAGTACTAACATAGTGCCACGTCGTAAGACCGCACGTTTCAAGACATGGCCGAACTGGTGATGACCTTCCGCAAGTTGTGCAGCTTGGAGCGGGAAGCAGGGTCCATGATGGTCGATTCTGTCTCTGCGGCTATCTCTTCTCTTGGAAGTGTATCGCGACGTGTTCCGGTGAAAGTGGTAGCGAGAAGGATGGTGCTACGGGATTCATATGCACTGTGACCGTGCAGGAACCGAGGAGACGATTCTGCAGGCCACGGTCTCGAGGCTCAAAGCGCTGGATAGGTTCTCAGCAACCGCAAGCAGTGTGACAAGGTTTCGCGGATTCGACTCAAGTTGTAACTTGAGCCGATCCGTATAATCCTCCTCTTCCCGACAGAAAGCAATTGTATCGTGCAATCCAGGGTTTTGTCCGGCTGTCAGTGTGGGAGACCATTTTTGCCACTTCGAGGTCAGCAGGCAAGATCCGTCCTGGAAAATTGCCGGAGGAAAGTCTGCCTAGCACCAATTATCCTTTCCATAGAAGGAAGAAAGCATAGTGTAGCAAGTGGTAAATACTTTCCCTCATCGTTGGTGAAGTGCATTCGTTGTAGGTCCTCCGAGGCGGTCCAGAAGTCAGCCAAGCGTGGTGGCTAGAGTCGTGAGATGCGCATCATCGAATCATCGACCGCGACCCCGGTGTCATTCCGACATTGTTGGCCGGCCTCCTTCGCCTTCCTCTTGATCATGATGTTGCAAACGATGACGTGAAACTGGCTGCAATGGAGGGTATGGCAACCCGGGAAGGAGTAGTCGGGAGTAACTTCTGAAATACGCTTCCGCGTGGAGCGGAAGCTGCGCGTGCAAGGAGTCAAATGAAGTGACGGTGCCACTTCCAACTTTCAAACATCACCACCATCCAGGGTCCTCATGGAATTTGAGTGTGATGGATATCCGATACGAGGGATAGTCGGGCTCGGTCGCGAATCCGATTTTGGCTACGACCATCACATCACCCAAGGTTAGTTTGTCTTGTGTTATACGAGGAACATGAGACAATGCCCTTGGTAGAATTCTTTCTGTTCCCAAATTTCCGTGCAATCTAATGACACGCCTCTCGAAGTCGTGATGCTCTAGAAGTTTCAGCTGTAGGCCTGCTCCCGGCAACAAAGGTTCGGAAGAACAGGCAAGGTAACAATAAGAAAAGTCCTGCCCAGATCGCCACTGCCATCTCGGATCGACAAGTCGCAGTGTCACGTAACCTTCAAAGGCCCTCCCCAGAGTGATAAACTCCTTGTTCGCCGAATCCCAGTTCTCGCGTGGAGCTGGTGATTCAATCACCTTGTCGAAGTTTCGTTCTACCGCTTCCATGTTGCCATCGGACTCGAAATGAATCGTGTGACCGCGGCAGGTATCCATCTGCCTTTCGATAGAGGCAGAAATCTTGGTGACAATGTAAGCGTCTTCGATCTCTGGACGGCGGACAAGCATGAGACCGCTATCCAGAAGGCCTTGTGCTACGTATTCTGCTAGAGGCACTGAGCATCTCACAAAAAGGCTGGGTCCAATTTTCTGAAGAACCATCCCGCAATGACGCGTCGAAATGGTCTGATGGTGTTCCAGGTCCATAATATAGTAGCGAGATGAAACCTTTCCGTGCATCTCTGCGGTTACAAATTTGGCTTTTGCAAAGTATACGCCGTTGTTAGTCGGCGCGAAGTCCCGTATGGAAATTGCGGCAAGTTTTGAAGAAACAAAAACACCACCTGATTCAGAGAAATCCCTTGGTGCTGTAGCGAAAAGGTCGCGGCAAGGGTAATCATGGTAGTAGCCTCTGGCGCGCAAGTCGCTTGCCGCCAAGTCCCCGGTGATGCCAACCCACGTCCTTGGAAAGTTCCAAAAGATTGAGAGATCCGTCGAGCGTTTAATAATCTCTTCCTGCAGCCTGATGAAAGCTTTATCTCCCTCGCCGTATAAAAGAGGCATGTTGATATCGAATATGCCCAGCAAGCAGTAAGCTAGGTCTTCCGTCCTCGTCGTCGCTCGTTGAGACGCCCAAAACATTCTGCGGCCTACTGGGATGTCTGGTAAGACGGTGCAGTCGATGAGGACCTCTTCATCGATTCCAGTGATTGCAGAGACTGATGACTTGAAGTAAGTTTTAGTACCAACAAACTCCCACTTCTGGTTGTAAAAGCGCAGGTCCTTAGGTGCAATGAGTTCCTGTAATGTCCAACCACGGTTATACCATCTGCAAACCTTCATCGCGTTCCCAACATCAGAACCCGGCTCGAGATCGGATAGAAAGACGTAGCAGCGCGCCGCGTCGCGATACCACTTGAACATTGAGTTGATGGCCTCGCTCAGTTCTGCACTGCTGGATTTGTCAATGCAACAGGTATCGACCCAGGCGTAGTTGATATCGTGTTCGCGTGCCTTCTCACAAGTGGAATGGATCTTCCTGTAGCCGCCTTTCAACGTAGCAGGGTGTTGATCATTGTGACCGATGGCGGTCATCTCTTGAAAGTCTACTTCGTCATCTTCGACCCATGTGTGAGACAAGATTGCATAGCCAGGATTATTTTCTCCCATAAAGACCCTCATCCGAAGCGTGGTGGTATCGAGTAGCCTGATTGGCATCTTGACTGGGTGAGAAGGTCAAGCGGTACTCTAACACTCGAATCTGCTAGGGGTAATACCGCGATCGTGATATTGGCGGGCTGGCGTCCTGGCTAGAAGGAGTTAAAGTGTTGCGCGAGCGTGGTAGAAGAATGACAAAATCGAGCTGCGAGGCGGGATGGAAGACTGGCCGGTTGGAAAGGCAGCGCCTTTGAGGCTGAGGAAGGTCCGACCCTTGCGGCGCTTGCATAGCCGCTTCTTGGGACGTGGGCCAATCGGATATGTCGCTCGAGGGGACGGATCAGGCTCGCCACGGGGTACTCGTTTGAGACGTCTTCTCTGGCAAGACTGATTGGACAATGGACACCAAGGCTCGAAGGTAGTCAGAGCAGGCGATATTGCGTTGAGCGGGGCCGAGCGTTGGTTACTTCATACGGGGCTCTGTATTGTTGACCTTTGAAGACGAAGATCCTCTAAACAAAGAATCTGCTGTGACATACAAAGCGGAAATTCGCATTCAAGGTGCGACTGATCCATAAGGTGAGGATCATAACATTGTTTGGAGCTGGCTTTTCACTGCATGATACGCTTACAACAGTACACATAGATCGCTGTCCACATCACGTCAGCCTTTGCCCCGTAATATTCCACTCCACCTTGCTGATACCATTATTGCCCATGAGCCACAACGTCGTGAGGTTCTCTCCTGTCCAGGCGAAATTCTGCACAGTATAATTTGTCTGGATCCGAATAAGGAGCTGCCCGACTTCGTCGAGGACATCGACTCCTTTGCCAGCACCGGTCAGCACAAGACCTTCTTGGGACACCTTCAACCCATCTGGAACCCAGTCTTGCGCAAGGTAGAAGCTACGTTTGTTCGACACTCGGGTGCCGTTGTTTGTGACATCGAACGCATACACAGCTCGCTTTCCCGTAGTGTTGAATGTGGTGCCCTGGCTGCCGAGCCTTGGGTCAATTGGTCCGCTGACAGCACCTGTGTCTGAAATGTAGAGAGTATTGCCATCGGGAGTGAAAGCAATACCGTTTGGCTGCTGTAGGGTATCGTCAATCAGGAAGGTGGCACCAGTCTCGGGGTCAAAGCGGTAGCTTGCAGTACCCAATTGTGGCGCCGTATCGGTCAATGCGTTAAACCAGCTGTATTGAGGATCCGTGAAGAAGATATCCTTGGTGATAGGATGAATGGCAACGTCGTCGATGGTGTTGAAGTAGTACCCAAAGTAGTTGTTCAAGAGTACCGTCGACCGATTGGTGGCAGGGTCGACTGTTCGAAGGGAGACTCTTTGCTCTCCACCTCCAATACTGTCATTGCCGCCACTGGCAGCGAAGACGATGAGACCATTGCGGAAACTGCCGCCGTTCGGAGCGTAGACGGGAGGGTTAGGAATGTACTCGCTCAGGGTCGGTGGATCCGCGTTGAGGTTAACCACAAGCTGAGGTAGAGTCCCAGCAGGAGGGGCTAACTGCGAAATGAAGAGTAAGTTCTGTTCCGGGGCATAGACGGGGGCTTCATGCACGGCCGCCGATACTGAGAAGACAAATTCGTAGCTTGGATTACTACCAAGGTACTGCAGGCCACGTTGTTGATCGAAGACCACAAAGTCTGCCGCCTGGAGGAGGTCAAATGTTGAAGCATTTCCGACTGTAGTGTTTCGATAGTCGAAGTCGGCGGCATTGCTCGAAATAGTTCGGTTGAAGTGGTATGGCAACACGGCGCCCTGTCAATGGTGAGCTCCTATTTTCTGGGGACGATTGGAGGCCACTGACATATTTGTTCACGCAGACCACGGTGCCGTTGAAACCACAGTCCTCAACGATCGGTCTGGTGACACCAGACGGCTGGACCTGACCCCACACCGTGGCCGCTGACAACAGCGATACAAGTGCGATGAGTTTGATCATCATTGGACGTTTGACCCGCGAGGATGGCAGCCTTCTCGCAGCAGTTTGAAGCTCGCGAGGAGTGCCACGGTCACCCTTTCATAGTACCGTCTGTGGGGTATACCAGCTTTCGATCCTCGGACAGTCCCCAGAGCGTGCGGAGAACGAAACATTCTGGGAGGCGTCATAGCAAGGATTGCTAGCAGTAGATCTGACGTTCTTTACTCGTGTTCCTGGAATGTCAGGCCAGGGACGTGGCGGATTTGCAATGCATCCCCCTAGGCAGGAGCCTAAACGGCATTTGGCTAGCCGGTGCAGAAAATCTGCGGGGAAGCTTGAAAGGATGTCATCGGGGTACAAATGCCGCTCGGTGTCATGCCCGGCAACGCCGTATTCACAAGTCGAAAGTTGGAAACAGGTTAGGTTCTCCCTCGAGGGATCTCAAGAAAGGGAAACGATTGGTATCTCGAATCAGTGTCGTGCTTGCAGGCCTGTAGCGTCTTCAATGCCGGCATTTGAGGTGGAAGTAGGGTTGAGTGACTCCCCCGCAATATTGGCGACGACTTTCGCTTTAGCTTTCGCCTTTGCAATCCGATCATCAAATTCCGTTACAGCTTCGTCTGAGTTGTCTTTGGCAATAGTGGAGGCTTCAGAAGTGGCGTGCAAGCTTTCAACGTGCCTTTGCAGTCGGCTACTATTAGGCATTTGGGGAAGGGTTCGGATGATCCCTCCCAGTCGTGACTCCGCAGAGGGGCTTGAGATCGCGGATTGCGGTGGCTCTTCTGGGTGGACAGCTTGAAATCTCCCATGCCATAGCAAAGCGCGCCCATGGAGCTTGCCGAGGTCCAGGGCTTTTTCATAACCTTTCTCGATGCCAAAGACCTTGCCTTCGATCATGCCAGCATACGTGCTATCGGATACTCCAGCATTATAGCCTTCTTGATAATAGTCATTCTCAAGATCCAGGAGGTCGTCAAACGGATCGCTTGCCATGGTGCCTGATAGCGGATCAGTGTGCTTCTTTTGGACGATCTCTGGATTAGTAAGGGCGCAAATGCGTGACCCGATTGTTTATTGCAGTATTCTACACTTCGGATGATGGTAAAGGCTGGTGTACGGGCAAAGAAACAATGCTGAGCAAAATCGCAGAAAAGAGGCTGAAAATAAGCTTGAATTTTAGCGCCTCGGCGTTTGGCTGCGGGGAGGTTTGTGACTCCTTCGCAAGCGGCTTTTGAAATGATACAGCCGTGAGTCTCGCCTATTACATCCGTCTCGGCAGGAAAATATCTGTGTCTGCAAGTGCTCTGTTAAGCCCTCCATATTCCTCGCGGTTCTCTCTTCTCGATCATCCTATCTGCAACTGCAAGATTCGCTTCCAATGGGCTCTGAGAAAATCCTGCCGCAAGATGGCAAGCGGAATATCCTCATAACCTCTGCTTTACCATACGTCAACAATGTAAGCACTACTCGGAGTTGTGCAAACTTTTGCAACTGACATCGTGTCTCCGATCAGGTTCCTCATTTGGGGAATATTGTGGGCAGTGTGCTGAGTGCCGATGTCTTCTCGCGATACAACAAGGCCCGTGGCCGGCCGACACTCTTTATCTGCGGAACCGACGAGTACGGCACGGCCACTGAGACGAAAGCCCTAGAAGAGGGAGTTACCCCAGAAGAGCTGTGCGCAAAGTACAACAAGATTCATGCCGAGATATACGAATGGTTTGAGCTGGGCTTCGACATCTTCGGTCGAACACCCACAAAACAACACACCGAAATCTCGCAAGATATGTTCTTGAAGCTCCACAGGAATGGCCATCTGACAGAACATACCGACAAGCAACCGTTCTGTGAAAAGCATGGAAAATTCTTGGCCGACCGGTTCGTCGAAGGCACGTGCCCCAAGTGCGGCTACGACGATGCTCGTGGTGATCAATGCGACAAATGCGGTAGCCTACTAGATCCCTTGGACTTGATCAACCCTCGGTGCAAAGTCGACGGCGCAACTCCCGTCACGAAGGAGACCAAACACACCTACCTCCGTTTAGATGAGTTGCAACCGCGAGTCGAAGACTGGTCGAAGAAGTCGATCGAAAAGGGCAGATGGTCTCGAAGCGCCAAAGTCATCACTGAGTCATGGCTGAAACAAGGTCTGAAAGAACGAGGCATCACTCGGGACTTGGCATGGGGCGTGCCAGTGCCTCTCCCCGGCTACGAGCACAAGGTCTTTTACGTCTGGTTTGAGGCCTGCATCGGATACCCGTCGATCACTGCAAACTATACCGAAGAGTGGCAGAAGTGGTGGAAGAACCCAGAGAACGTCCAGTTATATCAGTTTATGGGCAAGGACAATGTACCCTTCCATTCAGTCGTGTTCCCAGCCTGTCAGATGGGCACCAACGAGGAGTGGACCAAGCTGCATCACCTGTCGTCCACCGAGTACCTCAATTATGAAAATGGCAAATTCAGCAAGAGCCGCGGCGTCGGTGTGTTTGGAAACAACGCAAAGGAGACCGGTGTTCCTCCGGACGTCTGGAGATATTATCTGCTCAAGAACCGACCAGAGTCAGGTGACACTCAATTCGAGTGGCGGTCTTTCATCGATGGGAACAATTCTGAGCTCCTGGCCAAGCTCGGGAACTTTGTCAACAGAGTCATCAAGCTCGTCAACTCACCCAAGGCCTACTCCGGGGTCATTCCAGACTTCGATCCCCACGATCTCCCCACGTCATTCAAAGAGCATCTCAGCGAAATCACCGAACTCTTGAAGCAATACCTTACAGAGATGGAGGCCGTGCATCTGCGGAATGGATTGCTAGTTGCCATGAAGATTGCAGAAGCCGGCAATGGCTTGATTCAGGCTCACCGGCTCGACAATGCACTTATTGCAAGTGATCCTAGTCTCGCTGCCGCAGTCGTGGGAACGGTTATCAACCTCATTTACCTCTGCTCGGCCATCTTCGAGCCCTACCTTCCAGCAACCGGCGCCTCAATACGCAAGCAACTCGAGCTTGGCTTTCTGCAAATTCCGTCTGAGGGAGACATAGAAAATGGTTGGCTACCCACATACATCAAACCAGGCCACAAGATTGGCAAGGCAGAATATTTGTTCTCCAAGATTGATGAAAAGAAGGCGGATGAGTGGAGGGACTATTTCGGTGGAAACCAGGCAGAACGCGAGAAAAAGAAGAAGGAAGAAGAGGCCGTTGCCGCGAAGAAAGCTGCCCAGAAAGAGAAGACCAAGGCAAAGAAGGCGGCTCAGAAAGCTGCCGCTGCGGCCGGAGGCGCAGGAGTCGAACAGAGTGCGAAAGGTGGGGAGGAGGGGCAGGCATTGGCCAATGGTGTGCCTGATGTCGGAGAGGATGCCGCGGTCGAGAAAGTTGTTGATGGTGTCGCACAAGTGACCATCCCGACATCTTGAAAGACGTGCGGGATGTTGGTTTTTGGGTTCAAGATCTGACGAAGACTTCGATGTCGTGATGCTATGAGATGTGTAACGAATAGAATGATTTGAAGGAATGCCGGCGGCACTTCAACGGCCAGTCGCGGTCTAGGGAAACAACAGATGAGGATAACGTTGTTGACGACAATGGTAGAGAAAAGAAAAACCGCAACGCTGCAGCCAACTACGAGATCTACACCTATGTAGAACAAGACTGAGGCTCTTTCAGAGTGCAGGAAATCCTGTACATCGTTCCTTGGCCCCAAATCTGCGATTAGATGCCTACTGGTCTGCTCGCGCCGACAGAGGTGAGCATAGCCCTACAATTCGGCTGTAGGCCCGCAGGAAATGCCCCGGCGAGTACTGCCACTGTATATCTACATTTGTCTAATCAATGCTGAAGTCTGCATCTCGAGATTCTGAAGACTGGTCGAGAGTCAATCGCAGATCGAATAGGCATGCCGCCAGGGAATGTTTCCACACGCGTACAGTACTTTACCTTATCGAAATGTCCGGCATGGTGTCTTGGTCGGTGCATTGCTTCTCGGGAAATCTACAAAATTAGCCGATGCGATTCCCGAACGACTTCAGCCTCGATCTGCTCGACAACCACCTCGCCCCGGGGATGAGGCTATTGTCATTATGTGTCACGACGTGTTGCTGCTGCACAAAGCTCTATGTCTCCACGAGCGCCTTCATATACTCACACCGGCGATGACTGCGGACTGCAATTGTCCGAGATGCCCGTCGCAGGAAAGTTGTTTTCAGGGGGAAAGGCGCCGTAACCCAATGACGCGGGCAATTGTACAAGGGTAGGAGGTTTGGTGGTGTACCCTTTCTGTCGCAATGGGAATATTCGCCAGATCAACGCGAGCAGACTGGCCTCACTCGTCAGTTGTCGAGCTCAATGAATGGGTAGTAGGTGTTGCACCACGCGTCTAGGGCTCGCACAGTGCGGCGCGCATTACTCATCTGTACAGTTGCGCCTGCCGCCACAGCTCTCAGAGTCAGGCAATCACATTGAGATGAGTCCGACTGTTTCTCCCTTCAAAAGATCAATCACTGCATCCACGACGAGAGTTCCAAGATGTATAGCACCACCGAGACTCCTGCGGTCCCAGATCAGAGTCTCGTCCGGCTGGCCGAAACTCTTGCCGGTAACTCCAGTCAGGCTGCTGAAGAAATGCCTAGCGCGGCCAAGTCCCACCAATCTTGAGAAGGCTTCATGCCCGGTGTTGGTGCAACGTCGTTTTCTACAAGTTACGGGTAATAAATCGTTGCAGCGACATCACCTTGATCGAAACATTGTGGTAGATCAGCGCGCATCACAGCACGAAGCCGAATCGCTGGGCCGGGAACTTTCTACTCAAACGGCGAAAGAGGCACGGCACGAGTCGCTGACCATCCAGCTCAAACTTGAACCGGCAGAGGGCAAGCTTGATAGGATCAGAGAACCACCAAGTGAAGATGTCGAAACGAAGCCAAAGCAGGGTGGAGAACTGCGCGAGATTTGGCGCCTCCTCAGAATAGTCAAACCGGAAATCCCAGCACTGAGTTTCGCCTTTCTCCTGCTCTTCATCAGCAGCGGGATCACCATGGCTGTACCATTCAGCATCGGCAAGATCTTCGACTCCGCGACGCAAGTGGACGGCACAGTCTTTGGAATGCAGCTGAAGCATTTCTGTGTGGCCTTTTTGGCCGTTTTGGCTGGAGGTGCTTGCGCCAGTTGCGGACAGATGGCCCTTCTCAAGATCATCGGCGAGCGTATCATCACCAAGCTTCGAAGCTCCCTGTACAAGCACACGTACGTGCAGAACGCAGAATTCTTCGACACTCACCGTGTCGGGGACCTGATCAGCAGACTGGGCAACGATACCACCATGGTCGGCAGATCGATTACGGAAAACCTATCGGATGGCCTTCGCTCACTCGCGTTTGCTACGACGGGGATGGGTATGATGACCTACATCAGCTACAAACTCGTCGGAGTCCTGGCTCTCGCCTTCCCGCCACTCGCAGCAGGGGCGTTTCTCTACGGTCGTGCAGTTCGGGACTTGTCGCGTCGCATTCAATCAAACCAGGGCACGTTGACCAGAATCGCTGAGGAGCGGTTGGGTAATGTACGAACGAGCCAGGCCTTCGCGGGCGAACGCCAAGAGGTCCATCGATACAACGATCAGACGCGCAAGATCTTCAACCTGGCGAAGCGGGAGGCGGTCATCTCGGCCACCTTCTTCTCCACCTCGAGCTTCCTTGGGAATGCGACGTTTCTCGCGTTGCTTTACGTAGGGGACAGCATGGTCAGGTCTGGGTCCATCACCGTGGGAGATCTCACGACCTTCGTCATGTACACGGGCGTCGCTGGTGGTAGCCTCTTCGGACTATCAGCCGCGTACTCGGACTTGATGAAGGGGGTCGGAGCGGCCAGCAGGTTATTCGAGCTACAGGACCATCGCCCGATCATCAGTCCGACGAAGGGTATGGCGGTGAAATCAGCTCGTGGCATGATCGAGTTTCACGACGTCCACTTTGCATACCCGACCCGACCATCGATCTTAGTCTTCGATGGGCTATCTTTGAGAATCGCGCCAGGACGCAACGTGGCTATTGTCGCTCCTTCAGGAGCTGGCAAGTCGACCGTGGCGAGCTTGCTCATGCGATTCTACGCGCCCACACGTGGAACCATCACAATCAACGGCCATGACATCAGCAAGATGAATGCCAGGCAGTTGCGGAGAAGGATCGGTCTGGTCGGGCAAGAGCCAGTCCTGTTTTCGGAGTCGATCGCCGAGAACGTGGCCTATGGAAAACCTGAGGCCACGAAGAGCGAGATCTTGGAAGCCTTGCGCCTGGCGAATTGTCACTTTGTCCATGATTTTGTGAGTTCTGATATGTGAATGACTCTCGTGATAGCAGACTGACTTCTCGGTTCTCAGCCTAACGGTATAGACACCCTGGTAGGTGCTCGTGGAGCGCAGCTGTCTGGTGGCCAGAAGCAACGCATAGCCATTGCCCGCGCTCTGCTCAAAGACCCGGACATCCTGATCCTCGACGAAGCCACTTCCGCGTTAGACGTCGAGTCCGAGACTCTCGTCAATCGAGCGTTGGAGCCACTTCGCCAAGGTCCGCGTACTATCATCACCATCACGCATCGTCTGTCCACCATTTCACGCAGCGACACCATCATTTGTCTCGGTGCCGATGGCAAAGTTGCACAGATGGGCACATACCATCATTTGATAGCTGATAAGGACGGTGTGTTTGCAAAATTGGTGAAGCAGCAGATAAGTGGAAGATAGAGGTCGTCATTGGGAACTCAAGGGCTGGAAGCGTTCAGAAATGTGGCCTTGTCTCCCTGGCACTCTATACCTGTCAAACTAGAAAGCATGGTGGTGGCGTCTGGTGCAATAGGCGGAATCCAGGAGCGGCTGCTACACGCTCGCCAACAAAGCTGGGCCTTTGGTCTGATCAACGAAATCTGAGCTATACATTGAAGAACTAACTCATAGGTCTGCCAGAATCCCCGGACGAATCGACTCCAACTTCTGCAAGAGCTCGTCCCAGACCCGTTCTTGTGCCATTGCCCCCTCCGCACTCAGGACAAAATCGCTAGGCAGAGTGATTCTGCAATCCGAGAGGTATTGGCCGTGAGACTCCGGGCCAGCCGAAGCAGCATGGACCAGCGTTCTGCTTCCGACTTCAGTGCTGCGGGCTAAAACAGCCTTGATGATGACCATGGCGAAACCGAGGTGTCGAGCGAGTTCGCTTGCGAAGAGTTAGCCCGAGAGCATAGAGATCACGGTGGGACACTCACGAGTGACAGAGACCCGGATTCACGCAGTTCACCGTGACAGGGTACGAGCAGGCCGGATACCGCATCGCGAACGCCCGGACACAAAACACCCCGAGCAGCTTCGACACGGGATACCGCTCGGCCATGTTTGCCTGGGCCTTGTCGGCCAACGTGTTGAGGATTTGTCCCGTGGGAGCGGCTTTCTCGGGGAAATTGGTATGCCCGTGCACTTCCGAGGACGTGATGGTCAACGTGGGCCTCGTGTTGAATTTGCGGGCCGTCTCCTTGAGTTTCGGCAGGATGAGCAGGACCAGAAGAAAGGTACTGATGAAGTTGACGGTGACCATCTCCTCGTTGTCCGCGACCGTGTTGAATGTCATCGTGGCGACACCGGCGTTGGCCAGGAAGATGTCGATCCGATCGAGCTCCCCTTTTGCTCGGTCGACGAACCGTTCGACGCTCTTGTAGTCGCCCATGTCTAGCGGCCATACTTGCACCGTCTCCTTTGTGCGGCCCGTGGTCTTGATAATGTCGTCGACGGCGGCTTGGCCCTTGTCGACATTGCGCACGGCCAGAATGACCCTCGATGCTCCTTGACGCGCAAAGTGGCGGGCTGCTTCTTTGCCTAGTCCGACATTGCTGCCGGTGACGACGACGGTCTTGCCAAAATGAGATTGGGTGGGGAGAGGTAGAGACTGGCACAACTGGCTGTAGAGAAAGCCCATTGTCACAGGCAGGAGACGGAAGGATCTTATTCCATGTGGTGAGTGAATGAGTTGAATGCGTTACTGATGAGTACTGTAATCAAGAGATGGTGACGGACAAAGAGTCGAATGCCGCCGAAGGCCTAAGTCATCTTTGACTCCAGACATTAAACCGCCGACTCCATGACTTGGACGAGCCTTATGGACGTGTCCAGGTGGTCGAGGCGAGCTCACGACCCGGTCAACGCTGGTGGTTGCAAATCGCCCGAACCCCGAACACTGGATTGTATCCATCTCTCCGAGAATGCATCGGCTGAATCAGCCGTCATCCGATACGCCCACGCAGCAAGCAGCGAGACCTTGGTGTTATATACTCTCTCGACGGGCTGTCACTAGGATCCAACAGTGGGTGACCAAGAATGACCAGGTGAATTCATCCCCACAACATTATTTCTCGCAGGAATGGCACACCCTTCACAGACCACCTCCTACGCCGTCCTAGGCTCGACCGGCAACTGCGGCTCCGCCCTCGTCCAGAACCTCCTCGAGCTCCGCAACGTCAAAGTCAACGCCTACTGCCGCCAGCGCAGCAAACTCTATCGCCTCGTCCCCGCGACCATCGACAACAAAAGAGTCGAGATCTTCGAGGGCTCCATCACCGACGTCGACCTCATCGGCGACTGCATCCGCGGCTGCAAGACCGTGTTCATGGTAGTCACCACGAACGACAACATCCCCGGCTGCCGCGTCAGCGAAGACCTCGCTCACTCGGTCATCGCGGCCTTGGAAAGGGCAAAGAAAAATGGGCCGCCCGGACAAATCATGCCGAAACTGGTCCTCCTCTCGTCTGCTACTATCGACGACCACCTCGCGCGCAGGATGCCGTGGTGGTTCAGACCAGTCATGCTGACCGCCGCGTCGTATCTTTATGATGATCTACGACGGACCGAAGAGTTCCTGCGCGCCCAGTCTGATTGGGTTTCGACCGTCTTTATCAAGCCCGGTGGATTGTCCGTTGACGTCAGGAGAGGGCACAAGCTCAGCCTGGATGAAGAGGATACGTTCATCTCGTACTACGATCTTGCGGGGGCGATGATGGAGGCGGCGGACGATCCGGAGGGACGGTACGATATGAAGAATGTGGGTGTGAAGAATGCGGGGAGGGGGGCTAGGTTTCCGTCAGGCACGCCGCGGACTATTCTTATGGGACTGTTGAGGCATTATTTCCCAGGGTTGCATCCTTATTTGCCCTCTGGTGGGCCGCAGTGAAATTCGGAGGGGCAGGATCACGAGTAAGGTTAGAATGGTTGCAGATAATTACGTAGTATTGATGAAGTCGCTCGTAAGTGGCTGTCCCTCCGAGACTCTAGAATGTTTCTTTCCATCAATTATAATTTCTCTGGTCACGATCTTGGCGCACAAGTCCTGTGCTTCAAACGACGCGCAGAGGAGAAACGTGGTTCAGAAGGCATGCCTGAGAAGGCTGAAGTTGTGGTTGTCGGGTGAGAAACCCCGGAGTCGGGGCTTATCATGTGGGTCATTTCATCGGATATAATCACTCAATGATTACGGGCCATTTACCTCTTCAGGCAATGATAATATCCCGAGCCTTCAATCCTGGACAGCAAAAGGCAATGACTTAGACAGGTAGTCCAGGTACTTTCGGCGGGTGATCGCAAGACTCGATGCTCTCGCACTTCCCCAGCATCCAGTTCTCCTGGTCACGACGTGAACCGGCATTCTTCCCAAGAGGTCACCGAAGTCAGCAGCGCAGGTCACCCTTTAGCCTCAGAATATGGGGTCCATCGCCGAGCCAGAAATTCCAGAGCCAGACTCGACAGCGTCCGGCTCAGTGAAGAACAAATACCTCTGCCTCACCATTTGCGGGTACCGCAAGCCAGGCATGAGCGAGCAAGACTATCGCAATCACATGGTCAATGTCTCCGCGCCCATGACCAAGGGACTGATGGTCAAGTACGGAGTCAAGCGGTGGACGCAGGTCAGTTGATACTGTACCAACCGGGTCGCTCCTTCATTCCGCTTCGCGGACTGGCTGCCACACCCAAGGCTGATATTTTGTGGTTGTGACCCAGATCCACAATCAAACCGCCACACGGGCCCTGATGAGCCAGCTCTTCGACCACCAGATGGCCAATGTCGCCGACTTTGACTGCTTCAGCCAGGTCGTCTTCGAGAGCATTGACGACTATAAGCGCATGAAGCAGGATCCCTGGTACAAGGAGCACTTGGTCGGTGATCATGAGAAATTCGCCGACACGCAACGAAGCATGTGAGTGCCGTTCCCCTCGAGGACAAGAAAAAAGAAGAAGATGGAGAAGAATCTTGAGGTCGACGCTGACCGACTGCACTTCTTGTGACAGGATGACGATAGGTTGGGTTGAGGAGTTTGTCAGGGATGGAGAGGTGGTGGATGGGTTCGGAAAGTGAAGACGGGTTGAGACGTGTTGTGGCTCAATTGGAGACATGATGAATTCCAGAGGGGTCTGGGCAGAGGCCCAGCTATATAGTTATGGAGGCCTATGTAAACAATACGGTATCGTACAATAGGGGGTATGGCCCAGTACCCCTCTTGGCACTGTCTGGCCACCCTTCGGGTAACCTTCCCAGTCACACGTGTGAGACCATGTGTCACATGACGGCACTAGGCCCAATTAAGACTGGTGGCTCTTGCCATTCTTCGCGTCCTTACTGACTCGACAGAGGAATCCCTACACCCCTCTTCTTCTCTCCTTGAATTAGCTATGGACATGTACTGAACAACGGAATGAGGCGTCGCAGCCATCTAAAATGTCATCATGGCGCTTTCCCTCCTCTTTCGCTAGCTGAACATCACACCATGCCGTGCAAGTGGTCATCTCAACGAAGTATTCAGGAGCTGTTACGCGTCGTGCGGTATGCACGCGGTCAGCCAGGAACGTGAATATCTTTTATACATTGTTTGAAGCCCCATACATGCCTTCCGGGCCGCATGATTGCAACGCACTAGAGGGTCACTCAGGTATTGTTCTGGCTTCGGGTTTGTCACTGGTGGGGGCGGCCAGGCGGTATTTGCCGTCAGATGCATCATTACATGCTGCTGCCTGCTATCCACGATTCCCGCAAAGACCAAGTGTACTTACAAGACCGTTGGACGGCAATCATCACGAAGTTGGCTTAACTCGTTGCTTCATTTAGGTACGACACACCACGACTACCGACAACGCCGAGAGCAAGGAAAGGAACAAGCGGTTCTCCGTTAACCCTTCACCTCATCTCGGACCCTCGCCCACATAGGCTCGAACCCAGCACCCCAAACCCATTTCTTCTCGCCCTCGACATACATGACGGTGGAATCGTAACAAAGCTGTGCAACCTTCAGCCATAGGTCGCCTTTGATAGGAAGGCTGCTGGCGTGAGACTGCTCGAAAGGTGCGGCAACCTCTTGGCCGTTCTTGATGGCACGGACAAATTTGGCCACATGCCCATCATCGTGATGTCGGTTCAAAGCATGGTACAGCTGGCGCCAGTCCATGCCTCTGCTCAGTGTGGGCTCATAATCGACGATGAACTCATCATTTAGCTCAGGGGCTGCGCTGGCTGCATACCACACCAAATCCAGGCGGGCCTTCCATTCAACCAAGCGAGCCTTATCCGCGATGGGAATCCAGGGTTGGCGGGCTAGGACTGTGATGAAGATCGAGCTGGTCACAGCATGCATCAGAAAAAAGTCGATCTTGCGCTCTTTGCCTGGCTTGTGGCTTGCGGCGCACGACCATGCGGCACAGCTGATCATCTCGGCCGTGGCGCGCTCCACATCTTCCTCGGTAGGCTCAACCTGGAACTGTGCCGCCACTGTAACGATCTCGTCCATGGCCCGGCCGAGGACACCGTCACGCACTTTCCACGGTCCATCGGGCATGCGAGGGGCGGTACGAATGGTGTCGCTGGCGCGCGTTTGGCGGTATAAATCCATAAGACGCTGACGTGGCACAGAACCCGTCTCGGCAAGCTTCTCGGCCTTCTGGAAGAAAGCGTCAATGTACATCGGGTCGTGGCTGGCGGTCTGGGCCAGTCCTTCGGCCACCAGACCAGACAAGCCGAACTCGACGCCAAAGCCCAGGTGAATGAAGGGATGGTAGAGACCCTCGAAAAGCTGGGCCATCATCAAGTCGCTCAATGGAGTCCGCTTGAAACAGTGCTCCAGGATGACTGCCTGCCAGTCGCCTCCTTTCGCGGCAATCTCTTGTTCGAAGAATGCTAGAAAATTGGGGTACTGGTCGAGGATGTGCATGCGTTCGCGGAACTTGACTGGATCACTCATTTCCCGGACAGCCTGCGGAGAGACGGGCGGCATGGGCCGTTGGATGGATTCGCCGTCATCATAAGCCCTGTGAAGCTCTTGTGGACCACCTCCCATGGCGAATGTGCTAAGGATTGCGTGGGGGATGTGGTTGTGCCCAGCCACGTCGCGAAAGTACATGTGCCATTTCTCATGGTTCTTCTGCAATAGTTCGGCGACTATATCCACAGAGCCAGGAGGGTTGACATCGATGCGGGCCAAGCCGAGTTTATCATCGAATGGCGGCGGCTGAAGTCTGATCGTAGTTGGGAGTACGTTGTCGTCCTGGACAAAAACTTTCTCGTTGAGCCCGGCTGCTGTGTACAGAACTTCTGTCGTGGACGATTCAAGGAGAGAACCCATCTTGGATACTGCATTGAAGGCACAGGTTGCATGTCAATTGGGATGTCCGAGGGTGTGCGATGGTTTTGAAGAAAGGGTCTACTTGCGCCTCCTTCGGGTCATTTCTGTCGTGAATCACCCGACTGGCGCCAACGCCTACCAAACAACCCGTGACAGCCACTCGCAACAGACCGATGCTACTGTGCTACATATACGTCCCATGAAGAGAATTATGAGGAGAAAACGATTGCGGATTTTCCCCTCGAGCCAAAATGGCAACATCATCAGCGATCCAAGCCGCCACAATCAACAAATTCATCGAAGCATGGAAAGATCAAGACGTCGAAGGCACCGTGGCACTCTGGTCTGACGACTTCTCGCAAACACTCCTCCCGGCATCCTTGGGTATGCCTACAAAACCGCGGGAAACTGCCGAGATCGTCTACAGCAGACTGACACAAAGTCTGACCAACTGGAAGGTTTGCTACCATGTTCTGCATCAAAGACCAAGAAGCTGATACACCGGACAGCTGGACGTGAAAGAGATCGTGCATGACGCTACGCAGGGGACGGCTGCAGTCTATGCCACTTCTCTGGCGGACTTGCCAATGCCAGGCGAGAAATGGACCATGGACTACGCGGTCTTTATGTCGTTCGCGGAGGGTGGAACGAAGATCAGCAGGCTGAACGAAATGGTAGACACGTCAACCTTTCAGCAGCTCTTCCCCAAGCTGCAGAAGTATATGATGGAAAAGAGTGCAATGAATGGGACCAAGTAGCCACAAGATTGCGTTCCTGAACCGTGGTCATTCTCCACTTTGCACGCTCCTTGGGAGTGATGAGCTTAGTCAACGCTCCATTGCACTCGTCTTCCTCCAGAGTGAGCGAATCGTGCAGTCGGACAATAATCATCTTAGCACAGTACTTCCCGCAGCGTTAGATCGATCTCGGACGGAAAGAAAAGATATCATGAGGATTCGGACCTTTGGCTTGGATTGTCCCGGTTCGCGTCCATGCCCATGTCCGACAGGACGATCCAGTACAATATCCTCTCTTTCGCAAATACTTTTCGTCTCGTACGCATCGTCGTCTAGTAGGGATTCGAGCCTTTGTCGACGATACCACAACATGGTTGACTCCAACACCTACGCGATCCTGGGTGCTACGGGCAATTGCGGCACCGCCTTGATCGAGAACCTGTCAAGGAGGCCAGATACCGGCGTCCATGCCTATTGCCGCTCTCGCACCAAGCTGTTGCGATCAATACCCGACCTGAAAGAAGGAGGCAAGGTCAAAATCTTTGAAGGTAGCATCCACGATGTGGACCTGGTGGCCTCTTGTATCTCCAACTGTCGCGCGGTATTCCTGGTCGTCTCAACCAACGACAATATCCCCGGCTGTCGCATGGCCCAGGACACGGCCGCGACAGTCATCGAAGCTCTCAAACTGCTCCGCAAACGGGCAATCGTCCACAATAGCGGCGACGTCAGACAAGGTCCGATGACCACGCCGAAGCTGATCCTCCTCTCGTCGTCCACGATCGACAGCCACTTTTCGCGCCACATGCCATACCTCCTACGACAGGTCCTCCTTTGCTCAGCCTCTCATGTCTACCGAGACGTCGAGGAGGCGGAAAAGCTCATCCGCGCGGAAGACAAATGGCTCACTGGGATCTACATGAAGCCGGGCGCATTATCGGTCGACGAGCAGCGAGGCCACGCTGTGAGCTTGACCGATCAAGACGGGCCGGTGTCTTACCTTGATTTGGCGGCTGCGATGATCGAGGCCGTGGATGATGGCAGTGGACAGTACGACGGGCAGAACGTCAGCGTGGTGAATACTAATGGGAGAGCCAAGTTTCCTGCCGGCACTCCGATGTGTATCTTGATGGGGCTTTTGAGGCATTTCTTCCCCCATCTACACGACTATCTGCCAGGGAATCTAGGACCTCGCTAGCTCAGCCTTGATTCAGGCTTTGACGCGGTTGATTGAATCAGAGTATACGGGCAATGGGCGTCAAGCAAGGCGATAGCGTAGTATAGCTAAGAAATCCTAGCTATGATGAGCTTCGACGTCCAGATAGTCTACAACCAACGATGAGCTGTGAGGTGGTCTCGCGAGACCCCAAAATTCTGTCCCAAAAATTCCGTCCCAGCAATGTCCGAAATGTCGCTTTCCGATGATCTTCGGACTATAGGTTCCTTGGCTGACATGCTTCCGAATCGGCCTTGTGCAAGCCTTATAGTCGCCAGGTGGAGTGATGCCAGCAGTATATCCTCCGGAGTGGCTCGTCTTATTGCCCGATGAGACAGGCACTCGTTCAAATCCTATCCAACGACGCCAAACCTTAGTTCCAGATAAGGACTGCTGAGGCCATTCTGCCCTTCCTCTTCCGTCCCCGGACGAAACACAGCACAACATGTCAACCCAAGCAGAGGTACAAGCCAACACAGTCCAGCGCTTCATTGACGGTTGGAGGAAATACACGCCCGAAGCATTCCTCGCCACCTGGTCCAGCGACTGCACGCAGCAGACTTTACCATTCGCCTCCGGCACACCAGTCCGCACTCGCCAGCATGTCGAGCACTTATTCCCTATCCTCATGACGGTCATGACCGAGTTTGAAGTAAGCGGGCACCGGTTCAAGGCGGCTGACTGCGAGATGAGGACATGGCTGGCTGACATTGCCCTGATAATCAGCTTACCATCCATAACGTCGTCCATGACGTCCCTCAGGGACAGTCAGTCATCTACGCGCTCACCAAGGCACAGTTGCCGTTCGGACCGTACCGCAATGAGCATGCTCTGTTCCTGTGGTTCAATGAGAGCCGCACCGAGATTGTGAAGATCGAGGAGATGTTCGATGCGGTTGTCATGAAGGAGGTGTTACCCAAGCTTGATCAGTATATAGCTCAGCAGAGGGCAGAGGTGGCGGAAGCTCGAGGGCTACCGCTAGAAGCGCAGAAGCCGGCGGTCGCTACGTTTGTGAACCATTGATTGCGAGGTTCAGGGGGGATTTGAACGAGGCACCTTGAATGATTTAACTAGGATAGAAGCAGATCCGCATCATGTGGCGACTGTAAATGCAATATCACCATGTTGAAGCGTGCTACGGACTTACTTGAAGACTTCAGGTTGAATGTGCTGAGAAGGGGTCCCCAGCTTTACTCGAACCGTAGAACTCTGGAGATCGCCAGACGTCTCCCACTCCCCAAGTTGCCCTGCCGTCCAGGCACTCTCGGGCGTGGAGTTGCATGACGTCTTCGTGCCTTTGTGGTCATCCGTAGTCCATGCTGGTGGACCCCACTGCGGAGCATTGAGTCACGACACCCATTTGTGAATCGCGGGCAATTTCAACAGACTCGAAACCATCTCATTTCACCTCCCACTGCATTGGTCAGTTGTTCATCACGTCGATAGTATCACCGTCTTCTGATTGCCAGGCTCGCACCCGAGAGCGAGGCTACCAACATCGCCAGCGGCCACTCACAATGGCATTCGTCTCACCTCAACCCTCCGATATGCGGCCTCCGGGCCATTGCTAATTCAAATCGTCCGAACCATCAAAGTTCCATCGTGAAGCGAGCGACCCTGGACGCCTCAAGGATATCGTCAATATAGCCTTTTATTATTTCAACATGTTGCCAGTCCGACCCTGCTCCAAATGTTGTCTGCTCGTTCCCAGGCCATTCATCTACCACTATGAATTCAACTCTGGCAGATGCGGATAGCCTCCTGCTTGGTTCAGGCGAGTCAGGTTACGCGACGACAACTCTGTCGTATGGCGTTGCTGCTTTCGCCACAACTCTCCTGAGCCTGATAGCAATCGTGTCCTATCAGCCAAGAGTCCATGAAAAGTCTCCAGCGTTTACTCGTGACACATCGCCTATTATCGGCTCTTTGGGGTTTCTCACTCGACAATGGTCAGTCCGACTTACCTGATTGCCAGAGGCTCGCTTTTGCTAATTCGCCTACCACAGGTCATTCTGGAAGTCTTCCACGGATGGTTTGACCAAGAACTTCAGCTTCTGGCTGGGGAGCCGCCACGTGGTTGGCATCACTGGCCAAGCCGCCCGCCGGATGTTTTATGACAATCCCGACCTGTGTTTCGTCAGTCAGGCCATCATCCAGCCGTTTGGAGTCCACTTCTGGCCACCTGTCCATGCCATTTTCAAGGCTGGCTTCCACAGCGGACACAACAACACCTACTTTTTACGTCGTCTCATGGAATTGATGAAGACCGAGGAGCTGAAGAAGGTCCTCCCGAACGCTCTGAGTGACGTCCACAATGATCTGCAAAGCCTCCTGAGCAATGGCAAGAAGTCCAGCGTTACGAGCGCACCAGACATCTGGCGGACGGTGTTCAAGCAAAACGCCCGCTTGACGTTCTGCGATGAGGTCGTTGACGACCCGACGCTCTTCGAGCGGTGCGCAGAAGACGTCGGTACGCTCCTCCACACATACAGCCACTACAACGTGCTGTTCAGCTGGTTGCCGGCGCCCTCGTACATCAAGCGGCGTCTGGCTCGCCGAGACCTTGTCCAACTGGTGACCCAGATGGTGAACAAGCGCGTCAAGGAGAATACCCCGTCGAAGGACGACCCATTACAGAGACTGATCAACAACCGCGACAACAAGGAACACATCATCGAGTTCTTCGTCAGCATCTTGTTCATCTCCACGACCAACGGCCACGCCATCGCCGGCCAGCTGCTCAACATCATGGCCATCCACCCGGAGTGGCAGGAGAAAATCTACCAGGAAATCAAAGCCGCGGTGCACGCACATGGCAAGTTTCAAGAAGGCACGTTGACGGAGAAACTGCGCCTTCTGCCGCTCGAGGCCTGGGAAACGTCATTTCCCACAATCAACATGTGTCTTAAGGAAACGATCCGCATGTGGACCTCCTTCACCGTCACCCGGCTCAACACGTCGTCCAAGCCGATCCCCATCCCCGATACCGACGAAGTGGTCCCGGCCAAGACCTTTGTCATCTACAACTCGACCGAAGTCAACTTTAGCGAAAAGCTGTACCCGAATCCCACCAAGTTCGACCCGGAGCGCTATAACGAGGATCGCGAGGAATTCAAAAAGGAGACATACGGTTGTAAGTGTTTCTCACCCTCTGCTTCCTCTGCTGCCTTGCACTCCGCTCTGGCATATGTTATCCCACCTGCCTCGCATTCCGCTCTGAGTCTCTAACATTTGGTATACAGTCCTCGGCTGGGGTCAAGGCTGCCACGCCTGTGTAGGCATGCGCTGGGCCAAGCTGCAGCAGACCATCATCGTCGCCACCGCCCTGGCCATGTACCAATGGACCAGCTGCGACGCGAACGGCGAACCCGATCCATACGTCAAACATCGCAGAATCTTGGATTCCGACCGCGCATTCCATCTGCCGCCAGCTTATTGTAAAGTGGTGCCAAGGGAAGTGTGGTAGCTGACAGCAGCTCCTTGTAAAGTGATGCCTAGGGAAGTGTGGTATTAGGTTGTTGTCATGTCACCAGGTGCCTCGAGAAGTGTGGTGGAGGCGACCAGATGGTACGGTACAGTACATTGATGCTTGCATGGCTGATGTATCAGAACATCATCACACGGAGCATGAGAGGAGGGACGAGGATGATTGCGATGGCTATAGTTCAGCGTGGGGGAGTCCAGGGAGGGAGTCAGGAGGCGAAGCTGGAAAGGAACTTTAGGCCCCTGGGTCAGCGCATGGTGGTAAGTCGACGAGCTTGAAGAGTCTGGAGATAAACCGACCAAACCTCAAGAGTGTAGCTCTGCGGAATACATCGAGACGATGAGACGAAGAGACGAAGCATTATGTCACTAAACACATTCAAGATCCAGTTTCATGCTGGGGCTGGGAAACTTGCTCAATCGCCGTGGGAGCTTTCGACTTCCGTTTGGTTCTCCCGTTAGTAGTCATAGGGGAGACGCCTGCTCAGTCTGGCCAATACGTGTCGTGAAGAAGACTTGAAGCGGAAGTGGGAAGGGATAGCTTTCTTCTAATTATTGCTGCGAGCCTGCCTGCCTGCCCTTTACAGCTGATCATCCTGACGTCCGATGTTGACGGCCGGGATTTCGACTTCACGGTGCGCATCAGCGGGGGCGTCTAATCGACTGGTAGCGCTGTATCATGATATGAATCCTAACACGGAGACATCTAGGTAATTTTATGGAAAGGGTGCCTCTCTGCGTACTCCGTGGTTTCGCCATTATGCCGCAGGGTCGCAGTTCAGCCAATCAGAGCGCGGCGTTTGCGGCGACTACCATGGTCAGGCATGGTGAGGCTGGCCCGCGGAGCTGGCACGGCTGGATCGATCAGGCTGTCGTAATTAATTAATTAGTGAATCGAGACTTCGAATATTAGTACAAGAAAGGATAGTCCTGTGTGTGTGTGTGTGTGTGTGTGTGTGTGTGTGTGTGTGTGTGTGTGTGTGTGTGTGTGTGTGTGTGTGTGTGTGTGTGTGCATGGCGAGAGTGTCGTACCGTAACAATCATACTGACTTCATGAGGACGGAGAGATTTGGTCAAATTCGATTACTCCGTTCAGCACCACCAACACCAAATCCCGTTCCCAAAACACCTCCATTCGCCTCCGCTAAGACCAATCCCCATCCAAAAGATCCTCGACGCGCTTCCCACTCCTCGCATCCTCCCTCACCTCCTCGATCGTCCACGGCCTGAACTTGTGACCGGGCGGCAGATTCGTATTCACAAACTTGTCCCGCCCAAGCACGACGTGCGCGAAAGCCAGCCCATACTTTTCATACACGTATTCCTCCGGGTCATGATGGAACAGCCACTCTGGGAACCGCACGCGGATCTTTTCAGGGTGGCGCCTGATCTCGGCCATGTTCGCATCACCCAACGCTTCGGCGTTCACGAAGGCCATCTTTTGCGCACAGCTGACGCGCTCGTAGCGGAGGAGGTTGTAGATCCGGGTGCCTGTGGGTGCGCGTCTTGCGCCACCACCCCCACCGTCGCGACCGCCGCCGCCACCCGCGCAAGACAATTGCAAGCACGCCGCGAGGGTCACGGCGTCTTCGATGGCCAGCGTGCCCCCGCTGGCTGAGGCGGGCAAGCTGCTGTGCGCGGCCTCGCCGACTTGCACGACGTGGCCGCCCTTGGAGGTCCACTCGCGCCGCAAGTTGCGCCAGAGGAGCGGCCAGTGGATGATCCGGCCCTTGGGCGTCGCAGACACCAAACCTAGAACGGCGGGATCCCAGTCCGGCAGACGCTGAAGCACCTTTATGACTTCCGCCGGGTCGACGTCCGGCTTCCACGACTCGATCGGCTGAATGCCCCCGTTGTGCACGGTGCTGTCGCGCGGGGTGATCCCGTAGGCCGTGAACTCTGGCGAAACCACCAGGCCCATGTGGATGCCCGGGCCGGTCCAGAACTCGTGCGAGATCTCGTTCCGCGCAATCGCGGCGCCCCATCGGGCTCTAAACGCGTCGTTCTGCATGGCGAGTTCCGTGGGCATGGACGTGCGGTACACGGACATGCCGGCGGACTGCGTCGGCGCGTGGGATCCCGCGATCAAGAGGGCCGATTTGGTCTTGTTCGCGTCGGCGGCGACAACCACGTCGGCCACGCGGATCGTGCCGCTCTTGGTGATCACGCCGCCAACCCTCGCAATCTCGTCCTCGAAATAGCGCTCGACCTGTTGGCCGTACTCGACTCGCAGGCCCACGCGGGCGACCTGGCGTAACAGCATTTGGAAGAACTTCCTCCGCACCTGATGCGGTGCCGTGACGGGATGACCCTCTCGCTCCGCCATGTACTTTGGATCGTTGAATCCGAGCTGCGTGGGCCCGAGGATGAGCTCGCCGTTGTGCGTGTAGTATGACATGGTGCTGTCGTGTTGGTCTGCTTCGAGCTCGCGCATCATGTCGGGCCAGTGTCTAAATGCCGCGGTGGCCGATGGGCCGATGACGATGATGTCTCCTGCAGGCCGACCGAAAGTCAGGACGTCAGCTCCTCGAATGAAATGGTGGTTGGAATGAGAGGGGAGAAACGCACCCGCATAGACTGGCCCATGGCTTCGCTCCAGAATGCCGACCACGTTGTGCCCGCGCCGCCAGCACTCCAAAGCCGTCATCAACCCGGCCAGACCAGCACCTACGATCAACACATCGAGGTGCGTCTCGGGATGCCGCTTTGGCAGCGTGCCTGGTTCCCACCACTCTGGATCAAAGTCACATGGGTTGCCATCTACAAAATACCCCGATCCGGGTGAGCCTTCAGAGCTTGGTGAGGTCAGGGAGCCCAATGAACCCATCGGCACTGGCTGTCAGGGCGTCTATCTTGGAGTAAGTGAGCGCTGGATATCGTTGTTAATGAGTCTGCTACCACAGATCCGACCAAGGGTGACTCGTGCGTCCAAGTTTGTGGTGGATGCTGACCTCCTGTTGACCTACCTGTAGTCAAGTAAATACAGCGCATAATAAGGAGTATGCTCGCTTTTCAAACAGTCTCCGATTGGTCAGCCCGACCAAGAATATCGGAGCAGGCCTGAGAAGGTCGAGACTATTATCCCAATTGCCCGACATCCGAAGGTCCATGTTCCCCGAAGATGCCCAGAAGCTTTTAGAGCCACTGTCCGGAAATCTGAATGTTTTGTTGCAGACGAATACTGCTGTCCAACGCTGCTCGTTGAGGCTCGGTCTTGTTGGCGAGGGTCGTCATGGAGCGCGTAACAGGTCGTGTAGATTCCTCAGGTGTTGAGGGAGCATGGAGGCAGAGTCGAGGGCGCTCGGAACATTCAATGATCCGGATTTCATCCGATGCAGACTTGACTGCTGGGTCTGGCGGTTGTCCTCTCGTTCCTCTTCGCATGCAGGATCAAAGTCTGGAGATTCCATCCTTGCGAATTAGCCCCGCAGCGATAATTTATCCTGCATGGCTTCGTCTGGATTGTTTGCACACGACGCATAAGGAGCGATGGGCGTTGAATACACAATGGTCAATTGCAATTGGTATTTTGTAATGATTTCTGGGCAAGAACAGTCGAGACCGAAGCAGAACAGCATCAACGCCAAGCGTAGCATGTGGCTTTCACTACATGACCGCAGCAGCAAAGCGTACAATACTGCACGAGCTGCCCTGTTACTCATGCACGGCAAAAGAAATCGAAGAAAGAATGTGGCGTCGGGTGCAACCTTGCACAGAATTCGAGAAGAGAGATGAGATTTTATTCATTGTACCATTCTAATGATAGACTTCGACTCGAGTCTCATATGTCTGCTCAAGGTATGTCACCGACTCACGCCTCAATCGGCTCATTCTCCCAAAACACAAGTGATCTGACTTCGATGCTCTCTCTCGGCTCGAGTGCTTGGTCATCCGGGTGCGAGAAAGCAGAGTGGAGGGTCCGCCTCGAAGACCCGTCTGCAGCCTTGTTCGTGTCGAAGATCTGGAGCATCAAGACCTCGTCCGGTGTCATGCCCGAAGCGTAGTACCAGGCGTGGTCAGGGTTGCTCTTTGCTGTCATCGACTGATAGCTCTTGGCCATCTTCTCGGCGGTATAGCTACCATAATCTCTCGGGGCGCGGGTGTAGACGGGGATCAGATCCCTATCCGGCACAGATCTCATGTCACACAAGGCCAGAGGGTTCCTGCGGACGGGCTTGATCGGGCGCCAGACGTTGATGATCCCCCATCGGGTCCTGCTGAAGCGAGCCGCCTCCTCGGGGGAAAGGGTCTCATCAAACAGTTGTTGCGCACCAAGGGGACCTTGGTCGATGTGGGCAAAGTGCGCGGGTCCAATCTTGCCGACACGAGCCTCGTCGGGAATCTGCTTCTCTTCGATCTCCTTGGTGATAGATTCCCATGGCGTGCGCCGGACAATGTGGGAGAAGATGCGAACGTCAGTGGCTCCGGTGCTGCACTTTGGCGTCAGTAGCTGGCTTCTAGACTGCCGTGACCATTGGAAGTCGAGAGATAGGTGAGCAAGAAAGGGGCAGAGGAACAGTCTCACGTCTTCTTCAATAGCTCCTCGACCTCGGGAAAAGCCGTGCCCTTGATTCGGTCTTTATCCATGAACTCCTTCTCCTCGCTGGTATGCTTGAGCAACTGGAAACCTTGCTCTGCCAAGCTGAATTGGTTCTCTTGTCCGCGAATGTCCTTGATGGTGACTGAAGCGGGGTCGAATTTGCGGCGATAGGAGCCAGCGGTGCCCGGAATGACGGTGTTGAGCGTGCCATCCATGCCGGCAGGATGGTAGTTGATCGTGGTCTCAACGTCGCCACCCATCGCGGGGGCCGCTTTGGTGAGAAGCGTGGCTGTCGCGGTAGTCGTAATGCTTGCCATGTTGTTGAAGATGCCGTGGACTTGGAGCAGATTGCTGTACGTTCGAGTACATGCCGTTGGATCATGTGTTTTATATGCTTCATCCTTTCATCCGATCGTATTGCTCTGCACACAATGGATCCAGAGCCCGCCCCGATCGGCTCGGGTCATTTGGATGGGATGGAGTGTCGGGTGATTCTCGATGAAGGATATTTGAAGAAGTCCGTCTCATACAAAAGATATGTGCATGTCGAAGTCTACAATTCCCTGGTCCAAGGTCGCGAATTAATCTACCCGAGAAAGGAAACCAGAACCAATTCGTCGGACGATTATCAGTTTGTGGTTGAGACATGGACGCCTGGATTGGGTTATTCGTATTGGGACAGCAGATCTACCTTGTCTCTAGACGCATCATCAAGACTCGTCTCGACCCTCAGCTTCGTCAGAAACAGGAGGGGAAGGATCTGGAGTCGGTTCCATTCGCGAGGGACTTGCTCGGCTTGAATGTAGCCGTCTGATTCGCATGGGAGGTTGGTCGGTGTCTGAGGTGTTGGATTGCTCCATTTCGGCTGTCATGGACATGATGTCATGATCATTGTTGGCTCACGCGAGCATCACAAGCGCCTGTCGTGGCAATGGGAAAAGGATTCGGTGCTGTTGTGGGAGACGAGCCGAACACGCAACTCGGGTCTTGGCACCGGCCGAGACGAGACAACAACATCCGCAACAACCACCGCAACGGCCACCACCACCAGCCCAAACAACAATCACGAGTCGGCCGAGCACATCATGGTTCAACATGTCACACCAGCAATAGAAGCTTCTGACATCATGACATCTTCTCTTGCTGTGTCGCTGTTGCGCAGCGAGCCAAGCTTAGAGCGGGATGGTCGCATATAAACATCAACATCTCCTTCTTCACCTCCCAGATCGTACATAGGAAAAGATCTCAGAAAGATCCCAATATTATCTGCCAGATTCACAAAGGTTCTTCGAGAATCAAAGAATCAAAGAAGTAAAGCGACAACATGAACACCGTCTCAGTCGCTAAATTCGTCGGAGTCCCTGCTGCCTTGCTGCTCGGGGGATACCACTTCTCCCTCTCCCACAACATCATCCCGGTCTTGTACGGACAGCCTGCATCGGTGGCCCTCTCAGCTTTCACGCCCATCTACATGACGGCACTCACCCAAGTCTTCCTCCCGGCGGGGTTCCTCAGTCTGACCTCCTTCGGCACCCTGACATACAAGGCCGAAAACACCACCGAGCGCTTTCTGTACGGCACGGCTGCCGCCATGATCGTGGGCTTCGGCGTGGTGACCAAGTTTGTGATCGTGCCAGTGGCTGAGCGCCTCATGTTCTTCGAGGAGACTACACCGCTGGGGAGCAAGTTCGGCGGCAATGACGAGGTGGTGAGGCTGCTGAAAGCATTCACGAGTCATAATTGGTTTCGTGTCGTCTTTGCTCTCGGTGCTGGGCTGATTGCGCTGTATGCGGTGATGACGACGGTCGATGAGAGAGCGCATAAGAGTTTGCTGTGATCTATTCATCCCAGGAGCCGGGAGTCAGATTGTGCGAAGAGAGCAACTTGTTACAAGGCGAAGGTCCAGGTTGCATGCATGTATCATTGAATCAAGTCGGTCTCGGACAGAGAATTTGGGAATACTCTTCTCGCCATGACCCCAGAATCCAGAATCATTAACAGCCGTGCTCATGACCAGTCTCCATCCAAAGCAGCACCGATATTTACATCGTTGAGAAGATCCATCCTGACCTCTTCGACTGTCCATGGCTTATGCGTATGTCCGGGTGGGTAGTTGGTATTTTGGAGGGGAGATTTGCCGTTGGTGATGACGTGGAGGAAACCTTCGCCGTACTTCTTGTACGCATACTCTTCCGGGTCATGCTTCCACACCTGCTAGATGTTAGTCGAGGGGCTGTTGTACAGGAACGGCTCAGCTCACCCAGCTCGGGAACCTGGTCCGGATCAATTTGGGATTTTCTGTAATGGCACTCCAATCGGTGAAGTGGTGTTGCTGTGTGTTCACGAACGACATCTTCTGAGCGCAAGAGACGCGCTCGTAGCGGAGTCTGTTGTGGACCTTGGTGGCGATGGCCACGTTGTTGCGCCCAGCGACGTGTAAGCAGCTGGCAAGAGAGATGGCATCCTCCAAAGCCTGGGTGGCCCCATTTCCAGAAGCTGGGAGGAAGGAGTGTGCACTGTCTCCCACCTGGACGATGCGACCACCTGGAGAGGTCCATTCCTGCAGTAGGTCGCGCCATCTTAACTTCCAGTGGACGAGACTAACATGAACCTATTAGCCTCTGGGGACCACCGGGATCAGGGACGATGCTTACCTTCCTCGAGGCGTCGTCTTGAGCAGAGCACTGACAGCTGGATGCCAGCCAGGTGCTACTCGCTCCATCAAGTCAACTACTTCCTCGGGCTCAACACTGGCGTTCCAGGACTCTGTGCCATCAGGGGCATACTCATCCTTATGTGTCAAGCCCCAGACGATCATGTCGTTGCTGACCATGGCTGACAGGTGAAGTCCGGCACCCAACCAGAACTGCCATTCCGGCACATCTCCTGGTTTGGTCGGCCAGCGCTCCAGAACTTCACGGTCCTCCTTGGTAAAATCGGGTGAATAGCCCGCGCGGTAGATGGACTGGCCACTGTCTTTTGGATCGGCAGTATAGCCGGCAATCAGCTTGCCAGAATTCGTCTTGATGCCATCTAGTGGGAGAAGCCGGTCAGATTTTGAAAGGATCTCGAGTAGGATCAGTGGGCGGCCGTTTGCGGACTTACCAGCAGCAATCACAACATCTGCTTCCAACTTTTCGCCGCTTTCAAGCACCACACCGCCAAGTCCGGCCGCTTCATCCTCGTAGTATTCGACGACACGCCTGCCCCATGTGACGGGGATACCGCATCGTTTGACTTGACGGAGCAGCATGTTGAAGAATTTGATACGTCCTTGCATAAAGCCCACTCGCGGTCCTTGGCGACCTTCCAAGGCCTCTGGATCATTGAATTCAGGTGGTCCGGGACCTACCATAGAGCAACTGTCAGCTTCCACCCATCGCTTGCTGGAGTATGACTCTGGGGAAATGGACTGACCATAAATGCGATCGCCAGTGTTGTGCCAATACGAGATGCCAGCATCGTACTGTTCTTCTTCAATCTCCTTGGACATCCGTGGCCAGTGACGGTACACAGACATGCAACTTGGCTGGAGACAGAACACGTCACCTTTGATGGATCAGCCACAACACATTCAGCACGAGGGCATAGAAGGTCCTTTACCTGTGTTTACTGGCGCATAAGCCCGATCAATTAGTTGGACCGTGCAACCTTTCCGCCAGCATTCCAGGGCTGACATGAGTCCTCCAGGCCCGCATCCGACGCTGCCATTTCATGAGCTTCAAGTGAACAAGCCAGTCAGGCTGTCAACAGGACACATACATGAGCACCGTAATCCCACTATCTGGATATCGCTCGACCTCTCCGGCTATCTCCGCGTACGATAGCTCCTTAGTAGTACCGTTGGGATGGCCGAGCAGGCCATTCTTGTGGAACCCATTCTGGTGCTGCACCTCGCCGTCGTCGACGCCATTTGTTGTCTCTAAGGCTGAAGGCATTTTCAATCGTGATCTGTCATGTAGTGCTGCCACGTGGGACCCGTCTCAGGCTGAGGGGGTGGATCCTGCTCAAGTACTTCACAAGTTCGAGGCTCATTTTGCGGAAGTCGCTTCATTAACTGGGACTGCTACCCATTATTCCGAGTTCGGGACATTCCCCTTCATGTTCCCGCAAGCTCTCAGGCTGGGTTCATCGGCGCAATCGGGCATCAGTGCCTACATCGAAGCTGCGCGTGGGACCGGGTTTGCTGGACTTTACGGCCATCAAACTCGAGCCGGACGGGTCAAGGCATGGCGCAGCTTGTCAGCTGGCGCAAGGAGACGAAGAGCAAAGTCAAAAGCGCGTGCGGAAAGCGTTTTGTCGGCCAATCATTGGCCGTATTCCTACGGTGAAGCATGCAACTTCCACGTAGCAATGGGTGGCCTCATTGAATTCTCATCACCGCCAGCCTCCGAAAACTTCTCTCACTCATCTGTGTAAAAGGTCAGATGGCCAATTGAGAGTCGCTCGATCGACGGAAATTATCTAACATCCTCCAGGTCTGTGGATCTTGCACCACGCAAGGGTCACTGACAGCTATAATGTGGGCTCGGGTCTACAATCATGGTACCACCCGAACCTTCGGGTCTCCCTGGTGTTTGAGCACCCGAGATCCACCGTCTGCCCTCGGGGCCTTTCCTGTTTCACCACCAAAAAATATGACCCGACGTCGAATTGTTGGCTGAGAGTGCGTCTTCCTGCACTCGGTGACAGCTATGGTGCATGGTCCGAGGACAGCTCGCCATGGCAATGCTGCGATCTCGAGCATCTTCTTCTCCTCTCAATTCGACATGACGTTGACGATCGCAGAAGAGTGGACGTGGTATTTATTGACTTGACTGTGATTGTCCCTTTCTGATTTTGCTCTCACTTTCTCACAGGCAGTGACTCTCCAGATTGCCTTTCTCCCTTTGACAATTTCGACTACTCCTACAGGAAACCACGCCACGATCCAGCCATGGGTGTCGAGGAACCAACAAATAACACCATGCAAGAGCGGCAGATCCAACACCAACAGGTGTCTCCAAAGTCATCTGATGAGAGTCCGACGGTCGAAAACCAACCCGGTATAGCCATCGACTCAGCTTTCGAAGGCCGGGAATGGCCAGGCCCAGCACAGGTTGCTGCTGTCATGATCGCCATCTGCCTCTCTGTCTTTCTTGTCGCTTTGGTAAGGCATCCTCGGGCTGTTGCTCCGCCTGCCCTTGCAGTGTATCTGACTGAGTCTAGGACCGCACCATCATCGCCACCGCCATTCCCAAAATCACGGACCAGTTTCATTCACTCGACGATGTCGGCTGGTACGGTAGTGGCTTCTTGCTCACGTCGTGCGCCCTCCTGCTCCCTGTCGGCCGTCTCATGACATTCTACTCTCCCAAATGGGTGTTTCTGACCATCCTGGTCATCTTTGAAATTGGATCTGTCGTCTGTGGCGTCGCACCGAACTCCGATGCATTTATCATCGGCCGGGCCATCGCTGGTATTGGCGGCGCAGGTATCATGACCGGCGGCACCGTGCTGTTGACCTATACTATACCTCTGGCCAAAAGACCCAAGTTCCAGGGGTTCATTGGCATCAGTTTCGGTCTTGCCAGCGTCGCTGGTCCCTTGCTTGGAGGAGCTTTCACCAGCAATGTCACGTGGCGATGGTGCTTCTACAGTACGAACCCCATCTTCCTGTGTATGTCATGTTACTGACGCAAACTTCCAGTCAACCTCCCAGTCGGCGCCGTCAGCATCATCTTCATCACCTTTATCCTCAAGTCCACACCGCCTCCGGGCAAGAAAGATGTGTCGTTCCTGCAGCATTTCTTCCAACTTGACCCTCTGGGCACGTTGTTCCTGATCCCGTCACTCGTCTGCCTGGTACTTGCCCTGCAATACGGTGGTACCATCGATCCCTGGTCGAGTGGTCGGGTAATTGCTCTGCTTGTCGTCTTCGCCGTTCTTGCTTTGGGGTTTATTCTGGTTCAGATATTCAACAAGAAGAACAGCATGGTTCCCCACGGCGTCATCAAGAACCGCGACATCCTTTCCGGTGCTCTCTACATGTTCTGCCACGGCGGCGCGCTGACGACTCTGGTCATCTACGTCCCCCTGTACTTCCAAGCCATCAAAGGCGTCAGCGCGGTGAAGTCTGGCGTGGATACCTTCCCAATGATCCTGGCTCTGGTCCTGGGCATCATCATGGGTGGTGTGCTGACTGGCAAAATCGGCTACTACGCACCCATGGGCTACGTCTGCGTGGTCTTGGCGCCAATCGGGTGCGGATTGATCGCGACCTGGACACGAACCACCAATCATAGCATGTGGATCGGATACCAGGTCATCGCCGGCTACGGTCTGGGCATTGGGTTCCAGTCGCCTATGACAGCGGCTCAGACGGTCCTAGCCGACTCTCTTGTCCCGCTGGGCGTCGCTTGCATCCAATTTGCTCAGGTCATGGGTGCGACAGTCTTTGTTGCTGTCGCCCAGAATCTTCTTACCACTCGCCTAACTTCCGGCTTGGCGAAAATTCTCCCCGACTTCGATCCCAACGTCCTAGCAAACACTGGTGCCGTTGAGTTGAGAAGCTTGGTTCCGGCCGCCCAGTTGGATCAGGTACTGGAAATCTACATGCACGCCCTCCGACAAGTCTTCTTCTTGTGTGCTGGGTTGGCGGCTGCCATCATCCTCGGTGCCGCAGGCCTGTCATGGAAGAGCGTGAAGGTGGAGAAACAGGAGCCGAAGAAGCGAGAAGAGGGCTCAGAGAAGAGCAAGGATGAGGAGGCTCATTCGGGTGAAGAATAGGCTACGTGGATTTAGGTCGAGGGAAGCCCTACGAACGAGGAGGAGCAGAATGGGCAATGCAATGATCGGAAGGAGAAGGTGAACGGCGCCTTTGAAGCTGAACCAGACTTTTCTTTCCAGTCCAGACACACAGGCTCGCGGCGTCACTAGACTGTGATGGCGGCTTTGCAGCGGAGTTGGTCGGGAACCAGTACAGGAAGGATATCTCAAACATGATCGAATGATCACTAGCACAAAGAAAGCCGTGTCCGCTTCATGTGGCAACTCACAATGTGGTAGGGCGTCGCCTTCGTCTCAAGTAAGTCTGATCCCGATGTGAGGGCCGGTCCCTCAGCTATGACTATGTATGCTGCCGATGCCAGTGGGCATGCCTGCTTCACATTGTAGGGGCAGGAAGGGCAAGGCGTGCCTACCACCCACAATGTGACCCATATGCATGGATCCGAGCATCGACTGGACAATGTGATGCTCCAACAGTCCAACTGATCCGAGACAGTTTGAAAAGTACTCGGAATTGATCAGGAAATCATGACACCACTAATCTTCATGGAATATCTTGTCATAATCGTGCTCCGCCCAACGGATATTAGGCTCCAGACCAGCAAACTTCCACACGCCACCGATCCTGCGATACTGCACGGTCGCTTTGCCATGAGCATGCCCCTTGTACAGTACCTCGGACAGTTCATCGTCCTTGTACTTCTGATGAGCCACCCGCATCTGGTGATATCCCGTGATCTCATCCTCGCCGGTCTTGATCCACCTGCCCGCGCCGATGAAATGCTGCGTCTTGATGCGTGGGTTGCCCAGAAATTTCGCATTTGACGCCATGTCGATGAACTGGGCGGCGGGCATTGATTCCCACAGCATGCCCATTACAGCACGGTAGTCGACCTGGTGCGGTCAGAAGGCGGGTACTCCCTCGGCAGGCGTTGTTCTTGGAGCGTTGAGCCCGACAGAACTTGTGAGATTCTATACGCACATATAGAGTGGGGGCAACGATTTCTGCGAGTTTGTTCCAGTCTTTGGTGTCGAAGCTCTCGGCCCATTCGAAGATGGCGGCCTGACAGGCTATGACTTCTGGAGTTGTAATTGATAAGTCGTTATTTGTGGACCTGCGCTGATGGGAAACACACCTTCAGCGGAAGCGGACTTGTAACCTAACGAGCCCATGATGGCAGTACGTCGGGATAGAACTGAATGTGGAATCTCAAGCCGTGCAGCAGGAGATACACCAGCGCTGACCTTCACAAGAATACTCGAGCAGAGTAAAGAGGCTTTCGGATGTTTGACGGGCGTATCGAGCCTGACGAGGAAAATGTCCCGACGAGCCCGAATGCCCGATGCGGACCGGAGGGCCAAACAACCCCCTGTTGAACCGGCATCTCCGACAGCCTCGTCACAAATGAGCCGCTGTGCCCGTCCTAGATATCAATTAGAAATGCTTAAGGTCTGGGATCACAGGCCAGCAAAAGGTTTCATCTAGCGGAAGTTTCGTTGTCCACTGTCCCGCATTCGCGTCCCATCTCTACCACGTCCATTCCACTTCGAAGCACAAATCCGCCATGACCACTCCATACATCCCCGGCCGTCTCGATGGCAAAGTCGCCGTCGTCACCGGTTCTGGACGAGGCATCGGCGCCGCTGTCGCGGTGCATCTCGGCCGCCTCGGCGCCAAAGTTGTCGTCAACTACGCCAACTCAGCCGAACACGCCGAGAAGGTCGTCGCCGAGATCAAAAACCTAGGCTCCGACGCGATCGCCCTGAAAGCCGACATCCGGCAAGTGAGCCAGACGGCGAAACTCTTCGACGACGCCAAAGCCCACTTCGGCCACATCCACATCGCGGTCAGTAACTCGGGAGTCGTCAGTTTCGGCCACCTCCAAGACGTCACGGAGGAGGAATTCGACCGGGTGTTCAGCCTCAATACGCGCGGGCAATTCTTCGTGGCGCGCGAGGCTTATCGCACGCTCGAAGAAGGTGGGCGCATCATCCTCACGTCGTCCAACACTTCCAAGGACTTCAGCGTGCCGGCACATTCGCTGTACTCCGGCTCCAAGGGGGCCGTGGATTCCTTTGTCCGCATCTTCTCCAAGGACTGCGGGCCGCGGAAGATTACCGTCAATGCCGTCGCGCCCGGCGGGACTGTGACTGATATGTTCCATGCCGTGTCGCAGCATTATATCCCTGGTGGGGAGAAGTTCACGCCGGAGGAGAGGCAGCAGATGGCTGCGCATGCGTCGCCACTTCACCGGAATGGGTACCCCGAGGATGTAGCTCGCGTTGTTGGATTCCTTGCGAGCAAAGAGGCCGAGTGGATTAATGGGAAGGTGCTTACGCTGGATGGTGGAGCGGCATGAATGCTCGCGGAACGGTTTGCAGTTTGACAATGAAGAACTAGGAAAATAGAATTGCTCAGGCGTGGAAAGTCCTTCGCAATGCGCATGTACTCGAGCACCAGAACCTTTCCAAGAGTGCGCAACCTGCCGAACTTCTCTTTCGCCTCAACAGTGAATGCCACCATAGCCCGTGACTACTGAAGTAACAAACCTCAATGTTCATGTCAAACACAAGCTGGGTCAAACAAATCAACCCTCTCTCGGAAAATTAAACCCCATGTGGTGCGTTCGGCATGGAATTCTAGCCGGTGGCGTTTGACAACGGGGCACATTGCACTTTGAGCTCACGGATCTGCCATTGTGATAAGGGGAATCACTGGTTTACTTCTTTGGAGTGTAAGAGATATGCCTGTTCGAGGCGTGCGGAAGCTTCAACATCCTGCTGGGATGATGGTGGAATAAGTCGGAGGATTACGTGCATGCATGGCGATTTACTTGGATCGCACCGAGATTGTGGAAGGGGCAAGACCAGCCATGGTGCTCGAAGCTGGTTTGAATCCGTGAAGCTTGCGTCCCGGGCAACCTGTAGACTTCTACCACTGTCTGTGTCTATTGCCACTCACACTCACGCACTTCAAGCAACTTTTGGCACGTTCGATCCGAACCGTTTCTGCAAAGCCGCTTCCAAGTCGGGTTTGGACACCTTTCCACTGCCGTTTCTTGGGAAGTCCGTCAATCCAAGCTGCTTGAGAGACACGACTCCAGCTAAGAGATATGTCTGGCCGAGGATAGTCGTCACATGCGACATGATCTCGGGGCCCGTGCGACGAGCGTACTCTTTGATGATGGCCACAGGCACTTGTCCTCGTGTAGGATGTTGGATCGAAAGCACGGCTGCCTAGGAGAACGGATTAGCTTGAATCTTACTACACGGGCCACGTCTGTACCTGCGCCCCGCCTAGATATTTCTGAATGACAGTCTCGATAGCCACAGGGACGATGATCCCGGCGGTGCCAACAATCATGTCTTTTGAACGGCCAAGAATGAATACCAGACCTTCTCGATCAATCATGGCTGTGTCGCCTGTCACTAACCAATGACCACAATCATCGTCGCGGAACGAGCCTGGCGATCTGCCGCCCATATATTGACGCAGCAGACTGCCACCACGGATGTGTAGCTCGCCGACCTCGCCTCTCTGGGCGACACGCTGTACTGACGTGCTCCAGATCCGCACGGCCGAGCCAGGGGCCACGGCGCCAATGGGGCACAATTCTCCGAACCGTGAAATCTGGTCCAGCGGAGTATCGAAGAAGGGCCAGTAGAACGAGCCGCCCCCTTCAGTCATGCCGTGGTTGACACAGACCTTTGCGGACGGGAACAAGGCCGAACATTCTTCCATGGCGCCGATGGTTACGGCTTCGCCTCCGACCTGGACGGTCTTGACCGAGTCCGCGATGAACGGATCCATCGTCATCTCTTCTCGAATCGCCGACGCCATGGACGGAGACACTGCGATGAATGTCGGTGCGTGGTTTCTCAGCGCTTGCGTCATCTCTTGGATGTCGCAGCTCTTGGAGAGCATGACGACCGCACCACCTGCTCTCCACGTCTGCAATGTCTGAAACGCTGCGATGCCCCGGGAGTTGTGCGCCGCTTGCAGTGCTCGAGCCGAGTTGGATTCGTTGACGAGCCAGGACTGAGATTCCAGGATCTGACACATGCTCGCTACACGCAGGGGACAACCCTTGGGAATCCCCGACGTGCCCGAAGTGAAGATGATGGAGTTGATGCGGTTAAGATCGTCATGTGCCCCTGCTTCGCGAAGTTTGGACGTGTCAATCTCACTTCCATGCGAGGCACCGCGGATGATCATGTCTCTGAACGATCGCCAGCCCTTAGACGGTTTACCGCCTAATGAGACCCGGATGGGTGGTGCGAGATTCAGATCGTCAATCGCGATATCCAGCACTGCTGCTTGCGTGAGCCCCGCGGTCACCACGATTGACGGCCTGACGCTCCTCATAATGTCTCTCAACCCGCGATATCCGGACACGCTGACAATGTCGGGGTCGACGCATACATAGGTGATTTTCAGCAGGACGCAGCACCACGTCAGAAGCGCATACTCGACCCCGTTCGGGATGAGCATCAATAACGTAGATGATCCTGGCCGAGCATTTGCTGAAAGCAGGCCGGCTGCCAGCTTTTGCGCCGTTCCGTCAAGCTGCTCATACGTGATGGCCAAGCAGTCAATGGGGGCAGACACGTCACTGTCTGCCAAATTACCACTTGTGAGACATTTGTGGCATCTTGGAGGTTGCAGAACGTCAGACAGATGATCTGCCTGTTGGTGCAAGCAGATTACCGCCCAACCGCTCGGATTCCTGCTCAGCCCCTGCTCCAAGTGCCGAAAGACCGAGTTCATCCTCGGGAGGTACCCGCCATTGATTTCTGCGAGTGAGACCTGTGCCTTCTGTTCATCCGAGGCATGGATAATGTTCACTGTGAACAGAAGCTGCTTGAGACAAGCAGAGAATCGGCGGAGCAAAGTAAAGAGAATGAGGATGAACCTGCTGAGACTGGGTGTTTCTTTTGCCATGTGGAGAGTATCGCTTGTTGACTTAGAGTCGCATTTGTCTACTGAGGTGTGTAGCAGACAAGAGTACCTCGTCGTCATGAAGCTTTGATCGCGTGTAGTGGGAATCCAGGATGGGCTGGGTGTGGCCTAAGAGACAAGATCCATGACGACCATCACTCACCAAGTCCTAAGCACCCTCCCACATTCGATGCGCCAAAACAGACCGACAGACATGCCAAGTAAGATCTGGGTGGTCCGAAGGTTAAGTGGCGTGGCGGAGGATTTCAAAGAATATGCCGACTTCAGTCAGCTCCGAAGTTCGATAGCTCTGAATACGATCAGCCACCGGCCGGTTTCAGGATTACCTATGCTTTTGTACCCAGCTTCGACTTGCTAACACGACGCGTAGGCAGATCTCACAGCGAACGAACTAATGACGTTGTATCTTGTTACGAATCTTAAGTCAGAGAGGTCTACGAAAGAGTGCCTTTCTGCGCAGTTTCGGTGTAATAGGCAGGGTCTCAATTCAGCCAATCAGAGCGCAGCGTTTGCGGTGAAGGGCGACACTGGCCTGCGGTGACGAGGCTCTGGCAGTGAATCGTGACACTTGCGGACTAATCACAGTACTCAGGTCCCCTACAGAAGAAATAGATGCATGCATTGCACGAAGCTAGTAGCCCCGGGGTCGCGAGTGCTTGATTCGTCCATTGATTCTACCCACCGCTCCTCCTTCAACAGCACGACAACAAATACTGTACGAGAGATGCACCTTTAGCCCATAGCTACAGTACTGTACTCTCAAGCCGCCATACAGTCGCTCACATCTTGATCTCACCCACCACGGCCGTGACCCCTATAACTGTCCCTACCAAGGGCAGCACCGAGCGCATAAGATGCAAGCGGCTCCACCAAGTGACAAGCTGCTTCCCCATCTCGATATCCATGCTAACCAACCCCTTCACCCTCGCATCCCTCTCGAGCCCGAACAACGTGTCATTCGTCTTCACCATGAAGATCAGCGTGAACGGCACGATACTGACAGTCACGATCCCTGCCAGAGCGTATAGGGGCCAGGCGTGGTTCTTTGCACGCCGCCGGGTGAAAGCGACGCGGAGGTAGATCAGGCACGTGACGATCGCGAGACCGGGCAGCACGCGATGCCCGTAGCCGTACATGGTCACCCACTGGTGGAAGAGTTGGGCTGGGAGAGATGTCGTTTCCAAGAGGACGGGGACTGCCATGAGGGAGAGGGCGGTCATGGCGCCTTGACAATCACACAAGAAGGGGATGTTAGTTTTGATTGCGCGGAAAACGTACAGACGGCAAAGACGAACCGCAGAGAATTGAGCCGGTGACAATGGCCACGAGTGGCAATGAGATTTCCTTGGATTGTACTTGGGTCTTTGCCATGGTGCCTCACTTGTTGCGGTATGCTGTAATTAATTGAAGATCAGGAGGCAGTACTTTTGGAAGGAACCCAGTGAGTCTTGTTGTTGTGCATCCCCTGGCTGTCACCAGAAACGGGGGGATTCGAGTATGGAGAGATACATACTCGACTCTGTAAGCAGCAGATATCATGCTCTGTGCCAGGTCGGGGCATTTGCGTTTTCGGCATCTGCTTGTACTCTGAGGAGTGGGTTCGGGTGATTTGGACTGGGCGCAAAAGACGGGAATTCTTCTATTGGACGAGGGACGAAGCCATTGCCCCATTGAGAACATTCTTACCTAATGCGGCAAAGACGGGCCGAAGGGCCTCCGAGGCTGATAGAATGCTGTCATCGGATTGGATGGTTCGTGCTTGTTCCACCTCTGGCTCTTGATTGGTACATGTGATGTGCGTGTACTCCGCAGTACTGTGTAAGAATTATGCTCAAACGGCGGAGTAGAGTGCTTATAGCAGCAATGGTCTCCATTACAAGATTTTGTTCTCGTTCTATCTCCCGCGTGTCCCAGTCCAATGTTACCTGCACCCCCCGACCATACACGAACAACTCCTAAGCCGCGACTGTTGCGGTGATGGGAATGGCAGTCACAGATATTTCGGCCTCGTTCTTCAACGTCATACGCTCCATCACCATCGCTGTAGCGTCAGCTTCAGTCTCCAATTTAGACAGATCCAACCACCGGCCCAGCTCGGTCTTCAGCTCCGCTAAGTCAATCTTGTCCGCCGCCGACGCCCAAGCAATGACGCCGTCCGGTCGCACGATCAATGCCTTGAGGTCGATGGCGTCCTTGGGTTGAGATCCAGAGTATCTCACTGCCGACCCCAGTGATTGAACGTAGTTCGCCACGGCGTGGTCGTCAGTAAAGTCCACCACCAAAAGCTGCGCCTCTCGCATTTTAGCACCCAAGCGCGACCCGTCGGCGAATTCAAAGTCTGGAGCGCTGTATCCGATCGCCGGGTGGGCGCTGCCGAGATTATACAGCTTCGTAAGGCCGACAATGTGCTCGATGAAAAACGTGTTTCCGTCCTTCGTGGCAATCAGGTCCTTCATGAGTTTGGCGGTCGCCAGACTGTACGGATTGGACCGCAGGAGGGACAGTTGCACACGAGCCCATTCGAGTTGGCGGGCTCCCTCCGGGTGCCGCTCTCCATTGTAGGAGTCGAGCAGTGTGGGAGAGGCAATCCCCCGGACCGTCGCGGCCAGCTTCCAGCCGAGATTGATGGCGTCGCCGATTCCGATGCTCAACCCTTGGGCACCGAAGCTGGGGTGGACGTGCGCGCTGTCACCGGCCAGCAACACGCGGCCCTTGCGGTACGTGGTCGTCTGTTTCAGGTGCGTGGTCATGGACATGGCGCGGTGGAGTTCGGTGACGACAATCTCGGTCTGCGAGACGCGGCGGAGCACGCTCTCAAAGTGTTCGCGCGTGATGGCTTCGTCGCCGCCCTTGAGGCCCAGCGTTTCAAAGTCCGTCACGTACAGGTGGCCGGGCGCGGGGAAGATGTACATCCCCGCGGCGGTACGGCAGAAGCCTCGCTGCAACACTTCCGGGTTGGCAAGGTCGCAGTGTACGACATACCCCCTGAACTCGGCCGGTGTGCCAGGGAATTCGAACTGCGCGGCTTCGCGAACCCTGCTGCGCTCGCCGTCGCATCCGACCAGCCATTTGGTGGTGAATGTCTGGTTCCCAGCCGAGACGGTGACGGTCTCACCGTCCTCTGTGTAATCGGAGAACTCCACGCCTCTTAGGATGCGCACACCCAGACTTTCAGCACGTTCGGCCAAGGTCTTCTCCAGCGTGTCGACGGAGGTGGGGGCAGGGTAGAACAGCTTGGCCTCCGCGGGCTGGGGCAGCGGCAAGTGGTACTTCCAGCGCGAGAAGTCGGCGTTTTTGGGGTCCAGCCGGATCGAGGCAAAGTGCGCGGCGAAGTTTAAGTCGTAGCCAGGCACCCTCCCGACATGCCCTGGGACGTCGATGTTGTGGAGCACCTTGTCGAGCAAGCCGCGGCGGTAGAAGGCTTCGATCGAGTGGATGTGGAGGCCGCGCGTGCCGTGCAGGCCAACCTTCCAGGGTGACTCGGGCGATTCTTGCTGCTCCAGTACGAGCACCGAAACACCAGCTACAGCCAACTCGCAGGCAAGAAAGAGGCCCACGGGCCCAGCTCCGGCCACAACGACATCGTACGAGGTAGTCATGGTTGTGGTGGTCAACGTGCGTTCAAATCGTATCTGATGCGATGGAGATGAAATGATCGTGGATTTGCAATTTGCGAGCATATATATCTGTTCACCTACCTCTGATTTAATCGTAAGCATGTAGCTGCTCCGAAGGTCGGTATCCCGAGCTGTCAACTGGTGATATCAATCGAGCGTCGGGGTGTTTCTTAATGACCCGGCTGAGGTCAGTCCGTGCGGTGATCCCTGCCACAAGCGTGACCTGAACTGGCTGCCGTGGACAGACGGACGCTGTAGATTCAGGGATGCTGGCAACACAATCTCCCAAGTACGGTCGAGCTGGCTTACCTGCGGGAAGTTGATGGGATGCAGAAACCATATGCATTTTGGGCCTGGTAGAGAGAAGTGACGAAGCCAGTTATCACAGATCCTAACGTTCAGTCTCGCCAACACGACTACCACTGGGAGCTGCGGTTGGAGTGAATGCCCGAGCAATATCTACATGTTCCTGCGTCGCCTATACCGTACGACCAGTTCAGGGTGTGTCGGTTACATCGTCGACCATTGTTCGTCTCTCAAGATGAGCATCTGTTGATTGATAGGCGTGACGACGAAGGTAACATTGAGCTAGAGATTTGTACAGCATTGCTGCAAAGCAAGAATATCATATACTAGCAGTTAACAGCCTATTAAGCATCACAATGAGCAAAAGCAACGCCACTCTATCCAGCAAAACAACTTGACCTTGTTAGTTTGTGCATGCGCCTCGCCCTCTGCTCTCCCTCGCCCACCTAGCCGTAATACTCCGCCAGCCACTTGCACAGGTCCCCGACGGTAGGGTAGTCCACGAAAAGGCCACCACCAACCTTGATATCAAGTTCGACTCTGAATTTCTCCGCGAGCACCAGCGACATGAGACTGTCGACGCCCAGGTCCGCGAACCGGACATCATCTTCCAGGTCAGCAATGTCCAACGCGCCCTCATTCGCAATGAGCTCAAGGGCTTTGCTGACGATGCTGTTATCATCACTTGACGTCTCGGATTCGCTACTGCTCGGCGAGACTTCCACAACAACAGTGGTGGCGGCTTTGAAGTCCTTCGGCGGTCCAGGGACGGCAGTCGGATGGATGACATCGTCAGCACTGAAGCGTGTCGGCTTTGGCAGTTGCTGCTGCGTGGTAGTCGCTGGCTTTCCGTGGGCTGCGGCTGGGAGTAGGGCTTGCGGAGCTGCAACTTTCACCGCTTTGTCCTCCATCGCCGCCATCTTATCTGGTGGGGAAAAGAATCGGCTGAGCAAGATCCGCGGGTAGCGGCGGAATTGGATGCCACCCACCATGCCCATGATGGCGTTGTCTTGCATGATGTACACGTCGCCCAAGAAGATGGTGGGGTCCTCAGCAGTGGGGATCATCTTGACGTAGGACCGGTACTTTGCTCCCGGGATGAGAGGCTTTGCAAATTGCATCGACTTCCATCCAGGTGTGACGCAGTAGTTGTTCCGGACATCCATCGCGTCGGAGCAGTTCATGATGAATCCAGCCAGATGGGCCACGCTGTCGATGAAATAGGGCGCCACGGTCCAGGTGCCGCTTTCCTTGGTAGTCAGCTGCACGTCGGCAAATGCCTCCAGATCGTGCATCACGACGGATTGCATGCCGCGATACTTGTCGGCATAGTCGACGAGATTGGCGGCGAAGAGTGTGTATGCCATGTTCCGCGAAAATCGGCTGGCTTGGCCTTTTGCCGCCATCTGCTCCAGCGCCTCGATCCGGCTGTGAATCAAGTGCGTCAGAGGGAGCCAGGAGCTGAGCCACGCAGAAGCATCGCCGTAGACGATCTTGGCCGTGGCAAATGGCTCATGCACGTCACCGGCGTTGTCAACGTTTTGCCAACTCAATTCAACAACACCGGATTCGATGTTGGCCGTGGCGGCGGTGACCTGGATCAACTGAGGCAGCTTCTTGTTACTTTGGGCGACGAGGCCCTTTGTGACCACCAGGTCCGCGATGTTCATGTTGACGTCCTTTGACTTGGGATAGAATTTGCGGTACAAATAGCTACCGAGGGTATAAGCGATATCGGCATGGATGGACTGTGATCAACATGTTAGAAAACAGGAAATTCATCACTCTTCTGATAGCGAAACGGAGGGATCCACTTACCGATGTGACAACGCCGCAATCGTTCATGCGATGACCATGAGCTGCAGCAAGAAAATCCGGTTGCATGAGATCGGATTGCATGATCACTGTACCAGCGGAGCCATCAACGACCTCCCTGACGACTTGCTGTACTGTCGAAGTCTGCAAGTCGCTGACAGGCAGTGGTTTTGAGATCGTCTGTCCTGTTGCAGCCGATTTCTCGGCCGCGTAAAAAGTATTGCCCTTGGTCAAACACCAGTCGCCGTTGTACTGGAGCCAGAAGTTCTTCTCGTTCCAGGCGTATGTAGGCAAGTCTAGGAGGCGGAGTCTGCTTTCGAAGGGGTGATGAAACTCGTTCCAGCCAACGGTGACACCCGCGACGTGCAATGTGGCTATTGCTTCTGCCATGGTAGCCCAGTTGTCCTCGCCGCGCCGGAAGGAGGGGACGGCGACGGCTGTGGATGGGATGGAGGTTTTGACAAAATTGGTGCAAACAGGATGAGGGCCAATCTCTACCCAGATAGTCTCGTCATTGATGGTCGAAACCTCTTGTGCGTTCTCCAGTGCAGGGAAGAATCTCACGGCTTCTCTCGTGGCTCGGCGGACGTAGTTCGCATTGAAGGTCTTGTCGTCGAAAACGACTCTGCCGAGCAAGGGCGAGATGATGGGGACTTTGGGCTCCTGGAAAATCACACCCGTCTTCACCGTTGCCTCGAACTCGTCCAGGATAGGGTCAGTCTGTTCAGAATGGAATGCAAACGCCACGTCGAGCTTAATGCAGCGCAATCCAGCCTTCTCGAGTGGCACAGCGACCTCATCCATCTGCTGCTTGGTGCCACTGAGCACTGTGTCCGAAGGTCCATTGACACAAGCAACGGTATACGGCTTATTCGTCGAGTTCTGGGCAATGGTGGCAAGAGAGGCTCGGACGGCCATCATGGTGTGGCTTCCAATTGTGCATTTTTCTTGCAGCATCTGGGCCCGGCGTCCTACCATGAATATGGTGTCAGCGGCAGAGACGACGCCGGCCACGTGCATTGCGGCGTATTCGCCCAAACTGTGACCGAGGACGACATCCGGCTTGACGCCCAGAGCAGCCCAGTATTTAGCCAGCGCCATCTCGGAGCACACCAGAGCAAGCTGAGTCACAACCGGGGAATGTGCATGATCCTTCGGATGTGATCCGTCGAGAGCCGGAATGAAAGATGGAAAGCCTTGGCCTTGGGCCAGATGATCCAAATGCTGAATATGTTCGCGGAAGATCGGAACGTCGCGGTACAATTCGAGGTCCATGGACTTGTTCGAAGCGCCTTGGCCGGTGAAGGTGAAAGCAATCAATGGTGGATCGGACTGTGCCAGGGCCTTGACGGAGTCAATCTTCGCCAGACGGGAAGTGAGCTGTGACTTTAAATGAGCGGCGTCCGGGGCGGTCACTGTCAGACGGTTGCGGTAGTGGTAGCGACGTGCGGTGGTCGTGTATGAGAGATCAGCGAGGTTGAGCTGTGGATTGGCATCGATGTAAGCGATCAGGCGCTCAATGTTTCCTGCCAATGATGCCTTGCTTTTCGCCGACACGGCAATGACCTGGGTAGGGCGTGGATCTCTCCCTGTTGTTGTGCGAGTCGGTGCCTCTTCCAAAATCATGGTTGTATTGCCACCAGCGGCACCAAAGTTGTTGAGAGCAACGACACGCTTTGTGCTGGGTTTCTGCTTCCACTGTGTCATCTCGAACGGGATATGGACGTTGCGCTTGTCAAAATCCTTGGGAAGACGAGGGTTGATCTCCGTTTTAATGCCGATATGTGGTGGAATGCCGTTCTTCTGCAACATCAAGAGCACCTTGATCAAAGCTGTCGTCCCCGCAACGGACTCGCCATGACCGACATTTGCCTTGACAGCGCCAATGTGCAGAGGCTGATCCTTGCTGCGCCGCTTGACGAGCGGAGCGTACACGTCCATTATGCCTTGCATCTCCTCGTAGTCGCCAGCCTGGGTGCCGGTGCCATGGAGCTCAACATAAGAAACATCCAATGGATCAACACCAGATTGACGAAGCACCTGTCGGGCCAAGTATGCTTGATGACCGGCGTGAGGATGAGTGATAGAAACAGCCTCGGCAGAATGATTGGTTCCGGCACCCAGTATTACTCCCAAGATGTTGTCGTTGTCAGCCTCTGCGTCTTGAAGCCGTTTGATGACGACAGATCCCACACCGTCTGCGCGACAGTATCCATCAGCGGTGGCGTCCCAGGTTTTGCATGCATTATGCCCTTTGGTCAGGAAGTGACCGTGGCCCAGGCCAGCAAAGCCATCAGGATTTGTGAGCACATTGACGCCGCCCGCGACAGCCATATCGACATCACCTTGCCAAAGCGCTTGACAAGCGACCTAAACAACCTTGTCAGCATATTCTACCACCGCTGTGTACGTCAGGGTAGGAAAGAATACCTCAATAGCCGCCAGTCCAGACGAGCAGGCCGTATCAATGCTGTAACTAGGGCCAGCAAACTTGAAGAAGTAGTTGATGCGACCAGGACCGAATGCACGACAACCTCCTGGAATATAGTAAGTGCTGACCTCTTGCCCTTGGTTGACCTCTCGATAATCGTCAGCGGCCTGGCCGTAGTAGGTGCCGATACGTTCTAGCTTGGTGGACGAAGTGCGGTTGCCGACGTAACCAGCACGCTCGAGCGCTTCGAATGCCGTGACTAAAGCCAGACGCATCTGCGGATCGGCAACTTGGGCTTCACGTGGAGACATGTTGAAGAAAGGCGCGTCGAACAAGCCGGGCTCATCGATGAAGCATCCGTACTGCGTCATGCTCTTGTTCATTTGCTTGCCAGTCGGGTCATAGTGCGTGTCAATGTCGAAGCGATCTGCCGGGATTCGTCTAGAGACGTCGAGCCCCTGTTCGAGGATTTCCCAGAACTTCTCTGTGTTCGTAGCTCCGCCCGGGAGCCTGCATGACATGCCCACAATGGCGAGCTTGGATTGCGCCGAGCCTCGCGGTGACGCCGCGGGAAATGCAGCGTCGAAAATCCATGGTACTAGATTGATGATGGATGCTTCGAGTTGAGGAAGGCTGGATTCCAAGGATGCTTTGAGGTCGTTGAGGGGGATTGAGTTACCGAAGGAGGAAAGCGCTACCTGGCTGGCACCAGCACTTTGGAGTTGAGCAACCACGCCCCGGATGACTTGGTCCCAGCAGATCGCATGCGTGAGTAACTCGGAGATAACACATTCGAATAATTCTCCCGCATTCGAGGCACTGAATGGCAGACCGGTACTGGTGGAATAAATTGGGGTGATGGGACAGGATTTTGCGAGGTTTGCGTTCAACGAACTACCCCAGACAATGCTTTGAACGTCCCGAGAGCCGTAGACATGAGGCGCGTGGCAAAGTCCTCCATAGACGGGCAGAGCAATAGATCTGGAGTCCCGGAAGAATTCTGAGCGACTGAAGAGCGCCTTTAATCTCGAGGGTGGTCCACTGACTGTGACTGACGTTCGGCTGACAGCACTGAGGAATATCTTGCTGGTGTCAGGTATCTTTTCTCGCGATTGGATTGCATCGAGCGCCTGCTGCGCCGCGACAGGATCGACGTTGTGAATCACGTAGGCCCATGTCTCTGGAGCTGCTGCGAGATCGCGAGATTCCAAGTTCTCGGAAACGGCGAGAACATGGCAGCCCATACGGAAAGCGAGACGCACCGCATCTGCACCAGCCAGCGGCAAATCCACCACGGCGGAGGAGAGCGACACGGCAGTCAGTGCCAGTAAGCCGATGCCTAGGCCCGCCAGTGATGTCTGTTCTAATCTCGCCAGCTCTTCCGGCTGATTCTCCACATAACTGGCACGGGGTTAATTTCAGACGTCTCCATTGTTCGCATTCCTGGAGGTCACATACCCAATGTATGTTGCAAGCTGGACGACTGTGAGCAGAACTCCGTCGACAGCACCGCAAAGGAGCCCTTCGCGCAGCTCGGGATTCTCAGCCCAGGTAAGAATATCTTCGAACGGTGGGAATAACTGTTTCAGCTCTGTTGAGAGGTGTCGGATTTCATCCTTGACGGCTAGAGTAGCCTCATGGAGAAACTGAGCGAGAATGGTATGTCGTCTGTCCTTGCTGTGGTTGTGGAGGCAACGAAAGAGGTACTGGAGATCCTCCTTCGGAAACTCATTGCTGAAATAGAGGAGCTTCATGTTTCCCATATTGGTCTCGAGATCAAGCCAAGCTTGGCAGACGCGGGGTGCCAACCGACATCAGTAAGTAAGGAAGAGTATTCAGACAAAGACCTCGTGTGTCTCTTTTTCACCAGGTACAACCAATGCTCGAGAACCAGAGATACTCATATTGTTAACCCATCCCGGGCTTGACCGTTCTATCAGTCCTTCGGGAGCTCCGACCCGCGGTTTAACAATCGGGTTGTATCCGCGTGGGTGCCTCGTGGGAGTTTCCTGAGGACAGTTTCTGTCCGTGGCTCCCACGTGGGACGTCCCGTAACATCGGACAGAACCCTTCATGCAAGCTCTAGGAAGAGGCTGCGGCTCGATGGATTCACCGTGGATCAGGGTTTTCGCCGACTCTGGCTCTAGTTGGATTTGATGAATGACCCGGTCTGAATTGCCCCGGGTGATGACCGGTTGTTAATGAAGATTGCTTACTTTGCCTTGTGGATATAGCTCTTCAACTGATCTAGAGACGATGGAGGGGGCTGAGAAGAACGCCTACCTGAAGCAATTCCGTTGGTGCTGAGCGCCTGCCAACAGGACTCCAACATAATGTTCAAGACATGATGACGTCCGAAGCATTGTGAACTACTGTGAACACCTCCCAGAAGCTGACCAACCGCACAGAGAAGCTATAGAGCCATTAGAAGGATGATAGCAACCCTCGCAAGAATGCACAAGTGCAGAAATTGTTCACCTTGGTTTGAGGGTGACCACGCCACTCATTGCTAAGCAGATAAGCAACAAGGCTCAGCACAAGGTCAATACCCCGACGACTGTCAGCACCCAGATATGTGCAAGATTAAAGTACCGACGATTTGTGAGAAATGACCCGAGCCGACTGCACGCTCAGAGCAATTCTCTTCGTGCGCCACCATCTCATTCATCTATCATAAAAGGCTCTCTGAACAAGCAGAACCATCTTTGCATCAAGCTTTTGTGTGGGTTTCATGACTTTTAGGTCAGCCACCAGTCCCTCTCTTTGCTGTACCTCGGAGACTGAAGGCTGGTCTGACAATTGGCTATCATGCAGGACGATAAAGGAGGCTACAGGCAGATCAATAAGGCGTTGAATATTTGTGTCTTTGAGGATTACCTCAAGGGTCAGACTGCAGCACTTCCCTATGTTCCAGATGTCGAGCAGCTCACTGACAGAGTCATTCGCATCTTGGGCCAGAATCCAGGAAAGGTAGATGCATCCTGACGATGGTTGTGCTTAAGCTGCCGAGAATGCCATTGACTGACACGGTCGTGCAGTTTACCTTTCAAGGAACCAACACTTATGTCGTCGGTACCGGTAAACGGCGGATTTTGATTGATACCGGCGGTGGTGAGCCAGCATGGGCACGGCTTGTTCAATCAACCATGGCGTCAAAGGGTATCAGTCTGTCCCATGTCCTTTTGACTCACTGGCACGGGGATCACACCGGTGGAGTACCTGATCTGCTCCACATTTACCCTCACCTCCGGGACTCCATCTACAAGAATGACCCGGATCAGGGACAGCAGGACATCTCCGATGGTCACATCTTTCAAGTCGAAGGCGCCACTGTCCGGGCCATCCACGTGCCAGGACACTCGGAAGACCACATGTGCTTCATTTTGGAGGAAGAGCAGGCCATGTTCACGGGTGACAACATCCTGGGCCATGGCACCAGCGCGGTAGAAGACTTGGGTGTCTTTATGGCTAGTCTTCAGAAAATGTACGATCAAAAGTGCCTGGTTGGCCACTCTGCTCATGGCGTCACCATCCAAGATCTCCCAACCAAGCTCAGAGGAGAGTTGGAAGGGAAACTACGTCGCGAACGGCAAGTCATGAACGCTCTCGGTCGGATTCGTAGCCGTGGCGGGAGAAGTGTGGCGGTCAAGGATCTCGTCACTGAGATTTACGGTCAGTCTCTCGACGAAGAGACCCGTACTCTCGCATTGGAACCCTTTATCGACGAGGTACTGCGGAAACTCGCTGGTGATGGGAAAGTCGCCTTTGAGAGGAGAGGCCGCGTAAAGAAGTGGTATTCTGTGGCTGCGGCTCGATTGACGCCGAGGGAGGTCAAGATGCCCACGGCCGTTGTGGTTCAGGTCCAGGAGATTTCAGTAGAGTAACACGGCGCCCATTATGTTCAGGCGATTGAATCCTGGCTTGCTCCTTCTCGTCGCTGTTACACAGATTTGTGGTAGGGCATGCCTTCTCCTTCCTGCCTTTGCCATGTGCCATGTGGAGCAGGCACGCCCATGGGGACGGACAGCATACATAACCGTAGCTGAGGCACTGGGCCTCACATAGGCAATCAGACTTTTCAGGCGGTGGCGGTGCCATACCACAAGATTGGCCGAAGTTCGAACATCTCTACCCCTCGTCAGCGGCGCTCACACGAACTTGGTCTCCAGGATAGTAATCATGCACACAGGCTGTTGAATGGGGTCGGGCATCAGTTTCCCGGCGGGCTCATTGCCTCCTGTGAGGGTTCCTCTTCGTCGACCATTTGAAAGGATAACGCACAGCCATATAGCACGGCAGTGGTTGGAAATCTCTTCGTCGACGGTGTTGGATGCCAGACGCTTCGAGTGTATGCCGGCACTGGTGCTCAGTCTTGTTGTCCCCATGCCAGTGCGGGTTGAGAGCCTTCGGGTCTTATCTATGCCCGGGCGTCGGAAATTGCACCCGAGACTATCCCCAACTTCACCAACCTCTTCCGGGCACTCCGGGCCCGGTGTCGCGTCTGCGGCCGGTGCTTCCTTCCCCACCGTGGGGGCTCTTCGGATTTTTGGGCGCCTTCAACGGCCGCCCAAGTCGTGATGTCGGGCCCAGTGTTCGCGCCCACGGCCGACATTTTACATTTCTTGTTGCACGCCGAGCATCCTCCTTGCGAGCAGGGCTGAACGGTGAAAGGTGGGGCTTCAAATGCCCCGATGGGATTCATTCTTCGCCCCTCGCCTTACAGTAGGCGACTCCTTACGCATAGGCACAGCCTAGTCAGTTAGTCGATCGCGACCAGGCCAAGACACTGGGGATTTGGCCCCCGAGGATTACGAGGGGAACGTCGATATCCTGTTCAGTGGCGATGGACACAGGATTGACTACAGCAGACAACAACCCAATACGCTGGTCCAGGAATGAAGCACCAGCTGCGCCGGCTGGGTCATTCTCCGTCGGCCCAAGCAACAACAATGACAACTCCACAGAGACGACTATGCCGTATGCCTGCCAGACATGCGGCAAACGAAAAGTCAAATGCGACAAGGCGAAACCCATATGTTCGGCCTGTCATAAGAGCAAGCTGGAGTGTGTCTATCAAGCGCCTCAGCCCCGGCGCCGCAAACGAAAGCTGAGCGACATTGTTCATCAGAGACTCGATCAATACGAGCGCATCTTGGCGCTGCATGGCCTGCTGCCGCAAGACACTCTTACGACTACATCAACGCCTAATGACGAGCCATTACATGCCCAAGAGCCGGCGGCATCTTCCACCGGGAAACCAGCGTCAGATTCCGGCGCATCGAGGATGGGCAAGTTGGTGGCGGGCGATGGGAAGTCAATATACCTCGACAGTCAGCTCTGGCGCAATCTAGGCGAAGGACAGAAGCAAGGCGCCGCTGACGACGACGACGAGGATGAGGAGACCGAAGAAGAAGAGGGCGAAGCAGGAGAGGCAGAAGGAGAGGATCCAGCAATGTCTTTTGTGGGTGACCCTTTGACCGGAGCATTCATCGGTTCGAATTCAAGTCTGCCCCAGAACCTAACGCAGTATCATCCAAGACACGCGGAAGCCATGATCCTATGGCAGACGCATGTGGAAAATGTCGAACCCATCTGCAAAATCCTCCACGTTCCCACGACATACCAGATGTTGGACCGCGTGTCACGAGAACCCGACGCGGTGTCGAGAGCAGACGAGTGCATGCTGTTCGCCATCTACCACTTTGCCGTCTTCTCGCTAACAGAGGATGACTGTGCCAGGCAATTCGGGCAGGCGCGCAACAAAATGCTCCAGCGGTTTCACTTTGCGACGCGGCAGGCTCTGGTCAACGCTTCCTTCCTTCGAACGACGGAGATGTCGATCTTGCAGGCTCTCGTCCTGTTTTTAATCCCAGGTCGCTTCATCTACGACCCGCACACATATTGGATCCTGACGGGTGTGGCGGTCCGCATTGCCCAACGCATGGGTCTTCACCGCGACGGCGAGCAGTTGGGCTTGCAACCGTTCGAGGTACAAATGCGCCGAAGGCTGTTCTACCAGCTCTTGCCGCTCGATGGTATCGCCAGCAAGATGTCCGGCACGGGGATCGCCACCATGACAGACCCGTGGGACACGCAGCAGCCATCGAACATCCATGACGAACAGATCTGGCCCGGCATGACGGAGCCGCCGCAGGAGCGGAAAGGAGCCACGGACATGATCTTCTGCCTGACGCGTGCGTTCGTCGGAAAGGCCATGGCTCGAGCGGAACAATCCAAGCACGACACGCAGAGCAAGGAGGATGCCGAGCTCCTGATTGCCGAGACCGAAAGCCAGGTCGAAGAGAAATATATCCGCTATTGCAACGTCGTCAATCCGCTCCACTATCTGACGGTCTGTCTGGCGAGGTCGGCCATCACGGCCATGCGTCTCCGGGCTCGACTTCCCAAGGATAAGAACCAGGCGATCACGGACACCGAGGCACGAGAACTGTTCCAACTCGCCCAGGACATTCTCCAGACGGACCTGGCCGCGTCGGCGAACACGAGCCTGAGGCGATACCGATGGCATTTGAGGTCCTTCTTTGTATGGGGCTCGTGGGATTCGCTGATCTATACCATCACAACGCTCAAAAAGCCTGACCTGCTTTCGCCCGCGACGACGGACGCCGCCTGGAGGAGGGTGGAGGAGCTGTACAACAGCCACGGCGAGCTCCTCGAGTCGAAACAAGCCTTGCATATCGCCATCAGACGCATCACGCTCAAAGCTTGGGCCGCGAATCCACCCCAGAGCCGGGTGCCCGAGCCAGGCTTCGTCACCGAATTGCGCTCCCTCCGTAGAATGGGCCGGAAGAGCAGGCCAGACAGACAAGGTAGTACAAGTAATGTAACTCCTACCCCAGGCATGGCGGAAACAGTCGATCAGACGCCCTCCAGCGATGCCAATGCGCTGTTGAACAGCCTGTCTGGCGTTCCCGGGCTGGAAATAATGGATGACTTTAGTCTCGACACGGTCGACTGGACCTTTTGGGACCAGCTGATTCAAGGCTACCAGGCACAGGGTGGGCAGTAAAAGGCTCGGATTCTGTCTTTATCTTGCAGCACTCTTGTCTCAGATACTTGGAACGGTGCATGACACGAACGCACGTCGCTCGACTTGGATGATGCATCAATAGTTGCAGCGCGAAAGACACGTGCACGTGTTCACAGTCTCCTTGGTCGTTCACCCCTATCACACAGCCGATATCTCCGTTCACTACATGGACCGCCGGGTCTGACGAGACCATGCATGCTTACTTGGCGAGGGAGGATCGGGACGTATCTCTCACCATCCCTCTTGAACAATGCCCATGTACTGCTGGTGTCTCAGGCCCGAAGAACCCGGTGGTCAAAGATACCGCATTGTCACCGGGCATTACCTCGGATTGTCCGGGTCCTGCAACGGTTGAAGAAGGACTCGAGATGTTCACCCGAGCGCCCGAACGGGACCGCGGGGATGAGTGAAAGATCGACTGGTACAAGGTAAAGTGCAGGGTACGGTGATAACGAGGATCCATTCTTCACTATCCCCATAGATGTGCCCGCGTGAGCTTAAGCCCATCGGTGGTTACGGGGCCGACGATGGCACGATGAATGTGAAGAGAGCTGGGTGGTACGATGTTTTCTCCTCTCTCGCATTGATGTCTCGGCCGACATGGGAACTGGATTCCGGGCTCGGGCGCGCTTTCGTTCTCAGACAATCATCTTTGTCTCCGGACGTTGAATGCCCGGAGGCTCGGGTAGTGGGAGAGGCCGGGGTCTTTCACTCGTATTCCAGATCCGGGCGATGCTGCCGCCTTGTCCACTCCCCTCTGCTCCACCATAGGTTTGTATTTGGATGGGAAATCGAATCGCAAGCAATTTCTGTGGCTGGAAAGCCTCGGCGGCACGGTACTCTCGTCGATATCAGCCTGTGGGGTGTTTCATGCGCTGCTGGTTCCATCGGGCGCGGTTTTCCCCGGAGAATATCCCTGTAGATCGAGGCTGAGAGCCTCAGATCGAGTTGCATGCTTGCGTCTGCAAATCTGGCACCCCGTACCTAGGTGCTCTGGCGGGTTACGTGAATGATCTAGACACCCGGACGTCGATCGCAACACTGTAGGAGAAGTAGAGCAATGTACGCGTTGTCTCCCTCTGGGTGTTCTAACGCCCGAACCCCGGGTGTTCAGTCTGTCTCCTCCCCGAAGCCTTGCCCGGTGATCAAGGTCGAGGTTGTGTTGTGTTGTGTCGTGTTACCAAAGCCGACCCTGTTTAGTCATTCAAGCAATATGGCGATCGCGATACCGTTTTGCGGCACTGCAAACTAGGAAGACGTTGATTCGGCGAGATCAGCGTTCCCTAGGTATCACACGACACATTTCCCTCGGCCGCTGCAAAAGTCAATGATCTCATGACTATTCCTCCTGTCTCCTTTTGACCGAGTGTATTTAATAAAGCATACCAGGGCTCTTCGTGATTCAGTGCCGCTCTCCTGATATTGCCATCATTCTGGGTGGAGAATCGAGAGCGAAGATCTCAACCCAGCAATCGCTCCTTAAAGACCGGATCCCCTCATCGCGGAGCGTAGCAGAGTCTGATTAGAGAGGCAGTCCATTCATTCGGATAGTCAAATGGTGTGGCTGTCCCAACTCTTCTCTGCGCCGTTTCAGCTCGTCTACATCCCAGTTTGCCCACAGATATTTGTTGCGAAGAAACTTTGCTTCGGGGCTGACTGCCCACACGACAAACTGGCCAGCAAGATCGGCTGAAAGAGGAGTGTCCAGTCAGTGACTATGTTCATGTTGCCGGTCTTTCACAATCGAACTCACCTGAATCCATGGCCGCCATACCAGCCTTACGACTCAACTCGCTACGGACCACTCCGGGCTGGATGTAAACGACATGGAGACCCTCGTTCTCGGCTGCGACTGTCTCATAAATCTTTGTCGCCGCCAACTTGGATGAAACATAGCTGGAAGCACCCGGCTTGGCTGGCATGTGGACAATGCCCGAGGAGATGTCGACGAGATATGCTTTCGGCGCCGCCACGGCCAGAAAGGCGCGCGAGGTGTTGAATGCCCCCTTTGTGTTGACCTCGAAGCCTTTCCACCAGTCGTCAGGATCGGCGTCCGGAATGGAAATGAATGTGGCGAGGTATCCCGCGTTGGCGACGGCGACGTCTACTCTGCCGAATTCTCGCTCGATGGTTGCAAAAGCACCATAGATCGAGGCACCATCTGAGATATCGCCCCGGACGGCCAGCACTCGTGCCCCAAGGCATTCGATCTCTCTCTTGGCATTGCACCAAGGGTCGACTGAGCGGCCGACGATCGCAATGCGTTCGGCGCCCGCACGTGCGAAGGCCTTTGCCACAGCTATCCCGATACTGCCTTCTCCACCTGTGATGGCGATGACTTTACCCTTGGCCGACAACTCCGGTCGAGTTGGGTCAATGGAGGAATATGGCTCCGAGTGCCATTCCTTGGTCAGGGACGGAAAAGGCAACATTTCTTTCCTCGGCCGGCAGTGTGGGGCGGTGCTCGGTGGTCCAGTCCTTGTGTCAGTTCCGCTTACATTCTGTCTCAGGTTTCTTTGTGTCAGGAAAAGCCTGGCATAAATCGTGTCTCAACTGCACGAGTCCCACCAGGGCCCCTGCGCGCCGTCGGGCCGGGTCATTTGCATTGGATTGAGATGATGATTGATCAAGCCCGACACAACCACCGGGTATTTCTGGCCCATACCTGTTCATTCAAACACAGACCATCGAGGCTTCCTGGCAGAAATCATGCAGGTCTTGGCTCTGGTTTGGCAGGCGCTATCCATTTTCCCATTCGGTCCAAGGGTTTGCCAAGAGGAATCGTTCCATTCCTCGCAAGCAAGCACGAGCATGTCGCCATCCGCCTATCTAGGGGAGCCCCCCTTCGCGAAGCTGGTCATTGCTTGTCGTTGCTTCTGCTGGAACTCTATCAAACACCATACCTTATTGCACCCCCTTGCCGCATTGGGATACTGTAGACGTTGATCCTGCAAGTGATTGTCGCCCTGCATGGCTTATCGGGATTGGTGGAAGTTCGGCACATTCACGACAGATCGCCCGCACACGGCGTATAGGGTCGGGCCATTCATGAGTCGGCTACTCAGAACTCCACACGTTCTCGCCTGGCCATTGAATTACGTGGCACGGTCTGTTCAATATGTCGTTGCCGCGGGAAACGTCTCCAAGTGTCACCGGCCCGGATCGACAAGAACTCTAAAACCGAATGTCTCTATCCTTGGCCCATCGAACGGCCATTGAGCTCTCATGGCCGGTAAGTTATCTGTTCTGGCCCCCGGGGTATGGGTATACAGGTGCCAGCAGGAAACAGCAGCCGATGGGATCTTGCGAAGGAGATCCCACCGGGTGCGATTTCCTCAGGCTCCACAGTCAACCGCTGCTTATACCAGGCGCAGCGAGCTACTGCGTTCTGTGCTAATGGCGCAGTCCCATCTGGAACAGTGACTTTTCCTGGTCTTGCCACATGTCAGACGGATCAGTACAGGGTGTACAAGACTGTACTTCGTAAGTACTGAAGAGGGCTACGAGGTACCCAGTAGGATCGACTAGAGGTAGGTCATATCTCAAAGCGTCTTCTGTTGCGAGAGCTTGCGAATGCAAGGCTTTGCTAGTCTGCGCAGCACGGCGCGTAAACGGAGGCTCCTGCAGACGATTCTTTATCATTGCCGTATCTCCGGATACCTGACTGGTACCAGCGAGTACCTCTTTCTCCACACCTCTCGAGATCATCCTGGGAACATGAAGGGTCTCGAAGGATCGAGTCAGTGGCCAAGACATGCAGTGGCAAGGACCACAAGGACCAGACGGCTAACAAGGGCCACGTGGGGCGAACGAACGTTCATGGAAGTCATAGATCCTGCCCATGGTGTGCAAGGCGTGTCGTTGGCGAGCATGCATGCACTACCCGGAGGCCCTCAAAGCCAGAGTGTGGAATGTCACCTTCCTTTCGGGTGATTAACATATGATAGCACCCGAACTCGGGGGATTCCCTAGCCGGTCCATGCTGACTGTCCCCGAGCCCCATAATCCCGCCGACATTCCCCACGATCACGATGATTCGGTCGATCCGCGAGGACGTGGGGTGCAAACCTTATCGAGCTCTTGGCGCAGGGGCGCACAAGCAAAAGCTTGAGGCGCCTTGCATAAGCTTAACATCATCCGGCAATGGGGCCATTGGTGGTAGACCTCGTCGACGAATCAGCTGAGTCTATCGTGTAGAGCTCTGAGGGCCAGATTAGATTATCACCACCAAGCAGCATGTCGCCTCTGTCCACGGTCGATGAAGTACCTGTCCTGCTGACTGGCGTCCTAGTTAGCGCTGACCTCCCAGACCGGTACTCGTATTGCATGATCTTGATTACACCGGTTAAATAAGAAGAAACTGTTGGCATCGGACAACTCTCACCTGGATCTCGATCTCTCTCTGCTTAAGCCAAGACCTTCCCCATTTATACACTCTAACATGGCCGCCACCAATCCACCTTCAACGGCCCATGCCGCCAACTCCGGTCCCACTGTCGTACTGGAGCTTCCGCTGCGTAACAGCTGTGATGCTTGTGCTTCGGCCAAGTTGCGGTGCACCAAGGAGAAGCCGACCTGCCACCGCTGTGCCAAACGAGGCTTGACCTGTGAGTACGTGGCCATCAAACGAGCCGGCAGAAAGCCTGGCAGTCGGTCAAGTGTCAATGAAGGCTCTACCAACTCCAGCACGGGCCGACCACGTCCACCGCAGAGAACGCAGTCGCTACAGGGCGGCACCGGGCCCAGCTCTACAGACAAGCTGAACGAACAACTTGTCATGCTCAACCAATCTCTTCCCACGACCTTCGTCGACCTGGACACAGCCTCGGATGTTTCTTTCACCATCGACGGACCCGAATTCAATTTTCTCAACACGGCAGAGCTGTTGTCAAGCCATGTCGATGGCGGGGCCAGCAATTGCAGCTGTGGCAGTCTCAGCAGCGCCAGCGCGAGCTGCGATAGCAATGACGGTGGCGGATGTAACAGGCATGACAGTTTTTCGACTGCTTTGCCCAACCTCGAAAGTACCGTGCCGGAGTTTTTGGCGCTCTCCTCACCCAATGCTGCGGCTTGGAATACCGCGTTCCCAGAGCTGGAACTGACCGAAACGTCGTGTTCCTGCCTCGCCGAAGCGACAAGTTTCATCACACGGTTATCCCTTTTGTCGTCAACCGTCTGCAATACCTGGGCCATACTCGATCTGGATAACGTCACGATCCTCCGAGTGGTTCTGGACGTGGTCGAACAGAACAAGGTCACAATCAACGCGGTGAGCGCCATCTTGAACTGCCCCAACTACCACGACGGCTGTCTCCTCGCCATAATCTCATTCGTCATCTTCAAAATGCTGAGCCTGTACGCCGCGATTGCGTGCAAGGACCCTAATCTGCAAGACCTCCCACAGCCCAGTCTCGCGCGCCCGATGCCGCAATTAGAGTCGGCGATCCCCAGCCCTGCCGGCCTCGTGGATAACTACAGCATGGAAAGAAGTGATCCCCAACACATGGCCCGACGCATTGTCCTCGGCGAGCTGCATCGCTTGCGCCATCTGATTGCGCAACTTGTGGAAAAACTCAAGTCTCAGTCAGTAACACAGGAGAGCGGAGAAGGCGGAAAGACACAGGAGAGTATGGATCTCGATTGCGAGATGAGGGCGCCTCTGTCTACAGTCATGTACGAACAGTTAGACCTCGATCTCCGGCGACGACTGAAAGCACTCTCATGGGCCATCGTGGATCGCATGACCCGGCTCTAGAACTTGATGATTTCTCTTTTTGGGACTGTGGTTAGGAACGGCGTTGGTCTGAAGCCACTGGAGTGGCACGGCGTTTCTTCCCCGGATCTGCAATGTCATCGCACCATCTTGTGGCTGAAGGAGGGCATTGAGACGACAAGAGGGCCACGCATGATACCCATATGCGTGACTCGCTGTTTGGAAGTTGGGCTTCGCCATGTGTAAACCCCAGACGACTTGTAGTGGATGAAGATCAATTCAGGTCGTGTCGGTGGAGCGACGCTGGATAGTACCCATTTTGAGGGCAGACCTTGTGCGGGGTTGCGCAAGACATGTACCGCGCGGTCGTTGATTAGATATAGCAAATCAGCGCCCACCGATAGCCCACACTTCCGACTTGAACTTTCCAATGCTTGGCTTTACTGGAAAAGGTTGTGGGTGACAGTCGGAAGCGACAGGTCAGAGAAGGGGTCATCAACTGCCGGCTGATGATAGGGGATACGCAGCTGGAGCACTGGGGCGACCCGTCAGCCATAGAACTGCTCCTCGTGGGTGAGCATGTGCTTCTAATGTCGGACAGCCACGCCGCAGCCGTGCGTAGGCTGCAAAGCGTTCAGCAGCGAGATTTTGTCCAGTACTGGTGGCCCAATACCATCTGGATCTGAAATTGTATGAGGTAGTCCTCATGACTTTTCCTCACTGAATTGGGAGCCACTGCCGCATTTTATAGCTAGCTATTGTCTTGACCAGATCTAGACACGGTAGGCGGAATTTGATACACCTCCGGTATGGATTCGCGCGTTATGACGATGCATTGAAGTGATGGCTCGTGAACGAGTCAAACCTTGTAGATCTAGGTTGCAATCATCAATAGACAAGGTAGAAAGAGATTGGCGTCGATGTGATTTTCAACTTCTGCTCATGACCTGAAGCATACAAGAGGTGATGCGAGCTTGACATCTTCCACAATCTGAGAGATTTCTAACAATTGCCTGTTGTCTATGACGTAGTAGTTTATCACGTGAGTGGTCCGGTGCTCCTCCGGACCGATTACGGTGGGACAAACACTATAAAATGTGTGACAGAAGCTGTCACGTGATCGTCGCACTTCACTTCATTCATGCCTCGAAGGCAGCCGTACACCATCTGCTTCTCAAAATATGGGCTTGCCATGGCCATCGAACCTGACCACATCGAATCATCCCATCAAAGAGCAGACCACCATCCGTTACCCTGCGCGAACGGCTCCTGTCCCAGAGAAAAGAATGACTCCCCCCTGGACCAGTCTGAGCTGGCCTGGGTGCGGGTCTCAATGTACTCGAGATAAAACAGCGTGCATTGACGACTAGACTGCACAGGGCTTGGCTTAGTTGGCCAGGAGTAGCGCGGGCGGAAGACTGTATCACTGTGTCAAATCACGCCCCTAGTGCAACACATGAGATAGAGCTCGAGTTGCCAAGTCCAGCCGAGAAACGTCTTGCAACCAGATTCGTGGCACCGTAAAATGACGTCCGATAACCGGCGAGGAGACTTCCATTCGCAACATCAACTCTATCACTTACCAGTTGAGAGCCTCATAGTCGTCCGGCTCTCTGGCACGACCCAAAGATCTTGATCCTTGTAAAGATGACCTGCTGCTCAAAGGAAAGTGTCACCGGCCCAGATGATTGCTGTGGTGGCTCGGTGGCAAAGCCTTCAACTTCGGATGGGTATGGTGGTGATGCATACTGTAGTCCGTCAGCCGAGGAAGGCGCGGGAGACCACTGTAGCGAGGATGATCGATGCAATGGTACTGAGCCAGCACTTTGCAGTGACCTTCCGCTGACAGAGATTTGCAGAAACCTGCATCAAGGCCGCAGCAGCCTTCGAGTGCTCCATGGCGTGCGCCGACCAGCAGGAGGCGTGTCCCAGCGATCCAGCCAGCAACAAAATCGAGAAGAATTCCTGTCAGGGGAGGTGCAGCTCTGCTCAACCTCTTGCTGCCGAGCAGAAGACAGGAAACCGTTCCGGTATCAACGCACAACATGACCATGCTCATGGGGAGGATGGAAGTCATCTTGATGAGCCTTGCAACGCCCACCTGAAGGCCGCCATGGAAAAATATGCTGCATACCTTCAATCGGCTCGGTGCATCTGTCGGAACATTCTTGTTTCGGCCGCAAGAGTTGAGTCGTGCTGCCTCAGGTCTTCAAGTGGCGGCGTCACTGCACCCGGAACCTTGCGCAGACATCACCTTGACCCGAGGCGCCTCGAGTCCGTCTCAACCCGCTGCCGGCCAAAGATACCATCTGTGCAGTCAGCATCAGCACAGTTCAAGATCGAGTGCTGTGACAACAGTCAGGATTTCGATAACATAAGACGCGGGCCTAGGGACGGTGCGAAAATGACTGCATTGGATATCGAGAAGGCAGCAGGCCTGTCACATATCCTCCTCAACGTCACAGGAATGGACTGTTCTGGCTGTGCAAACAACTTGACGCGAGCGCTGTATGACGTGGCGGGCATCAGGAACGTCAACGTGATTTTCATCAACGGGACTGCTGAATTCGACCTCGACAACGAGGTCAACACTCTGGCCAACGTGATCCGCAGTGCCCAACAAGCCACTCGATACAAGTTGACACCATTCTCCTCCGACACGCAGAGCATCGTCGTCACCATGAACGCGACAGAGGCAACCGAGTTTTGCGCCCATTTACCTCGAGGGGTGGACCACTGCGAAAAGCTTTCGAAGACGACTTACGAGATTAGCTATGACCCTTGCGTCGTTGGTGCCAGAGAAGTCCTTGCCGGCACCGGTGCCCAGCTCGGACCTCCACGCACCAAATCCATGGCCGATACAGGAAAGAGAAGGCTAATTCGAGTCGTGGCATTGACGATTGCGGCCTTCATCCTGACAACGCCAGTTGTTGTACTCGAATGGGGACGTCCTTCTGGAATTTCCGAGCATACTACCTTGATAATCGCTGTGATCCTCGCCACGATGGTTCAAGCAATTGCGGTGTCAGAGTTTTATATGCCTGCCGTGTCGTCCCTGATCTACAACAAGGTGGTGGAGATGGACATGCTTGTGGTGATAAGCATTACCGCCGCATACTTCTATTCCATTGTAGCAAGCGGTTTCTTCTTTGCCGGCGTCGAGCTGGAGACTAAACCTTTCTTCGAAACCAGCACTTTACTGATCACATTGATCTTGCTTGGCCGGGTGCTTGCAGCCTGGGCTCGCAAAAGAGCCGTGGAGGCAGTCTCCTTGAGGTCGCTGCAGGCGTCCACGGCCATGTTCATTGACCACAGAACAGGCGATGCCGTCGAGATTGATGCTCGTCTGCTTCAATATGGGGACAGCATTGAAATATTACCGCACTCCCGAATCGTCACCGATGCTGAAGTGCTTGAAGGAACCAGCGAGGTAGACGAGTCGATGCTCACGGGGGAGAGCCTTCCCGTGTTCAAGACTCCTGGAAAATCCATCGTCTCAGGCACCATCAACGGCGGCGGCAGGCTGGTAGCACGGGTGTCGCGCTTGCCAGGAAGAAACACTATCACCGACATCGCCAACCTGGTCGAGAAGGCGCAGGGGTCCAAGCCGCACGTACAGGATTTGGCTGATAAGGTAGCCGGATATTTCGTCCCAGTGGTTTGCACGGCAGCCGTTATCGTCTTGATCATTTGGGTTGTCGTTGTGCTGAAGCTTCGAAAACAACCCGCTGGTAATGCCATCGGGACCGCGGTAGGCTATTGCATCGCGGTCTTGGCCATCAGCTGCCCCTGTGCGCTGGGACTTGCAGTACCCATGGTCTTAGTGGTTGCCGGAGGTGTAGCTGCTCGCGGTGGGGTGATCATCAAGACTGCAGATGTCATCGAACGTGGTTTCAAAGTCACTGACGTGGTTTTCGACAAGACAGGCACGCTCACTGAACCAAGTCTCGAGGTCGTCGCGGAGATGATCATTCCCACGAATCAGGCCACCGAAGACGTCGTGCTATCCATCATCATGGCCATGGTTAGGGGAACTAAACATCCGGTATCCGAAGCTGTGGCAAGAGCCCTTGACGGACGTGGGTTACAGAACATCGAGATCCATGGGCTTGCCTCCATACCGGGGTGCGGCGTTAAAGCGCAATGGCAGGGATTGACGATTCGTGCCGGTAACGCGAAGTGGCTCAATCTCGGCGAGACAACTCCGGTCCTCGATTTTGCCGCTCAAGGGCTGACAATGCTGTGTGTCATGATTGGCGATCATCAGGTTGCAATTTTTGGTTTCAAGGCCCGGCTTCGAGAAAGGGCGGCAGGGGTGGTTCGAGAACTCCAACGCCGCAACATTGCCGTCCACATCGTGAGTGGTGATGCTCGCAGGGTAGTCGAAGATGTCGCCACCGATATTGGCGTTCCTCGGGAGTACGTCGCAGCAGAAAGAACACCCTCGGAGAAGCAAGAATATGTGCGCCAGCTCATGGAAGCTGGAAAGACTACACTCTTCTGTGGGGACGGAACAAACGACGCGATCGCTGTGGCACAAGCTCACGTGGGTGTTCAGATCGAGTCTTCATCAGATGTCACCCGTGCCACAGCGGATGTTGTCCTTCTTCACAGTCTCGACGGTGTGGTCAGTCTGCTTGATGTCTCGAAGGCAGCCTTTCGACGAATCACGTTCAACTTCGTATGGTCAGCTGTGTACAACGTCCTAGCGATCTTGCTGGCGGCCGGGGCTTTTGTCAAGGTTCGCATTCCGCCTGCTTACGCGGGTCTTGGGGAGATAGTGAGTGTGTTGCCGGTCATTGTTGCTGCTTTGACTCAGCCGAAGCTCGAGACGAGGAATTGAATTGCCTTTCGGCGTCAAGTGACGAGGAGAGTAATGCGAGAGTGACGGGTGTGTGGAGGCTGTGTATGTTCCAACCCCGTGTCGCACATTCCACAAGAGGGATTATATTCAACGTTCTCTTTGATAGTACTCCGTAGTCACTCATTTCAGATACATTCAAACGAGAATCAGACAGACAAACCTGGTGCAAATCGTCAAGAGCCGGCCAGCGTCTGCGCCAAGCCAAATTGAGGACCTTAGAAAGGGAAAGCTCCAACCGTAAGGGGAAGGAAGGCCGCCGGCTATGAAGGCTGCTCGAGGGTGGTTTTGCTCCGCCCAAGCCCGGCTAGATCCGAGTACGGCAGGCTGTAACTACAGCCACGACATCAAACTTGCGAACTCACGCGTTGCTCTCCGAGGGAGTCTGCCTGTCGCAACTGCCTCTTACGCGCTTGAAGGTATCTGCGACTCGGTTCTTCTGTTATCTCAGCAACTTCTGCGGCTCTGCATCTCCTCTATCACCTGAGTCAAAGCTTTTAGAAGAATAACAACCCGGGCAGTATGTCCGGGCTCTTTGGTAGCGCGGCCCCATCCACCACGACAAGCACAACCGGAGACCTTTCGAAGGATGTCGCATTAGTACAACCACCCGAAGACAGCACCTCGCATCTTGCGTTCTCTCCTACGGGTGAATTTCTGGCAGTGTCGTCATGGGACAAGAAAGTGAGGATATATCAGGTCAACGAGCAGGGCCAAAGTGAAGGCAAGGCCTCAATGGATTTCGAGGCGCCGGTCCTTAATTGCGCCTGGTCAGATGTACAGTAGACGGCCATTCAGCCTATGAAACAGCATGCTGACTTGTGTACAGGATGGATCCAAAGTAGCAGGGTGCGGCGCCGACAAAACCTTCCGCCTGCTGGACCTAGGCTCTGGCACCTCGACTCCCACGACCCTCATCGCGCACGAACAGCCTGTCCGATGCTGCCGGTTTGCCACGATCAACAATTCCGCCGTCCTAATAACGGGTTCCTGGGACAAGACGGTCAAATACTGGGACCTACGAACACCAAACCCCGTTGCAACACTGCAATGTCAAGATCGAGTCTACTCTATGGACGTGAAGAATCAGTTGCTTGTTATCGGCACGGCGGATCGCTATATCAACATCGTTGGCTTCAACGATCCTTCGAAGTTCTACAAGACAGTCCAGAGCCCACTGAAATTCCAGACAAGGGTAGTTAGTTGCTTCACCGACGCGACAGGCTTTGCAGTGGGCAGTATCGAGGGTCGCTGCGCCATTCAGTACGTCGAAGAGAAGTCCGCAGACAACAATTTCAGCTTCAAATGCCACCGAGATACGCCAACGACAGGTCCCAACCGAGACCTCGCAAATGTCTACGCCGTCAATGCGATTTCTTTCCACCCCATACACGGCACGTTTTCAACCGCGGGAAGTGATGGCACATTCCATTTCTGGGATGGCAATGCGAAGCACAGATTGAAGGGATATCCCGCTGTGGGATCGCCGATCACGGCCACGGCTTTCAATCGACAAGGGACTGTGTTTGCATATGCAATGTGCTATGATTGGAGTCAGGGTTACCAGAAGAATACACCGCAAACACCCAACAAGATCATGTTACATGGTGTGCAACCCGAGGAGGTGAAGCCCAGACCGGGTGGGAAGAAGAGATAAGAAGCCCAATGCTCAAGATCAGACAGTATTGGTCTTACGTCGGGCCTTTAACAACGAGCCGTGACCTTTGCGGTCGGGGCCGAGAGGCACATGAGGTCAATCGAAACGTAGATCAAAGCGATCAAAGATACCAGGACGGGAACTGCGACGAGCCCTTCCCACTCCAAGAAGCCACAGGTCCAAGCGGCAAATAGACTTCTCTTCTTCACCGGCATCCCACGAATCAAGAGACATGAAACCACCGCGGATCGTGCCACCTATTCCAAACCCTCTCAAGGCTCTGACACGACTGCGGAAGAACAGATCTCGAAGCAAAAAGACCCGAAAATCTTCTTGGGAGCTCTCTTGTGGTGTCATACCCGCAGACTTGCGCCGTGGTCTCCCAGGGACGGAATATTGACTAGAAGGTCGAGCCATGAGACGCAAGCAGGTTGATTGCTTTCGACGCTGTATGTAGCCGCGGATCTCGACGGCGACACCGTGGACATCGATTGACGAAGCACACTCAGAAGGCATGGACACAAGTCAGACCTGTCCGGCCTCTCGACGGGTAGAACCACATATCAAGTCTGAAGTTCTGATACAAGTACACTTCAACGCCCTCGCTATCGTCTCAGACTGTACTCTCTACACATGAGAAATGTCTCTGCCCGGTTTTTTTCAACTTCTTCTTCCACGCCTGACCGAGAACGCACACCGCTAATCCGAGTATCGCACCCTAATGTTATCACCGTGAAGAGCAGAAAGCCCCAGTTCAATTCGCCAGCCCGCTTGCAAATTGTGGTTCCCATTTTCATCCTTTATGCTGTTCCCTGCCATGCTATGCTGTTCCTGCGCCTCAACTTTAGTGTAGTGCATTTCCGACCCGGAATCGTGTTGCTAGTTTTCGTCCCATCTTCAACTTCCCAGTAGCAGATTCGACCCGGGGACCGGCCTCATGTCTTCACCTGCAACCCCGAGTTTGCCCTGCCATGCCCTGCAGGATCCCGGTTTCTGCTGCAGAATCAGCCAAGCCAGGCTGTCGTCTTCTCGATTGTCTCTGTTCTCGGATAACAACACGTCAACTCTGCTGTTCCTTCATTCGCCAGCGTCTGCAGCACCGTTCACCTGGAAACAGCTGGAATTTCAGTTCATATCCATGCCATCTTCATCGTCGGCCTCGGTCTCCTCGGCCTCGCCACTCGTTCTGTGGCTCCGGCGACGATACCTGCCCCCTGGCGCACCAAGCATGTTCCCAGCCTCACCTTCTTCCATCTCATCTCCGTCCACGACGCGACCTTCCATGCCCACGACCTCGCAAAGCTCCATGAGGCTCGTGCGGCTTAGAGACCTAAACCCCTCGGTGCGCACGATGCGGCCCCAATTCATCATGCAGAACCGGGCGGCGCGGGCTTTGAGCCAGTCTTCCTCGGTGCGGCCGGCGCGTTCCCAGATCACGGCCGCGTGCTCGATGTCGATTTCGCGGGACAGGCGGTTCACGCACAGGAGGCGCAGTTTCGGCATGTCGTAGAGGTTCGCCATGACGAGCATGCCGGCCACGTCTGTGAGGTCGCGGCAGAACTCCGGGTGCGGGGCGATGCTGTCGGTGTAGAGGTAGTACAGGAACGCGCGGACGACAGAGTACGGTTCCGGGATGTGCAGACGCGAAGTCTGGTACTCGAGCATCTTGGACGCGTACAGGCGTTTGAAGTGCGGCCAGCGGGCTTGCAGGATCATTTTGTGCACGTAGATGGGTTGGGAGACTGGGGAGTTCTCGGACACAAAGACTTGACTGCTAGTCGTGTTGGTGGAGAAACGGAGCTGGGAGTCGGCTTCGGAGATGGTATCGTCGTCGTCTTCGGTATTGTTGGCTGTGATGGTGAAGTCGCTCATGCTGCCAGTTTCGGTGGCTTGGTCGAAGATGGTGGCGAGGTCGAAGCCAAGACCAGAAGCGACGCCTCCGACTGCGTGGGTTGTCTGTCGTTCGGAGGCGAGGATGCGATTCTGTTCCGAGAGCGTGGCGTCCAGGTTGCCCAGCAGGCCGTATCGCTTCAGGTCGACGGCCAGGACTTCACTCAGTTGGAGCTCCTGGTTGGCACCGGTGGTGTCATCGCCAGGAGACCCGAGGAGCCAGACCTTAGTGCCGTCCTCGTTGATGGTGCAATAATGCCATTTGTGCCCCGGTTGGAATAGCTCGGGACCTTCTACCAATCTCTGCCATCTCAATGAGTCCAGCTCTAGCGATGACAGGTTGCATTCGATGTGACGGATTGTTGATGATGGAGTGATGAAGTCAAGGAGAGCTCCAGACGAGCAGACGTGGAAGTGGGTGCCAGAAGACTGTAGTGGGACATGCGGTCCTGACACGAACTTGAGCGTCGATATCGCACCTGGGGCGGTGGGCTTCTCCCGTCTCGTGGAACGAATGTGGACGCTTCCTGAATTTGCCGTGTATGTGTCAATCCGGTCGGCCCTGCTAGGGTGTAACCAGGGATCGTGTCTAGAAGAAGGGATCCGGCCAACGGTGGAGTATTGTCTGCCTGAACCCGATAGAGCAGGGCTTCCCTTGAGGTCCAACCAGCAGATCTCTGATGGGCGCTCCATGTCCGCCCCGAGACCACCCAACACCCATAGTCGGCCACCCCATATCCACGCACTGTGATCGAACCTTTGGACGAATGACCACGTTTTTGACCACGTCCAAGTCTTCAGATCCAAGTAGCAAATATCATCAAGTATGTAGTTCGCCTCGCCAGTCAATCCACCAATAACGAACAACTTGTCTTCGTAGACGACCGCAGCATGTCGGGCTCGTCCTTTGGGAATGGGGCCTTGAACATCTGGTTGGGTCCAGTGATGGTCTTTAAGGTTGAGTATGACCACATCCGACAAGTACTCCCGATGTTCGTTCTCTCCACCATAGACGAGCAGCTTGTCGCCTTCGTAGAGAGAGGCCGAATGGCCCATGCGGACTCCAGGAATGTCTCCATAATTATCCACTAGTGCCCAATTTAGCGTCTTGAGGTTTAGCCGCAGCACGTGATTGTAGACTTCATCCGTGAACTGGTCGAACCCGCCGAAGGCATAGATCTGATCATTTCCACAGTAGGTCACCGATGCATTGACGAGACAAGCTGGTTTCTGTCCGGTGGTCTTTGAGATCTTGGGTTTGGAGCCCTCCTTCATGACGGCGGCATGCTTGGCCGGACTGGTGGGCATGAGATAGGTATTGCCAGTAGGAGTATTTGCGCCGGATCCCGAAGCTCGAGACGTAGAGTTGAAGTGCCAGAGGGCAGCGGAATTGTTGGACGGTATGGGTGAGTTCTGGGACAGATATGGTTGTGGAGTTAACGGTTGGGCCATCCCTGGGTCAGATGAAGGCACGGCGTTTACGGAGGAACACTCGGCGCGAAAAGAGTACGCGGTGGCAGGATTTTCATCAACGAGACAAGATATGTTGGGGCCTGGAAGACCCTGTAGACCTACTGTGTGTACACATATGGTGGAAAGCAGGCACAGGATCTCAAGGCTAAGTAGATGGATGCTGCGACCCGGTCCGTGAAGAGTGACAGGGGAAAGGAGTGAGAGGGAACGAATTGATCGACGGTTGAAGTTTCATGTTGGCGCCAGTGCCTTCGGACCTGGAGGAATAATACTCCGGGTTCTGCCGATTTGTGGGTGACGCACGTCGGCATGACGACCACCGGGGAGCTCCGACCCCGAAGCGGCATAGCTCTGGTGGGCCCGTGGTTGCTGGGCAGCTGCACAGGCCAAACATCAGAAGTACTTCAGCTTCAACTTTGGTGGTTGAGGTTGACATTTCTTCTTCCTTTCTACATACCACAGCCCCTTCACTTCCTCCTTTACCTCTTTCCCACTCTACGCAAACATCCTTGCACGTGCATAGCATACAGTCCATTAGATCATACTTGCATCAGCTAGATCTGGTCGAACCCCCGACTGCATCGCCTTCGCCGTGCACCATTGCTCGGTTACCCAATCAATCCAACAATATCAGCGACCACTGAGAGACATACTAACCAACAACCATTACCAACAGCTATCTCAGGATCCATTCAGTTGAGAATCTTGAGACCATCACTGAATTGCTGGATACCAAGGCACAGATACTTTCTCGACAAGTTCTGATTGCTTAATCGACAACCACTACTAACCCCTCCGAGGTCTTGATTGATTCTCGGTTGAACAGCAGACACGATCGAAACATTTGATTGCCTATTCGATCAAAATTACCACACATCAGACACAATGGCCACAGCGTCAACGTTGTCAACACCTCTCAAGAGCCATCATGGCCTCTTCTCCTCGAAAACGGCAGGTGGCCGCATGCCCCTCACGCCATCTCCCAGACAGAGAACCGTCAGCGTGTCCAATGTCTCGACAACCTCATCACCTTCCACTCCGCTGCAGAAAGAGCAGTCTATCCACAAGTCAGACCCCACATTCTTCTCCAAGTCGATGTCGAGGTCGGTCTCCAAGTTCGCTTACGCCAACTCACCAAAGTCCAACATTGCAAAGTCACGCCAGTCTCCCAAGCAACTAGAGCTCGGTGTCTCAGATTGGACTCTTACAGGGACTGGGCCAGCCACAGGTGCCACCCCATCAAGAGAAAAGTCAAGGAAGGAAACTGCACTGAGATCAAGAGTCGGAAAGACAACCATCAGACTTCCACACAATGCCGCAGACAGATTCATTCCTAACCGGACTGCCAGTGCTGGTCTCGCAACTGCCGGCTGCGGCAAGCCTGATGAGAACACTCGACCTCGTACTGCGGATGGGTCCGTAGTCCTTGCAAATGCTGCCAGTGCCAGTGCCTTCGACATTTCCGCTCGGGGTGCAGATACAGACATCGCCACGGCACTAGAAGGTCTTGGTCTTGAAGATGACAATACCACCTCCTACACCCGAAGCAACCCTGACTCGACCGCTTACGAATCATCACTGGCGTCCGCATGTGGAATTTCCACTAGTCAACGCATCCTCGAGTTCAAGCCTGCTCCCCCCGAATCCTCCAAGCCGATTGATCTTCGATCACAGTATAACCGACCTCTCAAGCAAGCTAATGCTCAATCGGCACAGTTCCGTCGACGAATTCAATCTGCCCCAGAGAGAGTGCTGGATGCACCTGGCCTGGTCGATGACTACTACCTCAATCTGCTCGACTGGAGCTCGGGTAACCAGGTTGCCATTGGCCTGGAGCGAAATGTGTACGTCTGGTCTGCCGACAGTGGCACAGTGAGTTGCCTATTGGAGACATCACCCGACACATACATTAGCAGCGTCAAATGGTCCGGCGATGGCGCCTATGTTGGTGTGGGCCTTGGTTCCGGCGAGGTTCAGATCTGGGATGTTGAAGAAGGCACTAAGCTTCGAAGCATGTTCGGCCATGAAAGTCGGGTCGGTGTGATGGGATGGAACAAGCATACCCTGTCAACCGGGGCGCGAAGCGGCCTCGTCTTCAACCATGACGTGCGCGTTGCTCAACATAAGGTTGCCGAGCTCGTCTCCCACACGTCTGAGGTCTGTGGGTTGGAATGGCGCAGCGACGGCGCGCAACTAGCAACGGGTGGAAATGATAACTTGGTCTCAATCTGGGACGCCCGCTCATTGGCCGCGCCCAAGTTCGCCAAAAAGAACCACCGCGCCGCTGTCAAGGCACTTAGCTGGTGCCCCTGGCAGTTGAACCTCCTTGCGACTGGGGGTGGCTCCTACGACCGCCACATTCACTTCTGGAATACGACTACAGGAGCACGAGTCAACAGCATCGACACCGGATCCCAAGTGACCAGCCTCAAGTGGAGCAATCACTACCGCGAGCTGGTCAGTTCCAGCGGCTTCCCAGACAACTCCCTGAGCATCTGGAGCTATCCCACCTTGGTCCGCAATGTGGAAATCCCAGCACACGAGACTCGGGTCCTGCACAGCTGTCTGAGCCCCGACGGACAGATGCTGGCAACGGCGGGTAAGTCTGCGTATAATTCTCCCGACCTAAGCGATCCAAGCTAACAAGCAATACAGCGGCTGATGAAAGTCTAAAATTCTGGAAGGTCTTTGAACGCAAGGCAGGAGTCAGCGCGGCAGCGTCCAGAGAAGGCGGCGTCGGCAAGGGCGGAGCTATGGCGAAGCAAATGACCATTCGATAAGATGCCCCGCAGGTCATCAGGGTCGCGGTTCTGTTCTCGCATGGCGTTGGGGGCGAAATGCTCTTTTGGCGTGAGGTCAAATAATGATGATGAGGCTCTTTCTTCCTTGAGCAGGCGTGATGTATGCACGAGTCTCCTTGGATCTCGGTAGTTCTCGTGCCGAGATGCTCGCAGTTGTCGAAGCATGCATGCCTTGCACTAGAGGGTGCTACTACAATGAGAACACTTTGTTCCTGCTGTGTTGTTCTCCTCCTGGCCTTTCCTTTCCCTTGACGTGCTTCCCAGCTCATCGTGTTCCGTGAAGTAGTTCAGCCAAGGGCACTTTTGCACCGACCAGTCAGCACTCGTTCCTGTTCGTCCAGCTGCAAGTAAGCGCTGAGCCAGCTCGCGTGGGGACGTGATTGGCAAGCATCCCTCACCTACGGGCAGCCTCTCCGCGTCCTCTTTGGCTCAGCTCCAGGTTCGTTCTCCAATCTAGGTTCCATCCATTGAACCCGAGCCCGCCGGCGCCAGACCTCCCGCACCCTCTTTTCCCTTCAGTCGGCGCTTATCTTCTGTTCACCTCGCGCATTGCGAATCCACTCTTCCTCCAGATCCTGTGCTCTGCCAAATCACGCTCTGCCAACCTCTCTTCCGCCGGTGATCAATCTGCACGCTTCTGCAGCTCTGTCTGCACCTCTCGTCCCGTTTATCACCGTCCGAACTCTCAAGCTACTCTCTACCGCGTGGCAGGCTGGGGCATTTCCTTCGCATTTTCTCTTCCTACTGGTCCTTCATCACCCATCGTGGCTTTGTCTGGGTCCAAGCTGCTGGATCAGAAATTCCCCGGCCGCCTGGATACGCTCAATGAGTGGGCCGTCTGCCCTATTGCAGAATCTCGCAGCCGCACTCGCACCCTCAGTCCTCTGTCAAGCTCAGCTTCCTACCAGTCACAATGCTCCCTCGACGCGCTGCTCCTCCTGAAACGGCGGCGCCATCTGCCACAAGCGTAGAATCACAAAATGCACTGTTCACCTCACAAGCTAGGCGCGGCGCGAGTCTGACTCGGTGGACTCTGGCGTCTTGGACCCATGCGTCCGCCAGTTTTGTTCCATCTACCACATCGATATTGTCTTCGGAGCTATACTTCTAGTCCAGCACGGGCATAGCTGGCAATGCGGGCCTGACAATGCATGCTCGCCCAAATCATATGCAAGACCTCAATAACACCCTTGCAGGCGGCCTGCTATGCCATCCGCGCATCCTGAACATCAGGCCCCCGCCGAGACCACCAGGTATCCATTTCCGCCCTCCAACTCCCCTCCATCCTGAGAGCCTTTCTATTGACATACACCACTTTTCACCCGTATACTCGTCTTCCAATTACTCTCAACCACGTTCTTCGGCTTGTTGCTCGCTAGCTACGTGCTCTTCCGCGTTTGCTTATCCATGATCTGGCGTGTTGTGGCCCCTTCCACTCTCCCTCTATACCACCCACCTCTACACTGACATCCCTGTGCCAACTTGCATTGCCGCACGCGACCGTTGCGGCGGCCGCACCAAATCCATGCGACTGCTTGCGGCATCTACCAAACATCTGGCAGTCTAGCAGCGCTCTACAGTAGTCTGCCTTGTCCGTCGCACTTTTGGTCTCTGTTACGCCTTTCACTCTGGCCCGTCCACCTACAAACGAAAAGGCATCTTTCCATTTTGCTGCTGGCGCAGATTGACCTTGCAATCGCTGCGGTCGGTTGTGCCGCACGCCGTTGACGTCGGCAGAGATGATGGCTGTCAGAGCTCCTCTGGGGTTCAGTCCTTCGACAAACCCATTGTTCTCTCCATTCTCGCCCTTTCCGGACCACCCTGACTCGCCTCGGCCTCGAGCAAACGCAAATTCGGGCCTCCCTATGTACGATAGCCCTGCCTCCACTTGTGTGCAACGTGTCTGACTTGACCAGGTCCGGGACCGACAAGAGCCAGAGCACGAGTGACAACCAGCTCAAGCCACCACCTGCGAACTATATCACCTCTCCGCAGGACCCTGTAGCCCCTTCTCCCGTCGCTTCAGACGTCACCAACTTCGAGGACGTGGATGAAGAGGTAGAAGAGGAGGGAACAGAGCGAGGCTCGGTGGCTGAATTTGCGGCGGCGTTCCATGCGCAACAACGACCTTCGGTGACGTCCCCCTTAAAGGAGGCCTTGCAAAACATCACAACACCGTTAAGGGTATGACGAGGTGATCGACGCGTGTTCTCTCGCTGATGACACGTCTAGGTCGAGACGGGTCCTGCTCTGGACGAACAGTTCCGCACAAGGTTGGAAGAGGAGAAAGAGCCTCAGTCGGTCATCCACATACCAACTGGGTTTGGAAAATTTGTATATCACGCCTGTCTAGAGTCCTCTGGATCGTACTTACGCACTCTTAGCCGAATGTAGAAGCCTCGCAGTCCCTCCCCAGAGAAGAAGAGCCGCCCCAACCAGAGGCCGAATCTGAAGACAGCCAGACAACGGAGAGCAAAGAGCTTGAGAGAGCAAGAGCAGACTCTACCACCTCCAAAGCCTCCGAGGCAACCGTCACTAAACCTGCTGCGCCTGTCGCGAAATCAGCTGCCAGGGTGAGCTTTGAAGGTTGTCTTGGTGCTCACGTTGGCCTGACCTCGACAGACTCATGACGGCCCCATGCCTCCGACTCCATTACAGACCAGCCTGCCTTCTTTTCCACTCCACGACTGGTCCCGGACTCCAAGAGCACAGACTCGACAAGATCTAGGTTCCTTGAGCCGCCCAGGCTCGAGCCTTGCCAGTAAGCATCACTGGAGCACTTTTATCCGGATGTGACTAACACACGGGAGGTATCCTCGAGGGTGATGACACTGATCATCCCAGCAGCGACGAGACAGGAGCCGAAAGTCACATAGGACAACGCTTCCTTCGTGACGCTGAAGCTGAAATCAATGCCCTGCGCAATGCACTTTCCGAGTGTTGGACCCTCTGCAACACTCTGGCAAGCTTGAGCCACATCCATCGTGAGAGGATATTCAACTTCTCTGGTCGCGGTGACATGCAGGAACAAGCGTGGAAATCTTGCTGGAAACTGTGTCAAAATCTCTACGACACCAGAGACGATCACTCTTCGCAGGCGTTTTCTCATAACTCTTCCCGGCCTACCTTGGATCTATGTCGTGATTTCTGTCAGGCCCTTTTTGAAGTCCGAGTCCGCGACAACGAGACGGCCGACTCGGTGCTTAGAGTCAGCTTCGAACTAAACAATCACCTCTTCAACACTCATGACCGGAGTCTGCCCGAGGCATTTCGGGAGAGGACGCTGGATTTCTACATTACACTGTGTCACCGGCTGATGAAACAGAAGTCGAAGATGGCCGACGAGACAGATTCCTTACTCCGAGCTTGCTGGTCGTTGGCCGAGATGCTGTTCAGTCTCAGGCAGAACCGGCGCGAAGGCAAACGACCCGACTCGGAACTCCTTGGCTCCGCTATCCAAGCCTGTTGGGAGCTTTGCGACCTGTTCAGGGAAGGCTGGACCCAGATTCGCCCCGAAAGAGGGACCCCGAGACCAAGCCAGACCACCTTCACTCAGGCATTCCACCAAGCTAAACGATCTGGCTTTGCACCCCTTGACGAGAACGGCAACCCTAGACTGCTTCCCGAGACACCTACCACCATCTTCGAGGACACCGTAACCACCATTTCCCCGGATGAAGCACCTATTCCGAACATCCTTGTCCTTGGGGCAGAAGAAGCTTCCAAAATGTCCTCGGCCTCGTCTACTTCTTCCACACCTGCCCCGAACCAAAGCAGACAACTCTCACCCAACCCTCCGACCCAGCGAAATCCCCATTCTGCCAACCCTGCAATCAACCACAGATGGTCTTCCAACGCCTCGGTACTTTCCCTTCCGGCGTCCGCCGTGTCGGAGGGCGGTCCAAACCCCATGTCCGCTACTACCGTTTCGACAGTCCGTACGCCGGGCGAAGACCCGACGCTCATCCTGTTGAAGACGTTGTTCGTGAAAGCAGCGATCGCAACCGGCCGAGGTTTCACGCGCCAATCAGCAGATCCCAACGTCAATTCCTTGCCCAACTTCGTCCGCAACTTACCAGACACGGCATTCGGCACCCAGGCATGGCAAATCACTCTACTCGACAACTACCGGAAAACCGTGGCGAACGACTCATCGTTTCGCAATCTGGGTGTTGCAGGTACGATCGCCGAGCAAGGCCGTGTCAACGCCGTGGAACTTGCCCGAGCCGTGCGCGGCATGACCAGCTGTGTCTACGGCTTTGGCTGGCTTCGGGACCTCTACCGATTCGTGTTTGGGTATTATATCGAAGAGGCGCTCAAGGGTGCCAGCTCCCAGGTGGCGGGTAGTCGAAGGGCGGTGCGGCAGCATGGCCCTGCGGCTAGCCTCGCTGCTGCCCTTATGAGCAACACCACTCCTGCCTCGACGGGTGCGGCAGGAGGAGCCAGCTCAGCAGGAGGGGGTGGCGGTGGGAATGCTCCCGGTAGCGGCAATGGGAGTGGAAATGCAAACGCAAGCGGCAGTGGGAACGGTGGTGCCAGCGGACATCCGCATGGAAGACGGACCACGAGTCAATGAGTGTCAGGCCCGGAAGCTGCTGCGCCTTCGCCACGCCCGCTCCAGGATCGTTGTCGTGTAAGTTTTTGCGTCACAGACCTGTCGGTGGCACATAGCTACGCAGCGCCCGTGTCGGCCAGACTTGGGCTGTGTCCGTCCGGCATTCCAAGCTGCAGCTGTGTTGGTTGTTATCATGCATCATGAGGATATCGGTATAGCGAGCATTGGCGTTTCGGAGGTTATTGCGTGTATTGCCATGTTTCTCAAAGTAACGGGCTTCAGATACCCATGTCACGTTTTCGAGCAAAATAAAGACATTTCGGCGTCCAAGTAGTGTGGTCATCTCGAACATGTCGAGGGCAGGATACGAAACTGTCATTTGCAATCCCCCAGCGACGAGCTTGTAGGTGCAGTCAAGCGAGTTCTCCTCTGCCCACTCCTGACCGATCTGCGCACTGCACTCCCTTCCCACTGTTCACACCTTCCTCAAGACTAAGGTAGTGGCACGGGCAGCGGATTCTTTCCCAGACAATGCCGTCTCATAGCAGTGACCTCTGCAGCATGAACATCCGTCCTGTGGGACACGGGAGCCCCCATGTGCGGGTCTGTTCTTGGGGGGTCGACAATTATCTTCAGGAGGGCCGTGGTGTGGTAGGGTACGGTAGATCAGAGAAGAGTCAAGTACTGTCTACACAAAACGGTTCTGCTTCAGATCCTGCTTAAAAAGCGTTGTTCTGTGATACCTTCCGGTAAGACTTCTTGGTGCGGCGACTCAGGTGAGAACAAAGGGCATATAGACACAGAGTACAGAGTACATACTCCGTACACCGGGGTGTCATCTCCACGTTGCATTCGACCCCCCAACATTCGTCGTTCCAAACTGGACATTCCCACCCACTCGAGGGCACCAGATCGAGTGCAACGCGCGGGCGTATGATACGTACTCCGTATGCTTACTCCGTATGCTTACTGGCATTTCTACATCCACGCATGCTTGATTAAGCCACTTCCTTTTTGATCGACACAGTACACGCCACATTTCGACTCTTCGACACCTGGTATCCGCATTGGATGTGCAGATGTAGAAAAGCAATGCGTACGTGTATACAGTGTGTGTATCCGAATGCTTGTTGACGCTCCTCCGTCTATGTATGTACGGTACGTAATTAAAGCTTCATCTCATCTTCAGCCACAGCCACAGCTACAGCCACAGCCACAGTCGAGCACACAAGGTTCGCGTTCCTTGGATCGCGCCGCGCGAGGACTGTCGTCTCAGTTCCCTAGCAGGTACCTTACCTGCCTGAAGCGAGAACCTCAGACTCCGAACGGGGTCTCAGTCTCAGAGTGGATTGGGAACTGCAATCGTCCCTTCTCGCTCGGAGGGAGTGGCAGTGGCAGTGGCAGTGGCGCTGGGGCCGTCTCGTTCTTCGCACGCAGAGCCAGGTCCCGTGGGTCAATGCAGGCTCGACGGGTCAATCAATGTGCCTCTCGATCAGGTGAAGTCCAGTCGATATCCTTGGGCGGGGAAAACATTGCGCAGGGAACGGCATGTACTCCGTGATCTGGCCAGCTAGGCTGGCGTGGATACCGCGGAACAGTCGAGTGGTGGACCGCGAGCGTACTTACAGTCGTCGATATCGACGTCACCACCGGAGATGCGTTGAACCGTGACATCGGGCCTGCCGAACGTTTCTCACTGCTCGTTTCACTGACAGGCCGACCTTGAAGGCTTCATCTTCCAGTAGTGAGCACGGCTGAGAGCACCGCGTTGGGAGGAGGACAACCGAGATCGGGCAGATGGAGTATGGCAAGCAAGGCAGAAATAGTCCTTCACCCGTGCTCGGATGCTGTATCATGAATATGCTCTCATTATTTGGGGAAAATCTCAAAGTGGGTATGGTATGATGGTAGGGGATGTTGTGGTAGATGGATGGCCCTCAGCCAGTAGATGGCAGCCTTGAATCTCCTTTATTTTGTGCTTCTGTCGTGTGTGCGCAAGCGACCGTTGATAATAACTACGGCCACGCTTCGCCTCCCAACCAGGTCTATGTGCTCGTACTCGGATTCTTTTCTTCTGCTTCACTCTCAGATCTCTCTCTGCCTCTCGCCCTCCGTGCCGCTCCGCTTCTATAATCATTGTCCACCCTCGCTTCGCTGCCAATTGCTCCGGTCGTTCAGCGAGTCGGTCGGGGTACGTAAGAAAGCGCCATATATTACCTCTTCTCCATCGAGAGATCCCGCCTTGGCGAACATCACAGGTTGGAGACGAGGCAAGTAAGATCGTGTCAACATGTGTCGTGAGTAAAAGCAAGATTCAAGATGCCTTGTCAAAAAACGCCGGCGATGTATGAACTCGTCGGAAGGGAGTCCCGTGTACAATCCCCAGCCATGGTCATGCAATCTGTAGCGACTTGAATAATTCGTCCATTTGCTTAACGTCCTCGCTTGATCAAGTGTCCGGTTGTCCTTGCGTCTGCGAGTCCTTCCGTGAAAATTTTGCAGGAACTGGTCGTCGTTCGGTAGGTCGTGCCACGCCGAAAAGGCGTGGGTGAATCGATGCAATAGTGCCAAAAAAGGCTCAAGGCATAGCAGCCTCGGTGGTATCGTTAACATGACGGGAAGTTATTCCAGGTGGTGGAACATGATGAAAGCGCATAAAGCAGACGAAGTATGCAGGGTGATGGGATCGGAAAAGACTGTTTGAGCGGCGCTAGAGCTCCATCAAGGAGCTATATTCAACAGGTAAGGAAAGAAAAGGAAATTCGAGCTAATTTGCTCTGGTGGCTGGCTTTCAGCGCTGAGATTCTAAGCAACCGCAGCAGCAGTGGCTATAGCCTCGGTGGCCTCGGTGGCGGGAGCAGCTGGAGCGCTATCCGCTGGCGCTCCGTTGGCGACTGGCGCTGCTGAACCGTTGGCTTCAGCGTTTTGAGGACAGTCCTTGCTGATGTGACCGGGTTGTCCGCACTTGTAGCAGGTCTTGCCTGCAGCGTTCAACGGCCCGCCATTTGGAGCTGTACAATCACGAGAGATGTGGCCCTGAGAAACAGTCAATCAAACGTCTCGAACACAAGTGCGGTTCACATACGAGTTTGCCGCAAGCATAGCATTTCATAGCCTGAGCTTGACAGTCTCGAGCATAATGATTAGGGCCACCGCATTTGTAGCATGTCGCTGCCCGGTTGTTGGTCACACCGTAGCCTGGGCGGAAAGCAGCATATCCCCCACGACCACGACCGACGGGTGGTCCCTGAACATTAGGAGTGGGGCAGTTGCGAGCCAAGTGACCGATCTGGCCACAAGAGTAGCATCGACCTCCAGTAGGGCCACCGTTGATGCGCAGGGTAGGGCAATCAGCCTGGACGTGGCCAAGTCCCTGGCAGTGGTAGCATTGTTTTGCTGCAGCAGCCTCAGTGAGCTTCAAGGTCCTCGAGATATGAACAAAACGTCACTCACTTTCGGTTGTGCGCGGCATAGGACACTGATTGGATTCATGACCCGGCTGCTTGCAGTTGTAGCACAATCTCTCCGAGGAAGTGCACACTTCAGCATAATGGCCGACATTGCCACACTTGTAGCATGCGCGGCGAGAAAGAGACGACATGCTGGACTAGTTGGTTTGATCTTGTCCTCAAGCCCTGTTCTCAACGTGTCAGATATCGTCCTCTTAAGCCCGATTTGTGCGAGAGTGATCGGAGCGCAATCGTGTCGGTCGGAGGGAAGATCGATAAGGCGGAGGCGCGGACTCGCATAGAGACAATACGGCGACATACCTCGCTGGATGAACCTGGTTCGAGTTTCCCTGTCCCGCAACCTCTGGGTGATGTTAGCCGCCGCAGGATCCAAGGCGTCGGGTACGTGCAGTTGTGGACCTCCTGACTGAGCGCAAGGAGGGGTACAATTGAGGGTGAGTTGAAGCAGAGATACAAGAGCAGAAATGTGGTTCACTCACAATTGGCGCAACTTCCCACTCGACCTTTCCAACGACTTCCAGCCTCCTTGAGACCCTTACGACGTCCGAGCAGCACCGACTGATGGAAGAGAGAAACGAGCTGCGCAACAAGGACCTCAATCTGTCCAGAGTCGCATTCAGAAAGAAACGAGCCAAGGCCGACACTAAGCCAGAATCAGACTAGCTGTCATTTGATATCACTCTCCCGTCATACCGTCGCCGTCGAAGCGCCGGACCACATTGCGAACAACGACTACGATCGTAACAATGGACGAGTGCGGCAGGACATCCTCTCGGGAGCCCCTCGTCTTCGAGAGCAATACCAACCCTTCGCTGGCTCTGAAGTTTGTAACTCTTAAAGTGGTATTTGGCAAATACAATCCGTGTCGCTGTTCTAATGCATAACCGTCGCCTTCAACATGCCGTCCTGCCCACAGTCGTTATTCCTGTGGGCTCTTTTCAATGACAGCCGGAGCTTTGATCTCCCTACCCCTCAGATAGCCGAGTCCTTCGCCGCCCTGTCGTCATTGTTAGCAAAGACCCAGAAACAAATTGGTCGAAGGACACCACCTACATAGCTGATGAGAGGAGACACCTCGACACCCTTAGCATTGCCTTCAGACACGACCGTAGCCCCTGCAGCTTGAAGCCACCGAGCTCCCTGGTCCATGATATCTGCTTTGCTGGTGTCCGGGTTGTCTTCCGCGGACCCACGTGCATTCTTCAAGGGCGAGAACTCCTCTTTGCGGTCAACCTCAAAGCATGCAAACTTCTCCATGGGTACAAAGGGAAAGACATCGAACACAAATTGCTCCAGCTTGATACCATTGGGCTTGTCAGGCTTGACGGTTTGGCCGGTCTCTGTATCCATAAAAGGGATTTTCTTCTTGGCAACGTGGTGAGGAAGCTTGTAGCCCCATTCCTCGATTGCTTCGAGGAATCTGAATGAGTAATAGTGGTTGACAATGTTGGCGGCTCTGAACTTGAGACGGTCGCCGGTGTCCTTGGCCTCGGCCATCTCCTGGTCCATCTCAGAGTATTCAATCACGTCTGGCTTGCCGTCCTTCTCTACGATCAAACCAACTGGTTCGTTAGCAGCTCGCTTGCGGACCACCTTCGTGCCAATGTCAACCGCCTTGCCAGCGGCGAAGCCAATGAAGACTGGATCAGCTACTTTCACCAGACAATTGTCCACACAGTAGGCGTGAACATGTTCAATACCACGCTTCCGCATATCTGCCCGGGCTTCGGAGAGCACCAGAGCCTGGTAGATGCCGCCATTGCCATCCGGAGCAACAGCAACCTTGGATTTGGTCTCCATAAGGATCTTGCCCTCGTTAGATATGCACGGTAACACTCCTTGCTCGAAGATGACGATGTTCGCTTTGTCCAATCCAAAGTAGTTGTGCTCTTGAAAGAACCTCTCCGTAGGCGCTCGCGTAGGGCCGCTGGTCATGACATACCAAGGTACAACAGGAGGCGTCGAAGCAGAAGCATGCTGCTTGGCCAGTTGTTGCACCTTCCATATGCGTTCTGCCTGCATCTGAAACAGCGACTTGTGGCTGGGAAGACCAATGTCAAAACATCCCTTGGGATCAGAGCTGCCCAGTCTTGTACCCTGCCCACCTGCCATCAACACCACCGCCACCTTGTTTTTTGCGATGATACTAAGGCCCTCCCTGTACCATTTCTCTTTCTGCTCGTCGGTGGTCTCGAGGAGGGAAGCCGTAGCTGACTCAGGCAGAGGGTTGATGGAAGGAGCCTGTGCAGAGTCCTTCGGAGGATGTAAAGCCTTGTCTGCAAGGATATTGATTCGGTCCGGATCGAAGCCGGAGAGCTGCTCGAACAGCGCGCCTTTGCCATCTGTGTCTAGGTCATCGTAGAATGCAAACACGTGTTCTTGGTTGGCTTTTTCGTATTTCTGACGCAACGACTTCAGCTCTTCTTCGGTAGGCTCCCTAGCTGGGGCGCCACGGTCCTTGGAGGCCAGATTGAGCCTTTCCAGCATCTTGTTCACCATGCTTGCAGCCATCGTTTGGATTCGTGGTTACTGTCGCTTCACGTGGTGCACGGCAAGTTGGAAACCTCAGAGAAAGGGCAAATACGTGTCAAAGAGGGAGTGTACCACCTTTGGAGACAAAGACAGCTGCTCACTGCAGTCAAAACAGCAAGTGACAGTAGGGGCCAACTCTTGAGCTTTCACGAGCTGATGGAATGTCTGGTGCGGTGAGACAGCAGCGTTTCAAAACATCTCCGCAGCTCCTCCGAAAATGACCAACACACGAAGCCCTAGGGTGACGTATGACAAGGTTTCAATTCCTTGCCCGGATGAGGTTGATCCAAGGTGAGAGATACATTCTGCAGCACTGGGCAGATTCATGCTAAAGACAGCCGTCGAAAACTGCAGATGCAAGCCGGTCGCATATCGCCTTCAGGATGAAATGGGGAGATACTACAGTGTAGAAGTTATTGTACACAAATTGATTATTACTATTCAAGAAAGGATAGCTGGACAACTTGGTCACCGATCTCTATTCCTTCTCGATGAGCGATAGGAATCTCCTCTGCTCTCTCGTGGTCTATCTCCCTCTGTACCTCTGCCACTATCCCTGCCTCCGCCCCGATAGTGGTCTCTTTCCCTCCGATCTCGGCCATCATACCTGTCCACGTCTCGAGCGCGGCGGTCATCTCGTGCTAAGTCTCTGTGGTGGGAATGTTGCGGGCTCCTGCTCCGTGACCTTCGGGGTCCCATCTCTGGCAGGCTGTCCACCTTGCGGCGCGCGTCGTCCTTGTCGAAGACCATTCTGTAACCCCGTCCGTTCTGCTCGCGGGTAGCTTCATCTCGGTAATGTCGTTTTTTCTCGAGACTCGCGATCCCGCCAAAGCCGCCTGCCTGTCGCTGTCTCTTGGTATTCGTCGCATCTCTCCAGGTGTCTGATAGCTTGGACACGCTTTGCGAGAAGTCTACATGGATGCGATGATCATCAATGAGTACGCCCTGCATCTTGAAGTACGCCTGCTCACAGTCCTTCTGATTCTCGAACTCAATAAAGGCATACTGTAGACTGTCGCCGGTGCGTTTGTCTCGGATCACCTCGCAGGAAAGGATCCTGCCGAAACGGCTGAAGATCAACTCGAGATCCTCGTCATGGGTGACGGGATTTAGCTTGCATACAAAGAGAACGTTCTCCGGAGGCTTGACTTCTGCAAACGGGAGGTCACCCACCATTTCGAGGGTCAAAGCCTGTGCTCTTGCCTCTCGTTCACGGCGAAGTTTTTTCATGGCTGCTTCATCGACTTCTTCATCGAGATCCTCATCATCAGCGATCATGACGGTGGCCAGCTGCGCTTTGGTTGGAGCTGGACTCGCATCAGGCACAAGGAGCCCTGGAGGGTCAGGGTAGGGATCTTCAAGGACGATCGTGTGGCGGATGCGGATGTCCTTGAGCGGCCTCCCATCGGAGTTCGTGAAGGCATCGTTTATCTTCTCCAGAGTGTCAAAGCCTTCTACAACCATTCCAAACGGAGCGGCTTTGCCATCCAGATAGTCGATGTTCTCCCCGAGAGTGATGATGAATTGGCTTCCAGCAAGTCGCTCGTCGGGATCGCGTGCCGACGGCACCGTCGCCATGCTCACTGTCCCACGCTCAGTATGTTTGAGCTTTGGGTCGATGTCGGCAACGAAGCTCTTCTTCGAGGGACCGGAGAGCAGGCCCCATATCGAACTACCTCCGTCACTCTCGGGTGAATCTGAGCCGAGTGGATCTCCGGTCTGACAGGTGAAGCCTTTCTGAACGCTGTGAAACGGAGAAAAGTTATAGTACTTCACTTTGCACAGTTTTAAAAAGCTTGGTGGCATGTCAGCGTCCCTATCATGGCAGGATAAACAGCGTCAAACTCACTTTTCACAGCATCTTGGCGAGCTGTTGACGAGCAGGTCGATGACTATCTCGCCCAGCGATGTTTCAAGTAATACACTCATGTCGGATGTCCCACTCAGACTTAGCGAATGCGCGCCTGCACAGTCTTCGTTGACCAAGCCCGCGTTCTATGGCTTTGGCATGACGAGGGTGAACGGAGCATGACTCCGGGATTTTTGATGGGGAGACGTCTCGACATGGAGGGTGTCGGTCTTCATGCCAACTGCGCTTTGAATCTGAGACTTCAAATGACCGTCATTCAGAACCATCGGCCAAGGCGCCTCTGCCTGGCCACATTACCTACACAGTAGGTAACTATGTGGCAGCTAGGAACTAGGCCTTATCGGGCTCGCGCCTTCCTGCTGGTCTAGTTAGCTTTACGCTTCGGTCCAGGCTTCACTGCCACTTCACGGCCGTCTCACTTCGCGTTCACCTCCTCCTTACAATGCACTCGATGCTGAGTGTGAGCTTCAAATGAGATTATCTGTGCTGCACTTCTCGGGTGGGCATTTAATGGCTTCATCTTCGCTTCCGTCTTCTCAACCTAATGCTATCGCCAAGGTCAAGCTCATTTTCCCAAGCTCATATCGATACTTTTGATCGGCTGCCAACAGACAACAGACCATGAGCCTGACACGCATGTCCAACGGAACATGAAAATCAACAACAGAACTGGGAAGAGCAGCTCGATTTGACCTCCGTCTTTGCAACAGCGAATGAATGCACGCCCCCACCAGTCCGAGAGAAGTATACTGTAACAACGCCCACCCTGCAATTATCCACGTTGCCAGTCCTTCTTTACACAGTCATACAGAAATCCCCCGATTCTGTCACGAACCGTCGTCTTTCATGGCTTCCACCCGTGCGTCGATGACAGGTCCAGCCGTGTTGCCCTGGTCTCACCGTCAACCTCCCATCTTCTGATCGGCGCTGGTCTGCACAACGTGAGCTTGCACAAAAGGAGATAAGCATCTGGCGTGGATCATTTTCGAGCCGCAGCTGAGCACGCATGTCCATCAGCCATGCCCAGTATCTCGCAAGAGCCATCCATGGGGCAACTTGTCGGCGGTCAGTGTGCCCGCCATGATGAGTTGTGCAGTGCTCCTCGGAGTCGTCCAGTAACTACACGACTTGATGCTCACGGGCATCATTCGGCCAGAATGAGCAGGTAGCATTCGGGGGTTGCTTCTGAGGGGTGCTTCCTGCTGCAGACATCCGTAAAGGAGGGTTTCCCGGCTAACCCTCGCACGAAGGTGGCGGCAGCTCAGGCCCTACTAGGGCTACGTTCTTGGTTCAATGCACTTCTGTGTGACGAGGACGGACCTGAAACACATTCTCTGATTTGTCAGGTCCTCTGTGGGTTGGGCTTTGGAGGGATGGGGCTGACCTCTCGACATCTTGTGTTACCAAAGTACCCTGTGATGTTCCGCAGGCTCTTTACAGCGACGGTGTAGGGGCCTACCTTGCACACAGGGTACATGTTATCTCAGGACAGCCCATCTCGAACGCTCAGCTACGGTTCTGCTTCTGTCATGTGCACCATTCCTGTTGCCAGTTCTCTGCATCAACTGTTCCGCACGTCCCGAATCCCCTCAGCGTCGGGATGACAGTCCGATCGGCGAGCGATTGTGCGAGGAGTTAATTCCCCTTCAGCACCCAAGATGTCAGGGATATCCTTCCGCTTCTATCCGAGTGTTGTGGATAGAACATGGGCAGTAGTCCTCGACGAGGCTGCGTAATGAGAGGCGGAAGGCTGGGCTTGAAGGTCGCTCCTGTGTGCAAAGAGTCCACCCCTAATAATACTACCCCATACCCGGCTGATCCTTCCAGCTGCGAGTTTGCTTGAAAACAAATTGGGCATCTGCAAGGATTTGCGGCCGAGGTTCGCAGCCAATCAATTGCGATGGACACTAATAGCAAACAGAGCCCGCTCATGAGCTGTGTTTGGAGCCGCAACAACACGACGCCGATTTACATTCCACCCTCTTCGATATTTTGCCCCCAGAGACGTGCGTCACGCGTTCTTGGAAAGGTGTGGTTCAGAAGGATGCGGAAGCTGTTTTGATTACCCACATGGAACCTATCCAGACAGAATCCAGACCCAGTTCTATGTGCAGTCAGGGCTCCAAAACGGTTTGCAGGTTGGTCTCTGAAGATTCATGAACCTCTGATTGGTCTTCTGCACCTATTCTGTTTCACGGCTGTTATGGCAGGCGTCCCATAAGCTCGTCGACGACTGGTTAGTCGCTAGTGTCCGCTGAATCAGGTTCTTGCAATGGACCAAGCATCAGTGTCACACGACCGGATGCCTGCAGCAAGGCCGTTGCAAGGGAATCTTACGACCAGGTTTCAAGGACGACTCCGAAAGCGTGACTTTTTCGGTGCAAGTCCACAGTGAAGCCATTCGGGTCAACGTCGTTCATGATATGACACATCTCTTCAATCTGGTGTGGACCGCCATTGGGATATTTGATCTTTTCTCCTATTGGAGTACATCCTAGACATGCTTCTGTTCGACTGATCCTGGCTTCTTTCTTATTTCTCCGCTGATGCTCACTGCTCAGGTTCGATCACTGCGCTAGTCGGAGGTTCTGGCAAGCTCAAATAGGACCTGGTGCCTACTTTCAGCCATTGGTCGGCGAAGGCTCAGCCCTCTTGACGTCGCCAATTTTCATGCCTGAGTACTTTTGTTTGCTGATTCTCGCTTCGGTTTCAGGCGTGTTGTGCATTATGGTGGGCAAAATCCTCCGAATGTTGTGCATGTTTCGGTTAACAGTCGAGCTAGATCATGACACGGCCGCTATACTCGGACCTTGAGTTCTTCAGGCGCACCGATCGAGGGGTGCACATGCCACTGAGCCAGAGTTCTCATGTCCACGATCAATATGAGACTGGAAGCCACCTCAGCAGCCGCACTACGCCATCATCTGAGCCAGATAGCAGAACGTCGACCGGCTCGAGGAAGCGTGTGCCTGTTGCTGTACGTTGTGCATAGCTCATACGATATAGTTCGAAAGGCTCTCTGACACGTTGCAGTGCGAACGATGTCGAAAACGAAAAATCAAGTGCAGTGGCAATGAAGGCGATAGTCAAGCTTGTGCCAACTGCAAGAACTCTGGGTTGGAAGACTCATGTCGATTTCTTCGAGCAAGTGCCCTCCTTGCCGTCATGGAGGCAGAACTGCTGACTTTTTCAAGGTCCAATCTGTTGAAACCACGCACCTTGGCTTTCCGCGGACCTATGCACCCCGATACTCTCCGTATGGACTTCCGTCCCATCATCGCCTGAATTACATGTCTATGCCGTCGAGATGCTCTCCGCCCAGTACTCTACAATATCACTCTCTTCCTAGCAGCGTTGAGTACAGTCCGTACACTCATCAAGCCACGAATGTCGACTGGAGGCCGCCATATGTCGGACATATGAATCCGTATTCACCATACCCTGACGACGAAGAGTCAAGTCCCCTCGTTACGCAACCTCCGTCCTACATGCTCCCCAATACAGATCCCATGGCGACCACCAACACCTTCTACATGCACGGACATGGAGTGAGACCACATCCTAGTTCACTTTGGCCAGAGACTCAGCCCTGTGTGTCTCAGCCCATTTCGCAGCTGACCGGCATCCCCTACACTATGCCTCATGAGACTGCACAGTCCTTCCAAACAATTGGAATCGCTGGAAGCCTTCCTTCAGACCGTATCTTACCACAACCCATCACGGCACGTAGCTATATACCGACGCCAGCCAGCTCAATTGATATACCTTTTTCCAACCCGGTTCAGCGAACGCATAGCCTCTGGCACAACGATACGGGGACGTCTGTTCACCAGCTACCGAATCCAGCGGAGGCGAATTCAAGGCAAGAGCAGAGCACTGGCAGGGAAAGTGTCTCCTACAGATTACAAGACATGACATATAACCAGGCGAACTTGAATGAAGCACTTTCCGTGACTCCTGCATCGGCCGGCAACTATCTTGCAGTCGACGAGTCTCGGCGTTCTACAACGACAGCTCCACGGGAAGATGCCACCTCTCAGCAGTCGGCCTTAGGTCTGATCACGCCCGGGAGCCAGAAATCAAACACGGAGACCTCCGACGTGACATACAACTACAGTTCCATGGGCAGCCACCTTTCACAATTAGGCGGTGCATCTGGCGAGCTCCGCCCAGGGGCGTTGTACTGCCAAACAACAATGCTTCCACAACGAGAAGCTGGCTCTGATGATTGCAGTCCGGACTGCACCAGCTGTCAGACTGAGTCCACTCGAACGTCGTTCACGTCGATGACCAGCACGTCCTCCGGTTGCTGAGCAGAAAGTCACATCCTTCCCGATGTTGGTCAGTCTCATTACCGATGTTTCCTAACTTGTCTAGGCTGCAGCAAAGCGTTCTGTCGTTTTCTCTCTGCATTAACATTGTGTGGCTATACGATACCTTGACACAACCATCATAACTCTAATACTGGACATAGCCAATTCTCAGGGGGCCTCTCAAAGGCACAGGACTGCACCATTACAAGGGGTTTGGCATGTATTCTCGGGACTCATGATAGTGGAGGTAATATTGCGGCTCTGCTTCTCGCGTTTTTCTGGTTGCGTTTTATGTGCCATGAAAAAAGCCGGCGGGGAAAACGTGTGATTGCGACGACAAAATGAACAGGTATTATTGGGGGGTGTTGTCGAGCCGTTCGCAGAGGGGAAAAGTATTCATGCTCCAGTCGGATCTCGTGTTGGATGTCATTGACTTCCTTGTTTTCAGTGTCGAGCTGAATCGGAAGCCAGGTAATCAAGCTGCTGCTGTGACGGTGCCGGAAGAGGGCAGATGTACGAAGAAGCCCATCATGTACTCCAAAATCCCGGTCTCACTGAAATCTCGATAGAGGGCCTCAGCCCTCAAGCAGAGTGTGATCCTGGTCTTCACATGACTTTGTACCATTAGTTGAAATGAACGAATGGCTTCGGTTCATTTCACCGCATAGGCTCGTTACAAACCTGGGAAGCATCCTCTGCTGCGAGAAATGAAAGTCAAGAACTGTCCTCAAATGAGCGGGCTGCCAGCCATGTCCACTTTGATGTAATTTTTCATATTGTTGTCATTTGCAATGCCACAATGCTGGGTGCTGGTGTCATTCTAGCAGACCAGTCCGCGTGCAAGCCAGAAGGAGGCCAATATGAAGAGTCTGTTCAGGCTGACAATGCTTGACCACCTTAGTCGCTTCTTCTATCCGCGCAAAGGTTGTGCCACCTGTGTTCTCTTCTCCTCTCCCCATCAGGTGAGCAACCACAGAATACCTGCGCCCTCGAACGTGAGGCATCTCACCCACTGCCACCGACACCGAGATCGCCACCACCACGGCTCCACGACCATCACATCCACATCCACTACCACTCTCCCCCTCAGGTATGTCCCGCTTACTTGCTCTTCTTGTCCTTCTTGGCGCCTTTCGTCTTCGCGGTGCCTCGGAACTCCTTACTCCTATTCTTCCGCTGCTTTCTCTGCTGTCGACTGGCCTTCTCGATCTTGGTGGCGTGCCCGACTCTGACCAACCGATAGTGCGGCTCGAATTTCTTCATGGCCTCGACGGAATCGTAGATGAGTGCAAAGCCCGTGGACTTGCCACCGCCGTACTGGGTGCGCATGCCGAAGACGTTGATCTGGTCCTTGTTGGATTTGTACACTTCGGCGAGTTTGGCGCGCAGGTCGTCCTTGCTGACGTTGGGGCGATTGGGGTGCAGGACATCGCTGGGTGGGCCATCAATGTCAGCTTGAGATGTTTGGTAAAAAGAGGCACGACTTACACGACAAACTGCTTGCGCGAGAGCAGTCTGTTGGTGATGAACTTGCGGGTTCGGATCGTGACCGCTGAGTCGGCCATGATTGCGACGGGCTGGACGGAGTGATCGCAATCGAGGTCGTCGAGATGGGAGGGGAGTCGAGTATCTTTTGTCGCTCGGATCAAACGAACGCAGTTGGATGTCGATATGCAAGATTCGGTCGCTCGCTCGCGCCAAAATTGTGGGCTTGGCATCGTGAAATCTTGGCGGCCGGATGGGCTAGTCCCGATTGGTATGCGAGCGCGCTCCAGGGCAAAATCAATCACCACAACGAAAACTAGTTCTTTCACCCACCTACTCTTTGTTGGATCAACCGATGTCAGGTGCAGACCGGAGGTCTACTAGATATCACTCATTAGAGAGGTTGATAGCTCTCGGGGCCTCGACAGTGGAATTCTCGCTAGCGAGTCCGTCGTCATGGATATTTCTCGAGCTGGCGTCGAGCCCGTCGTGGTCAAGTTCTATCGACAATACATGCAGCAGATCAATGAGCTAAGCTATCCACCTGGATCTCTGCTGCTCGCTCCAGACATCCAGACGTGCTTGTACAAGTACTTTTTCGATGCAAACCAGAACAAGTTTCTACCTCCACCACGGTATCAGACCAAAGTCCTGCGCCAGATCATCAGGGAGATCGAAAAATCGATCAAAGACCCCGAAGAAGAGGTAGGCCTACTGCTTTTGTGATTTTCCACGTTCATGCCTGGCTGCTCTTTAGAGTCTGTTGTCTCATTTCCTAGTCTGTCTTGGAACAACTGACTTGGCGCCACACAGCAAGTCTCGGACCAGTTATATGAACACCTAGGCCACCTCTCCGGGATCCCGCTCCCGGACCCGTCAGAAGAAGCCCAACAACTTCGCGTGCACTCTTACTTCCCACCGCTTCCGTATGACGAGCCCGGCGTCCAGCCCGTTCTGATCAAAGAAGCACACAATCTTCTCTCCAAGGGCAACAACGTCGGGCTCCGGACGTGGGAAGGCTCTCTCCATCTCGCGTGGTACTTGGCAACCCAGCGCCCAGAGCTAGTCAAAGGGAAGAACGTGCTCGAACTTGGCGCCGGGACGGGCCTTTTGTCTCTGCTTTGCGCCGGACATTTGCGTGCTTCGTCCGTCCTGGCGACCGATGGCTTGGGCCACGTATGCGAGTGCCTAGAAGCCAATATCGAGCTTAACGTGGAAAACAACACACTGCAGAACGGTCGAGCGCCGCAAGTCCTGCAGTTGGACTGGACGGACCGTGAGGCAATCGATGAACTAGTGCAGAGCGTCAAGAACCCAGGCACGAGCTACGACCTGGTCATAGGCTCAGATATCACCTACCACCCGGACATTCTACGACCGTTGGCTCAGGTCCTCGGCACTTTGAAGGATTATTTTCCCGACATGGTCATCCTCATCTCGGCAGCCATTCGAAGCGACACTTTCTCGCATTTCACGAGGACCTGTATAGACGAGTTCGGGTTCACCGCCATGGAAGAAGACGTCCACATCCCTGACGGACTGCAGTACTCGGGCTTTTTCCATTCGGTCATCACGCCCATCAAGGTCATCTCTCTCCTGCGCTGATGGTGATGGTGATGGTGAAGCTGGAGCCAGACGTCTCGCAAAACACAACGGCGGAGAAGGCACGAAACAGCTATCTGACTAAACTCGACTTGGGAGCTCTCGTGCAGACGAAGTGATTATCAAAAGACAAGGCTACTAAGCTGGCAATTCCGTCGCGTGCGAGGGTTTCGGACGGTCCACCTTAATCCCTCGGAACAGTCTCCGCTACGCGGGTAAATATCTGAACTCGCAGGCCTTTCAACGCATTGCACGGACGACAAAGCACGCAGTGAGTACTCAAGCTGGTTCAGAAGAGAAGTTCACTTCCTCATCCGATTGGGTTCAAGTTCTGTTGAATCAAGTATCCGGTCTCGTGGCGCGCAACTATCGAGCATACGAGTCACATCCATGCATTGCAGAGCCATGACACCGGGATAACTGCGTACCCAGACCGTGGCACTGCGATGGTATTTCTGTGTCCCCACGTTCTCGGGTACAACAACGTGGCATCTGGGCTTTCAATATCGAGAACACCTATTTCAACAGCGAGCCATACAGGCGTGTACAAGATGGAAGATCGTCACCCTACTTTGTCCAACTCGATCCATTTTGTCATATGCAGACTGCGTGCAATCGGCGAATGTATATTAAGTCGTGCAGTGCAGGTGGCTGTCTGCACGGTGTCAGAGTTTCAGAGTACCTAGAGTGCTCGTGTGTTGTTGAGAGCTGTATTTAAGCGGCCAAGATCTGGAGCCTCTATGCCACGCCAATGTCGGCGTATTTGTCCCTCGCGTACCCTGCATCACTGGCGTACAGTAGCTGTAGCTGTAGCGAGACGAAGCCAACACCGACACCTACCTACCTATATTAAACCCTCCGGCTCTACCCTTGCTGGGGATGCCTCCGGATGCTGGATTCCTTCTCTTGTGATGCATGCGTAAGTGGAACCGAAATGCCCGCGATCACAAAGCCTATCTGTATAGCCTTGCCGGAGGTGCGACCGTTTGGCTTGAGAGCCAAGACTCAAAGCTCACGACACCTCCCTGACCAACGGCTTGTACTGGCCCAGATCGCCATCATCACCATCCTCATCCTCATTATCACTGACATCAAAGTCACTCGGATGCGCTAGCCCACGACCCTCCCCCGACTGCAACTGATCCATCAGAACATTGACGTCCATCTCCGCGGCCGTCATGCCCCCGCCGTGCTGATCCGCGCCTCCTTGGCGCGCATCAAGTACAGCGCGGCGACGCTCCTCGGGTAATGTCGTCCTCAGGAACATGATCAACAGGCCTATGTCGTAGATGATTTTAAGAGCTGCGGCGAGTTCAAAGGGGACCCACCATCGCTCCTTTGACCATATCATGCCCGTGACAATGGGGCCGAGACAAGCGCCGAGAGTGCGCACAAAGTTCAGCGTGCCCATGACTTGGGTGCGTTCCCTGGGCAAAAACACCGCCGCGACAAACGCCTCGCGGGGCGCTTGGTCCATGCTGCCGAACACGGCGTCGCCGAGCAGCAGAAACACCAGCAGACGCCAGCCCGAGACCACGAGCCCGAGCGGGACAAGGGCCAGGAACACGGCCGAGGGCAGGTGCGTGCAGACCATCGCTTTGACCAGGCCTAGCCTGCGTGCCACGGCTGCTGAGAAGAGGTTCGAAAACGAGGCGGCTAGCCACACGAGTGACAGGGCGTACCCGATCCGGTGGGTGAGAAACCAGCGGCTCCGCCACGACATGTACCACGACATGACTGTGAGGGGGAGCATGCCGGACGCGAAGGCGTTGAGGCCAAAAAGGCAGGAGAGGCGTAATAGGATAGGCAGGGACGAGCGGGAGACCTTCCATGGCGAGGAGAGGGAGGTGCGCAGCCGGCCAAAGAAAGAGTCTTTTCTGCCACGTTGAGGCTGAGAATGTGGCGATCCAGATCGGATGCTGGCGGTGCGCGTGATATTTGGCTGTTTCGCAGTTGAGGAGCGCCGTGGCGTGCCGTCGAGCAGAGGTCTCGTTTGTTCTGACGGAGAAGCCACTTCTTCGTCTACTTCGGTCATTGACGCCGTTGTCGCCGCCCAGGAGTATTGCCCCGCGGCCTTTGCTTCGATGTTCTTGCTCAGGAGGAGGGTGACGAGGAATTTGACGAGGCCGATGATTGCGTACATGCCGAAGATTGGAGGATATGTTTCTTTCCAGTCAATCTTCAGGTATGTCCGTTGTGCATAAGTGATCCACCCTGTCACGAACAGGCCAAGTGCCATGGCGAGGGTGGAAGAGACGGCGAACCAGGCGAATATATCCGTGCGAGCTTCTAACGGGGCAAGTTGTGCAAGGATGCCTTCCTGTTGAGGCACAAGTCAGTCCAGCCAAGGCTGTGCCTAGTGGGTGCATTTCGAACCTACCTCCACAGCGCGGAATGGTCCGACTTCGTGTGCTCCTGGGGATATTACTCCAAAGACCGCGGCCAGCAGGAGCAGATAGTAATTCTTGCTGAATGCAAACACTGTGCCGGAGAGTGTCATAAGCAGCGACCCGATCAGCAGAATCCGTCGTCTTCCAACTTTATCCGCTAGGATTGTCAAACTATAGCTAATTGCGGCATCGCCCAGTAGGGTCAATGTCATGAATGTCCCCGTCTGTTTCCAACTGACACCGGCCTGCGCATACAGGAAGATTGCCAGGACGAGGGCGGCGCCGCCATAGGCAAACATGCGGAGGAACCGAGTCATCAAGATGAGGTAGATGTCTCTGTTGCCATATTCGCGGATAGATTGAAGGCCCGTCTCGCGGTTGAGCCAATGGAAGAAAGCGGAAATGGATGCCATGTTGAGAATCAGATATCGGCGACAATGAATATCGCGAGGCTGATCTGGGCGGCAGTATGCGGAGCACTGCTCACGCCGATAGAATAAAAAAAGATCTCGAAGGGAAAAGAGCAGAAACGACAGAATCGAAGCGGCAGCACGGTCGTCAGGACCGCATGGGGTGAGGTCAAGGTACACCGGCGGACATCTTCCAGAATATATCGCGCCGGCTTCCAACTTGAAGCTGCAACCAACCGATCACTTACTCTGCCTGGCATTGTTAGATAGGCAGAAGTTCCCCGCACCTCGAGCAGGGAAGGCGACGATTGGAATCGAGGTGCGGGATGCAAAGGAGATGCATTAATGCGTGAAGGGGGGGCCTTACTCACGATAGCCGGCACCGTGGTTCGTCGCTGTCAAGGATGGTGTAGCAGCGGAACAAGCGTGGTTAACCAACAACGTGCATGCTGATCGTCATTGATATCAGAAAGCCTGGACTGTGAGAGGCCGACATTTTGCTCTCGCTTGAAGCTCGAAGGAAGTAAGTGCCGCCATTGCGAATCCACCAATAGAAGAGGGTGGATGGTGCTTGTCGAGCTTACTGTGTAGCTACACCGAGAGGAGAGCTGCCGTTTATCCTGTCCAGAGCCGTGATGGTGGTGGTACGGTATCGATGCGCATACTTTGCCGTAGTTGTCCGGCAGACCGTCTAGCCGCGCTTGGATGACTTTATGCTTAACCATATGCGAGCAAGACGCGCCGTAGGCAAGAGAATTGCTTCACCCTAGTCAGGTTCCGGCGGAGTATCGCCAAATAATGGCAACTTCCTCGAGAGAAAAACAGCCATGACTCCTCAATATCCGGACCCTCGTCCTAATCATCAACGATCATTTGCATCACTTCATCCATTTCCTCTTCCTTCGACTTCGTCCTCGCATCTACCTTGCCTTTGATGGGCGGCAGCCAAGCTAAGCCACCGTGGACTGTCTCTCCGATGTGTGCCTTGGGTACTTTGTTAGTGAATCGCCAATCGACGTGGAACGATCTACTCACGGTCCACTCAGTCTTTCCAAGGTTGTGGTTGAAGTTCAACCGGCCTAGAAAAATGGTTGCATCCTCGGGATCTTGACACCTGTATCCAAAGGAGACCTCAATCTTACCGCCCGACAATTCAGTGCCTTTGTCACTAAGCCCTGCAGGAGCAGGTGTCCTAACGATGCACTTATCCCAAAGGGCGATGCCTCCTTGCCCAAGAAACAGTTCATTCGGCAGATCTCCTTCCCCAGCTGGAGACTTGCGGCTCTCAAAGCCTTTTGATAAATCGCCCGTTGACTTGAACAGACGTCGCCACCGGAAGGTGAGAGTGGAGATCTCCTCGCCTGGAAGCGATTCCTCTGTCCACTTCTTCCAAGCCCTCTCGTGGCCGAGGACGCGACTCGCCGAGCCAGTCATGAGGACTGGCTGCAGTTCCAGATCTTTTTTGCTCGACTCTAGATATAGAGTCATCTCCACAAGTACAGCGCGGTCGCCAGACTGAAGGAACTTATCGAGCGGGTTCAGGAAGGGGTAAAAGAGGTCAACCCGATTAAAGGCGCACATATCCTTCAGGCTGTCCTCATCTGGAAGGAATTGCTCCCAGGTGACTCGGCGATCCTTATCCATAGCCAGTCCTTCGAAGGTTGGGGGAAATGATGCCACAAACTTCCGAAGGTCATCATCCTTGCGACCAGCTCGTGTACCAAGGTCCCAGATCCATTTGTTATGTGCCTGCCAAAAAGGCGTCAGCCGAGTCTTGAATGTTGAAATCACTTCGTGGGGGGCGTGACGAGCTATGCCCAGGACTTTTTTTGGAGAGTCAGGTGGATTCGACGCAAGCATTGGACCACCTGAGTTACCTATGAGGATCATCAGCATCGAACCTCGCAATATGGATGATGATGCCTGCCTACCACCAAATACGTCCAGGTCCGCCGCGATACAACTACTGCAACGTTGTCAGAACCGTGTGTTCGAGCTGGAGGGTCAAGTCTTACTGCAGCCATCTCGGAGTGTCAGGGGTTGGTGCTGCGATTATACCTGGCCGCGAACTATACCTGTCGTTCTCGTCTCGGTGAGCACCGGTGTACTTCATAGGTACACCATGGGGATGGCCAAGAGCATAGACTGGCCTGAAGCCGCTAGTGTCTACCCGCGGCGGAGTGTCGGTCAGCTCGAGGGAGACAGCAGGAAACTCTTGTTGAGAACGCTCCAGTTGCAAGATCACCACGTCATGATCGACTATTTCTGACAGCTTCTCTGATATCTTGCGGGCTCGTTGAGCGCCTGGGCTGACAGCGTTCAAATCCTTGAGTCCGCGCAAAATAACCCTAAGCGCAGTCAGAGCGAGACATTGTTGGCTGTCACCTGAAGAGTGCTACTACCTCTCAATGCGATGGGCCGACCCATGCTGAACCGAGTAAGTCTTCACAGTCTCGGTTCTTCCTCCGTATGGCAGCCACGAAGGCCACTTACTTGCTTGTTGGCTTTGCGATGAGCGCACTTTGTTGTGGAGATGGAAATAGGCCAAGTATTCTTGCCACTCCGTTTTGCTGGCCCCCTCCAGAACGTGCTGTGCCGTCATGACAATCCCGGGGGCAATTTGGAAGCCGGTACCAGTGGCGAATCGATGCTGGCCCTCGAATGCGACATGTACAGCCACGGGGTGTTTCACCGACGGCCATTCAAGCTTGTCTAGTGCTGGGACATGCTGCGTAATGAATTTGCGGAATTCGTCTCTCTTGTATTCGTTGTCATTGAACTTTTGCTGAGCTGCATTTATTGCCGCTTGATTTTTTGGGATGGCAGCCTGAGCATCTTTGAGCTGCTGCAGGGATTTTCCCACCGCGTCCTCCTCGATGTTGAGGAGCCTTTGAGCCCTATCTTTAAGGTCTTTAATCCTCCTCTCAGCTGCATTTGACAATTCGTTAAGGACTTTCTGCCGGACAGTAGCATTCGGACGATCTTGCAAGAGAAAGTTCGGGGCCAAATCCTTCCGCACGAATCCACAGACAGCTTTTGCAACCTCTCTTCGCACGATCAGTCCTGAATGGACGGAAGTTCATCGCTTTCTGGACACTCACTGTACTTTCTCGGGAGCTTCTTCAACCTCACATCTGTTTTTGTCCCACGTGACATCAATATTGTGGAAGTTGCCATCGGGTACTCGCACAATGATGGGCATCTTATCGCTCCTGGCGCACTCTGATGGGTAGGAATCTGATGGGATATTGGAGCCTTTCCACGAGCTGAGCACCAATGTGCGGCTGAGTAGTCGTGTCGCAAGTTCGGGGGAAGGCGAGACACACGCTACGGCCACCGCCTCCCAACATCATGTAGAGCGCGCCGGCGTGTGTCGTATCGCACGGTCTTGCACTTGCCCGCCGACTGTCAGGCGGTTAGAAACACTCCCGCAATTGGTGTTGGCACCACTGGCTTTGGTATGAAGACAAGCGGCTCGTCTGGGAGCAGGAAAGGCTTCTCATTGGATCGGCTGGCAAGCGAGAATGACATTTCCAAGAGAGGTGCGACGTCCGGACGGCACGTTGAGATAGTGCTGACTCCTCAGCCAGCCTTTTTTCCTTCACGCTCTCTTTACATGCGGTGCCACCTCTCTATGCGTACTCATTGGCATGAGAACGAGGCGAGAGACAAACCGGGACAGTAACACTTGACCCAGATTATGCCAGCTCAACGTCTTCTCTTCTTCCTGGATATCACTCATCTTTCCAACGGCTCGCATAACCGCCTCAGCCATGCCTTCGATTCGAGCGGAGTACTCCCTGGTGAGTTCGCCGGCTTCCTGGAGCCTCAACTTGCCAGCGTTCCCTGGTAATCGGACCAACGAGTTATCCATTGAGTCGAACGCAAACAGGTTGAGTTCCACCTCCTCCGCCAGACCCTCTACATCCTTCTCCATAACCTTCTCCGCCGAAAAACACAGGAACTGAACATCGACTTTGGCTCTCAGCTTCTCAGACGACTCTCGCCTGCTCAACGCTTGGCTGACCAGCACGCCTGCGTCGGCGCCTATGATGAAACCAGAAACGTAGAAGTCTCCGTACCGCTCGCAGAAAGCCTCGAAGCCGTGCTCTGAAGAGTTGAGCAGCTGCAGAGCTTCAGCGGACAGCGGTGGAGGACGCTGGAGATGGACAGCTCCACACTGTACGGAAGTACGGCGGGAGATTTTGCTGGACTGGTATGTATCTTGTGAGTAAAACGAGCCGCCAAATGTCGGAACGACGCACCGATTTGTCCTCGAGCACAGCCTTGTCATATGAACCGGTCACACTTGCGCTGAGCACCGCGTTGCCCAGGCCTATACCCAGGGTCATGCTCAGGTGATCTGAAGAGTGGCTCGACGAGGTGGTCGATGCGGACACGTATGTACCATTGCAGCTATCAGCGCAACGGTAGGTGAGTTTGCTGGATTGCAACATATCCAGGTCGAACGGGCCAGGGCTCGTGATGAATGGATTGCTGCTTGTACTGCTGGCCAGCTTTGTGCTGAATCCTGCGCCTGGCATGATGACCTGCTCCAGACGAGGCAGTAAAATGTAGCCTTGAGCTGATGCCCGCGCGACGCTTAATATGGCGGGAGTCCCCGTTTCAAAGCCGGCCATCGTTGTAGCACGCTCTCGTCGTCCCATGATTCTCGGGCCACAGCATTGGGAAAGCTCCGAGAATAAGGGCATCGTAGGCTCCTCCAGCGATGATGACTCGTGGCGATACTGGTTGCCAAGAGTATTCATGCCTCTTTGAGACCTAAGTAACTCCCTCTCCTCGCTTGCAAGGATAGTGCCAAAACCTTGGTACTAGTATACCTTCAGCTCGGTAAGAGACGCCACAAAGATCAGCTACAAAATGGGCGACGCGAGCACCTCCTTCCCACCACGAGGGGCACGTCCACTCTCGTTGTTCAGTCGACGATGGCGCTTCTTCTTGTGCCGTACAACAACTCCATGCGACTTGGTAGGGAACCTGGCTAATCATTCTTCGCGGTTGCTGACCCCCATTCTCACAGGTCAGGGGTGAGTGTGCCTCTTCACGGTCGCCATACAAGCTGACCATCGCGCAAACCACTCCAGCTTCAACTCGTTTACGCAACAAGTCTGCATTGACAATGCCGTCGTCGGCATCTCTGATCCCGAAGATTCACAGCCCCTGACACCAGGAACTTACGCGCCGATAGCAAAGGACGGCGCACCGGCCCCGCCAGCCGTCAGTGCTCCCATCAAAAAGGACATCGATGTCATTCTCAACGACTCCGGGGGCAACAGGATTGTGCGATATCCCAGCCAGATCGTCACGTACACGTCCAAGTATGTCTCGAAGCTCAGCGACGTCAGCAACGACCTCAACATCTCCGGATCGCTTTCGATCAGATACGGCGAGATATCTGGCGGAGGGTCTGGATCGTATGTGAATACGGAAACGTTCCAGGACAGCGACGTCAACTTCGTCGTGGTCGTCAAGGTGATCAATCAGACCATCAACATCAAGGACCAGCTGCAATTCTGGCCCCTCAGCGGCCGTGACAACTATACCGCCCAGACATTCACCGACATATACGGGGACTGCTTCATTTCCGGATTTCAGGAAGGCGGACAGTTCTCGGCCATTGTGAGCATTCGGGCGCGGGACAAATCCCAGGTCACCGAGATTGCCGCCAAGGCACACCTTGCTCTCCAGGTGGGGGTGGGCTCCGTCGACGCCGAGGGGGCCGTGAAATCAGCAAAGTCCTTCATCAACAAGAACTCCGAGGTCAACATCACCGTGAACTGGTCCGGGGGCGGGCAGCTCAAGGAGGACCCTCACGCCAAGTGGGACATTGACACGCTGCAGGACGTCGCGGTGCGCTTTGCCGATCTCGTGGCGGCTTGCCCCCAACGCACGCATGCCATCCTGACCAAATACACCGCGCTGCGTGGCTACCTACAGTGGAAGCCGGCCACGTTGCAGCCGCTCGACTATGAAATCGCCAACCTCTACACGTCCGAGCTGCTGGACGTCTACATGGGCTACAAGCGGATCTGGAAGGACATCCACGTGATGTTGGAAGACGCAGAGGACGACCCGACGGTGTTCGAGAAAGCGCCTGCAATACCGGGCGACGGGGTCCGCATGCCACCAGATCCCGACGCCCCGGCCTCGCCGACGCCGGCGCCGGGCGCCAAGATCGACCCGTTCGAGCCCACCATCGCTGGCCTCGACGCTGCATTGAAGTGCTGTCGCCAGCTGATGGTCAAGATCGTGACGGAAAACGACCAAATCACGAGGGACCCCAAGCTGGCCATCGATTCCAAACGCAGCACGCCTTATATCCGCCCGCAGACCTTTCGACTTCTCCTGCCTCAGTACAAGGTGGGTGCAGTGCCGTGGGATCCAATTGGAGCCCTCCCCGTCGACTCATCGCCCGGCGGCACGCCCTCAACACCAGTCAAGGTCGGCCTTCGCAGCGGATACCATGACTTTCGGTTCGACAACGAAACGACCAACATCAACGTCCTGAACAACAGCACCTTGGAGGCACTAGTGCCCCTCTCGCCGCCCATCACGACCCCAGCGGACGGCATTCTCTGTCTCAACAAGGTCGACCTCCGTCGTCAAGGCACCGACCCAAGGACGATCGCGCAAGCCTCCATGACGGAGATCCGGGCCGACCAGTACAAACCCCGCCTGTCGACCATGTCGACCACGGACAATGTCAAGACACGTTGCAACCAGCTCGCGTGCACCAGCCTCCTCGTGCCCCGCAACGATCAAGTCCAGGTCGGCATGTGGAGCATGCCATACCGCCAGCCGACGAACACGGCTCGGCCCGGGTTGACGACGTTCCGCCAGCGCGTCGACTTCCGCGTGCCGTACACCTCTTCGGCCCCACCGCTCGTGACGGTCTTCCTCGCCGGGTTCGACTTTGACTCGACGCCCCTCCTCAGCGCCCACGTCGCGCCCGACAACATCGACAACAAGGGCTTCGACATGGTCGTCACGTTCAGCGAGACGGCGCGCCAAGTCCACGCCTCCTGGTTCGCGTGTCCGCCCACGGCCAGCAACATCGTATGCGGCACCTCGCCCGCGTTCTGGCTGAAAGACACGGCAACCGAGATCGTGGCGCGCAAGACCCAGGTCTCCTTCCAGGGCGCGGTCACTATGCCGACCGACGCGTTCAAGTCGCCTCCACGGGCGTTCCTGGGCCCAAGTGGATTCGTCATGGGCAAGGATTGGGACGTGAGGTTGCAGTCCCGAGCACAAAATCTGACGGAAAAGGGGTTCGATTGGAATGTCAATACGGTGGATGACACGCCGCTGATGGCGGCAAGTGCGAGCTGGGTCATGTGGGCGGAATGAGTACTTAGGGACCCCGTGGGAAGAAGGAAGGGTAGTGAGCAGACACGATGGACCGAACGGTTATCAAGAAGCCAAGAAGTATTGTACTTATCCCTCTCAATCGTGTCGCGCAGCACAAATCTCGGACCAGTCTACGTGTCTGTTGTCGCTGGATCACTTCACTTGATCGGAGGTGGGAGAGCATCAGCCTTTCGTAGGTCATCGAGCGCTCGACGCCTACCCCTACGGCAGGTATCCAAGCGCTCTTTCATGCGTAGGGCATCACTTCCGATATGGGATTGAATTCTTGGTCAAGGTATTACGGTTGACGGACGGTAAGTCGGATAATGAAGAGAGATGAAAATAAACTTTGAGGGCTGTGGAAAGACGGCGTCGCCTCACAAATAAAGTAATTGGATTGCTTCGCTCAAGAGATCTCTTCGTCGGAGTACTGGTTGAGGCAGAAGACATTTCCACGGAGAGAACAGTTACGATCTCATTATCGTGTCTCTCGCCCAGAACACAATGTTATCTTGCCAGGAGAGTCCCCTTCTCACTGGCGAGAACATCGATCGCCCAGCTTGTATGCTGTATCCGGCAGCAAGTGCACCTTAGGTTTGACATTCCCCGAGTAATACGTCATGACTTCGGATCGTGGTGATTCGGGCCCTAGCTACCTAGGTAGTGACGAAGTATAGGTACGTGATGTTGGTCAGGTACCGCATCGGTTTCCAGAGCACGTTTCCAGGGCGGCGATAGTGTTCTTCGCTTGCTGCGGTGAATTCCTGGAACATCGCTCAGCGCTTAAACCAGGCCGGACCGCTTCCCAGGTATACGACATGCCTGCCAAAAAGCCATCAAAAGCAAAACCAGAAGCAGGAAAAGAAGGCTCCAAACTACCGTCTCGCAGCAAGAGAGCAGCTCGAAACCACTCCGAAGACCGTGAGCAAACCAACGAGGTGATTGCTGAACCACATAACGGACAACACGACGACAACCAGGCGGCCGAAGAGCCGGATCGTTACTCAAGATCGGGCTCCAAGCAGCAACAAGAACAAGCAGAAACCGGAAGTGAGCCCGAACCTGAGCAAAGCTCTGACACCACAGACGAGACTGCAGTGCGCGCAGGACAAAAGCGCAAAGAGCCGCCGGACGAGGCTGCGAAATCGAGACCTAATGCAAAAGCACCACGACAGGGGACCCGCTCGTCGACAAGACACAGGGATAATCCCGCTTCGCCCGGACAGCTTCTAAATTTCCTTCTGTCAGCTGCCGCGCTGCGATACTGCTTCCCAGAAGACGAGTTGGCCGACGCGAAGAAATCCAGGACATATAAATCGTACTCCTTGACCTCGCCGACAAGTCTGGCGCCGTTTGAACACCTACTGTGCTCACATATGCTCTCCAAACCGCTTTCTCACAAGCTGGGCATGAGAAGTATCCGCACGCTGCTCAACGAGCCATTCAGCTTAAACAGCGCCGAGGCAATCACTTCCGTAGGGCAGAAACGTGTCTGGGAAGCACTAGAGGCGGCAAGGACGCAGCACCGGCAGAAGACAGCCACCTACATTTTTGAGACGGCACAGTCGTATAGTGACTCCGAGACGATGTCCCAGCTTGCGGATGCTGCGGACAATGGAGGGCCTAAAGCTGTGACTGAACATATCAAGAGCACCGTAGCAGGGCTAGGTGTGGTAGGGGCCGGTATATTCTGTCGGAGAATACAGTGCGTTGACGGATGGGGTGATGCACTGTGGCCATACGCGGATGGGAAGTCCATCGACGCCATGAAAGAGATAGGTATTCCTGTCGAGAATGCTGGAGACCTGCATACCGCGATTGAGCGGGATGTCGATTGGGATATAGTCGGAGATATGGGTGTCCATGGAGGGGGCTTGGGCAAGTCGGAGCGTGCTGGCGAGCAACAGACGAGAGGGCGAGCGAGGTTTGTGATCGCTTTAGAAAGAGCCGTGGGTTGCGTGCTCGAGGGGAACGTCCGAGAATTGAGGCAGGCAGCTGCAAAGGTTGAGGGACAATGAATACTTGGACCTCCGCAGAGGTGCTTCGCGCACCAAAGTGAAGCTCTAATTACGCCTGGTACCCAGAAGTCTGAGATACCGGGCATGAATTCCCCATCTTCCTTTCTTAGACTTCTCCCAGCCAAATAGATCGTGCGACTTAGTGGGAGGCGCAGCTATGCAATTTGAGAGTGGATTGGAGGGTGCACCAGTGCCATCTTTGAGGCTAGAAGTGTTAGACACTGAGGACGGTTGAGCCATCATGCTGGAAGACCAATGGGCTTGAGATCAGAATGCTGGCTGATTGCCGAAGCATGATCGGGGTGCTCGCACATCGCCGTAAGTGTCACGCAGCCATGTGAACAAACCAAAAGCTCGGCAGAAAACAGACAATCATGATCATCAGACTGAAGATCCCGTGAATGGAAGAGTTCATCGTGTCAACACCGCAGACAGCAGAAGCATGTAGAGCGAAAACCACATCTCCATCTGCCTCATTCTTAGTTCACTTCGATGACACCACTGAGACAGTACGGACAATCAGTGACTTCAGAATAGAATGGTGGATTCTCAAACTAAGATGAGATTCCCGTCGACGCCCCCTAGGACATGCCCCTCTCTAGAAACCACACAAGTCGGGAGTATTATACTTCTGCCACTCAGCAAGTCGACTCAGCTGTTCAGATGTGTAAGGCAGAACGGAAACTCCCAACACCATTGCCATGAGCTATGTTCATCCCAACTCTGTACTCCCCAATACCATGATCCACGATGCGTCAACCCAGTGCTCCCTGCCATCCGGCTAGAATATCCAGTACAGCCTCGCAACCAGCTACCTCCACCACGAGTCCACACACGAGAAACGCCGCCTCTGTGAAGTGGTGTTAAGACGAAAACGTTGCTTGTAGATTGACGAAAGCAGCAGGACCACCCTCTTCGCTGAGCACATCAATCAGTGCCTCGGTCTGCTTCCATGCCGTCTCCAGTGCAGCAGAAGGCGATCGTCCCAGCGACACTGCATCCCGTTAGCGAAACGTCCAATATCGAGGTTGTGAGGAAATCAAACCTAAGATAGCCGAATTCAGCTCCTCTGCAACTGCTGTCCTTCCAGAAGTGTCCAACAGATGCCCATGTACACTGCCTTTCGGATCGTTGTAGGCTACCAGGCTAAATATGTCCTGAAGAGCCTTTGCATGCTCGCCGTCCTCATGCTGAAATTCTCGATGCAGCTCCTGGCCATATAACATGACTTCCTGGAGCAGCTGGTCGTGCTGTAAGCCACTACTGTCGGCGCGCGACTTGCCGACCCCATTAGCATGGTTGTCCGAATCAAGTTCCATGTCGTGAACAGGATCGTCGTCCGCACTGTTAGACTTCTCGACACCATTACTGGGTCTACGGTCATTTCGTGCTGGTGGCTTGCGCGTATTGAGGTCAGTTGTCTTGCTGATTAGCTCAATCCATTTTCGACATTTCAGCCGGAACACTATGTCCGGGTTTTCCGCCAGGACGGTGGGAAAATGTGCATGTGTAATTTCGAGAGCTTGATCGATATCTCCGGAGAGAATGGCCCGCCGTATCCCTGTATGGTGAGCATGACATTCGGCAGAAAGAGGCCAGTCAACTTACTTTGCCGATGGACAGCGTCGGTGTCATCCTGAGCTGTAACGGTAGGTGTGTTTGCTGGAAGCACGTTGCTTAAGGACTGTTTTTCTCTTCCTATTTCCTCCGCGAATGCTTTGGCGGTTTCAACGTAGCCGTCATGGCTCAAGAATTGCGCCACTAATTCCTGGATGAGACTGTTTTCGTCTCGTTGACGCTGTAACGATGTAATCCTCGCCTTCGAAATATCTCTTGAGATGTTGGCCTGTTCGGCCAGCATCTTGCCGTCGATGTCGAAAACAAAGGGCCGCTGCCCAAAGTTCCCCGTCACGAGCGCGCCAGAGTGTTTCTTCATTCCGATGGTCGGGTATAGTTTCATGTCCTTCTTGAGTTCTCTGAAGCAGACGCCGAGATCCTGACCATTCTTGGTGAAGAATGCCTGCCAGGTGTTGAAGTTGATACCACAGCCGATAACGTCTCCAGCTCCGAAAGTCGGGCCATAGTTTCGACCCGAATGCTCACCAAAAAACATTCTCCCGTCGTCACCGTGATAACCCCACGAGTGTGTCTCCCAGCCAGGTAACCGCTCCAGCGAGGCCTCACTCGTAGAAAACCCGACCGCGATAGCTGTGTCCTTGCTCTTCTGCTTGATTACCACCTCGAAGTAGTACATTCCACATCCGAGAGGCATGGCATGATTTGTCCTGACAGAGGCTGCTTCGATTTCCGCCTTACTCGCCGATCCGCTGTATCTTAGATCTTGTCCGTCACTCATTATATCAAGACCCGGGTACTTGTCCTGCTCACTCCATCTGGATGGCAGAGGTGGCAACACCTCCTCTTCTTTGGGAGGATTGCTTTCGATAATGTCGTATGTCATGCCACGATGGGATGGCGCTAATCTCGTGTTGCTGGGGCTAGTAGAAAAGGAGCTCTGCGAAGAAGTGCCCGACGGCTGCTCACGTTCTCGCTTTAGCTTCGCCTTGTACGCAGCCTCCAATTTCGCCATGTAACTAGAATGTCGGAGGTAGGATGGGACGAAGAAGGGGTTCGGATGCATTGTGCCTGTTCTCAGAGACGGGATGTTGGCAAACTTCCTCGAATAGGACGGCAGTGGTGTGGGCTTCCGCCAGCCTCTGGCTGCCAGCGAGTCTTGATCGTGTTCTGAATATCGTCTCTGATACTGATGTTCTGCCTGATATTCAGCCGGATGCGTGCCGCTCGGAGTTGACGCCGCGAGATGGGAGAAAGCACCAGCCCTTGTAGGATGGTGAATGTTCTGTGACGCTGCGCCCCCAGCCACTGAAGCATACGACAATCGTCGAGGCGCGTTGCCACCAAAGGCACTGGGCCGGCTGCTACTGCCTGACCCAGTCCCATCCGTCATGCTGGACGAAGAGCAAATCGCACAGGAACGCACAGGGATTCGTGGTCGGGGTCACGAGGGAAGTGGTCGAGCCGGTGGGTTTGGTTGATGTCGGTCGGCGCTGGCTGGGAAGTCAGATTGACGTACTGAATGCCGTTTTACGACATGTTTGCTGCCCGTCGGTGGCTAAGGAATGGCGGGTCTAAGGACCGAAGCTGCTGTTCCTTGGTTGGGACGGATGAGAGAGCATGCTGGGTGTCGTTATCGTGCTGATACCGCGTTACGGAAGGTCATTGACGGCAATACAGATCTCATTGGGCGGGCTTTTGGGCGTGGCAGGTGGGCGTGGCAGCCCTTAGTTAAGCGGCTGCGGGGACCGGAAGGAGTTGTCCATCCAGTTCCGAGGCCAGCGCTGTCCAAAGCTTCATGGTACGGTTACTTTCTACACACACCAGAGCATTGCATGATTTAGTGCAGCGAAGAAAATGTTCTTTCGATCGATGACACCAAACTTGCAGTTATGCTCTATTGTTACAACATATTCCGGGCGAATGGACCCAGGCCTTACAATCTCAAAACCCCATTTGCCTTTTGACCATACGCCCAAGAGAGGTGTCACCCCGACGCATGGTGTTGATAGTACAAAGCCGCTGGTGCCGGTATCGTGATCCCAATGGCCATGCCCACGGCCGGCCAGAAGGTAAAGATGATCCCATAACGCCATGCTGTATGAATAGATACACTCTGTCTGGTGTTTACAGGACTGTGTCGAGGCTTTCCCGCAAAGTACGTTTCGCACCGTCCCTAAGTATTTGGAACTTTTGTCGAGATAGAAAAAAGGCTTCGCCTTCCTCCGCATGCTGTAGATGTTTGTCATGATAGAATGGTGATGATACACGGCTTTTGCATCACCGTGGACCGGTGGTGGCAATGATCATGTTAACCTTGGGCGGTAATGACGGTGCTCGGTGGTGGCATCGGAGCCGGTGAACTTGCTGGAGGCGTGGACATGATCGTCACATCGGGCCTGTCACCGGCATTGCTGTCCATGGCGATGTCACTTCCATTGGGTTTGGCCTCACTGCTGCTTTGCTGTGACACATCCTTCGCGTCACTTGACTCTTCGCCGTTGAGGGATGAGTGTGGTTTCTCTCCGCCTCTCCATGAAGGTATTTCCCATACCACACCAGTGAAACTTTTCAGCGTGAATGCCTTCTTTTTCCACTTACGACAGGGGGCACCAGATCGATCGAGAGCACGCAGGCCAGCGTTGATAGCGCCCTGGTTGGCCTTGGGGCCCAACTTGTGCGACGGCCCAATTCCACTGGTGTTCGGTACCTTGGTGGCGTTGTGGTCGATGGTGCCATCTTCTCTGTAGATAGTTAGTATCGTAGAAGCCAGAGTGTCAGGGAGTACGGTGATCTTACAGTCGTGGCTTCTTCTTGGGGCCTGGCTTGCCTCTTGGTTTCGGTGTGCCATTTGTCTCGGCCATCTGTCCTAGACTTCTTTTGGTCCCTGCAAGTGAGCCTCCTTTGCGTTTCTTGGAGCCGTCACCGTTGGAGTTTTCAGCTGCTTCTGTTCCAACTGGCGCCGGCGTTGACGCGGACTCGGAAGCGTTGTCGTTGACTTCCGGAACCTTCAGAGTAGATAGGTCCTCGGGTGCAGCAGGTGATGAGGCTACTGAGGGTGATGACTGATCTTCTGACTTGACGAGAGAGTCTTGGAAACGGCGTAGGAGTTTCGGTGATAGTTTGAGAACAATTGTCTTGGTCTGCTTTTTATTCTTCTCTGTTCGAGCCGAGGATGATGGTGAACGTGTGCTTGAGGACGACATAGTCAAGTATTGATTGTGGTGTCGTTGAGAGAGGACAGTAGGGTTTTGCTGATGGTTGACGTGGAGTAGTTTTGTGCAGTTGGTCGTTCAGCTTTCTGCGGTTTGTGTGGTGGTGGCAGTTGCTGGGCGGCTGCAATTATTTGCGTGTTCCGTGCATTGCTGTCAGGAGGTCGTGGTGGGTTTTATGATTGTAAGCTATTCAAGTCTGCGGCATTGGTAGGGGTGAGATTCTCGTGGGCTGGTGAGAAGTGTTCATTTGGTGTGTGCAGAGTGGTGAGAGTGTGAGGCGATGATGAGCAGTGGAAAGTCGAAGAAGAGGTGGGCATGATTGCTGAAGGGGATGAGACAAAGACGGTGCTGGAGCTGGACCTGGCGTGTGATTGTGTGGCCGGATCATTCTGGATGGCATGGCTTGGATTTTTGCGTGGTTATGCTTTGGGCTGGCTCAGATCAGATCGTAGGTGCAGGAAGTGAAATCGGGCTGACGGGTCACCGTTGCGAGGCGCGTGTGACGGAGAACGGAAGGGAGGCAGAAGCGATGACCAGGGCAAGGTTGCTGCTCTCTTGTCGAAGAGGCAGTGAAGAGGGACTTGAGAGGGCAGACAGGGTTCGTTGAGTTGGAACGAGCTAAGGTAGTGCAGTGCAATACTTCGGACTGAAATGTCCTGAAATGACACAGTAAGTCACGGACTTAGCACATTGGAGGTGCGTTACTCGAAAGTAAATGCAAATCGATATTCTCGGGCAAGGGTTCACTAGTCAGGCCCCGGGTACGGAAGCTAAGCTCAATTCCACATAGTGATCTTTTAGTGCCCACCTGTCAGTCATGTTGCCTCCTCTCATGATTCTTGCTTGCCAGTCACTTCCCGCTCACTTGCCAACTCTCGTAGAACCGAAAGAAATCCTTGACGCACCTTTCGGGGGCTCCTGCTACTGTAGGCGTCAATGATCCAACCAATTCACTCCCACACCGTCACCAAACCACGCTGCCTAGCTGGCGATCAAACCATCCATCGCCCTTTCTCTTCTCCGCATGTTCCGCAGAAATAATGCACTCAAGGAAATTGGCAATAGCAAGCTGATAGCGCAACAGCACAGACTCAACTCGCTCTTCTCCACCTCAAAGACATGCATCCAGCCAAGAGAAGGAAGCTGGATCAGCCTCAGCCATTCCAAAACAAACCTTTCCGCTCACCGCTTCGTGCAGTATCCAAAGCCCATTTACAACAAACGAGGGGACAATCGCAAGACCTAGGCACATCCATTGGCGTCATACCTCAGCTGACGCCATTGCTAAACAATACAGACTGCTTGAATTCTTCCACAGATTCTCATGAGTCGATTTCCACTCTTCATGTAGGGTCCGCCTGTGTCAAACCTGCAGACCTCCAGAAACAATGCACTGCGTTATCCATTCGACTGAGTCAGCTGCGGCAATCTCTTGAGAAGGCAGATCAAGCTCTTCACATCGAGGAGTCTGGTCAGGGTACCGAATTGAAGAAGCTAATCGTCAAATGGCGAGCAGTCGCTCAGGAGGCTGCGGACGAGCTCTTCGCCGACGCGAGAGAGAGAATCGAGGGAATGGGTGGTGTAGATGCCTGGCGACGGCAGGCCGACCAAGACTCACGACATTGGAATTTCGACGAGAAGGAGCTTCTGCCACAAAAACATAAGCAATTGGCAAGTGATTCTGCGTCCACGGAGGACTGCCTGGCGATTGATGAGAACAGACTGTCTGAACCTGAGGGGGACGACGACAACGTAAGTCAAGGTTGGTTTGCTCCTCTCCTGAGCGCACTAATTTTGCATTCTCGCAGTCATTCACAATGGATACGATGCTACATCAGATGAACATTGATTTGCAAGCCATTGGCTTTGATAAGCACCTCGAGAAGTGGATGGACTGAGAAGTTCGTCCAAGAGACCTTCCGCAGCCGCAATCCTTCCTGCTAGGGGTAGCAGATCTGCCACCGAAAAGGGTTCTGACGACAAATTCTGTCCCCAAATGGCAACAACGTCTTGCCGATTTCAGATGTCCTCCAATGGACATCCGTTCCGAGGCTGACAAAGCGTCTTGCTCTGCTATTGGCTTCCTTGGCTTTCATGCCCCTGGGACGAAAATGGTATGCGAGAATTCAGGCTTGCATAGTTATGCTGCTGTTGGGCCGTCCCAGAATGCCGCAATGCAAAGGGACGGGGAGATACGAAACCTGTGGGTATTCCGTGCCGATAAATATTGCAGCGGCTCTTGGGTCAGAGAGCATTGAGAGCAGCGCATAGAACAGGCATTTGAAGCAAAAGCGAATATAAAGGTTATATCCTCAACTTGCAGCGAGCATGGATCCAACAGCACTCTCCTTACTTTCGTCACCTCGTATAACTCTTTCGGCCTGAGCCTCTTTCTTCACTGACCTTGTGGCCTTTCTGTGGCCCTGCTTGCCGTTCAAGTCCAGCTCTCATCCCATCAGACTAGCAGAGTCACACCGAATCCCTTGCCATTCCAAACACCCTCGATCTAGTGGATCTGGTTACCCAACGAACGCCATCGACCAAATAGCTCTCTTCCCATCTAGTATACTCGTGCCGAATTCCTTCCCGTTTCAAACACCCTCGATCCAGCGGACTTGCTTCGAAAAGGCGAACGCCATCGACCAAAAATGCCGACCACCCTCGTCACCGGCGCCACCGGCTTCGTGGGCTCCAGCATTGTCGACGAACTTCTCCGCCAAAACCACACCCTCCTCCTGGCCGTCCGCTCCCCGTCCTCTGCCAATGCACTTCTGGAAAATAACCCCTCATGGCCAGCCTCGTCCCTCATAATCTTCCCGGTCCCTGACTTCACCGCGCCAGGAGCGTTTGACTCCGTCTTCCAAAAACACCGGGAGATAGAGTACATCGTCCACGTGGCGGCTCCGTTGCTTGATGACCCCGCGCACACGGACTTTGTCGAGCATTTTGAAAAGCCCAGTGTGCTCGGAAACTTGGGACTGCTGAGGAGTGCCAAGGAATACGGTAGACATGTCAAGGCTATCAGCGTGACGGGGAGTTTGAATGCGATCACGACAGGAAGTCATGAGGACGTGAAGAGCAGAGTGTTCGGGAATAAGGAGTGGTTGCCGCTAGGGAGGGAGGACGCGATTCAGGCGAATAACAACTATGCAAGTTTCCTCCCGCATCCCTTCATTTCTTCTATTTTTCTGTATACGCAGCTACAAGACAAACGGCTATGATCTTTCGGCGAGATACTGACCACTGCTAACAGATCTCCTACTGCGTCGGGAAAAAGCTCGCCGAAGAGGCAATCTGGAAATTTGTCAAGGAGGAGCAACCTTCCTTCACGGTCACGAATTTCATGCCTCCCTTGATCTGGGGCCCGATGCTGCAGCCGGTCAAGGGCATTGGCAGGATCAACTTCAGCAACTCGCTGATTAAGGCGATCATGGAGAGTAAGAGTTCGGAAACTGGCAAAGTCCCGAACACGGCGTTTCCGGGACGGGTGAGTGAACCGTGCCGTCTTTCTGCATCCCACAATGATGGTTTAGATGGAGCCCTGGAAAGCTGACCAGTCTTTGTACCGTGAAAGATCGACGTCCGTGACCTCGCCAAACTCCAGATTCTGGCCCTCACCACGGCAGGAGCGGCAAATAAACGCTTCGTTGTCGGGCGACCCTTGATCTTCAACCAAGTTGCCGATGTGTTCAGAAACGATGTGCAGCCCGGGCTGGCCGACAGGGTCGGTGAGGATAACGATGAGGCGAGCACTTTGACTTTGCCGAGATTGGACATCAGCGAGGTCGAGGAGGTGTTTACATACAAGTGGACGCCATTGGCGGAGACCGCGAAGGATGTGGCTGCTTCTTTGCTGGAGATTGAGAAGAGGCCTTGAGAAGACCCGACTAGATCATCAAGCTGTTCCGTCCTGGCCAGCTCGGGTGGCTAGTTTTGGTGTCCTCCGTACCGCAGCTCGATAGCTTGTCAATTCGGTCGCATCATACATGTCGTATATCCTGGTGGCCTCACCGACCTTCATCTCATGACGGGAGGACGAGTCTCTTTGTTCCACACGACCCGGCTCCTGACCCATTCAACAGCTTCCTTGACCCCGGTGCCTCTCAACGCACTGACAGGCAGCACTCGACTATCTCTCACCATGCCTCCCTTCTCCCCCTCAAAAACTTTCTTGATGAAACCTTCCTTGATCCGCACAACCTCGAGACAATCTTCCCTGTCCTGCTTGTTCGCCAGCACTAGAATCGGAATCCCTTGCGTGTCGTCGTTTTCTAGAACACTCTCCAGCACAGCCCTGCATTCATCCAGGCGTCCCTGCGCGTGTCCCGAGTCGAAGAAGCCCGGCGTCATGGGCGTCATGGGCGTCCATGGCGTCTCGGGCACTTCATCATCGCCAACCTTCCCGACATAACTCTTCTTCCGCCCATGCCACATCGCCCCGGGCGTCTTCGGCGCCTCTTCAATCTCCCCATTCCCCAGATCCGTACTATCCACCACAAATACAACCGCGTGACAACTCTTGAAGTAACTCGTCCACAATCTCCGCAGGCTCCATTGTCCTCCCACGTCCCAGATCTTCAAGTACATGTCGGGAAGGGAGATTGTGGCCACGTTCTGACCCACAGTGGGGACCGTGTTGCCGGCTGTGGTGGAGGCGGGTGCTTCACCGACGGCCCCATTCGAAGGGTCGACGGTGGTGTTGAAGAGGGCTTTGATTTGTGTCAGGAGCGTAGTTTTGCCGGCGTTGTCGAGGCCCAGGAGGAGGATGGAGTATTCTGACCAGTTATTAGCCTTGCGGACTAGGGTCGTGGCTTGACCGCGGACTTGCCTGGTTTGCTGGTCGCGTAGAGATACAGGGACCGTGCTAGGTGATACATCATGCGAGATTGCAAGTGTAAGAGTGAAAGGCAGGTGTACCCCGGACGGAGAATGGGATCAAGGGACGAAGGAATAGTGCTGATAGCCGGACGGGAATCCTGCCACGTATATCATCATCGCAACGGCCCCAATTTCCACATTGAACCGTACGGATATGCGGCCAGAACAAAGTGCGGCTGGTAACGTCTTGTAAGCTGCGTCCACCTTGCCAGTCTTCGATCAGGCCAGGACTGTTATGTCTATCGAGGCACCGAGGTAAGATCCCATAGCGATAGGCAGTCGGCCGCCGGAACATGATTCTTCCGGACAGAATCATCGAGCAACAACCAATTCTTGCGCCGTGCTGCAACCTGACTATGCCCTTCACCTACTTCGTAACGGGGCTTCCTGATCAAGCGGCGAAAGAGTGCTGATGGCTGTGGCTGTCACGATGATAGAGGTTCCATTGGCCGATACAGGTGCTGATACAGAGGCTCCAAGCTTGTCTGCGAGGGACGTTGGACTGAATCGCTGGTCCTGTCCTAACTAGAGCTGAGGCATGCCGGCAGCATAAGCTCGGATTCCTTGATTTCAAGCCTCCATCACTCCCGGACCGCTGCCAGATTTTTTTTAGACTTAAAGGCGCACAAGGCAGCTTGGGCCCGTGGGAAGCGTGCATCGGAAAAGCGCCTGGTTTAAAGTCCGAAACGTCTGGAGCGGACCTATTTTCGAATCGTTTTGGATTCATCCCGGCTGCAGCAGGTGATATAAGAGGTTTGATACACGCGTCGCTGCTGAGAAGATGCTTCATGCCCACGCAATGCACCTTCCACAATACTGCAGCAAAAGACGGTTTCCGCGGGCGCCATCTTCCACCCACATCAGGCAAGCACAATGTCCAGCTTCATCTCCCTCAGCACGTCCTGCCATTTTACGTCCGTGGCATCATCAACGATCGTCCGTCTCCGCCACACCTCCCTTGCTATATCTTTGCTCATTTCTAGGTTCATGAACCCATGCCTCCTTTTGCACATATACCAGCTTAGCATCTTCTGCTGGGTCCCTTCGTCGACACATTCGCACGCCACGATGAATGGCGGCCAGACCAACGTGCAACCTACACTCTCGCCGCCTAAGGTTTCGATGTCTTCGAGATGACTGACGGCGCTGGTAACAAGGGCTTGGATGATAGGCGAGCCGGGGTGGAGATGACGAATTGTGCGGTGAAAGTGGATCAGCGAGGCGTAGTAGAAGACGTAGGCGTGGTGAAGGGTGAGAGTGTGCGCCAGGGGCGTCAGGTCTTGGGATGAGAGATCGAGGTTCGTGGGCGATTGCGCGTAGAGTTGGCTCTCGAGGTTGTCGATCTCCTGTGCGGACGGTGATCTTGATGACGCCCTCGAAATGCGTTTGATGAGCGAGTTCGTCAGGACTATGTGTTTGAGTATGGGGCGTGTCAGGCCAAAGAAGCGATCAAGCACGTAATGCCTCGTGTCGGCTAGGAAATTTTCGCTCTCCACGTCGATTGTGGACGGGAGATTGATGTTGCAGAGTGCCGCGATGGCAAGGTATCCCTGGTAGACCATCGATGAGGACTTGTCTCTGTTCCAGGCACTGTCTTCGATGGTCGACAGCCAGGATGCGCCACCTTGCAGATGGGTCCGCCATTCGTTGGACCGACCGGTTATCATGTCCATGGCTGAGAACATGGTTATGGTGGCGAGTATGGAGCCCCTTTGGAGGTCGACTTCGTGGGTGTTGGGGTGCTCCTCCAGGCTCGCCAGGCTGTGTCTCAGATGCATGATTGCCAGGTTGTAGTGTTTCGTGGCAAGAGTGAGCGACTTGGCCTCGTGGTTGAGCAATTGGCCGCGACTAAATGCCGCGGTCGCACACAATGCGTGGAACAGCGCGACCTGCCCATTGGACTGGCTTGACGGCGAGGTAAGCCCTGCAAGTGCCATGGGCGTGAAGACGCTTCGGAATGGGTTGTCCGGTCGGTCGACCGGAACCAGGTGCCAGCATACGAAGTCCGTCCAGTGATGGACCAGCGCTCGTTGCTCGGAGGGACGTGGGAGAAGATCCAAATGGCGTGTTGAGAGTGGCATAACATCGCTAGAGCGCCGATGTTGCTGCAAGCAGTCGTATTCATGTAATGAGGAAAAAGGCGTCCCGATAGATGGCGAGACTATTGTCTCTATCTCATCGTCTGCTTCGGAGCCCCCTCCCACACTCACATCAATCTCAAACGTGTTCGCCGAGGCTGTTGTGGAACTATGGTCGTCGACGTCGTCAAGCAACCCTGCTGGATGAGCTGCACTAAGGCTTGCCTCCTCGACATCTGGCTTGGGCCAAGTACCTTGTACAGCGAAGACTGAGAACGGACCGCGAGATAAGCAATTGCCTTCTTCGGACAGCCGCTCTATCTCCTCCAGAGCCTCGTGTACGTCAACTCGCTTGAATGGCGACTCCTCATCATAGATTGCTGGATTGCCTATCGCACGTCGGATATTTTGCACGCGTGCTGGATTGTCTGGGTTCCAGACCAGTCTGACCCCATAGCCCTGGCAGTCGAACCCGCCCCTCAGACACCTAGCGCAAGCGGGACGCCCTTCATCGCACTTGACATGGCGTGAACGACACGTCCAACAGCCAGAGAATGTCTTGCTGTGCTTGATGGGAGGTCGGTACCTGGTCGCTTTCCGCCCTGGCTGCTTACCCGGCTTCATCTGCACCTAGGATGCATAATCGGTGCTCACGATCGGTCAAGTCCTAGAAGATGCCCCCTTCGTTGCCTAAGCATGTTGTCTCCCGCCAGAAGGCAGTCCAAGGGTCCGCCGCAGTATGCAAACTCTATTGTCGCACAGACACAGTAAGAGTCTAGAACTATCGGAGCACGCGCCGAGGATGTCGCTCTCGAGGTCAATACTCCGCATTATGTACGAGGCCATGCCCATTGAAATGTGCTTCACCTAATGTGGTATAGCTGATTAACAGTGGCAAACATGATGCATGAACCAACATGCTGACCACCTGATAGGCCGCGTTGCTTGAGGACCGGCAGGAGGATATTGAGGACCGCCTCCAAATGACCCTGGATTAACACAAGGCTCCGCGAGGCTGACAAGATGGGCCAATCGGATTGGTCAGATAGGCAGCACCCCACGTACAGGCCCTGATTGGTATGCGCACATTACAATGGGCATGGCCTCGTACAGGATGGCGGGCCGGAAAAACAAGCATCCCGCGCACCCCACCTTTGATCAACGTCATGGCGGCATCTCGCGCTGCTCACCTGGCAGCGATGCGCCGTGCTCAGCCTCACCGGGCTGTCTTAAAAGGTGCAGTCACGCAACTAGACATGAGATGTCCTTCGTGTCCGGAACGCCCTGCTCTACTCGCTGACATTTGGCTGCCCTGATGCCTGGTCCGTGTTGGATCCATGTCGGTCCGCATTCGGTTTGATCAGCCCGAACAAAGTTGCTACACCAATCTCGACTTCGTCTCGGGCAACGTTATCCTTATCCTCCCGCAAGATGCCACGATCGCTGCGGTCACTGTCAAGCTTGAAGGCGAGAGCAAGACGAGACTCGCCGCCCCGAAGTTCCCTGACAATGAGCGCTCAGACAAAAAGAGGAGTGAGCTAGAAGTACACAAGGTTGGTGAGGGAGCTGTCTCGACACTGCCACCTCCGCTTATGCACAAGGCTGCAGCTTCTGTACAAGGTCGTTACCGTGTTTCCATCACCTGAGCTTTTGGAGAATAGTAGCGGCTCGGCCTTCACGCTGCTGGCTGGCCAATACCTCTATCCTTTCAAGTTCAAGGTGGGCGACTCCTAATCTTCAGGTTGGCAGGCGTGATATTTACTGTGGCGGACAGTTCCCATTCAATAATGATTGTCAGAAGAATCCCAGTACCTTCAAAGACCTCAAGCTGGGTCATGTGAATGTGCAGTTCGCACCGGACACGTTGAAGCACGTGAAGAAGACACTGCCGCCGTCACTGAGTGGCTTCCCAGGAGAGGCGGAAATAAGATACTATGTCAAGGCAACTGTTGTTCGGCCAAAGTTCTTCCAGGAGAACATCAGAACAGTATGTCCTCCTGGACCAAGTGGCGGTACAGGTACTGACTTTTCGTCTTCCAGATAGCCGACATCAAGTTCTTACCTATTGAGCCTCCGCGGCCGCCAACCCGTCACGAGGAGACCTTTGCACGACGGAAAAGACAATTCCAGAGATATCCTGCTGAGCCACAGAAGAAAGCACTCTTCGGCAGGAAGTCATCCACGCCATTGTCCGCCGAGGACGAGCCACCTGCATTCCAAGTTGACGCACGCCTTCCGAGCCCCGCCATCATTACTTGCAACGAGCCTCTGCCGATGCGGATCCTGGTGGAAAAGCTCAACGACAGTGCGGCAATTGCCTACCTCAAAATGCTCCAGATCGAGTTAATAGGATACACTCAAGTGCGAGCTCACGACTTGGACAGGACTGAAACATTGACTTGGGTCCTCATGTCCCAAGCCAACATGAACATGCCCCTTGGAAACCCGACAGACAAAGGTTGCAAGCAGTGGAAACTGCCGTCTCGACTGTGGGATGACATCCCCATCCCAAACACCGTCTGCCCTTCCTTTGATACCTGCAATATCTCTCGGCGGTATGAGCTGGAAATTCGTGTCGGGCTCGCACATGCCATGGCCAGCGGTGTCCGACCAGAACTTATTGTTCTGCCCTTGCGCTTGCCGGTGCTGGTGTACTCTGGTATTGCTCCGCCACCAAAGCTTCTGGAAGCGATGGCGAGCAACCCGCGTCCCCTACCGCAACCCGAACCTGCACCGTTAGGCTTATTTACGCCCCACGGGCCGTCGGCGGTGAACGGGTTGCCTTCTCCATCCGACACGCCGCTAGGCACACCATTGGAGACACCCACGACACCAATCTCCGAAATCAATTCATATCCGGCGCAAATCGGTTCTTACCACCCGGCGCAGGAGTCCGACATCCCTGATGTCGCTCCTCCGTCGTATGAGGACGCCATGGCTGAAGACATGGCGCCTGTGGATGGTCCTCGTCGAGATTATCAGGTCCCGTCAGAGTCCGAAGTCCAAAAGCCTGCCTTCAATCCTGATTCGAAAGGCAGTGCGCTTGGTAGGCGAGTTAGCGAACGGCTGTTTCCGAGTAGTGCAATGTCGACCCCTACAAGAACGGCATTGATGGCGAGCAGCATGCAAGGCCTGACTATCGCTGAGGATGGTAATCCAGGCTTGTCAGGCTCGCCAAGCTCTCCAAGCTCTCCGCCAACAGACAACCTGGGAAAGATGGCGAGCTGGAGGAGGAGCTTTAGTGGGAAGAAGGAGTAGCGGGATGCTCCTGTGATCTAGGTACAAACCGTTGAGCCAGGAAGTCAGCAAGCGAGGAGTTGGACATGGGCAGCATTGAAACCGAGTACAATAAAAATCTCCCAATTTTGAAGCGTGATGGTTGGAGCCCGGGGTAACTCGAACGTCTTGCATGCTGCCCTCCGCGGTCAACATTTAAGGTGGGGCTAGCCTGGACACGCCTAGTGAAGCCTGTAGCGCATTCGCCTTGTCCCGAGTCCAGGTCCGCCTGTGCTGGAGACTGACTGACGTCACGCAGTGACGCGAAGCTGCCCACCTACTGGAGCCTATTTTCCTTGGTGTCGCTTAATGCTTCGTTCGTCCTTCCACCAGCACTACAACAAAATTGTGCATGCATTTTAGCCACGATACTCTTGGGACCTCTGCTTGCCAATCCGTAGTCTTTGCACCAGATGGTTTGCTTTTCGGGGCGGCTTTATCATCGGTGTTAGTGCAAGGTTGAACTGCCAGTATGGACGTCATGAAGGACAAGGTAAGAATTGTCCGAGTTTGAACATTTCCATCTAAACCAGATCACCCGTCGCTTCACTTCCGACTAGGACTACGATGTCGGTAGTTGTTAGATACCCCTTGGCCGTTCAGTGGCTGTTTGATTCTACAAAGGCCGCCTATGTTCTGGCTGCCGCCATCAAGCATACTGTGAAACTCATGTGACTAACGCGCTTCCAAGAACACAGGTTCTGGCGGCGATCGCAGCCCCCAGTCAAGCTCTTTCGTCGCGATCGCAGCAGCCCTAATCCCCTCAGCAATTACAGCTGCCATCTTTTTGGTCGCGTTCTTGTCCCTGCGATGGAGGTATCGAAACATCTACGCGCCAAGAACCTACTTCCGGACAATCAATCGCAAGTCAGTATTCCACTCTTATTGAGTACTCCGGGTTGACAATTCATAGGGATCGAACGCCCTCGTCCAGCCACGCGATCGTTTCTTGGTATCATGACTTCCGTGTCCTCGATGACAAATTTGTTCTGCGGCATTCCTCACTGGAGGCATATCTCTTTTTGAGATTTCTTCGGATGGTTGTCCTGATCTGCGTTGTGGGCTGCTGCTTGACTTGGCCGATTCTCTTCGCCGTCAATGCTACTGGAGGTGGCGGAGCTACGCAACTCGACAGGATATCGTTGAGCAACGTCGCCGACAGGAAACGCCTCTACGCTCATGCTATCGTGGCATGGGTGTTCTTTGGTGATTAGAAGACAGTCCCGCGATCGCTTGCGTGCTGACTCGCGTCCAGGGTTCATCGTCCTGCTCATTACAAGAGAGAGGCTATTCGTCATCGGACTCCGCCAAGCATACCAGACCATTCCTTTGAATGCGAGCCGGCTCTCATCTCGAGTGGTGTTGTACCTCAGTGCTCCGCCTGAAGCACTCAAAGAAGAAAACCTTCCTCGATTCTTCGGAGAGAACGCTGTCAGGTCATGGGTCGTTTCTGATTTCAGCCATGTGGAAAAGATCGTCAGCAAGAGAAACAGCAAAGTTGACCAATTGGAAGGCCTAGAGCTGCAGCTCCTGAAGAATGCGAACAAGGGCAAAGAGAACGGTACAGCTAATGGTCAGTTGAAAGATCATCGGCCGACGCACAGAACCAGATACCTGGGGGGAGACGAGGTCGACAGCATTTCCCGCACTCGCAAAGAACTTGAAGACATTCTGGCCGACCTTGACCGGGTCCGGCAGGCAGACGGAAGTGGTCCTAATAGACATACAGGGGCAATATTCGTCGAGTTTAAGGATCAACGCAGTGCGCATCAGGCCTTCCAGTTGGTGCAACATCCATCTCCGCTTACTTTGCAGCCAAGGTACGTTGGGGTTCAGCCCCGGGAGGTAAACTGGCAGAATCTCAACCTCGATCCGTCTCTTCGAATCACGTATTCGTACCTGGCCGCGGCACTCGCGGTAGCAATCATCATCTTCTGGTCAATTCCAGTCGGAATCATCGGAACTATCTCCAATATCAATTACTTGACGGACAAGATAAAATTCTTACGGTTTATCAACAATCTACCAGATCCAATTCTCGGGTTGCTCACAGGGTTGGTGCCACCTTTACTTCTCAGCACTGTGGTATCTTACGTGCCTTACTTCCTCAAATACGTGGCAAATCTATCAGGTCAACCAACGACGTTCGAAACGTCCAAATGGGCTCAACAGTGGTATTTTGTGTTTCAAGTGGTGCAGGTCTTCCTTATCACAACCTTTTCGTCAGGGGCAGCCGCCGTGGCTACCAAGGTTGCGAACCAACCAACATCAGTACCGACTCTCCTTGCTAAAAATCTCCCGAAGGCTTCGAACTTCTACCTGACCTATTTCATCATCCAAGGACTGGGGACTGCATCGAAACAGATCCTCAACTACAGCGACCTGTTCTCCTTTCTGTTCTTTTACAGGGTAATGAGCAAGACCCCGAGACAGAAGTTCAACATATACACGCAGATGAAGGGAATCAGTTGGTTCAATGTGTATCCCAAGTTCACCAACCTGGCCGTCATTGCAATAGCTTATTCGTGCGTCGCACCGCTTGTGCTGGGGTTCGCAGGCACTGGCGTCTTCCTCTTGTACCTGAGTTACCGCTACAACTTGCTGTATGTGGTTCAGGTCAAGACTGAAACACGAGGAGAGAGCTATTCCCGAAGTCTGCAGCATCTCATGACGGGTGTCTATCTTGCTGAGTTGTGTTTGATTGGCCTGTTTGGAGCTAAAAAGGCTCCTGGCCCTTCAGCTCTTACAACTGCTTTATTGGTCGCCACAGCGCTCCATCATTTCACCGTGAACAAATATCTCGGACCTCTCGAGAACTATGTGCCGATCGACGCATTTTCAGACGAAGATGAAGAAAGGCCGTTGCTTAGGGGTGATGAGGACGTCGATGGACCACACAGAACACAGGTCGAACGCTCACGGATTCACAGACTGGGTTCGGGGAAGGTTCCGGCAATTTTACTTGACCCATTGGCCACCTTTCTGGAGCCACGTATCTTTGCTTCCCAGGAAGCCCTTCGACCATGGCTGCAGGATCCCGAAGGTGAATCAGAAGAAACCATCACGTACACCGACGAGCAGATCGAGAATGCATATTTAAACCCGGCCATCACGTCGAAGACGCCGAAAATATGGCTACCAAGAGACCGAAAAGGCCTGTCCAAGACTGAAGTCGAAGCCAACGAGAAGGAGGGTTTGCCCAGTACAGATGAAGGCGCTGAACTGGATTCCTCCAACAGCATTCGATGGAACTATGAGGATTTCAATACAGTGCCTATTTTCAAAGAAGCGACTCGTTATTGAACCCGATGGCTCTTGAAGGCCATGTTGGTCATGTCAAGGGCACGCGGTTCTCATTTCAAAGCAGATATATAATGACCTCGAGAATCTGGCAACGGGTCCATTCTCTAGCCCAAACCTCGAAATCTTCTCGCTGGCGTGGGAACTGTCATGACTCCGGGATTTTGTCTTCTGGTGGCTACCTGACACGTTTAGTCGTGCGTCCCATGGCTTCTGGGTGACAATGCACTCATACGCTCTTAGCATGATATCGCCGGAGATGTCGAGGATCTGCCCAAGCAGAACCCATCACCTTCCTCTAATTGCACAGAGTGAGAGCATCGATGTCATCCCGTCCTGAACAATGCAGTGGATCGGAAAAGGATTGGCGCATACCCAAGGCCTTTTGGTCCGACCTGAAGAAGTCTCGGTGATAATGCAGCCTGCCTGCGCTAAGCCCCGTTGTTCGTCGAAGCGGTCGCCCTGTGATCCGGGCATGCCAGATGTCAGCCCTTTCACTCCCACCGCGCCCAGCTTGATTTCAGCCAAATCCCAGAATAAACCAGAAAGTCCGATTGGCCCGGTGGACCTAAACAAGCGCCATCGGCTACAATGCATCCTTTTCGGTCTAACCTCGCATTACTGATTTCGTACCGAATGGTCAGTCGGCTGCATGACCATCGTTTGAAGGCTGGCTGAGCCTCTTGTAACACTTGCTATTTCCATAGCACCGCAATCAAACCCCAGCACCCTTCGACAACACACCCGGGCATTTATTCCCAAATATGTTGGCTTGTCCCGACGTCGCCGACTGGTGCTCAGTCGATCGCATATCCGGTTGGACGTTTGTCCATTTCCGAATCAGCTTGGCGTTCACAGCCGCTTCTGGGCATCGTGTTGTGAGATCAGCTCACCGCGAGTCCTCGTGCTGTGAGCTCGGTTGCTAAGTCTCGCGATGATTATTGGAAAGCGACGACTCGTGTCAATCGGTGAGGCCGTCGAAGCCAAGGACAAGTCTTACTACGGGGAGCATACGAGGAATGGTGTCAGATTCGGGGATGTAATTAGTAGTAATCGAAGTATAAGTATATATGCTCTTCGAGGCCTGTCCAAGGGAGGAGCACTGTCATCGCCATCAGTCATCGGATTGAGAATCACATCCCTATTCACTCTCATCACCCAGACTGCTCACAGGAATAGACACATCTCTACCAACCATCTTGGTTCCACACAAGCACAAGCAACGCGCACCCCACAGCCGCAACATCATGATGTCTACAACAACCACAACAAAGAGACCTTCCCTCTTCTCCCGCTTCTCTTCCCGGACCTCCATGCTCTCGACTTCACCCTCCTCCTCCTCCTCCTCGCCGACGGAATCCTCATCCTCAACCCCAAGAGGCTGCCGCGACTACAACCGCTACGCAAAACACAACAAGGGCCACAACTTCACCCTGACTGACCCGTACAGCGGCTCCTCTTCAAGTTCAAGCAATGTCTCCTCGACTCAATCCGACTCGACCTCGACCCCAACCTCGACATCTGCCGACATGCCCGTCGGCGCCCGCGACTTCAAGCTCCGCTACGCAAAGGACAGCAAGCTGCAGGGCCATGACTTTAGCAAGACATACTTGTATGCCTATGCTGCCACTTCGACGACGAACTATTCGATGGCCTTGGACGCCCGGGGCGACGTGGACGTCGTCTCCTCTTCCTCTGTGCCCCGGGGTTGTAGGCACCTCGCCAACAAGAACATGAGGTATGCGTGGCATCAAGGTAGACAGGTGTTTTGAGGGTGGGATTTATATCCAGACGACTATGTACCCTATCGGGACTCGGATGTACGGTGTCTCGACCGTGTGCAGATTTGATACCAAGGTAATTATTGGGATTCGCGGTTCACATGTCTGTCACTTCCTTGGTGCTTGGTCCTGGGTTCTGGATATCTGGTGTCTGGGTCCTGGGTCTCGCCTTATTGGTCCTCGTATGGTACGGTGTACAAGTTATGGTGTACGAGAGGGCGCCCAACCTGGTCGGGTCGGGTCGGGTCGAGTCGGGTGGCGTTGGACTGCGTCGAAGCGAAAGTCACTGTGTCAAGTATTTACCTAATGGATGGATATCACGTCCATAATCGTGGCAGTCTAATTAGTTTGCAACGATGTACTCCGTATGCTCGTACCTTATTGCCTTGACCATCCTTTCATGCTCATGACATCGTATTCTTCATCGTTGACATCGTAGCTCATTGGCACTCTATTTGGCAATGAAGTGGGTGTCCTCGTACCGTGACACTAAGGGGGAACCACTTGCTCAAATGCGTCTATGCTCGCAGCGTAATGACATTGGTTTTTTGCAACCGGCCTGTCCACGAGACTGTGGATGACGGCTTGAACCAAACTTGAAACGCACTCCCCCCCAAACAATGGACGTTCCTCACGCCGAATGTGTCGGCAGCGCCAACGCGCCTAACGCCGACAAACTCACAAAAGGCCCGCCTGCCCGGCACTAATTCTCTCACTCAATGAGCCTTGCCGTTGCCCTTCAACAACGGCTGCCCCTCCTCATCCGCCGCGGCCTTGACATCACCGCTGGTGGCGCGCCGCTTTCCCCCGTCATTGGCGCGAAGCCACTCCTGCACCACCCCGCGGTAGTCCGGCGCCATGTAAGGACTAAATATCTCTCCAAAGATGTTGCCCTTTCGCCAGTACGGCAACCCAAGGTCCTGCAGCAGGGAGTCCATGTAGGGCAGCTGATCGAAGACCAAGTCCGGGAAGAAGCGGCCGTGGCCGTACGGCGCGCGATGCCGGGCATACTGTGCCAGAAGGGCCGTTTCGTCATAGACGGTCTCCGGGTTTGGACGCAGCGAGAGGGCGTTGTTCAGGTACGCGTAGGCCCACAGGCATTGGATTTCCATGCGCGGCGTGTTGGCGAGATTACTGAACATCGATATAAAAGCGAGGGAATGGTCGCCCTGTTGCGTGAGCCCCGGGGGTGCGATCGCCCGGTACAGGCGGAAGGGCGTGTAGTTTGCCTCTTTGTCCATGCCGGGGTTGAAAGGCTGGACGTCGCTCGAGGTCGGGCTTTTGAATGGACCGGCGAGAAGTCTCGGGAAAGAGGCGCCTATCGTGGCGTCGGCTTTGGCGTTGAGGGCGGTCCAGAATTTATGTTGAGACGTCGTGTACTCGCTCGACGGGACGCCGAGGGCCGAATGGCTTGTCTCGGGCACGAACTTGAGCGTGGGTTTGGCGGAGAAGCCGGTCGCCGTGACGAGGGCGTCGGCCTTGATGGCCACGCCGGAGGTGAAGGTGATGGTGTGGTTAGAGAGCCCGGCAATGTCTTCGCGGTGTACGCGCACGTGCCCCGTCCTGACCATCTCGTAGATGTCCTTGTCGTAGCTGTAGATGCCCGACGCCGTGCCGTACCAGAAGGGACTCTGTTCCGGTTCCAGCACTTTCGTCCGCTCGTCCTTGAGCATGCTGCAGTCCTCGAGCGTCGCCTTGTGCAAGTTGATCCAGAATTTCTGCGCAATCGTCTTGCCGATGCGGGTGAAGTGGAGGAAGTGCCGGATCCAGCCGAAGCCGTCGTTCCACAGGTTCGGGCTGAAGAACGACACGATCCGTCGGGCGGGCAGTTTCTCCCGCACGGCTTGCAGCGGGCCCATCGTGTGTGCCGGGAAGATCCATTCCGGGCCTTTACCTGACTTGCGGATGATCCATTCCACCTTCTTGCCTGCCTTGCCCGCCAGGTGGACTGTGTCGTATGCGGATTTCCCTCCCCCGAGAACGGCCACCGTTTCGACGTTCGAGTCGTCTGTGAGGCTGGTGCCATGCATGCCTAGTTCGGCAGAGTGCATGATCGGACCGCCGAACTCTTCGGAGTCCCTCAGCTGGGGTCGGTTCGGGACGTTGGTGACGCCCGTCGCGATAATCAGCTTGTGCGTGTGGATTTCTGTGCCAGCACCGAGTTTGACCTTCCAGCCTCTAAGGTCTTTGAGCTTCGAGACTTCAGCAACATGGGATTCGAAGTCGATCAGGCTCAAAAGCCCAAAATGTTCAGCGTAGGCTCTGATATAGCGGTGCATCGCTTCGCCTGGGACATGTTGACCTGCCGGGACGCCAAAGCCGTCGTGCATAGGAAAGTCGGAGAAGTCGATGCCGCCTCGAATATTGTTCGTTTTCAGGCCCGGGTAGATCTTCTCTTTCGACCAGACGCCGCCGACGGTTTTGTTCTGGATAGCTCAGCATGTCAGTATTAGAAACCAAACCCGCTGGGCTGGCCGCAAAGACCTACTGAGTCAAGAATCTTGACCCGCGCATCTGGTTCACATTCGCGTATCGTCTTCGCAGCACATAGCCCCGACGGCCCTTGGATGCGATCAGTCTAATGCATGCGTACGGGCTCGACATTGGTTGCAATTTCATACCGGCACCGATTATCAGGTAGTCATATATCTCCCCTGCCGACATGTCCAGCACTGGCGTCGAAATGATGTCGCACCTTTTGTTGTTGGAGAGCTCAGCACGGGTGCAAGAGAGCGACAAAGTCTTCCACAGCCATCATGTATGCAGAAGCTGTTTCCAGTAGTCGGGCTCTGGAAGTGAAGGATTATCACTTAGGTCTGGCAGTGAGCAGTGGCATCGGCATCGTTCCAATCAGCTCCAGCCACAGCAGGTGACTTGTCCATCTTCACGAAAGTGCTGGGAATCCTGCGAAGTCCAGGCACGTGTCGGATTGGTCGGCGTAAGCTGCAGATCCGTAAGCTGATGTCCAAGGTAGTCAATTGCTGACCTTAAGTCGCTGGTTACCAAGAGCGTCCGGCTCTTACATTCCAGCCCTTTAGGTCCCATGTATTGACTTGGTGGGATTTCGCCTATCGAAACCACATGGTTGGATACTTAGATACCCGGGACCACGTTGCCTCGAAACCACGTTGCCTCAAGATTCATAGGTTGCCGACTTCGACACGAGCTTCGCCGGGTCTGGCCCTGTCGGCCGATGTATCCAGAAGTTTGGGGGCATCTCATCGCCTGAGACGACCAGTGAGCGACCGGCACAGTAGCGCAGGAAGGGACCGCAGGGCTTACCTTTTTGCTTACTTTTCCGTGTCGACCTCAGCCGCACATTCCTTCCATCTCATCTCACCACTCAGTCCTACGCTACCGGGCGTTTAGCGGCTACCCTACTTGGTGTTCGAGATGTTGAATGCTGAGGCTTGCTTAAGAGCCAAATGTCCTCCCCGCGGAGAGGTTTGGAAGATGTGTGGAGCTGTCTCTGTGTGGATACGACTGTTGGGAACTGTTGAAAGAGGCGGCGCACCTGAGGGACAAACATCAGAGGCATTGTTCAAACCCAGTGCTGGACTGTGGATACAGGGTGCCTGCGCCGTGCAAACATGACAAACGCCGCCGGGGTGCCACAGGCGGCGTGGGCTTGTACCTGGTTGCTTCTTGGGCCATCTCCCAAAGTAACTTCTACCTAGTAATGAACTCCGTTTGGAGTACTGACTACAGTAATTACTGGCCCGCACCAGATGCCGCAGGTCCTGTCGTGACTCATGCGGTCAGTCACCATCCAACACGATTACTGTACACAGAGCTATTTCGTCAACGGCGCGCACACATGCTTCAATTAGTCAGTCAGGGGATGTTGGACCCTTCGTCAATGTTCAATCATGTCACAGAGGATGTGTTTGGATGTGTTTGGATCTGTATTTGTGCGCTATACGCTGCACGCTGCACGTCGTGACCATTGCAAGCACGTTTACATGGCACGGGACATTACAGGCCAGGACATTGCAGTACATGAATGCTTTGGACTCGTAAGTCATGACAATCAATCAATCACCGTGGATCATCGAAGTCTGGAGAGACGATCCACGAATTCATCCATCCATTATGAGCATCACTTTAACCGATCGCCACGGCAGTCTCGACAGCAGCCTTCTCGTTTCCGAGAATGACTTCCCTGTGAGTGACGTTGCCGTGCTCGTGCTCCTTCTCGCTGCCTTCGCTTCCATCCTCCTTCGCAGCCATGGCCACGGCGGCGACGGATCCGACGCATCTGTATGTCCGGAATTTGCGGGCAGGAAGGCGGGCTTCGAACTGTGAGGAAAAGAAAGTTAGCAAACTGCACGATACACAGGATCTCTTTTGCGTTGTGGTTTTTCCAGAAGCACGGACTTGTCACTCACCATTTCGTCGATCTCCTCGAATGTTCGGTTCTGCACCTCGGGTAGGTAGAGCCATGTCCACAGGGCGCCGAGAAGGCAAGACGGGAACCAGATGTAGCCGTACTTGGGTCCCCAATTGAGCGAGTCGGGGTTGATGAAATAGGGGGCGGTGAAGGTCGCGAGCCAGGCGCCCAAGAAGCCGATCGAGGCTGCAAGGCCGAAGGTGTAGGATCGAAGGCGCTGGGAGGGGAATTCGCCACCGCAGAGCCATGCGTACGTCGCGACCATACCGTTGTAGCCGACGATGTAGACGACCGAGACGCCGACAATGACTTTTCCGGTTGAGGTGCTGGCGCCTTGCTTGTCATACACGATGGCGACGATCAGTTGCGTGATACCGCAGAGACACATGCCGATGGTGAGGAAGACACGGCGACGACCCCATCTGGTAATTACGGCGCTGTTGACCAGGATAGCGACGACACCCACGGCAACGAGGATGCAGGAGTTTTCGAACGCCGAGCCAACTTTGGCCATCTCGAAGAAATATGTGCCGTATGCTTTGCAGATCTGTTAGTCTCTGGTTCACGGATGGGGCCCACTCTTCGGGTACTCACAGATCATGTACATAGCACCAGACGCGGCTTGGAGAGATACAGCACCAACGGCGAGGAGCGTTCGTCGTCTGTCCACGGGGTTTCTGAACATGTCGAGGACGGCTGCACTCTGGGCCAAAGCTTGCTCGGCTTCGATGGCCTCGGTGATCTGGGTGACTTCCTCGTCGACGGCGTCGGGATAGGGTCTCAGCCAGTTGAGAGATTTGCGGGCCTTCTCGGTCTGGCCCTGAAGGACATACCATCGGGGGCTCTCGGGAATGAATAGCAAGCCGATGGATAGGAAGACTGGCACAATGTAGACGACTGCCAGGGATACAATGTATTGGTTCTTCCCGTCGAGCTTGACCGTGAAGTTGTCGATGACAGTACCGACCAAAGTGCCAATTGACGTCCACGACTGGAACAAGGCCAGAACGAGACCTCGGTATTTCGCTGGAGCACTTTCTTGAAGGTAGAGTTGAGAGAAGGTCATGAGCATGCCGTTCGCAATGCCGATCAGGAAACGGGCGAAATAAAGAGCTCCGATGCTCGTCGTGGTCATCATGATAACGTTGGCGACAACGCAGAGCAAAGCAGCAATCCAGATGGACATTTTGCGGCCGATGAATTTCGCGATTGGACCGGCAGTCGATGAGCTAATGAAAGCTCCGAGAATCATCAGCGATGAGATGAGCTGCTGTCGTGTGTGGTTGATGTTGTAACCGATAGGTGAGACAGACGTGGGAACCTTCGAGCCAAAGACCTAGGGATTGTCAGAACTCGTCGTAGTATGAGCCTCCTTTTTCGTGCAACCATACCTCCAAGAAGCCAGGCATGGCCTGGAGACCACCAATAATGCCAAAGTCGACACCATACTGGAACGGACACATGCTGACCAGAGTACATGCTACCATGCACTTCCAGTGGGCTTTCAGGGTGTCAGGCCGTGAGGTCGCCATGATGGACGATTTCGTGGTTGCTGAGAGGTCCAAGGCAGAGGCTCAGGTGAGGTTGGAGGTGATATCGAACTGCCCGAGACAGAGGATTGATATATCACACCGTCGGTCCAAGCAGCCGACATATTCAGAGCTGGTTGGAATGAAATGGTCGGCAGCGACCAGTACGATTCTGGTAACGGCATTGAGGAGAGAGCTAATAGCCCCACGATGGAGGCAAAACGATAGCGCATCGCGCGTTGTTCATTGGCGGGAATCCATCCCAAAGCGCCTAGAATGTTGGCGTGACTGGGCCTGTCCGGGGTAATGCTGGAGCGAGCTAAGCCAAACGTCGACAATGACCCACGGCCTGATAATGGGTAGTCGATATTTGACCAGGCTTGGCCCGGCCTCCGAGACTTGCGATTCAACCAGCCTCGCTCGGACAAGATGGGCGGGCGAGAGCGATGATCCATTGCCTCATCAGAGACAGACTGATGATCTCCATGTTCGACTTGAGGCAGATGTTAAGCTTTTAGCCGTGAGCGACTGCTGGGCGATGCCCCTCGTCTTCTCACAGGACCTACACAATACTGTGTAGTGCAGAAGAATGGCACAGCTTCGTATGGCTGAATGGTTCTACGAGGTCCCTTAGCACAGTGGTAAGAACGCGCTGTGATTGAGTTTCCGCTGCGTGATCGAAGAAGCAGCCATTGAACGTGCCGGTAGGAACGCACATCCGAAAAGCTTGTCCTCGTCCGTGGAGGTGTGCCCTGTGGCCAAAACCTCGCATGGCTTAGGCCTTTCTGAAAGCCCCAGTTTCGAGCTGCTCCAGGATCTCCACGTTTTGAGCTTATGATTTGCAGATCTGGAGATAGATCCTTTGCGACGTGCCCAATGGCTGCTGGCAGGCTTCTCCGCAACACTGGAGCCCCTGTCTCCAGTTGTTGGGGTGTCGGTCATTTGTTTGTGGCCGACGTGCGGGGGCAGGACGGGCTTCGACTCTGGCGCCTTTCCCAAATAGCCAGCTGGACAAGCTGCGAAAGTGCAAATTCATTTTCCTAAAACGGCGACTCCGACGGTAGTGCAAGCCACAGGCATGTCCGACAGGAAATGCACGTGTTGTCCCCGGAATACTGGTGTTGAGCTAGGCAAGCCGAGAGCGTCGTTGAGGTATCGCGTAAATTGTTCCCCATACAACTACAGCCAGACTCGACGTCGGTATGTCTCTAGTGCCTGGTACTTTCCCCAGCCTTTTCAGGGACCAGAGCCGGATAACGTTCGATCACGGGGGTGTGTGCTGCATCCAGCATTTGCCATATTTATATTGGTTCGAACCGGGTTATAGGATGCCATGTGACTGGATAGTCACAGCTTCCACACCAACTTGGAGACCTTGCCAACCATGTTCAACAGTCATCACCAAAGAGCCGGTTGTGTTCCAGCGTTGACGCAATCTCACAAAAGTGTACATGTCTTTCTTGAATATCAGGCTCCCACAATACTGACCAGGAGTACAAGAAGGCAGGGAGCCATAGTCCGGCTCAGAACTGTCGAGGTTTTCGTGAGAAAACATCAAATATTCGCGCCCCTCTCCAATGCATTGGAGCAAGCCAGGGTCCAGCAAGTGTGGGGGATGCCAATAGGTATCGGAAATCCGGAGGCTCTAGAACGGCATGTATGGATCCCAGCATCGACGTTGTGGGTAGGTTGCGGCTTCTCACTTTAGCTCGCATACAGGCGACGCGGCTCTAATGGTCCTGAGCCCTGGCCGATGCGCCATGAGGCCATTCTCCGTTTGCAGGCAAGTGCGATTGGCATTTCCCAGACCTGGAGCACGACTCGGCTGCCCTGGGCCTGGGCGATCCCTCTTGATCGGTCAGGGTCGTCAGCGAACTGTGTACCGTCCCGGCCTCCAAGGGTCTCTTGTTGCGGGTCTAAAATCTAGACTCGTCAGTGCATAACTGGGCCAACCAGGTCCTTGGACACTGCTTTAGCGGACCTATCCAGGTCTGCCATCGTTTTATCCTCAATGCTCTTTTGATCTGCACATATCATTTCGAACAGAACGGTCCAGGCTGTAGCATGCACCGTGCCTTACGGCACCAGGCAGTAGCTCGGATACCAACGGACTTGGGTCTTCCGCGGTCGACAAGATGTCGCTGCTCATATTGAGTGTTGAGAGAAGTCGAGGTCTCGGGTAGGGTGCCATCGGTTGGGGCTGGTAGCTAACTAGGAGAGCAGGCAATTACTTCGCCCAACAGTTCTTACCACCTGTTAGCTTGCCAGTGCAGGTGACCTTGCGACAGAGAACAGCCGGTTCGAGGATGCTTGACCATGGTATGGGGAATCATCGCTTGGTAAAGCGGTCACTTGCCCAGAGAAGGAACTGAACTCGCCTTGGGCACTGAAATGTGCACTTATCAGACCTGCCGGCGGAGCAGTGCCACAGGTACTGCCATCCAAGCGCGAGCGGCTTGACGAATGAACAAGGTCAAAATCTGGCACCCGTTACTATCGTGTGCTTGAGCCCTTCAAGGCGTGGTCATGCAGAGGAGCAGCAGCAACCCCGCAACGCGAGTGAGAGCTTCCACGCGCCAAGACTGTGTTCGGCACCATTCCATTTGCAGACTAGCGGGGACTTTTCAAGTGCTGCGCTTCGTGCCGTCTCAATCAACACTTGGTCTGCTTGCACTTCTCGCGCCTGCAGACCGAAGGAGTCCGCTCAAGCTCGCATCTTGATGAAAGTACACAGTTGAGGAACCTGTCTTGGCAAAGCCCCTTTTCGGTTTTTCACGGACTATACTGCTCTAATTACCCCATATTCTCCACGGAGTCACCCCGTCCTCCCACATCGCATGACGCTCAAAGAACCCTGCAAGGAGGAGAAGGAATATCCTCTGAGAGCTACGATGGACTCTCTATCACACCATCCGCACTCACCGGCAACACTCTCGGACTTATGGTCGTGAATCCGTGATTTAGTCCTCCCATGGTGCGCGACCAACCTTGTGCTAAGGCATATCCGAGTGTGGATAGTGCTGCCCGAGCCCTCACAAGTCTGTCCTCAACTACTAACCCAGCATATACTCCGTCTACCCAGCCCAGCACAGGTGATCCGACAGGGACATGTAAATAGGCGGTATCTATGGCGGATACTTCACGAGAGGTCAGCAGGCATCGACCCTGGGGCTGTAGTGAAAAGCATTGTCTTGCCCATCGAGACTCCGCACCATCGGTTGCAAGCCTCGAGAGTCTCCAGGAGGTTCTGTTTCGGAGCAGCACAAGAATGATCAAGTTGCGCGTGATTAATGCATCAGGTGGTCTGATGGATAGCTCGACGTGGATAGAGATTCGTGGCTACAGCACGTATTTTATGGGCTTCAACGATCGAGCCGACAATGGGAGAATGTTGTGTACTGTGGGGCGAAGTAGCACGACCTTGAAAACAGATTGCTGTGAAACCGCAAGCGCTGCAGAGCATACACTTGCTGACTGTTCGGATGTAGACGCACGGTACCTCAACGAGGGAGTAGGTGAGTCCCATTTGTGCTCGTACATAGGTATCTTTGCAGAAATAACACCGCAATACGGCTTCGATCTTGGAAAGTATGCCAGGTACAGTATCTGCGAAGTGAATCATGACCGAAGATACCGAGTGCTGTGTGGTAGGTCCGACGGTGAGGTGACAACATGGTCGAGCCAACCGTTGACAGGAACCGCACGTGCGCCTGGACCTGCACCCACATGCGCACCCGCGCGGTCAACGTTCGGCCCGTTGAACCTACAGCGCCGCCTCCGGGCGCGGTCCTGCAGTAGCAAAGAGCTTACGAGGTACCTGGTTACGTAGCTCACTTCCACGCCAGCGAGGGGTGGCCGTCTATCGAGCCTCGTCGTGCCTCGTCCCATTCGCTCGAGGTCCCGAGGTTGGAAGTGCTCGGTTGAATACTTACGTACGGAGTACACAGTCCAAAAACGTGTCGCACCATTGCCGGGGAAAGCTGTCTGTCGACCGTAGCGTTACGCATGGAGATTTCTGGCGAATGCGAGGTACAAGCCGACATGCAGACTCAGCAGGCCGTACGGGGTACTGTGTACTCTTGCGTGTTCCGGCGAACCCCTGGCGGTCGTTATGATCGGTGGGTTGGCGCCCAGCCACCGTTTCAGGCACTAAGCCTTCATTGACGAAACTTCGAGTCATCGACGTCGTGACCTGCGTAGATCGACGATTTCGACACAGCCTGTATACGAAGGGAATAGACATTGATCATATTCTATACACATGGATATTATACAGTGTATATTGCATGCATGTACATTCGAGGCGTTGCCCCGATGCCCTCGTTTACTGTTGTCTCTGGGGGCGTTCAGATGTATCGTGGCCGTTTTAACTCATCTCCCCATTGCCCCAGCTACGTTGCGCGCTCCGTTGGCATCGAGAATACTCCATTGCTCGAGACGAAAACCTCCCGGTCAAAGCATGCTTCGCGCAATGCGCTCGTCCATGTCATTAGAACTCCGAGACACGGACGGTTGTAGTCTTCGTAATGGTGCCGTTGGGTGGGCTTGCCGTCCACTGATTGTCGGTGTCGGTGCTGACGGCGTGGAATTCGTCTTCCAACATGATCTTGTCGCTGTTGTCATCACCCGCCGTCACCGTGCTGGTGAAGCCTCCCAATTTTGTGCCGGCCCCGCGCCGCAGGTCCTCTAGCTCCGTCGATTGCCGCGAGCCGAACTTATAGTACTGACTTGCTGGCTTGCGGACAGAACGCTTGTCGGTCTTGCTTTTGCCGTAGGCGAGGCCGTCAGCATCGTAATAGTGGCCGGGGCTGCGGCTGTTGTTCGACGTGAATCTTGCCGTTCCGCCCAGGATCTTTACAAAAAGTGGTCGTAGCGCAGGCAATGACGCTGCAAGGATGCCGATGTTGAACTCAATGTTGTTCCACATGAAGAATGAGTCATGATATGTCCAGTCAGGATCCTGGAGCGCATGTGCCTGCTTGACTGTTTTGATAATACTCGAGACGCAGGCGAACATACCCAAGCTCAGGACAAAACACAGGGTGAGCTTCGTCCGCAGGTTTGCCTGGAGCTTCCACACGACGGGGATGGGCAGGAGCGCGAACAGCACATCGGTCGCAATGTTGATGCTGCTGTTGAAGATCCCGATGTTGGTGAATGTAGTATTGCTGAAGCACTTGGCCTGTCCATTTGCGCGGAGTGCGAAGTTCCAATTGGCGTCGACCCTCGTGCCGCAGTTGAAAATCAACGTTCCGGCACAGGAGATGGTGAACGCGACGAGGAAGACGATGCAGCCCATCAGGAAACGTCGGTAGACTTGGCCCTGCACGAATCGGCGCAGGAAGAATGCGATGGAGATCTTGACCAGACTGATACCAACCATGATGATGATCGAGTGGAAAAACCGCCAGTGTGAAAAGAGGGCAAAATCGTCTGGGCTGACCAGCGCCGGATGCCTCCCCAGGCCGCCGGCTTTGCTTTCTCCCACAAAGCAGATCACGACGCCGATTTCGCAGATCTGGATGATTTCAGTGATTGTTAGTCTGGATCACGCCAGCATTGTAGGTTTGGGAACTCACCGCAGCTGCGACCATGAGGTAGTCGTCCGCCCCTAGGCTCTTCAGCATGAATATCCTGACGTAAAGCCTCAGCAGGACGGTCAGGACGGCTGCACCGCAGAAGGCGCCATGCACCGCTAAAAGAGCGCCTGAATTGTTTTCATTTTGGTACTGCACGGGAGCAGCAGGAGCTTGCCGTTCAAGAAGCTGAAGGAGTTCCGGGATGACCATAGTATCGGAGGGAGGCGCAGTCAGTTCACATGATCTGGGAGCGGCGGTAACAAGCGAGCTGTAACGCTTCGTCAGGGCGAGACTGTTCGCTCCGAGATGTAGATGAAGGAATGTTTGACAATGCTGGCTGTCTCAAATTTATGGCAAGCGGAATCACTTCACATGATCTTGCAGTAGTGGTGACAGGCGAGCTGGAACGCTTGGGCAGTGCGAGAGTGTTCACTCCGAGAATGTTGATCAAGGAGAGTTTGACAATCTCGGCTGGCTCAAATTGTTAACATGACCGAGCCCTAGTTACAGTACCTGTTATGAGCTTGCTTAATATGAGTCTTCTCGGACTCCTTTCCCTCATGCACGGTTTCAACATATGCTAGGCTTCTGGAAGACAAGGAGAGGACACGGATCCTTAGCGTCCATTATCCTTCAACCAAAAACGCGGGTAGATCCCACGAGCGGCTTTGGTCAATGGCATGTTGCAGGTTTTCCTGGTGGAACGGATTTTGCGCCTCGTCTGCAGTTAGTTGAGCGCCAACTCTTAACTGCTTACCACCGTCGACTGCCTAGGCCGCAGCGCTGCTAGCCACAACAAGCCCGGGCATTGACTAAGTAGGGACTGCGGAGTAGCAACCAGTGCTTCGACCTCGAACACGAGGCTGTTCCAATGAGAGACGTACTGATTCCAGGCCTACCAACATGGGCAAAGTCGACCACGGCGTCTTCCAGCAGAGACTGCGTTAGAGGGTACAGAGTACATTTGCCTGGGGTAGAATGATGGTGGCGCCGAGGTCGGAAGTGCTTTCGGTGAAGAAGCCGTATTTGGTGCACGCCGTTATGACCAGGCTTTGCATATCGAGCCGGTTCCGGGGTAAGGACCCACAGTCATATTGTTAGACAAGGATCATGCTGGAGTCTTTTATGAAAACCAGCCGTAAGTCGCTGCACAGAAACTGTGAGGACCGGGGTGCCTGTGGACTTCTTCCCCTAGCTTCACAGGCCCTGATTCGAGAGCGCAGCAAATACGGAGCATAAGGGAGCCAAGGATACGCCGGCTCAGCGATGCACGACGCCGAGAGCTCGCCCCTGAGACGACATCGTGATCACACCAACCATGTCTGCAAATCAGACTCTATTGCAGACGATCCTCGCAGCCCGGCGCCCGTTGCTAGTGGCTTTGTCGTTGTTGTAGAAAGGAATGCAGCAGCAGTGAAAGGCTCGTGACGAGCAAAAGTAAAGATGAAATGTTAACACCGTACTCCGTACGGAAGATCATGGGGTATGGGGTCAAAATTAGGCTTTGGCACCAACTCTTTTAAGCTGCCCTAGGCCATTTACAGGATAGCCTAAATCTAATCCGCGTAGCCTAACGAGCTGGTCGCGTGGGATCTGCGCCGGTTCTCCGATCACGTCAAGCATCCTGCTCCTTCTCCTACCACCCAATCCAGCACGATCAACTGACCGCCCTTCCTGGCGTCTCTGCTGAAGTTGAGCTGATCATCGTGTAGAGCTTCATACACAGTAGAGGTCGTTATCTCCGCCCTCTTCCAGACTCAGCTCTTGTGGAAGCACTATTGAAACTCCAAATCCTGCGCCTCGAGGGTTTCGAAGATTGGGCCGACGCTCATCGTATTGTGGGTGCATACGGCCTCGGTCACATGGAAGCTTTCACCTCGGCCGTTCTAGACTGCGTACAGAAATGCCGAAATCAGCCGTCTGATACGCTTTCAGAACCGAAATGATCGGCGTGCGCTTCGAAATGAGAAGACTCCATCACACTGCATGGTTTCACCGCAGCCTTATCATACGACCAATCTCTTCACGACGGTCGACCTAGGGTCCTCCCTCGTGGATGGCTATTTAGCCAGCTACCTGACCCAACTCATTGGCGAATCTCGGTAGGTGCTCGCTTGGCCCACTGACGAACATTCGACAGTCACTAGATAATCTGCGATGCCCACTCATGCGTCTACCGAGGGACTATCGATTCCCTAAAGCCTCGTCAAATCCACCTCGCTCACCCGCCCGAGATCTCGCGTGGCCAGATAACAACCTCATGGCAGTGAGAGGAGTGCAAGTGCGATGTCTATAAAGCGACGTAAGGTCCAGGTTATCAGCGCACCCCTTCTCTGAGCTCTCACAGACATTTTGCCTCTGTGACCCAGCGGTCCCTTTTGGTGTGATATTGGCTTCAGGTGTCTGCCGTCCACTCCCTTGTTTCTTTAAGAGGTCTTTAATTTTCTCATCTACGTCCCATTCAGAACAACTTCCAGCGATGCATCTTCGATTCCTTGTGCCAGCCCTGTTGGCAGTATCGGCGGCACGCGCAGCTCCAACGCCTGCGGACAGCGAGTTTTCCGAGCGGGATAACTCTGTTTCAGCCGCTTCTTCGGCATTTTGGTTCCCTGCCTCGACGATCCAGACGGATATTTTGGCCGCGAAAAGTCTCGTCAACCTCGCCTTCTATCAGCTCACGAATCCGCCGAGCGGGAGCTGTAATCTGCTCAACGCAGCAGTCCGCCGAGAATGGTCTACCCTCTCAAAGGACGAACGAAAAGCATACATTTCCGCCGTGTTGTGTTTGCAATCCAAGCCAACCAAGGATCCCAGCTTCGCCGCAGGGGCCAGATCGCGATATGACGACTTTGTTGCCGTACATATAAATTCCACTTTAATGATTCACGGGACTGCCAACTTCTTGGCGTGGCATCGATACTTTACATGGGCCTTTGAGCAAGCCCTTCGAAGCGAATGTGGCTACACAGGGTATCAACCATATTGGAATTGGGGAAAGTACGCCTTCGATCCTCTTCACTCCCCTCTCTTCGATGGCAGCGACTCCAGCATGTCCGGAAACGGCCAGTACGCACCACACGGCCCGACAAATGCTCTACCTACAGGACTGAACCCCATTCCTCCTGGGCAGGGAGGCGGTTGTGTCAACACGGGCCCATTCGCAAACTACGTCGTCAACTTGGGCCCTGTCGCACCGACTTTGGATGTTCCAGGCATTATCGACTATTCAAGCCCGGACCCTCTCGCGTATAACCCGCGCTGCCTTCGGCGAGACATCTCATCGTGGGTCTCCTCGAAGTGGTCCAAGGACTCCGACTCGTTCGACCTCATCTCAAACTACAATGACATCCTCTCATTCCAGAACCGCATGCAGGGCGACTTTGGAAGTGGCTTTTATGGCGTCCACACGGCCGGTCACTTCACCACCGGAGGTGATCCTGGTGGTGACCTCTTCGCTTCTCCAGCTGAGCCGACTTTCTTCCTGCACCACGCACAGATCGACCGGACATGGTGGATCTGGCAGAACCAAGACCCGAAAAACAGAAAGAGTGCATTCGCTGGTGGCACCTCGGTTTTAGATCCCGTTAACAGCCCTCCTGGAAAGCTGACTGATCCTATTATTATGGGATCTCTGGCGCCGACGATACAGAACAAGGACGCGCTGTGGACGACGGGCGGGCCTTTCTGCTACATTTACGTTTGATGAGAGGGAGTGTGCGAACTTCTTTGGTACATGGTGATCATTCTGAGCACGCAATAGAGATTTGCAGGGTCGCACCAGAAGATAGATTATCGTAGCATAATGTCTAATGTCTATTGAAGCCGAACTTGTCTTCCAACTCCGGTACTCGCGTGCTCACGATTGCCAACTCACCACGTCTTTGAAGCCAGCCTCGAGCGCGAATGTCACTGGGACCCGCTTGGATCCTATTTCACGAGACGGTGGTGACACGCGAGCTGACAGCGCGTCTTCGCACTTCGCGACCCGCCGCCGAGGCGGGAACCAATCGCAATGCGTACACGGCTGGTGCCGCACAATTCTCCGAGAGGCTGAAACCGTAAGGCTGACATCGAGAGCAGCGCCTATGCGTCTGGAGTATGTAGGTATCTAATAGACAGCACTGCCTCCTTGCGAACCCGCACAACGACGTAGTGCCAGATCTGACGTATCAGCAAGTCGTGTGGAGTCTCGTTCGCGAAAATTGGAACCAGTGAAATACACTGTCTGGGGTTCATGAAAACGGAGTGTGAGCCTTCATCTTGAATTCAACAGCACTGCCACCCCCCGATATTGCAGCAAACAATAATGATGTTTCACAGCCAGATCTCAAAATCTCTTCTTTGCCAACGAGCTATGTGGACATGCTCCTTGACTTCGACCTGCACTTGATTTTGTGCTACAACTTTTCAACCTTCACCCAACACCTCCATTATCGCTTTCCCCGGACCGCCGCTCTTCCCGCATCCTCAGGACTCCATCCAATCGTCAAGTGAAAGTGATCGCCACCTCCACCACCGCAGAAATGTTCGACCCGGTAGATTGGTTCATGCTCATGTGCTGCTGGTGCTGCGATCGCAAAGACAAGGACGAAGAAGAGTACGAGGTCTCCGAGCGCGAGCGTACCCGCCAACAACTCAAAGCCGACTTGGCCGATGAGGCCGGCATGCCGCACGAACAAACGAAGAAGCCGCCCCAACTAGCCCACGCGCCGGCAGAACTGCAATGATGTGCCCGAACGCCCTCAATCAACGGCTGAAACCCATATGGTAGAATGAGTGTATGTACCACTCACTAGTGTCCGGGAGGCGAGGCAGCTACTCAAATGATCTTGCTGGATTACTTACTCTGTACATACGTAGCGGACTGATCTGATCACTCCTCTGCGAAACTCCCGCCCGGCGGCTCCTCCTCATACTGCTCCACACCCTCCGGAATGTCTACCACCGCTGACTTAGTCCAAATGTGGATGGCCTTCCTCATCAGCTCCTTACTCAACCCCTCCAGACAACCCGCCTTGACGCTCAACATGGCCGCTGGTTGGACCCTATCTCCACTTTGGCCGGCCACAGCAGACATAGACACATGCACCAGACGACTCCCGCATTTCGTGCAAAAATAGCCGTCTGTGCGCCCTGAGGAGTTGGCACGACTGTACATTTCTATGGCGTCGGGAGTGGGTGCGTATTTCTGGATGTCAAAATACGGAAAGATCGCAGTCATGCCGTACGTGGAGGACGACTGGTGGCGGCATTCCGTGCAATGGCATATGTACAGCGCGAGAGGCGCGACGAGGGGCGTCACAAAGCGGATCTGGCCGCATTGGCAGCGTGCGTCCATGTCGATTGAACGGAAGGATGACAATGGTGTGCGATGCGAAGCTGCCAATGGAACCTGGTTTCTTCCTGCCTTCCTTCTTCTCAGTATCTCGGAACTTGTGCTGTATCTGCGGACCGGGATGCGTTAGCGGCTGGACTCGCTACAGTGGACAGGTGGAGTTGATAGCGAGGATGTCGAAGACACAGGACCTTGTACCTAGCTATACCCTGCGCCCGGCCTGATTGTAGCTACTGTACAGTGCACACTGTGCTGTAGACCTTGAAGTGGTAGTGGCTAACGGACCACGCTTCTGCAGATACGAGTACGAACACGAGCACCATTCCCCCGCCTCTCTTCCGTCCTCCCCTCCTGTCATTCCCATCACCATGGCTGGTGCTGTTACGCCACGGCAACTGTGGCCCTCCACTGCCTTTATTACTCACCTCAGTCTGACTGCACCTTTACACACCTCTTACGCACCTCTTCGACACTCATGCCTGCTACGACACCAGTGCATGCCATCTCAACCTCGTGTTCGGGTGGTCGCGCCCGTCGTCTCCGCAGCTACACGTTCGGTCCTATCCCACCTACGCCTCAAGCGGCCAGGCCACGAACCGGAAGCCGGGATGCTAGGCTCCCAATGCGTGACGGTTGCGCGATCGGCATGCCACCTACCACGATACATAGCACGCCCAGCATGCTGCATTGGGACAGATTCGTCGCTTGACTACCACACAATCCCCGCGAATTAGGCGACCCGCGCCTCTGTTCAGGTCAAGGTCGCGCATTCTTCGCATTTGGGGACGTACAATTGGATCCTCTCCGGCGTACTGTAATTAGCGTACAGGTCCCTGCCCTTGGCGGTGTTCACAGTGGACCATGTTGGGCAGGATGCACCCAATGCGTGCGTCACTTAGCTGCGAGCTGCTCCCTAACAATCTCATTGAGCTGCCAACGAATCAAGCGGGGTAGCTGGTGGTGGCCCTGGCCGTTGAGGCCATCGGCCCTATCCAGCCAGTCAACCACTCGACCACGACAGACGCTCGTTTACTAGAAGGTTCCGCTACTCCGTACCGGGTAGGCCACGCTGGTCAAGCAACAATACTCCGTACAGCGCCTTTCTTGGGTGAAGGAAGAACCAAGCCGTGATCGCTCCTACGTGGTCCGTCCGGGGAATACATGAAGAGCCCAGGGCGGCCACACTCCGTACGCCGCAAAACATACACTACACCCCGTTCTTTCGGAGACTTGAACTTGAACTCCAAGCCTTCCGGTGTCACCCCTTCCCGCGCCCTGCAATACACAAAGTGCTCAAGGTACATAACGTTATCGAAGGCCTGGCGTCGGTTCCCGACGGGTCATCCCGACGATTCTGCCCAGGAGATTCACGGGTTTGGTCCCATCTAGAGAAAGGCATGACAGACGTCTTCAGCCATGGTCATTCGTTAGTTGGCTATTCGGTACTGCCCTGGAAAAATAGCGACCGTGATCGCAATCAACGAAAATGCCTACTTTCAACTCTAACGCCCTCGACACACCCGGCACCGAATCCTCAATCGACAGCATCAACACCCCCGAGGACGAACAGCAGTATGCACCTCCGCCGATTCGTAAGTCGCCGTCTCGCCAGCTGATAAACTCGCCGCGCCGGCCCTCCGGCTCAGCATTTGCCTATCCCGTTCCGAAACCCATCTCCGCGTGCCTGGTCGACCCCTTCCACACCCTCCCGATCGCGGTCGACACCACGACAAACAAGCTCCTCCACTTCTACAGCCAAGACAGCTACTGGGCGACCGCGTACGCGCTGGCCCCGAAGATCAGACCCTCGATCAAAGGCTCGTGGGAGTACCAGGCCGGGGCATGCCTCTCGCACTTCCACATCCTCATGGCGCGGTCGGCGCTGCATCAGCTGCGCATGAATGAGAAGTGGGGCACCGACAAAGCGAGGCGGGAGCTCGAGTACGCGGCATTGAAGCACCAGACCGAGGCGATCACGGTTCTGCGCGAGAACGTCTCGCGCGGCCAGAATGCCGACTTGAAGCTGATTCTCACGAGTATCATTTCGCTGGCGACGTTTGAGCAACGGTATGGAGACCACGAGCGGGCGGTCCTCCACTTCAGGACTGGCCGGGATATCATCCGCCAGATCGGCATGCAGGACGATGGGATGAACGATCGGCTGAGAGAGGAACAGGCACTCTGGTTTGAGGGCATCTATCGCGATCCCAAGGCGAGCTGGATGTGGGGCAAAGAAGACGCGAATGAGCGGCTAGGTTGGTTGAAGACGCTGCTGAAGGAGGTCGATCGCATGTGGAGGGATCGACAGATGCTACCGTTGCGGGACAAAGCCGAGAGCCTCCTGCCGGCCGACAGCAGGTTGCGTGAATTTTTGTTCAGAGGAACTACAGGCCGCAGCGTGGGCGTGTATGGCGACATCGACGAGTTTGTGGCTCAGCAGCGGTGTATTCTGATCTTTGTCTGCATCATGTGCGCGATATACGAAGAGCCGGGCGCCGACGACGACGGCGGCGGCGGCGGCGGCTGCCTCAAGACGGTCGCGAAAGCCATGGCCTTGAACGTTACAATCCGCGCGTACGCTGCCTTCCTCGAGGATCTGCTGGTCGAACATGCTTTGGGCCCGGACCAGGCTGTCGCGGATCTGCTCTGGATGATGTGTCAGAACTATCGCGATGTGAAGGCTCACCTTGTGACTGCGGCACCACCGAGAACGCTGCAGCGGCTCGACCTCAAGGACTGCCACTGGCGAGCGAGCGGTATTGCAAATGTGGTCAAATATCTGCCGGGGAGGAGGCAATCGAGCCTTCGAAACATGTTGTTGGATTTCATTGATGGAAAGGCCTATACCGGCAAGGTTCGGGTCAATGAGTTTGACTTCAGTTATGCTGGCTTGTGACGTTCTAGGGGCGGAACGGGGTACGCGTTCCGCTGAAAGGCGTCAAGGGGTATGGCGAGGCGTCAGACAGTGTCAATGCGTCATTGTTCCATAGGCCGATGGAATCCGAAACACAGGTACAAGTAAGCAATCGCGGGCAGTGCAAGAAGCGATTCTTGCCATGAGCGTGGCCGTGGTGCTTCCAAACAAACACTCCATAGCGCTGGTATGGAGACACCACGCGGAAAACATCAAGCTGAAAGTATTCGACTGACTGACGGCACTACGCAGTCCCTGGGTGGATATGGCATGTGTGGCCAAGTTATGACAACTTCTCACTCTTCCACTTGCTGACCTTGTTGGTTGGAGGCTCATTCAATTCGAGTCTTGGCCGACCATGTCAGCAGTATTGGGCAAGGGCGCAGACGAGACAAACTAATTAGGGAACGGTTAGAAAAGGCAAGAGGAAAGGACGGGAGGAAAGTCTGGGAAAGGCTCTGGGGCGTGCTGTAATCTACGAGATGCTCGCCGGGCGAGCGGTTCAGGCTCGGTGATTGTAGTAGCAAACCGTGCTCAGAACTACACCGGTCGCCCCTGACGGCCAGGAGACGTCGTGAGGCCGTGGAGGCCAAAGGAGTCTTGGAAAGCTTGGTACGATGCGACGAGGCTTGGCTGGAAAGCATCGTCATGATTCCCAAGCGCGGCGCCGAGCTTTTTTGGATACAGTACAGCCATAATAGTGCTTGGCCGATGGAGGTCATTCTCAATTCGTTCAGGACGAGCACATTGGGTGCCCGGCTGCGCTGCGTCTTAAGATCTATGTATATGTAGTGGCAGGCCTCTGGAGCATCATGAAGCCGTTTCATTGTCAACGTTCAGAAACTGCGTGCCTCTTCCCTGATCCGACGACCCAGCTGCGCCAGACTCTTCTTGCTGTGCTTCTCGGGCAGCCGTGAGCCAGACCGTCCGTTCGAGTCTGGACCCGACCAATTTTCCATCAGACTTGGAGGCTATGCCACACTCTTCTTCGGCCTTCGCTGCAATGACTGCACTTTCCATTGCCCATCACGCAGTCCCGCTCCATCATGATCTCGCTTTGCCTCGGGATGCCTGTAAAGTGGTCACCACAGACAGGGATGGAAGTGTCACACCTGCCCAGACGACGCCAGAGACCGAGGTCCATCACTTTTCTGTCCTGACCAAGTCGTTCGACAGTGGCGCTGGTATCGACGGCGAGGGAGCACCTCCGCTTGGGCCACAGGATATGATGTCCAACGATCTCTCACTTCTGTAAGCGAACGATATTGTTGCCGGATGGTGTGCTTGTACTGACAGTGACCATAGCTTGACCATTCCATCGGCCCCACCTGATGACATGCCCGGTCCTCCAATCCTAGCACTTGGTGATGGACCTCACCAAGACGGACAGGCACAGAGGGTTGCAGGAGCGGGGACCACAGTCGCTCGGTCCAGATCACCTGGAGGGAGCCAACTGCAGCAGTGGTACACCAGTCCGACCGTGACGGATCCATTCCACCTGATCGCTGTTGGCCCTCACAACATCACCTGGCAGGTCCGACATGAGGTCAACTCCAAGCCCGATTATCATGTTGATGATAGTAAGACTTCGATGGGGAACTCATCCAGCCAAGAGGATACCCAGAGCGAGCATGTTGGAGATGAAGAGGAGACGGAGCCGACCTCGAAGATGTCATTTTGACTGCTGCGGCCGGGGCCACTCGGCAGACAAGATCGGATTGCATGGCATCTCATCTGGGCTAATGTCGCTGTGGTGTCTAAAAGGTCATGGAGACATGCTTGCAGCTTCAGTGTGTTGTACTAATTGACTCCCGACGATCTGTCGCCATGTCTTTGATGTTGCGCTGCTGGTTGTGGCTCGGAGACGACATTGTATCGAGTCTGTCATTCTTGCGAAAAGGAGCAACTGTTATAATACCATGTCCTTGATGGATTGCATTGGGGAAAGTGAACGGAAGTGCAAAGAGTCATGATGATGAATGTTGAGACCCGACGTCTTCAGATGGTGGGAGATAAAGTTTCTTCCGCCCCTGATCTTAGGGCCTCCTCCGGCCTTCCGTACCACCGGATCGATAAGTCTAAGAGCTGAGTGGACCTCCCCCACGCTGCCGGCAACCGACGGGGATACCCGATGTTTGCTCGGAATCGGGTTCCTGAGATGCATGTTGTTCGCCCCGGCACCGCTCGCCCTAGTTGACGCTGTCAAGATAGTCCTTGCATGATCCACCGAAACCTCGATGCTATCATCAAGATAAAGACATCGTGGAACGACTGTCCACATTTGGACCAAGACTTAAGTGTTTGACCGAATTCACGCAAAATTTGTGACCGAGTCTTCAATCGAGGCTTCTACGCTCTCGTACCAATTGTTAGCAGCCACAACAGCGAGATCATTACTGTTGTCAGACTTGTTCGAGCTCAGCCTGACCTTACACCCAGGATGGCCCGCTTTGTCACTTCCGACTGTACAAACCACGTGGACATCGGTGCCTCGAATCGTGATTCGGCATGTCTGAGATGCTTCCTACTCTGATTCCACGATGCGCACTGGTTCCCACAAGAACCAGCAGTCTTGCAGTCACGCCAAGCTCTCAGAAAACCCTTGTCGAAGGCTTTGTCGTCACCGAGGAAAAGCGAAGGGTGAGACCTTGAAACTGAGCATTCGTCGAGGGCCCCACGTCGGGTCGGTGTTAGTTTTCGCCGGATTGCATTCCCCAAGTCCCGCCTTGCGTACTCCGTACCACAGTACACGTAGCCTTGCACCCTTGCTGGCCATTTGCGCACCCTGGCACTCCCCGGCATCAGGATATCTGTTCTCTTGATCTCGGGCCAAACTGGCTCTCACTGAGACGAAGGCCATGTTGCGGTAGAGTCGTCGACTCAAGTGCAGTCGATATGGCTGACAGCGCGATATCGCAAGGATTCTCCCTCGTGGGATGGGCATTCTTGCCAACTGTGCGTTAGCCCAAATCCTCCCTGCGAAGGCCACACACATTGACGAGCCCACAGTATGCCACTAACATCTTGCAAACCATCTACTACCGGGTGACCATTCCTGCCGGGCAGCGACATCCACACCCGGGAGAGCCGCTCTTTGCATATCACCATCGACGGATTCGAGTCTTCGTCCTGTCACTCTACCTCGTCTATACCCTCGCGCAGGCGCTGTATGATATCACGTTGTCTGGCGACTTCTACAGGTTGCTCGGCGTGACACCATGGTCAGGCGAGAAAGAGGTCAAAAGTCGGTTCAGAAGACTTGCAGCCAGATACCACCCTGACAAACTGCATGAGAATGGGCAGCCGTTCCCTAGCGCCGACGCAGTGTTTGTTCGCTACAAGCTAGCACACGATACCATATTGGATCCTGCAAAGCGATTCGCATACGACCGATTTGGGCCGGTCATTGTGCAGGTGCAGCACCCAGGACTGAAGACCATCAAGGATTATGTCTACGCTGGCCTGCGCTCAAAGGCTCCTGAGTACCTGTCCAACGCGGGGGTGCTTATTCTACTGAACTACATCTGGCTACCTAAATGGGGCCAGTTCTGGCGGTATTTTGCAGTCGCCTGTATGGCGTTTCTCGAGCTATACTTCCTAACACACGTCTGGGAGCCACCGAAACTCGCATTGCTCTGGGCCTCTACGGCCCAGAAGTTGCTGCCAGACCTGCTGCCGCCTCATCTCCTACCCTACCAGGTATTGGGCTTGGCCAGGCGGATGTCCATGTCCATAAACATATTCATCTCCCAGCTTGCACCGCCCAAAGCAAGAGACCCTGCCATGCGTGATATGCAAACACAACAGCAGATTGCACACCTTGCTCAGGCGGCCAGCCGGCTGGACGCCGAGACAGGAGGTTTGCTTCAGCTAGCCATGAGTCCGTTCCGAGGAGAGGGTGAAAAGGCGGAGATTTTGAGGTCTGGGATGAAGGAATCCTTGGTGACAAGTACCTTGAGGAGACATCCGGAAGTAAGAGCGGCTGTGCAAAGAGTCCTGGATCGCAGGAGGGGCGCGGCCATCATGCAGGAACGCGGCGAGTCGGTCTCGTAATAGCACAAGAGAAAACAGAATCTTATTCAGACCATCTCTAAAGACACCCAAGTGGTAGCTCTGCACCGTCTATTCTTACTCCTACTGTGATCCCCGTCGATTTCTGTGGGTGCCATCCCTTGCCCCACCTTGACTTGAGCCTTCAGGCATGGTTTCGACTGTCTTTCTCCTTCTGAGATTCTACTTGCAGGCAATGAACCGAGTGTTTGTTGTCACGAAGGCGGTAGGACGTCAGTGACCGATCTGGAGGCCTATTGAAGAACGAGGTTGGGCCAATCACTGGCTGATCGCATTGCCGGCAGACTGAGTGCGACGTTTGGATTGACCTTGGCCGATCTTCTCCACCATTGAACGCGACTCGCCTACTGTGATCCTCGCAACCTGGTTATCGCACTTCACTTACCAACCACTGGCCCGACCTTCGTTTGACTGGCTATCGATATCTTCCGCCATGTTCTCGACATGTCCTTACCTATTAACACGACTGCACTCCGATTTCAATCCTTTTGCGATAAAAATGACCCTCCCGCGCGGCCAAACACAAGCATGGACACGCGCACTGGCCGCATTCCGGACCACGACAACACCCCGATCATGACCCCAGCCAATGACCCGCGCCCCTCGAGCGGTGACGGGAAATTGCAATGTTGCTGTGGACGGCTAGAATGCGCTTACCTCGAGAACAACAGCACTATACTTGGTGGCATAGAAAGGGATCTTGAGACTGCCGCCAGGCTTGGTCAGGTACGTGCACCGTCACCTGAGTCGGGGTGTCGGAAGATGTTGTGTTTTGCTGTTTGCTTGTGATTGCTTCCTGGGCACGATACAATGCCGTGACGATGCAGTGACTTCTGGGAAGGAACATTCAAGAGTCACAAAATACAATCTGCATTCTTCTTTCCTCCTCCTCATGAGCTATCCCCATTTGCGGCTTCAACCAACACGACGAGATGAAGATCATCTTGCCCAAGGCACATCGCCATAGCACAGTGGACACTATGCAGACGAGCAGCGGGCTAACATTCGCTCTGCAGGCCCTTCTGACCCGCCATGAATCGTATGTCAGTGAATCGCAACAAGAACACCAACGTCTCACAGCCTATATCAACGACCTGGAAAGAGAGAGGACACATCTGCAAACGGCAAATGAGAAGATAGTGGAGGAAAACCGACAGCTCTTGAATCAGCTCGAAGTCGCAAACACTTCGCTCCAGGACAGCGATAGCCATGTTAGGAGCCTGGAGGCATTGCTCCGCGACTGCGAGGTGGAATACAAACGGTTGAACGGCCTCAATCGACGGACAGAAGAGCTGGAACTCCAGATACTCGAATTGGAGAACGAGCGAATCACATTATCCCGCCAGTCGGAAGACACCAAGGAGGAATCCAAAAGCACAATCAGACGGTGGAAGGAAAGCGAGACGAAAGTCAGGCAGCTCGAAAGTGAACTTCAAAGAATCGAATGGGAAGCCAAGAAGGACAAAGAACGATATGAGGAGGTCATCGCCAGACTGCAGAGAGAGCGAGTGCTTGAGAGAGAACTCGGTGGTGCCGAGGGCCGACTCAAAGGTGCTGCTGCGTTACGCGGCCTCAACGCAAAAGAAAGCGGCACCAATGTTATCAGCCATTTTGTGCGCGACATTCTTCAGGACAATGCGAATCTGCAGGCTGGAATTGTCGAGCTCCGGGAACTGCTTCAAGCCTCAAACGAAGAGGTACAGAACCTCAGGGAGCAGATTCTACAACATCAACCTGTGGAAAGTGATGGCATGCAGAACCTTTCCAGATCAGTTCCTTTGAGTGAGCAAATTGACTGGGCAGAACCGTCCCCGAAAGTGCAGCAGTCAGTTCATGTTCACCATCACTACCATGCAAAACTCGGCAAGAGGGAACGGACATCGATTATACGAAGAAGCTCTCGAAAACGGGCGGTCATCGGACTCAGTATGCTCCCTTCTACCCCGGAGTCGTCTGCGCCTTCAACACCACTTGTCGGACCTCATCGGTTCGTCTCAAGCCCTATTTTACCCACGAGTCTTCACCAGCCGCAGCCAATGCGGAATCGTTGGTCTGTACAGTCGACTGCAACAGCATCATCCATGGCGTCCAGTTTTCCTAGCTCTCCGAGGTCGTATTATGAGCAACCCAGCTCTATCTTCGACCGGATTGAAGCAGGCGAGGAGTCATCTAGACCCACAAGTCCAGAGTCTGCAGGCTTCGCGACTTCGCCGCTGAAGTTTGACGACGCACCTGTCCTAGGAAAGTTGCATTATTCAACAGCGGGAGAAGCCCCGATTGCGCCCGACCACGAACCTGTCGATCATGATACCTTGCAGCCTGAGGTCGACGCCGAAGCCGAGACACAGAACCGAGATACGGGTCTCGAACCAGGTTCTCAGGAACTGACGCCGAAGCCTTCGCAGATACTTGTTGCCTACGATAGGATAGAGAGTCACATCCATCCCGAACCGCCAGATCCTGGCACTTCGAATGAGCAACCACCAACTCCCACAGATCCAGAACCTCCGAACATTATTGTCGAGGAACATCCTGAAGAACATCCGGATGCACTCGAACAAGCGTTCGCAGATGATCTACCTAGTATCGGACCGGTGCACGTCAGCGGACCAAGTCTACGACGCTCAGCTTCTCATGACTCGCTAGTCTCCATCTCCGGCATGGACATCCACATTGCCAAACGACCAAGCTCTTCGACATCACAATCGTTCAGCCTCCTCAAAGGCAACAAAGCCTATTTCGCCCTCCCACCTTCTGCGGCTCGCAGAACACCGTCAGCTCAGCCGCTTGCCACTGTTACGGAATATACCGCTTCGAGCTCGGTGAGATCTTTCAGCTCAAATTCGTTGACTGTGCCATCCGCCGAACTTTCACTGCCCCCGCGAAGTGTAAGCTCGAGTGTTGCCGCTTTGAGTGGCCTTGCCGGTCTTCCATCTCCACAGCACGAAAACCAACGGTCGTCGGCGTCGAGCTCGAGCGGGTTTACTGGACTCGTTGGTGGTTGGGTCCGAGGCAAGTGGGGCATCGCGCCTGTAAAGTCGAGCACAGACTTGCGCTCTTCTGCGGCTTCAGTATCGACATCTTCCTCGACTGAATCGCAACCACGAGGCTTATTGCTTCCGAGTGGCAGACTACCGGGCATCAACCAGAAGGGGCCAATACCCGGATTGAGACCACCTCAGAAAATCAAGGCGGTGCAGGTAACGTTGGTGAACGAAGCGGGGCTCAAGGAGAGCTTAGCAGAGTAACGCCCCGCCCCACCGGGAATAGTTCCGCTTGATTATAGAGCTTGACGACAGGACAGCATAGGTGTCCATAATGGTGGCTGACGAGATTCTCTTGGATGCATTGCCACAAGATGATACCCCTTGAGTTAGCTGAACGCGCAGCAGTACGGAGTACATAATAGCAGAGATCACGGCCTCGAATTGAGTTGTTAAAGTTGCACATTCCCGTACTCCGTATCTTTAGACTATATGCAGAGCAGACGGTAGGCCACTGAGATGTTTGCCATGCCCAAGGCGCACGTTATGGCTAGGTACCTAGGTAGCTAACATCTGCCCCAACCAAGTCAGACGATCCGCCTGTCAACATACATACAGTACTTCGACGGACGCAATGCAACCAACCGTCAACGTGAGCAATGCGGGCAGCCATATCCGTAGAAGCTCGTCCAGGAAGGGAAGTATCACGCTAAGTACGGAGTACGGAGTACTGTACAATCTACACAGGCGCTGGCGCTCACACCTACCAGGATGCGAAAGTATGAGATATGGGGTATGAGGCATGGAATGCTTCTGAATTAGGTGGGTAACGACGGTACGGAGCGTCTTGTACCTCGTGGCATTGTCGCACTACGGACAACTTGAAAGGACTTAATTACCCTGCCCGTTGAGAAAAGAAAAGCGTGAGATTCAACTTTCTCCGACAGAGTACTTCGTACACTGTGCCCCAGTGGTAGCAGGCGGCTGTGCTCTTGCATACCTAGGTACTGATAGCTACTCCGTAACAGTATTTGCTGATATGTCCTGTGTCCTGTGTTCTGTCTCTCAAAAGGGCGGCGGGGGCGGTTGGAGAGGGGTGTTTGGGGGTTGAGGGAGAGGGGCGGGACAACTAGACGAGCATTGTGCCTTGACGAGGCTACGAGTACCATCCGTGTTGAGGTGCATCATATGGACCTATGTACACAGTATGCAGCCAGCCGGGTCGCACGGGCTAAAATTGCAGGGCAGTGGAACCGATGCGGGCAAACACGACGCTTAGCTATCCGATCTAGGGATAGCATACGAGTTATGAGTTTAATCCGATTTAAGGATATCACTGCCCTGCAATTTTAGCGTGGGCGGAGAGGATGGCTGCTGTACTCGTACACAGTAGGATAAAACAGGCCCGAAGGAGTGGTTCGCGTAGTAATCTCCGAGTACTGTGTAGAGGAGAAGCTAAGTCACTATCGAATGCCGGCAATCTTAGTGTGGATGATGGCCATGGCATGTGCTTGGTATCAAAACTCCTACTATGGTACTCCGTAGACAGCCGGATAATCCTACTCTGTACCCCGCCACCATCTGTGTACCACAGTATGCAGGCCTACAAGGCCTGTGACATCAGGGATGCCCTGCAATCGTAGCGTGGACGAAGGCCCTGTGCTGGCACGGCTGGGTAGGCGCCCATATATAACTCTTATATAACTCATCGAGGTAGACGGCGGCGGGATAATATCCCACAACCACCCCCTCCAATACTGTGTGTAAGAAAGCGAGCTCTAGCCTGCAATCTTTGTCCGGATGAAAGGGTTGACCATCTGATATCCCGCTTCACGTATGCCGACGGATACGGAGTAACCATATATAGTACATGTTCCTTCGAGTGTTCTAGCTTTGTTGGCCATTCACTGCCTTTCCACCTCCTTCCTTCGAGCTAAAATTGCAGGGCACCATATCAACCACTGGCGGCTTAGGCATGGCTCGGAACCGGTGAGCCAGAAATGGAAGAATCGGTGCTCGGAAGGGAGCCGTTAGTTACTCGTGAACACTTCTGCCCTGCAATATTAGCTTGGTTGAAAATGAAACCTTGGAAGGACTGACCGCCTAAGATCCCGTACGAGTACCACGAACGCCGGTGGACGGCCATCCTGTACAAGTAGGCAGGCACTCTCTGTCGACTTGTTCAAGCTTTATTGGCCACTCACTCACCGCCTTCCCTGCTCCCTCTTCGCCCGGGCTAAGATTGCAGGGCATTTCAGAGAAAACTCTTGCTGTGCTTCTCCGCCTCCGTGCCAGAATGGCAGGGTGTTTTGGCTGATGCCCAATTGGTCCAATTGGATGGTGGGATCATTTTAGTGCGCAGGCAGACGCACGAAGAAAGTCAGAGCCGATCGATCTCTCACTCATCTCTCTGTCTCTCTCCTCAAGAGAACCGACTCTCACAGCACATTCAAAACCGGAAGAATTGTCGCCGTACGCGCCGCGTCTACTACTACCTTGATATTCGCAAGGTGAAGCGACGCCAGTGCATGGGTGGGCGCTTTTGATAACTTACTACAGAAGACAAGCAGCGAAATGTCAGGCAGACTTGAGTGCGGCTGCCTCTACGGCTGCGGTCGACTTTGTCAGCCTCATGCGGGGAATCTGAGCAGACCCTTTCTTCTACGCTAAAATTGCAGGGCATTCTGGGCTTTGCCCGCCCATTGGCCCGCAACGGGGTTACAGAACCTACGCCCATTGATGTACCACCGTCGAGTATGCACAGAAAGTGCACCCTGATTCTCGACCCCATGATATTGATGCCCAGTCCAGCGAAAGAGCTGCATCTGCAGAGCCGTTCGGTGTAGGCCAGGCCATTCTTCCGTCCCAGACCACCCTTGAAGGGCACCATAATTTGCTAAATACGGCGGTATCAGGTCCGGTCGTGAGGCTCTAGGACTGAAACGCACGAGCGACGAAGCACATGTCGGACTTGGGACCCCCGTTTGCGGCTCAGCACCCGGATCTCAACGAGGCCATGCAACCCAGACTTTGTGACTTCCGGGCTGCCGGCGTGACGGAGTACAAGTACGAGTACGGAGTACGGCGACAGACCTCTCCGGCCGAGCTAAAATTGCAGGGCAGAGGAAATGAGGCTCAACTGTTACCGGTTAGTCCACTGTGTGAGCTGGGTGGGCAGCATACTTCAATGTATACTTCTGTGTACCCCTTACTCCGTCGAGGACGTCACTCATTCACCAAAGCGCGTGCCTACGCTAGGAAGAAGAAAACTCTTCTCCCCCTTTCTTCTTGTCCGTCCACTTCTTCCGTACTATGGCAAGCACGTCTCATAGCGTACAAATTATGCGACTCCATGGTGTTGATGCTGTAGAGGTGAAGAAAAGGAAAGGGTCGAACTGCCAATGACTATAGAGTCTAACTCGAGCAAGGATGCGCTGTGCGCTGCCAGCTTCGTGGTTTGTGGACCTAACGCCTACAGACGGGTCTCACAGCGCAGCATTCTAGTTGGAGCTCTTTGTGACCATGGCGTCTTCCTATACTTACTGCATCAGTTGCCGTACTGGTGCAACCCTGTATGACTCGGGTCTTGAGGACGGACCATCTGGGACCTTGCACGGGCGGACTTTATCCTGCCAACAAGTACAGACATTCCTACGGGGGTTCGACAGCTTGGATTCCTAGCATCGGCACTCCTTTACAGATTAGCCTGCAGGATGTCCTGTTCGCTGTGGATTTGACTCTTGCTCAACATCTTCCCCCTTCTCATCAACTCGGCAGTCTTGGTCATGATCGGGTCCATCATCATACTGGCCATTGCAACCACCGTGTCGCCCTTGCAGTAGAATGCGGCGAATTTGTTGTTGTCGGGGTCACCTTTGAGCACCAGCTCATCCCATCCATTCGGCGTGGCGCCACAATATCTCAGCTGTGAGCCCAGTGCAGACCAGAAGATAGGGGTGAATGGCTTGGGTTTGCTGCCCGGCTGCGCAATCAGTTGGCCGATGGTGCGACCCATGTTCTGCGCGACATTCCAATGCTCGATGCGTGTTGGGGTGCCGTTCCCTCCGGGACCGTGGTACGGATACGTTGCGATATCGCCGAGTGCCCAGACGTCCTGTAATCCCTTGACGGCGAAGTTTTCGTCCACGGCTATACTGCCGTCTTCCTCGAGCTTCACTTTGGGATTACCCTTCAAATACGACGTCTCAGGGCCGACGCCGATACCCAAGATAACCAGGTCAGCCTCGAGTGTGGGACCGTCCTTCAGCTTCACGGCCCCTACAGAACTCAAGCCGACAGCGTTCGCGAGTTTCGATGCCGGCAGAGCAGCTTCGACGCCAGAATTCATGTAAAACTTGGCTCCGTTATTTTCCAATATCCGCTGGAAAATCTTCCCCACTTCCGTACCCATTACTCGTTCGAGTGGGGCGGATTCCATACCCACGATGCTTACGTCGTTCTCCTTGGCGAGGGCATTCCCGACTTCCATACCGATGAAGGAAGAGCCAATGATGACGATCTTCTTACCCTTGTCTCCAACCGCATTCATGATGTTCTGCACGTCGCTGACTTTCCGGAGCAGGAATATATTGCCCAGTTCATTGTTCTTGAATCCAGGGAGGGGTAGTTGACGCGGTGTGCCGCCCGTGGCTAGAATGAGTTTGGTGTATGGGTACGACTTGTCCAACTTTGTCTTGACTGTCTTTCCATCGAAATCCACCGAGGTCACCGTGTCGGAAACGAAGTCTATTGAGCCATCCTTGTACCACTCCTCGGGCTGTAGATAAAGCTTTGTTGGGTCAGTGATGAGGGCTTTGGAAAGCTTCGTGCGGTCGATAGGCAGGCCTTCATGGGTGATGACTGTGATCTGGCCTTGGTAGCCGAGTTCTCGGAGTTTGAGGAGGGCGCCAAATGTGCCGGAGCCACTGCGAGCTGCGTCAGCCAGATACTCATATGTACGATCAGCCGATAGTCGGGCTCACCCGCCGACAATGACCAGTTTGTCCTCGGAAGAGGGTGTGGTCTTGATGTTGACCGTTTTCTTTCCTCCCTTGATGTCTGCCTCTTTGCCCTTAATGTAGACACCGCCATCCTTCTCAACCACGTCGAATTTGTTCAGTGCTAGAGGCGCAGGGGCGTCTTCGACATCGCCGCTCTTTACATTGAAACAAGCTGTGTCGCTTGTCAGCGCTTCGTGTCTTCTTAACCTGGGTTCGGTTCTTACCTCCATGCCATGGACAGGTCAGTCTACCCTCAGGTGTGAGGACGCCGTTCTTCAAAGGTGCGCCAAAGTGCGTGCAGTTAGCATTGAGTGCGTGAACCTGGCCATTGACATTGCACAGCAGGACCTTTCCACCTTCTATCCCCTCGACCTCGTATTCAGCCTTGTCCAGGTCTTTCAGATCGAGCTTGTCGACACCCTTCAGCTTGAACTCTTGAGCCATCTTAAGCGTCTGTGCGGAGAAGGCTCTGGCGCCGTGGGTACTAGACAGAGTTGGGACGCCGAAACGGACTACAGTGCTTGGAATGAGAAATCGACTCGGAAAACGTGGTTTACACCAGGTAGAAGTGAAAGATCCGGCAAAGAAGCGGGTGGAGGATCGTGTAAACATGAAATCTGCCGGCCACAGGAGTGAGTCGTGTCCACCAGAAGATCAAACTGGTTGCGGCCGGAAGTTACCACAGCCACGATAATAAGACATGCACCCAGGAGACGAGTAGGAGATTGATGGATGATGCGTGCAAGGGCAGTGGTGAGCACGGTTCCTCCTTCGCACTCCCCTCTGCGGAGAGACTCCATTGGGATGAGAAGTGTCGTGCGTCATCGTCTGCCGTTGCACGGCCCAGTGCGGGTACTGCCGCTCAAAGTCCTCCAATCAGCAGACGTGGATTGTTAACACCACGCTTGTGATCTTGATATCGTACGAGGTACAAAAATAGCCCGATCAGGGGAGTTCCACACTGTGGTTGTCGAAACGTCTTCATTACGAGGTACCCAGTACGCGTACCTCGTACCTAATATGCCAATCTATGCCTCGCCGGCGCCGGCCCGGATAGTCTTGAGGCAACACTTCCTTCGCGACTTATCGACCGTCCCAAGGCTCCGCTCATCACCACATCGCTCAACCCCGGGGATTTCGACCGGCTTCGCTCCTGCGCACGTTCGAATTTTGCCCGCTCTTCCTGCACGACGTTCTCCTCGGCTTCCGCGTCGAGCAGCGTGCCATGTATCTGCAACGACCACTTGTTTCTGTCATGTGCAGGAACGGCTTCAGTATCCACGACCCGGAATTTCAGCGTCGATTTGATCTTCGCACCATCCGCATCTGCAAAGTGACCGCCTTCTTCATCTAGCGAGATTTGAGAAGATGACTTTTCCACAAAAGTTACCTCTGTCTCCTGTGTATCTTGCTCCTGCGGACCATCTCCGCCCTCCTCGCCACGTAATCGGCCCTTCCTGCCTTTCTTGCGGCGCTGGGCCTCATTTCTACTTGGGCCATTCCACTTCCATCCCTCCGGGATTCGGGTTTTTCCAACGGCTGTCTGAAAGTAGTTGTAACTCACCAATCCCACGAACCCTTCTGAGGTAACATTGGTCCAACCGTAGAGTTCGTCACCATTTTCGGGTCGGAAAACCAAGAATGTCACCGTGAGCCATGCCCAACAGACGCCAAACTCGTCCGCTGTGCCTGCGAGGATTTCGGCTTGCGCCTCAACGTCGCCGCTTCGCGGTGGTAGGAGAGGTAAATTGATGCCAGAATTAGGTTTTGCGGAGAGGTCGGGGTCGGAGAAGGCAAGGACGATGCCTTGCGCAGGTGGGAAATATGTGAGTAACAAAGGTGCCAAGTGTGTTGCGAGTAGTGAGGACGTGCTAGTTTCGAGGGAAACTGCAGGTATGGGGAGGTAGAGCGATAGTCGCGTCGAGTAGAATGAGCTAGGGTCCTCGAATTCAAGAAGCCTCAGGATATCTTCCTTATCTGGGCCTCCTTCCAACCCATTTGCATCGCTCTTCAGTGACTGCGCATCTGCCGACTCGCCTCGTTCGTCCTCCCGCGCAGGCGCATCAGGCAGTTCAATGTCCTGTGAAGCTTGCGTCTGTTCACCATGCGTTGCTAATTCGCTGCCGTCCTTCGGCTTCTTCTTCTTGCTTTTCTTCTTCTCTATGCTTTCTGTCGATTGTTGGGATGCGGTGACTGGCGGCTTCACACCGTCCCCTGTCCTGGGCTTCTTTTTCTTCTTCGCGGATTCTCTATCATCGGCGTCGTGCTTGCGCTTCTTTGGCGTGCTCAAGGATTCGGCATTCTTGTCTGTCTTCAGGGGAGCAGGATGTTTGTCTTTTTCCTGCACTGACATGATTGGAGTGTCCACAGTCTGAAGCTCCTAGTGCATCTGATGCGAACGACTACTCCATACTCACTCGCGCTTTCTCTTCGAAATTTCTTGACGGAATGCGGAGCGCGGGATTTATTTCCGCCGACCGCCGGCTTGGCACGCGTGCCTGACTCCCACTATCACAGTCTTCACTCACGTTAAGTCCAACACCCACGCTCTGCATCTTCAATCTACATATGGTGTACGGAGTAATATGCTATTGTACTCAAAGGAAGGGCTGTACGCCGTGCTCTCGCGTGTCCATGGACCTCGAGGACCCAAACCGCTATGCGCGAACAATGACAGTGCGGCCATCAACCCATCCTGCACGCTGTTCACCAGCTGCTGAAAATGGACGCCTGGAATATGTCCGATGAAGACTTGTTTGGTGCCGAACCCGAGTTCGATAAGTTGTGTGAGATATGTGCAGGTCTATTTGACCACGATGCTATCTGGCCAGAGGGTCAATATCGACCTCATCATGATATCCGTGCGTTAGCTCAATCTGCGAAAGCAGGCTGTCACTTGTGCAGCTTGATACTCGGTCGCATATCTCCAGAAGATATTCTCCATCTGGAAAAGGAACTTGAAGACCCCGCTCCTACATGTTCTCGTCAAATTGGAGTCAACATTCGTGGCGCCGAGACTCTCACGCTTTGGGTGGCTGTTTGCAATACTCGAATCCGTCGAAAAGGATGGGATACATGTAAGAATGGCTGGGTTGGAATTGCAAGATTTCGAATCCGGGCACTGAGAGATGACTATACCCAAGAGAAACGCTCGGCTGCCAGGGGGAACTTCTCCAAGTCAACCATGGCTCAAATCTCGGCCTGGTTGGAACGCTGTGATTCCTCGCATTCGTCGTGTCGTACGGTGCGAAATGTTACGCCGACACGGAAGCTTCTGCCAACGAGACTTCTCGACGTGTCCTTGGCTCTCGATGACAATCGTATCAGGCTCTGCGGATCACAATCATTGCGTGTCGGCGTTAGATATGCAACTTTGAGTCATTCCTGGGGAGGGCAATGTAACATGAAATTGACGATGAAGACACTGCCCGAGTTCCAAAAGGGTATTTCTCTAAACGATCTTCCCAAGACTTTCCGAGATGCCGTGGTTGTGACCAAACAGCTCGGCCTCCATTATCTCTGGATTGATGCACTCTGGTGAGTCTCCCAGGTTTTTGGAGGGTATTTCCAGCTCCACAAGTGAAATCCTTTCCTTGGTTTACTGTCTTGTCTACTTATTGGGCTAAAAGTATGCTTCAGCATTATTCAAGATTCGCTCAACGATACAGACTGGATACAGGAGGCTTCTTCGATGGGCGATGTCTACGCCAACTCCCATATCACCATTGCAGCAACCACGTCTCCGAACTCGGAAGGCGGCCTGCTCCACAAAAGGAGTCCACTATCTGTGTGGCCCTGTAGGCTCACAGCGACCTGGAAATGCTTTCAAGCTGGCGAACTGGTCATCTCTACCCCTGACTGGGCTGATGAGACAGATCTCGAACCCCTCGCAAGTCGATCCTGGGCGTTCCAAGAATGGCTCTTATCGAAGCGACTCTTACACTTTGGCAAAGACCAGGTGCGTTGGCAGTGCTTCTGCTTAGCTGCCTCTGAAATTTACCATGACGGCGGTAGCGGCGACGGTGGCGGTCTCGACGCATATGGGATCCCAACGAAAGGCATCATCGTGCGATTGGTACAAGATCCGCGGAGAGCGGCTGATCTGTGGTTCCAAATCCGAGAAGATTATTCCCAAAAGGAACTTACCAATGCGACTGACAGACTTCCAGCTCTTACTGGTATCGCGCGCATGGTGTACAGGATTCTCAACTCGCCCGAAGACGACTACCTCGCTGGGATCTGGAAACCACATTTGCTTCAAGAGTTGCTATGGCAGAGAGGGCACCACACCGCCACGTCAACTGGGACAGATAGTTCGTACATTGCACCATCGTGGTCGTGGCCTTGTCTCAAGGCTCCCTTTCTCCGGTATCAGGCGGGCGGCAACGCCAAAGACGTCGAATGGCTTGTTCACATCGTCAAGGCGAAAGTCTATACGATTGGAGATGCTTTTGGCCCCGCCATCAGCGGCTCACTCATCGTTCAATGCTCATTAAGCTCCATTACCGCTACTTTGCATCACGGCGATCAGTCCACACCCAGACAGGATCACCACCGATGGACAATTGAAGCCATTAACGGTCTTGCCGTCAGCTATAATTGCAACCTAAGCCTCGATGACCCTGCAACCTCCCACCCAAATCCCCCACCGCGTACATTCTTGTTCATGTCCATCCGGGTAGGCTTCGGGCACAACCCCGATCAGAACACCATAGCTGGGCTGCTCCTCCAACAGACGGGTCACTGCCGTGGACAGTACCGTCGGATAGGACTGCTAAACATCTTCGGCGGCAGACAACAACCAGCCTTGCTGTCCAGCTTGAGGCAGGGAGCCGCTCCAAGCGAGACCTGTTACCTTGAAACCGAATCCCGCGCTGATCGGATTATCGAGATTGTGTGACTTTTCCGAGCATCGTGACACTGTCCGCGGTCTTGATAGATCAAAGGGTCCTCCGCATCTGGAGCAATCTTGGTCATCACCCAAATCCAAAGTTCACATATCACGTTCGACCTATCAGCTCGTATCAGTTCAGGTAGTGCCGATTGCAGCCTCATATCCCTTTACTCCTCCATGTTTTCGCCCCCGGACAGGCTGCCAGATCAAAGCATTAGTGTACAGAGCTGCAGCAGCACGATCTATTGCTCCTAACCAGCTAGCTGCATCAAGCCCGAGCTTTCTGAAGCGGCACCACCACAACAATCCAAGAGGTCGGAAGTCATCGTGCAATGGGTCGGCATTGCTGCACTCACTGTATCGTCAAGAATCACAGCGGCGTCCGCTGACACCTTGGCATTGCTCTCACGGTCCCGCATCGGTATAGGACCTGATTCTCGAACAGCCCTGCACAGGAGCGATTACACGGCTTGTACTGAGTCTGCAAACAGACTCACCATTCACGATGACGCAATAATCATGACGCGCGAGCAACCCAACGACATGCATGCCCTGCAATTTTTAGCGTGGTTGAAGCGGCTGGCTCGGCCGTGTAGAACGTTTTATTCATATATAGGCTACACGGTCTGCCAGTACATCGGACACGGGCAATCACTGATCCTCCTCATCCGCGTCGCATGCAGCTTCAGCGTGGATGAGTCTACAAAAGATCCCTGGTGATGGCAAAAGGCCCGCGTTCCGCCTCGACTGCCTCATGTGGGCGGAGCTCCATGCAGGGCGCATGCCGTGGTACTGGAGTTGTGGCGGCGCTCTTGGATCGCAGTGCCGGTGCCAAATAGGGGAACCAAACCCGGGCTCATGAAAACAGGGGAGATGCCCTGATTTTATTCGATTTTCGAGCCCACGGGATGGTGCCCAAATACTCTGGAGAAGTGCTCCGTCGTTATATATTCTCGTAGGGGCAAGAATCGTGGAATGTTAGCTTCTCTACTTGTTCGATGCCATATCCGCCAATGCGGCCATTTTGATTTTCCGCTGCTGCTGTTCTCGCATCGCCTTCGCGTGGTTAGTTAAGCGGCAGGCTCATTGTGGAGTCTGATCACCTACCTTCTCGACAGTATTCTTGACGATATAGCGAATGACCAGCACGTGGTTTTGCTGCCCGTATCGCAGGGCCCGAGCGATTGCCTGGTTCTCAATGCTTGGATTCCACTGAGGTTCGACGATGAAGATCCGATTTGCAGCAGCAAGGTTCAAGCTTCCCATGCATTAGCACCAAGGGTCATTTCGTGCTGGATTGTAGCGACAACGCCTACCCGAAAGCACCTGTTCCGGTGGTCATGATCAGGACACGGACATCTTGCGAAGTTTCGAATTCACGCAGTGTAGTTTGCCGGTTGCTTACGGGACTTTCCCCATCAATACGTCCGCATTTGATGTTGTTCCTCTGCAAATGCTGCTCTATAAGGTCGAGGGTCTTGGTCCAACATGAGAATACGATGCTAAAGTATTAGTCAGTAACCTCCGCCCTGCCATGACCCAAATGGCTTACCTCTTTGTCTGCTGCAGGCCGAGCCGTAGGTCTTCCACTAATGCATCCATTTTGGCTGATTGACCTGTCGGTACAAACTTTTCGTGTCTTCCAATTTGATCACCTGCAGAGTTGCTGTTGGGAGTCGCTGCCCCGTTATACAGTGGCTTGCAGATAGGACAGTCTGATGACGTGTCGTGACTGGTCTTGGAGTACCCCTCCAGTTGCATGTCGAAGCACTCGTTACACAGGACGTGGGCGCAATTCTCAGTGAAAGTCCTGTATACTTGGTTGGTGCTCAGATATGGCATCGACTGCATGCATAAGGAGCACTTGACTTCTTTGCTTGCTTGCCCAGATCTCTGGTAATACAGATCTTCCCGTTCGCTCTGTAGATCTCGGTACCTCCAAGAGTACGGGTCTTGGAAAGTGCCGTGGTTGCAAAGGATCCGTAGTTGCAGCTTTACGTGGAACTGGCCGAATGTATTGCGCCTCGATTCATAATTTCCCTGATGTGCCAGAAGGCGTGACATTTGTGTTTTGGTTCGGTCGTATTGCGTTCTCTCCGCGACTGAGAATTCCACTTCACGGATTTGCTCCTTCTGAGAGGGAAGGTGTAGGACACTTCTGCTCCGTCGGAGGCAAGTCGAATCCATTAATTGTGACAGTCGTTGCGAGGCAGTCTTCCAATTGCGGTCATGGTCGAATGGTCGAGCGATAAAGTGACGAAATACGGCGATCTTATCGAATGGATCTGCGCGAACGAAAGCGAATAGACTGCCAATGTCATCCAGGGTGTTCTGAAGGGGAGTCCCAGTGAGACACCAACGAGACTGTGCTTGCAGCCTTGACACTGTTTCATAGAATGTCGTGGTCCGTCGGCGGATGAAGTGAGCTGTACAATCAGACAGTGTTCGATGGTGGGTTAGAGCAAGATCGTCTCACCTTCATCTAAGACAACTCTAAACCAAGCAAAGCCGAGAAGAGGACTGCGGATATGATGGGTCGCCACTGGAGACTCGATCGCGATGGTCTGATATGTTGATAGGACAATGTCAGCGTCGGGTATGCGAGGTACATCTCGATCCCTGTTCTTGCCATGATACACTATGATTTTGAGGTCTTCGTGGACATGCCTACAGTCAAGTCAGTATGAAGGTACTTCTGCAAAATGACTGGCACATGCTTTTGGATCTCCGTTTGCCACTCGTGGAGCAACACTGGTATTCTCGTCAGTTGGGCGTGCGAACAAGGAGGATGGCATGGTCTGGGCAGAACATACATGCAAATGGGACGAGAACCAATGTTGCACGCGATCGTATGAGCTTCGAGGCCCCCTCGGTGGTCGGGTCTATCAGGTGGGCGCCACCGCCATGCTGCCACGCATGTGAGGCATCCAGAGTTTTCGTGATTAACGCAAGAATCGAAAGGGATTTGCCCATGCCCATCTCATCGGCCAGGATGCCGCCTCCGATTTCCGAAGGCCTGAGTCGAGATTTCGCCCTCGTAATAACGTGTGTGAAGCTGTAGCACGAAATCAGAACAAAGACAATATTGTTCTTGGGCGTTACAAACCCCTCCTCGCAATTTGTATCATCCGGTTTCCACAGCGAAAACTCCGTTGCTATAGGGCCTATCTCGCGTTGGAGCATAAAGTCGAGGGCGGTTTTCTGATGGCTGCTCGATACGCATTAGCTTGCTATGCTTGCTGAGATGCATGATCTGGGCGTGTTCAAGTGTCCTGTCGCCATTTGTCAACGCCCGGCGTACGTACAACAATAACGGGGTTTTGAGTCGAGGGTCGCCTTCGACGGTCTTGAGATGAGAATCTCGCTTGAGAGAAGCATAGACTTCAGAGATTGCACGCTGGAACTTTTGAGACTCGTCAAGGACTATTTCCTCATCCGAGCTTGGCTTGATCTCAACTGTAGTCTCCGAAAGTTCTACTCCTGGAAACGATATGAAGTGCGGATTGTCGTATGTTGACTCAGGTCGTCGATGGTCAGGATGTTGGAGCCAGATTTTATGTTGGGAGAGTATCATGTCGATATTATGGCGGACATCGGAAGATCCATATATGTTCATATTGACTTGTATTGTAGCTTCGCTCGCTTTTTGGGCTCTGCGTATTGTGTCGCCCACTGTCACAACATCTGCGAACACGTCGATCTCGATGCAAGGTAAAGCCAAGACCTGTACCAGGGCCTTGGAGATTTGGGTGTTGAGGATGCCAAACTCTGTGCCATCGACAAAGAAGAGTGCAAGATGAGTCGCAGTACGCCCAACGGTGAAATTGTAGCTATTGGCATTCCGACGAGCATCGGGCGAGCGCAATTTGGTATCCAGATGCAACATTTCGCCCGAAAGACGAACAGCTGTTCGATAGATCTGGAAAGTCGTTAGGCCAGAGTACCAACTCTGTCATACGCAGGAGAGCGGTGCATACCATCCCGAAGCAAGTTTGGGAAGTAAGTGACGGGGGGTCCATCTCAAGAGAGAAGTCCTCCATGACGGCGGTTGAGGGAGTGAGTCCATTCTGACTGAAGGGTTGATCGTCCACCTCCCATGAGCGTATAGACGCCTCTGCCAGTTGCTCGGGCCGCCAGTCTGGATCCTTCTCGCTCCCAGACAGAAATGGTCCGTCACAGAGAGTACTCCATGATCCGGGTGAATAGTTCAGATCACCACTGGGTTGCTGTCAGTGAAAGGCCCAGTGTATCCTATCGACAGAGAAGTAATATACCGTACCTCCAGTCGTTCACTTCCCAATCCAATGTACTCGTTGAAGACTGTAGTGTTGCATAGCTGAAGCCATCCGTGAACGGGTGCTCTACGACCAAGTCTCCGCAGTCATCGTTGAGTAGGTGCTGAATTGAAGCCATGCGCCAAAAACGGCGGGGCTTACGCGACTATGTAAGTAGCGTCTTGGCTCAGGTTCCAGCAGGCGCGTCGGTGAGCGCGTAGTGAGGTAAGTCAAAGTGAACAATGATTCTCTTCAGCATCGACTTGTCCCTCGTTTCCCCCTTCATCGTGCTTGGAGAAGGGTCAAGTCCCCCAGGCTGGTTCGAAGGGCGCTCTGGATGATCATATGAGGCTCCAACCTCCTCCCGGTCTCGTTCGGCTGAAATACGAGAGGCGCCTTCTAGGCTCTTGAGTCAGCCTCACAGTCAACACCGCCCTCCTAGGCGCTACATCCGGCTAATCACCTGCATCTCAAGGCCCTTTGGTGCTGGGAGGCGACCGTGGCTGCCTTCCACGCCTTGTCATGAAACTTATGCGAACCATGGCCCCAACACGTCCTGTTCACCCGCGTCTCATGCACAGGCGTGAGCTCTCAACGTCTACTTCTCCTTCCCGTATTCTTTCCCCATCGCAAGGACACGTTCTGTTGACTCGCGAGGCTGAATGCAGTGGTCTTGAAACCCGCACCGAAGGATGGACAAAACGGCCTCTTCTGCGCCGGTTTGCACATCTTATCGACCGCAACACCCTGATCAAGCTTTCCAAGACAGCCTGAGCCGCTACCTTGCCAAATACAAATCTCGCCTGACGAGAGATGAAGAGAAAGAGTTGGAGAACACGAAATTAAGTGACGTGAAGAGACAAATACTTCAAATACAAGACCAGCAAGGCAAAGAACGAAAGGCCATCAACTTGACCCGCATGGACAAATTTATCAAGGCAATGGACGAATGGGAAAATGTGGTCTCCATTTTCGCAGACAGCACCGTCTTTGTGGCCTTCGTTTGGGGCCTTGTTAAAGCTTTGCTCCGGGTAAGCAAGTCATGTGTTGCCCCGTTTCTGACATTTTCATGCATGGCAGCGTACAAGCCCTCCGTGAGAAAGGCCCAAATTCTCGGCACGCAACTGTACTGTGCCTCGAACAAGCTTATTCACCTCGTACCGCGTTTCTCATGTTAGGGGCTGCCGGCTCATATACGAACCATTAACAGGCAGCAAGCACTTTCAGCGACTCTTTCGAAAATCTACTCGATGCTTATGAGCAGCTCGGACTGCGCCTTCCGTCCCTCGAACCATACCGAGAGTTGTTTGCCGAAAATGCGGAGATGAGGAACGCTCTAGGGTTGATGTACTCCGATATTGCGGAGTTTCATCTCAAAGCACTACGGTTTTTCTCGGGTTCCGGTATGTGGACCATCCCCCCAGCAAGGAGGTAAGTGCCACTGAAGCTGAATAGGATGGAAGAAGTCTTTCACTTCGCTCTGGAAAGATTTCGGCACGAAATTTGGAGGTACTCTCAGGGCTCTGGATCAACACCGAAGCCTCATCGAGGAGCTGGCCCGGCAGTACCAATTCAATCAATACCAGCTCGATCGCAAGCAACTTTTTGAAGTTGTGCAGAGCTATGAAAACCTTCGAGAGAAATTAATGGCCGACATCGACAGCCGCGTCGAGCAGGAGCACTCCAGGAAACTCGACGATACGCAAGCTTTGCTTAATGCGGCAAGTCCTCATTCCGAGCACGAAAGAGCTTGCAGAAGAAGGGGCTACGATCAACATAGTGGGCGATGGCTATTGGAGAAAGCACAGATCAAATCTTGGAAAGACGATGAGATCCCTGAATCATCCGCACTGTGGCTCAATGGCATGCCAGGGGCAGGTATGATATGGCTCTTTTCACTGCGCCACGAATGACTCCCTGACGGCAACAGGAAAGACAGTCCTTGCCTCACTCATGGTAGAGGAATGTCGGAAACAGATCAGATCGAAAGTCCTGTACTTCTATTGTGTTGAGAAGGACTCGACCAAAAACACATACATATCTGTTGCAAAGTCCTTGATTAGCCAAGCCATTGGTGAGTCTAGCGAGGTTCTTCTGCCGCATTGCTACGATCGTTTGAAGAAGCACGCCGCAAAGATTTCACAGTCAAACACCGATGCGGCTACTTTGCTTGAGTTCGTTCTACAAAGGGCCACGCAGCAGGAGGAGATTCTCGACCAACAGTCAATATCCACCAGATATTATGTCGTGATAGACGGTTTAGACGAATGCGAGTCGGATGAATGGCAGAGGATTGTTGAGTCCATGCGCCAGTTGATCCAATCGCTAGAAAAGACCCATTATTATGGGAGGTTGCGGGTCTTGCTTGTTAGCCAGCACACGAACCAAATTGAGTCAGCCCTCAAAGGGGTAGCTTCGCTTTCAATTATCCCTGGAGACAACGCAGATGATATCAAAGGTTACGCGGAGCAGAGAGTCAACGCGATACAGCAGAAATTCAATCTCAAAGACGAAGAGAGGGCAGGCATAGTTGCAGAGACTTGCGACGGAGCTCACGGTACTCCAAGCAGCGTTGGCGAGCAATCATGGCCCTGAGTTGACTTATCTTAGGAATGTTTTTGTATGCCCGATTGGTTATGGATAATCTCCTCAACCAAAGGACTAAGATCCTCTTCTACGAGGAGCTTGCACAAAAGTTCCCGAAGGGTCTGGCAGAAGCGTGTGTATGCTCCCACGGTACCGATCGAAGTCTAACATATCCTGCAGTTACGAAAGGATATTAACACGCATAAGACGAGACTCGAGCGCGAAACTTGGCTTGGGAGGATGGGAAGAGATCCGCACCCTCCTTGGGTGGCTGGTATGCGCTCGAAGATTGTTGACATGGCAGGAAATCCAATGCGCATGTTCCATAGATCCGGACAAATCCACCATCGATTTCGAAGGCCGACAGCTTCGTAATCATATCCGTGATGACTGCGGTTCGTTGATTGAGGCTTCTTCGGATCAATTTGTTCGGCTCGTGCATGGCACTACAAGCAGGTGAGAACTGCTTCTTCGAAGCTCTACGCTTGGTAATGACTTCTCCCAGATACCTCGTGGTGACCGGTTTCGTCAACGAGCTGGTTGCGGAGACCAGTCTGACCACTAAGTGCTTTCAATATCTGGTACTTCCGTGCTTCACCCAGGGTCTTTCTCCGCAAGGAGTCCTGCACGTCGCGCTCCTGGGCCATTACATATTTCAGGACTACGCAGTAGGCAAATGGTCGGGTCATTTCACAGAATTGCTCAGGAAGGCCACTGCCGCCAAAGAGCAAGAACATGGACTCCCTTCGACTTATCGGGCAGAACTATCGAATCAAGCCCTACTGGATGACGCGCTGGCCCAGTTCCGAGACGCCCTAGACAATTTCACCAAAACCTATCAGGACGCCTTCACGGACACTTCCGAAGAGCAGGTGACATTGGGCGCCTGGAATCAACTTGCTTTCAAGGAAGACACGGAAGACTTTCACATGAGTCTCTGCGCAATTCAAGCCCATATCCAGCAACACCTTAGAAAGGCATTTGAGATCCGAAACAAAATCAGCATTGAAGCTTTGGCGACAGCCTTTGACCGCAACCGATCTTTCCTGGAAGATCCGGCTCAAGACCCGTTCAAAATAAAGCTGAAGGCCCACGAGGAAAAAACTCTCAAAGATACATATGGCGAGCAGCGCTATAAATGCCCCAGGCTCGACTGCGACAGCTTTTACATGGGGTTCGTAAACCGCAAACTCCGGCAGAAACATGTGGATCGGCACGAACGTCCATTCCGTTGCGACGTGCCAGAATGTCCTGGAGAGCTCGGCTTTACATCCAGCCATGATCTGCAGAAGCATAAAAGAACGGCTCACTCGAACACAGGTGAGGGAATAGCGACTTTCGAGCCACTCGAAAGTTGCGTAACTACAGAAACTACCGCGAGATGGCCGTGTCCGCATTGCCCAAAGAGATTTACACGCGGCTTCCATATGAGAAATCATATCCGGACGCATGCAAATCAACGTCCTTTCAGCTGCACTGTGTGTGGGAAATCTTTCACCAGGGATTATGATCGGAAGAGACATGAGAAGACGGTGCACGCCAGCAAATGAGAGTTATGAGCTGCATTGCTGGCGCAGGGCTGCATTCAGTCATAATTAACCTGCAGGTAATCACACTACCTGAATACGGTTTTAAGGGGGAAACGCACCTGTCATGTTCATGTACATTCGGCGTCCCCAACGATCTCTTTTACGGAAGATGGCTCTGTCCGCTGCAGACTGATTCATCAGCTCTGTATGAACAAAAAAATGTGATTGAAAATACAGCAAGCTACGACCGAGCAAACTGCCTGCAGAGGTTCTGGCAGGGTACCCAATGACTGAGCCACGCTTCAAGTGGCCAGTCTTAGAGTCTTCGAGTAACACGGGTCAGACGTCTTCCATCCAAGTGTGGATTGAACAGCAGAGAACGCGGGGTTGGACGACTGCCGAAAACTATAGCGTGGCCACAGATCTGGCAAGCAGTGGTCCCTGGCCAGACTAAAATTGCAGGGCATCACACAAGGCAACCGTGGCATTCGCAAGGCGAACGGGATTCACATGTCGAACGGGATTCACATATCAAACAGGACTCACAAGGCAAACGACATTGACAAGGCAACCGTGGCATGGTGAGGGTTCACTATGTGACTCAATTAGAGGACATGATGAATTTCAGAGGGGTCTGGGGGGAGACCCAGCTATATAGTTACGAAGGCCTATGTAAACAATACGGTATCGTACAATAGGGGGTATGGCCCAGTACACCTCTTGAGGCTGTCTGGCTAACCCTTCGGATAACCTTCCTAGTTATAGCTTCCCCTACTTAGCTTCGAAGGCCCTCCTTCGATAGTCGGGTACTCTTCGTAGTACTCCTCAGTCTTAAGGCATCTCCGAAACCCTCTAAATCCATTAAGTTATTTATCGGAAAGGTAAGGAAAAGGTCCGTTTATAGTGTCTGACCTGCGTAGGTAATAAGTGTGTTGTTAGAAAGAAGGGAATATAGCTCTTTAAAGGGGGTAGTGTCTCGATTATAATTATACTATTTATATTATCGTTAAATTTATAAGGGTTACTTACTTATAACTCTATTTAAATAGGCCTTACTTTAATATTATTAATTCGTAAGTTAGTGTTTATATATATATTTATATATATATCTAAAGGTTTAGCGAGGTTTAAGCCCTTATAAAGTAATATTATTACTTAGCTTATAAAGTAATAAGTGTCAGGAATGGCGGTACTCGAGATGTAAAAAGGGGTGTATAAGCTAATATCTATCTAGCTATCGACGAAGACTCAAAGCATGCGGAACGAGGAGGGTTCGCATGCGAGGAGCAAGCTATATAGGCCTAGAGCGCTAAGCCCATCTAGGCGTTCCTGATAATAAGCGATAGTAGAGTTATAGTATATATAAATAATAGTCTTAGCGCGATACGGTAACGAGGGTAATAAGTATAAATATCTCCCTCTTCTCCCCTCTCTCTCTCTTACTTTTTCTTTATATACCCTTTTATTTATCTTTACCTTACTATCTTACCTCTTACTTAAAGCTTTTAAATATTATTCTCTTACCTTATAATTATCTTTTAGCTATCTCTTATTTTATTTATTATAAATATAAATTACTTCTTAAAGCCCTTTAAATCTTAATTAACTAGATCTCTTAGTATCCTTCGCTTCTACGAGAGTAGTCTCGTTAAGCCTTCCTTACGAAGGTTAAAGGGTATAAGAGCTCTTATACTAAATTTACTCGCTTATAGCTCTTAACTATAAGTTCTAGAGTCTTAACTCTTTCGAGATATAGTTAACTATTTTATTAAGTTAATAAGAAATAGCTTATTATTAAAGAGGGTTCTATTCGCTAGTATAAGTAGCCTTATATTATTCGAAATTCCCTTATAAAGTAGCCTTTATAGGCTAAAGGAAATATCTTAAACTAGTTAAATACTCTATTACCCGGTAATAAGTATCGGCCTTTAGAGTTCTCCGGGAAGCGTTAACCGGATTAAGTAGCTAAAGATTTTTCCGCTTATCTTATTTATACCTATAGAACTATAGAGCCCGAGCCCTATATTAATTATATAAAGGGTCTAGAACTTATTAACCCGGCTAAACCTATCTTTCCTATATATATCTAAGCTCGTAGCCGTTTAAGGGACCCTTTATCTCCCTTCTTTACTTATAGCGACTATATAATATATATTATAAGAGATTAGCTTTACTCTCTTTATTTAGCGTCCGAGCTATCTTTATAAAAATATCCGGTATTACTTAACTTCTTTATCTTCTTTAAGAAAGCTCTAAATAAAGAGTATATTACCTATAAGAGTAAGAAGCTAAAGAATCGCGAAGGCTAATTAATTACTTATATACTATTAATCTCTAGCCGATAAGGGCTCGTAAGTATATTAACTAAAGATAATTTAAGTATTATTAATATTAGGGTTCCGCGCGAGTTTAAATTAAAACCTAAGGCTAGCGAAGCTTAAGAAAATAAATTTATAAGCCGTATAATAGTAAATTTAATAAAGGTTATATAAGTAGTTTATAGCGAGGGTATAGGCGTTAATTTAATATAGTTAGTTTAGCTTATTCTTAAGTCGGAGTGTTTAATACTCTTTATTAAGTAAGAATAACCTACTCTCTAATAACGGTAAGTTATTAACCTACCTCTAATAGAGTCTCGTTTAGTCTTATCCCGTTAAAGCACCTTTTAGTAGCTTATTAATCGCGTCTCCTTTTCGTTTACCGCTCTTAAGATATCTTCGCGCGGTCCGCGAGTGTCTAGTTTTAATATACTAAGCGTTACGACTTAGGATCGAAGGGCGGAGGAGGATTATTAGCGTAGGGTGTTAAGTTACGCCCTTAATCGGGCTTAATTAATTAAAGTAATTATAGATACTAGTTAATGTATTTAAGAGGTAAAGAAAGCTATAGAATTATATAAGCTTTAGCGTTAAAGCTAAGAGACTAGTGCTTTTATAAATAAGGTAACCTATAAGGTTTCGCCTCGGTTCCTTTCTTCGCCCTCTATAGCTGCTGCGGGTCGCGCTATTACACTTAACCCTTTACTTATAGCGTCCTTTTATCTCTCTTCTTCGGGTGCGCGCTTATTTAGTACACCTTTAGTTCCGTCTAGTAGTGATAAGAGCCCGGCTTAGCCTAGAACTAGGGGTAGTTCGGTGCGAGGTTAATATAGTAATATTAAGATATATTCTTAATACTACTAGTTTATAATAGGGTTTTATATCTTAAGCTAGTAGTACTTTTAGAAGTATTTTAATTATACTTAAAGAGAGCTTTAATAAAGCGGTTTAGTTAAGAAGTACTCTTTTAAAGTATATAATTCCTTTTATTTCCTTTTAAAAACCTAAAAATAAATCGAGTACTTTTATAAATTTAAGTATTATTAGAGTTTAATTATCTTCTTTTTATCGTAGGCCTCGGGTTTTATCGTAAGGACTATCTTAAGATATATCTTTCTCGAGCGCGTAATTATCGGTCTCCCGCTAGTTTATCTATAGTCGCTATAGTATCCTATAAATATCGTGTCTTTCTAGGCTTTTCTATAGCTAGACTTATTAGCTTTACGAGGGCTTATCTTACCCTCTAAGCTAGGCCGACTATAAGTAAGTCTTCCTCGGCCCTTTAATATATATACTCCGCTATAGCGGGAGGGGTTTAGTATCGAGACTACTTTATTTCGTCCCTTATAGTCCTTTATAGGCCTTCGAAAGAGCTGCTTCTAGCTATTTCCTCTCCTTTATAAGTTTCTATACTTAGTATAGTAGCGTTTAATAAGTAGTTTAACGATATCTTCTCTTATATCGAGTTTATTATTACTAAGCTTATAGGAATATCGTAGAATTTTCTAGCTACGTCCTAATCTATTCGCTTAGTTATAAAGACTATATTACCCCTTTTCTCTTAAGCTCCTATTTACTCCTTCTTTACTTTACTTAAATAACTATCGAGTCGTTACTTTTCGGATATAAGCTACTACTTATAGAGGATAGTTATAAGCTTATTGTATAATAAAGGCGTACTATCTTATTCTAGCACCTTTAGGACTTTCTTTAATAGCCTCTTAATACTAACCGTCTTCTCTTAAAGCTATCGTTACTATACTAAAGTTATTACAGCTTAAATAACCTCGCTTTCCTCGTTAAAAGGACGGTATTTAATAAGCCTTACTCTATTTACGAGTTTCGGGAGAATATACTACTCGTTAACTTCTTCTAGTTAAGCGGCGAGGATATAGACGCTAAACTATAGCTTCTTCTCGATCTTAAAGGGTCCGAAGTAAGTTGCTTCGAACTTTTATCGCTATTTATTAGCTAATAAAATATACTCTCTTATCTTTAAGCTTATTACGAAGGGGGTTAAGCGATCTTAATATAGCTTCTTTATATAGATACCCCTCTTAATTAGTCTTCTATTAGCCTCGTACTATACGGTTTATAAAGTCTCGAGGCGTATACTAAAGTCCTAGTCTAGATTATCCTTATTAAAGTCTTCCTTATCTCTAGTTAGGCGGAGTTCGATTTTATAAACGAGCTTAAAGGGAGATATCTCGGTATCGTTATAAGTACGAATATAATAAGTAAATAAGGCTAAAGGAAGTTATAAAGCTTATTCGGCTATAAGTCGGTTTATAAACTACTTAGTTAAGATAAATTTAAATATACTATTAAGCCTTTCGACCTTACTATTTATTTATAAATAATAAGGTATTATAGTTTAATACTTTACCTTAATCCGATTAAGGTAGTATTCGATTATTCTAGATATTAAGTTAGTATTATTATTTAAAAGGAGCTCTTAGAAGGCTTTATAGTTATAGTAAATATT